GATCTAGAACTTTGGGCAGAAACGGCCCCCAAGTTTCCTCCAATTTCCGCCTCCCTTTTGTCTATCTCAGGTGCCCCAACCCTCTCGGTTCTGAGAGATGGGCTGAGGCTATTCATTCCGTTTTACATCCCAATCTGGTGTGACCCCGGGAGGATGAGATATACACTTCATAAAGCCATCACCGGCGCCCTTTTGGTAGTCGAAGCCAGCTCACGCACAATAGAAACTGTAAGGTAAAGGGGACAAAACTCTGAAGACTGTCACTTTCAACCCTGCGGCTCCGATTGGACGAACCGGATCGAAATGCCTTGTCGACAATACGAGCTTTCTGGACGATCATTGCCCTTCGCTCTAGTGACCGATGACTGACTGCAGACCGCCGACTGACAATGGCAATAAATCAACGAACATGCGCGCCATCACATTCCCTCGTATAGGCTCATCTCGAGTGGAGCTGTGCGACTCTGTTCGCAGAAAAAGCCCGCCTTTCGTGTGCGTTCATGGCTGGACGCGAGGCTGCACTCAAATTCTCCTGCATCGCTCCGAGGGGCCAAACTCCTTGACTCGCTTGAAAGAGATTGCATTCCGTTCTTGACATCCTTCTATCTGGTACCTACTTCTGACAGACAGGACCAAGAGAAGAAGCGAAATCCCGTTACCACGAAACGACTTTGTTAGCGTCACCTTGTTTCGTCGTCTAAAGATCATGGAGCAGCTCCATATAGCCCACGTGAGCCACATCTTAGGCACAGCGCGGATCCCTCAGTCCGGCCACCTCCATTCCCCAGTGAGCGATTTTACCAGCCTTTCGGTGAGGAGGCGGCAAGCCAATCTACGGGCAGGGGCAAACTGTGGGCTACGCCGGCCCGAAGTGGGAAATCTTTGCCCAAACAGAAACGTATCCCGAACTTCATATCAACGTGGATGGCCTGATCACACGTGTCGCTTGCCGTGTCGATAGCCCGAATTCACAACGGCGCGCGGAAGCTAAGCAGTGATATCTGGTGCTGCGCCGCCGTCGCCAGGTCTCCATTACTCGACTATGGGGGGGCTACTCGTTGCGCAACGGGAGTCGGAAACGGTATAGCCGTCGATGATAGTATCCGTCCAATAACATATAAACACGAGGCATATCGACTCGACTCGCGCATTGTTCTGTCTCATTACCACACATAGCCCGCGCGCATAACTGCGGCGGCTGAAAGAGCTCGGGCTTTCGATCAATGCAATCTTCTAAGCGAGCCAGACGCTGTCGCAGGCCTTTGTCGCAATGTCGACATCGCAACCCTTGAGCCTGACCTAGTCATTGATCGGACGGATTCGAGCAGGCGAAGAGGCATTGACCATCTGCTGAGCTGGAATAAGGGCCACGATAGCCCGGCATGGGAGAAGTCGATTCACATTGAATGCAAATGGTTTGAGGGCGTGCGGTTGCACAGCGGTGGCCGGGGTCCTAGTCATTGATCCCTTCGCGGATTACTCGCCTTTCTCGCCTCGCGCACCCGGAACCAGCTCCGGGACTCTTCTTGACCATGCACATCAGGTTGGATAAGCAGCACACATATCCGCTAGAGTTTCAATTGACAAGACAATAGGGTTTTCACGATGCAACCTGGTCGCGCACGCTAATCAAGCGAGTCGAAGCTTATTGCTGTCCAGTCTACAGTCTCCAGTACCCTTCATGTTGCTGCTCAGTGCTGCCGATCAAGTCGCGTCATGCGCACAACTACCGGAGCTCTTGTCCCGTTGCATCATGATGGGCCTCCTAGCCTTCTCGGCAATGTTGTGCCCGCCCAGGCAGGTTCAGGCGCCCTTGCCAAGTCAAACACGGTGTAAGGCACATGGCGACGAAATATCCAACAACGTGCCGTAGGGATAAAAGTGCTATTCTGCATCACTACGTACGCACAAGCTATCCTGCCATCTGGTTTCCAGCGCACGAGCAAAGGACCCTTGGCAGTGACACCTTTAGGGTCTTATCGTCTTGAGCCGAAACAGTTCATACCGGCTTAGGCGCCCTACTCGGGCTCAGGAAAAGTCCAGTCGGCGCCGGATACGACAGTCCCACCCCCACACGCATCCGACGAAACTTGCAGCGAATGATGGTAAATGATGTTCTTCTAGTGCAGTCTGGACCCTCCCGATTGGCGTGCGGACTCTGCCTCCGGGATCGCGCGATTCGTTGCTGTCGATTTGCTCCAGCATCCCCGTATCACCCGGACGATCCTCTGCCTTACGAGAGATGACCGGCAAACCATCAGGTGCTTCAGAAATCGATTATGACCGAACACCGCGTTGTCAGTCCCGGCAACGGGAAGTTTTTCCATTTCTTTTTTCTGCTTAATCCTCTGAAGTTCGACGCTGCAAATGACCCGTGAATCGTGTAAGTTGATTAAATTAACGGCTCTCATGACGCGTGTCTGCAAGTGTGTTCTGCTTGTTTTTCCGGTTGCCCATACAACGAACAGTACATTCAATTGTCAGTGCGCCTAGGTAGGAAATGCCGCGCAGGTGTGTGTTAGAGAACATGGTGACCCTTGCTCAGAAGTCCTAGGTATCAGCAAAGAAGACTTCGCCCAGTGAGTCTAGACTAAGCCACCGCGGCCTCACCGAAATAGAGGAGATGGAAACTGAAGACAATGAAAACTAAGAAATCTGTACGAACAGACTGCGAAACTCGAGAATGCTGTTTACTTTTTCTTTGAGAAGGTTCGAGGTACCAGGCGTGGCTATGGGGTAAAAATGGATTCGGCCCGAAACTAGGCATCGTCGAATACCTCGCCCAAAGGACCTCAGAATCTCTTGATGAGCTGTGACCAACATGGGAATCGATGAAGAAATGCCATTATGGATTGCAGTTAGCTTTTCAAGGGTAAATGTTCCGAACCTGGGATGTTGACTCATTCCTCTAGCCTAGGGTTGTATTCGCGCCTGATATGGCCAAAGCTGAACCTAGATTAACTACCCGCGACAACCGAGATGTTCGCATAATTCCTTTAGAACTGTTTCCATGGCTGTCGCATTGATGAGGAAAATTGTCGAGACGGAATTACAAAGTTGCACCTCTCCGGGCTACACGTGTTGTTCAATGGCTAGTGAAGCCCCAGTTCACGCTTGTGACAAAAGCAACAACTCCTTCCAGCCTCCCAAGTAGTAATACCTTTAATTCAATCGTGCCCAGAGAACAGTAAGATGGTCCTGTGTTTTTGTTTCAGAAGAGACCAAACCTGCTAAAGTATTTGCGGTTGTACAGCCTATTCTAATTATGATTGGGTACTAGAGTGACATTGTCAATGGTGTATGATTTAGAGGAATAGCATTGTGTTTAAGACCTTGAAGGCTATAGTTTCACATAAATGGATACAGGGCACAGTGGGTCGAGGCTGAAGGATGCGCCAATATCACCAGGCTTGACAACGACACTAAATCTATTCATAGCGCTTGGGAATGCGCCCTGTTTGGTGCTGCAACTACGATGTGTGCCTTTTGAGCGAACTGTGGATAGTCACCTTTCTGCCCTAACACGTTCTTACCAACAAGAAGACAACGGGCGTCTTTAAATTAGCGAAAATCTGCCCGATGACTTACGTCCAGGATATGATGGTAGAGCACTATACTTTTTCACTACACTTGCCATCAAATAAACCTCTTCTACAATTAACGAACCTTTCTCGGCAAGGGGTTTGATCAATACTATTCGCGTTGGAGCTAATGTAACAGCCATTTTTCTTTCTTTCTTCAGACATATGATGTAGCCACAGCCCCTTGACGACTTTCTCAGCTCCTATTGTTGAAGCCCCTAACTCGATACATTGTAACGAGGGCTTCATCGCAAGCCAACCCTTACATGCCACAACAAAGTATTGGGAGGCAGCGAAAATGGAGGTCGTTCTTATCGTAGCAAGAAATCAGCGCACCGAGGGAGATCCTGTAAATTAATCGTTACCTAATTGGAATATGTGCTTTGTTCAGAGTTGGCCTCGATCTGGAGCTAAATCTAGATGTTCCAGCGAGTGGCTGAGTTTTTTGTTCTAAAGAAGAACTTACTACCCTTCATTAAGACATGGTTGTTGAAAAAACCATTTTTACGAGTTCAGTAATGCATGATAAATTACTGAGTAAGAGTAAAGCGTCATTTTCAGTGCTTGTTGAACAATGAACTTTCTTAACCCATCCGCAACCAGTTTATCAACCTCCAAAGACCTGTCAAGGCCCATTAATCGTTCGCCTGCCAACTTTCTTGTGCTTTGATGCTCAAAGAATCATGGTATGGGTTATGTATCACACAAAACGAAGGCATCATATGTTCTCCATGTTCATCCTGGTGGCGGTTTGTGTTGAAACAGTTTGATCGTGGCCCACCATGCCATCCTTGCTGCTGGAGTCCTTAACCAGAATTGATGTCTCCTATATTAAGCCTTGTTGGCTAAGTGGTATAGCGTCTCACTAGTACTGATAGTGATATGAGAAGATCGGCGGTTCGATTCCGCCACGAGGCATTTGATGCACATGCCTAGGCAGACAGCAGAGTTCTTTTTGGCGTTTTCAAGACTGGCAAGCACTTTAAATTTTGTGTTTTAAAATTTCGCTGCGCCCTAAATACTTTTTGTAAAGTGGGGTCGTAGTAAAAGAATATCGGGAAGTCTGCGTGGGGGCAAAAGCATACTTCTTAAGAAATGTTGTGCAGTTCTACAAACACACCAAAACCAAAGTTGGGCGCCATCACAAGCATCATTCGGAGTCGATCACCGAAGCTATTAAGGTGGAGATGGCGGAGGAGCGGCATCGGCGTCACTTCACATTTGGGTTCTCTTACTTTGACAATCTAGCCTGCCTTTACGTAAGGCTTCAAGTGGGGTTTTTGCAGTCCGTTGATCTCATTGATGCGCATAGCAATACTAACTTGAGCCCGCATCCTCGCCGAAGTAGTGGTATTGCCGTGTGTTTCGCTCCCTTTCTGGAATCGTGTTCCATTCAGCCATCATCAAACCGATACTACAATGTCCGCTGCCAGTCTTGATCCCACCCAACGTCTCAGAGATCGGAAGCCGATCCCGAAGCCGGTTCCGGCTTATCTACCGATTGCCGGCTCTGTGCTCACGGTTGACAAGGTGTTGTACGAATCTGCGCAGCAAGCACCGCGAGTTCTGCTCGAGGAGTTTACGTTACCGATTCGGTCCGGAAGGGCATGGAAAGCACCAGCAGGCTCAATTGTGAGGATTAGCACCCCGGAAGGCCCTCAAGTCGGTAAGTCACCGGGCTGAAGCCGCCTCCCGCCGGCCGGTACCGGAAGCTCACTTCGGCCAGGCGACCTGAACATCTGGAACGCACACAACCCCCGTGAGCGCTTTTGGGCAAGCCGTACGAAGCAGCTTCATGCAAGTCACGTCTCGACAGGTGACCGCTTGTGGTCGAACCTACCCTACATGCGACCTCTGGCGACCATCATCAAGGACACTTTGGACTGGTATGGCGAAGATGAGCATGGAGGACGCGTGCACGACCTTCTAGGCACACGATGCGATCCGTACATCAACACGGTTCTCAGTGGCGGCAGCTACGATTTCCAATGCCATTCCAACTTGACTCGTGCGGTTTTGCCTTATGGTCTGAACGAGATTGATGTTCATGATGTGATCAACATTTTCCAGGTTACGGGGTTGGATGAGAAGGGGCGGTACTTCATGAACCCTTGTCCGGCGCAGCCTGGTGATCACATCGAGTTTTTAGCCGAGCAGGACCTGCTGATGGCATTGAGTAAGTTCGGCCATATTCCCATGCACTTTTCTCGGTTCGACTAACTGCTACAGGCACTTGCCCTGGTGGCGACTTATCGCTTTGGGGATTCGGAGAGGACAGCGAGGAGGAAATGATCAAGTGCTGCCGACCGCTGAAGGTTCAAGTTTTCCAGCTGGAAGACACAGGCCTTTTGCAGCGCGGCGGGTGGAAGCCTGCCCAAGTATCGCAGTACAAAGGAAGACACGGAATGAACATTCCTCTAGGAGAGGTTCGCAACTGAAGTTCAGGAGCAGTTTTGGATTGGGCTGTGGCGTCTTCTCTAGAAACAGCGTGCTTTTTGCACCGTTGGTATAGGAAGATGAACCCAGAAGGGGAAAGCATGCGATGTAAGGCACCTGGGCAGCGCTGGAGACATTCCAATATCAAGTACAGACGAACTCTCTTTCGTAAAACGACAATTTATCACCTTCTAGATTCCATCCGTCTTCTGATCCCAAAGTAAGTTCTATCCTTCTTGATTGGTAGGACAGCCGGCAGCAACCCGACGTGGTATGGGTTGTTCACATCAGCGCCGAACATAACCGCCGCCGAGCTCCGCTTCTGCATTGCCACCTCATCAGCAACACAGCTGCCATACAGTACCTGATCCCACCACGGGCCCCTAACGGCGTTCGAAATGGCCAGAAATGTTGCCGTCCTAAATGGCAGGCCACGTGATTTGCTTCTCCAGATATCGAGACAGCTCGTAAAGAACACGACTGCCAGCATGACCAGGACTATCCATAACACAACGGTGCGGATGATGTACACGTCCTCCTGGACTCTCGCTACCGTGGGAACCGTCGCAGTACCATAATACCCTGCCGTCGAGATAGCGGCGATGGACTGTGCGATGTTGCCGAAGAAGTGGCCCCAATCACGCGTGGTTGGGATCGAGTACAACGTGTCGATAGTCTTATCAACGATGGTGAGCCTCTCGATGAATATCCGCCAGGGAATCGCTGTCATATAGCTCTGCAATGCGTTCAGAGCAACGGTGTCGATGGCTGTGGTGTTGGTGTTCGGTTCGGAGTAGCATTCTGTCATGATCGTGCCATTGAATACGCATCCGGCGACTTCCCAGGAAAACTCGGGTGTGCACTTGCTACGGGAAATCCAGTGTCCATCGGCGGTCTTAGTAAGGCTGGTATCATTTGTGAGAGTGCTGACTTCCAGAGAAGATGATGTGCCGGCTGAGATGAAGTAGGTAGTTCCGCCAACGGGGATGCCATTTATAGTAGTGTTGCCTGCACTGTTCCAAAGACGAAGGGTCTGTGACTCCTTTTTCTTAGGGCCGATATCAATGGTCTGGTTGCTGGAGTCTGGAAAGGTGAAGGTATATGTCGTATTTGACCCATTGGGTGAGGCAGTGTATGAGACGTCAGGTGCGCCTTCGCAGTTGGCGTTCCAATGATATAGGATGAGGCCATGGTAGGTGGTGTTAATGTTGAATGTCAGATTATGCGTTTGAATGGGGCCAATGGCGCCAGAGGAAACGTCGACAAGGGCGCTTTGACTGACCAAATCACCAACGAAGGTGTAAACAGTCCGCGAGAGGAAGTCATCGTCCCCGTCAAATGTTTGAGAAAAGTTTCCTTCGCCGTTCCAGCCCATCGCATTGGCCAGCCGTGTCACAGTAAATTGTTCCTCGACTGAGGGGAGGATAGGTAGACCAGCAACACCCGAACCTTCAGCATTCTTGTTGAACACTCCAGTCGTGAGCATCAGCGTACCAACTGGCACAATCGCCGTGCGGATGATGATGAGTGCTGCTTGCATGATAGCATACCACCACGAGTACTTACCCATGGTCTTAAGCGTTAAAGAGCTAGATTCGTCTCCAATTTTGTCCAAATCTGCTAGCAGAACGGGTTGTTGAGCTGTGATGGCAAACAAGCGTAGTTGTCGAAAGTCGTGCATAATCCACTGCACTAACATTCCTGCTGGTGCTAGCAATGCCGACAGAGCCAGCCCAGAGTATAGCTGATCGACTTTCAATGAGTCCGGGGTCCGGAAAACACGCCGTTGAGAGAATGTGCCGTCGACCGGCGGCCCTTGATACGACCAGACGACCGCCGCAATAGCCGCAATGAGATAGACCGAGATACAGACGATGCATGTCTTTAGAAACTTGAAGTCGCGGAAACTAAACATGCGCTCCGCCGTGGCACCGGCGTGATGTTGCTGTCCGTCCGGGAGGACTTGTGCACTTTGCGAGATCGCCTTCTCGTCGGAGGCTTGGTCCTCGTCGGACGCATCCCTTTGAAGTGAGGTGTATTCGACTGTGTGCGACATGGCAAGAGTACGACCATCCAACCAAGTATACAGGAAAAGGGGGCAGAGTAAGAGAAAGATGGGAGTAGGCGATTGGGGCGCCATCCACAGGGCTGCTCCAGCGTTTTTGTGACACCTCTGTAAAATTCTACACGGACACGGACACGGAACCAGCCCTGCGACCCTGGCTCCTTGGCCCGGCAAATCACTGTATGTCAGATTTTAACACGGCTGCTTGTCGTCCTTCGCGTAGACACTAGACATGGTCCGGAGCGACGGTCAGGATTACCATTAGAAAAGCTGCTAAAATAGTGTATTTTCCCGTCTGTGCCCGTCCATGCGGGCCTCTGTGGATTAATTTTATTTTCATTGTGTCCTTCGAGGATAGGTTAGATTGATGAATGGGAATAGCCTCACTCAGCCGCGCGAAGATTTACTTTACATTGTCATGTTTCGGAGTAGGTAACACGACAGCCTAACATGTACGAAAGTAGGGCAGTCTAGACGAATGTCGGATACATACCTAGGACGGATTTCGACAGCTAAATATACAGAATCCGATGGCACGTGCATTTGGCACCTAAAAAGAAGGCTAGCTAGTAGATAAGGGGGAATTTCCTGGAGACACATAGACCCAATGGCCACAGCAAGGATACTGTCACGAGTTATAGCACTCAGCTAGGCGTTGGAAAACGACATGTGAAAGTGCTTGATTTCTGGAAAGGGGTGGTGGAAGGCTATCGCCCATAGAAATAGGCTCCCGATGAGCCGTCACGTGACATGGCGCATGGCAAGACTGTTCTCATCAGCCACAACATCACGAACCTGTCGTGACGGATACTCTATCAATTGACGTTGGCAAGTCGCTTCGCTTTAGAAATTTTGTTCCAGTGCCCTGCCTTTAAGCCGTTAGCGCTCAACGTATCTCCTAGGACCGCCATGCAGCTGAGAAACTAACCCAATGTAATATATTCGTGTTGGCCCTTAACAGGTCGTTCCTTCTCCCGAAGCGAGAACATACATGCATCACTATAGAAGTAATGTATTGGCTTCCTGGCCTGATATAGTTCTTCGACCAAGGCCAATATTTTAAGTTAGCGAATTTCCTTTCGATTCCTGCATTGGCGACGTACCTTATGCAATCTCGCACTGGGTTTTGTTCCGAGTCTAGACAGTCCTCAGTAACGATCGCTTGACGTCTTGGGCTTCACTGATTCATGTTTTCCTGGCCATCCAAGAGAGGGTATGTAATTAGCACAGAAGTACCGTGAAATATAAGTATATCGTGAGTGCCTTCAGACTTGACGTTGGCGTCCTTAGAACGACATTTTAGCACCACGTCAGCCATATTAGCAATGCTTTGGCATACGTAAAGAACAGCCCCCCAAACCAACGGGTCTCCCTCCTGTAAGGCCTTACACTATCTGTACTATTGGCGCCCGAATAGATGAGTTGATTTCGGAGCTTAGTCACTCAAGCGAAGTGTGTCAATTGGGCGACAACAAGCATACAATTAAGATAAGTCGCTGATATACAAGTCTAGACAAGAATCGAAACTGCAGTATTACTTGGATCCATCACCATGTAAGGAATGCTGGCCCAGTCCATTCTCATGCTTGTTACCAGGAATTCAACTTCCAGCTCACGTAGGTCATAGTAGAAGCCTTCGCTAATGGACCGAATAACCTGCTCTTCCCTAGCCCTGCCACAATGTGTTCTCCACTGTGACTGTGCAAACGAGATAAGGCTACGGTCGCTTGCAACTTTGAAACTAAGGAGCCAAGGCACCTGAACTGAGAGAAGCCACTCTTTTTGCCGCCCAATTGGCAAAGCCTGGACGAGATCTGCTTCAGTGTACCCCAATCTAGACTCTGGGGAAGGTTCCGACAAAGCATTGGAGGCTTAGCAATGACAAATACTTGGTAAAAGTTCTGGAGGTAGTTGACAGTGGTGTGGAATGGTGCAGCGATGTGAATACTCATAGTGATAGCGTCGCAAAGTTCATCCAGGCACTTGATTTTCGAGAAGCCCTTAATGCGGCCATTGTTCTGGGCCTCTCTGCACCAATCCTGAATATGAATGTCTTTTTTGATCAAGCCATCGGCTCGGTCTTCGTCATAGTACGTTAACAGCATGCTCTTGACGTATCTGCGAATGACATCCCATATGGATAGGATGTTCTTGACGTAGGCATAGTTTTTGTACCTGCTATCCGTGAGACCCTCCTTGGTGTTAGGGAACCCACGACGTAAGAGGTCGTTAGGGACATAGTTCTCAGTATAATCGAAATTCTCGAACTCGTAGGCCATGTATTTGAACGTTTGGTCCATGCTTAGCCCAATGATGTCCTTGATGACCTGCGGGACAAGGGTTTCCCTGGCGGCGGCGTTGAGAGAGAGTGTCTTGACCAGTGCAGCTGCAAAATGCGGTACACGATGTGGTCCATGGGAATTGTGCGGTGGGTAGCCACAATAATGGCCTCCTCGATGAAATGGGCGCGAGTGAGATGAACCCCAACCTCGTGACGAATCCAGTCTGTAACTTGCGCGCACGTCTTTGCATACCGCCAAGGCCAGTCCTCTCTTTCGAAGGTTGAAGGGTCAAATGGACGGTGTCGTCGATTGAAGATGGTGACTGAATCCTTCATGGTCTTCTTGTAGTCGCATACGATTGCAATTGGGTGGAGCTTGCCGTCAGGGTGGAGCTGATAGAGTGTTACGGCCGCGCAAGCCCAATGGTCATCTGACATCGGCTCCTTGTGGTGGAAGATCTCATCAGGTTCTACACCAGTCGCTTTGCGAAAGTACCGACAGTCTTGCACAAAAAGATAGGCTGGGTTGACCTCGGGTAGAGTCTTCGCCCAGTAGCCGTAGCCTGCGCGCTTGGCCGCTTCGATGAACTGATTCAAGAGATCTTAAGGAACCTTCTCGATCATGGTAGGATTGGTACCGGTGAAGGACTGTTCAGCAAATCGGCGGTCACCATACCAATCAGGAAGAAGACCAATATTGAAGCCACGCTCTATGTCAGTGCCGGATTTGCGATGGAACTTGTTGTACGTCTCGCAGTCCGCAATGGTAGGGCCGCACTCAGGCTTCCCTCCAATGACATCGTCAATATTCCTAAGCAGCCAGTCCGTGGTTCTGCCGTTGATGGTGTCGGGGGTGACTTGCGCGATCATAATTCCTGTTTCGGCAAGGCCCAGGGCATTGAAAATTTTCCATTTAGGTACTTCGTTTTCCAGGGGTACATGCTCAAGATGAGGAGGATACGCCAACGAACCATCAACGTAGTGTGGGAAGGGGGAGTATTGGTGAATCTCCTTTTTTTTGAGCAAGCTCAACGTAGCGGGGCAACGTCGGTTCGATTTGAAGAACGTCGAAGAAGGATTCGAAGCTGTATATATCTCAGCAAAGTATCGGCTGCCCGTAATCAAGAGCCCTCAGCTGCGCTCAATTCGCTTGTAGGCATGAGTGATAGCAGCCTGCGTGCCAGTGTAAGTTCCCTCGTAAATGTTACCACCGCCTCTTCTCGGATTCTTCTCAAGGCCACTCGGGTCCGGTTTGCAAAAGATGCCCAGCTTCACAAGCTCTCCATCGAATACACCGGGGTCAATGTCCAAGAAAGGGTGATCGGAGATCTTTGCTCTGAGCTCAGCTTTCCGCTTCTCAATAGAAGGTTGTTTGAGGATGTCCTCGATGGCGGTGCGGGTAAGACAGAAGCCCCGATAGGACGTGTCGGGAGAGGGAGATTGAGTATGGTCATCGTGGATGACAAAAAAAAAAGAGGATTACTTAGAGAAACCGTGAAAATAGGTGGAATGTTGACATGTAGGCAGTGGCGAGGCAGGCTTACTTATGTTTTTTTATAGTCTGGGGAGTCCGTAGTTGATGTCAACAATTATCAAGCTTTGATCTGTGTTCAGGAATGGTGAGGAAGTTGAGAAGAAACTCAAACAATATGAGACCCCGATGATTGCGAGAGCTACATTCAGTGGCTATGGAAACAATTACTGTCTAGAAAACAATTCATCAAAATTACTATAGTGATAAAAATATCGATATGCCGAGTTTCAGAAAGCCGACGTAATTTTACTTGGTACCTAACGAAAAGATCACGTACTTAGCAGATGTCTTGAGACAAAATCATGGCAGTGCAAGCCACATGAATCAATGCAGCATCGGACAAGAATGTTGTATGATTATGCGTTTCACTGTGACCGCCCGCCCCCTTGCCATCCACGCTGCATCGGCGGGTTTTAATAGAGTTTTGTCCGCATTCAAGCAACAGTTGCATACTTCAATGGTTGCAGCAGGGTGATGCTACGCACATCCCAGGCAGGCAGCTTCGTTTGGCCGGACAGCATATCAGACTGATTATCTAATTATGAATGGGGCGAAGTAGTTGGTGGGAAAAAGCAGAGGGAAATGTACGTGCTGTAGATGATACCCTCCTCACGCTCTGGCCGTGGGTCGAAATTGAAGCCTCTTTGGAGTCATGATAAATCAAAGAAACACTATGCCATTTGATGAACAACCTAAAGGAAGTATTATGCAGCTAGATCACCAGGGTTGACGATGATGACAGTGCCACTGAGAGAAGACATTACATGCCATGGCCGAGACGTTTTTGTAATGATACTATAAGATTTCGTGAAGTTGGGCCGAGTCGCGATAAGGCAGCCTAGGTTTGAGGATGATTGAGCTGAAATGTTTTGAGCCCATAAGCCTCGGTATGGTATTTCACTCTATTCTAGGTCACAACCGTCAGTCAGAAACAAAGCTGGTGCTATGGGTAGTGAGTGCTTATCTTCAGTATGCTGCAGCGATTCTAGTTGATTTGTCATAGAAAACGCTTATGCAAGATGTAAGAAGCACCGGGGATCTGTTCAATCCTATGTGAATCGTCTAATGAAATCATGTGTTGAAAGCCAAGAATCTGGTAAAGATTAAATATAGACATTATGTGACTGTATCTACTGGTGCCAGTCAAGCAGTTTTATATACCAAATCAAATCCGTACGCCTCTATATGTTTGTTCCACGAGAAACCAAAAACTTGCGAACACTACTAGTATCTGAGACCGAAGATACCCTTCAACCATCCCATCACGGAGCTGATGAGACTGCTGATGTTGCCACCGTTCCGTAGTTCGTCAGCAATCTTGGCAACCCGATCCTTGGTAGCAAGCCACTTGTCAAGGGCAGCCTGGTCAGGAGCATTGAAAGTGTTACCGGTGCGAGCAGGCAAAGCCTTGGTGCACTCAGTCAGGTCGTTGATATTGTAAACGCCAAGGAGAGAAAGACGAATGTACTCTCGGGCGTAGTCTTCGTTCCAGTGGGACTGTCCGCCCTGGCCGGCAAAGGCTTGGAACTCAGCGCTGATACGAGGGTCCGTGGAAAGCACAACGTCGCTAGCGAACTTGAAGACACGAGCGGGAGCAGAGCCGAGAGTCTCCTTGTAGAATTTGACGTCCCAGACACCAGGGGAGCTGTCCTGCGGGTCGCCGGCGCGGCTGGGGTCGACGAAGCGCTGCTGGCTGGTGGTGTGGGCGCCAATGAGGGCAGTGAGACCGTGGGGCTTGATGGTCTTGTTCTCAAAGAGCTGGATCAAGAAGTCGGCGGAGCCGGTTACAGGAGGAAGAAGGTTGTTGGGGCATGGGGCAGTGGAGTCTTTGCGACCGACGAAAGTGCGAATACGAGGTCCAAGAGGGCAGCTTTCAAAGGTTAACGGACGTTATCAAGATAGCTGCGTCGAAGACTTACACAACAGTGGCCACGCTGGCAGAGAACTGAATAAGATCGGCCATACCGATGCCATACTGCTTGTACTGGTTGTACCAGACCTGAGTCTGTGCAACAATCTCCTGGAGACCGTTGTTCTCTCCACGAGTCATCTCCTCGGGAGCGAGGATGATAGATCCATCAGCGCCACCGAGGGTGCCGGTGGTCTTGGACCAACCACCAGCATCGTGGAATCCTAGACGGATAGCGGCGCGGGCGAAATCGGTGCAACGACCAGACTTTCCCTTGTAGACGGCTTGAAGATCGTTGGCGATGTACTTCCAAATGCAGCATGTGTCAGCGGCGCAAGCTGCGGAGCCCTTGGCGGCGAGGTTCCCGCCGCGAGCGGAGGTGGAGTAGGCATCGTCGCTCTCCGGATTGTCAAAGCCGGTGAGGAGTTGCTTGACGCTCTTGCCGACAGTGGTGAGCTTCGAGTCGTCGAGAGTGGCGAGGTCGCCAAGGAGCTCGTTGGAGTCACCCTCATCGGCGCCGTTTCCATCTTGGTCGGCACGAGCACGGATTTCGGAGAGGGTGCTCTTCATGCCCGGGTAGGCGAGAATGGGAGTAGCCGCGAGGGCGGCGGTAAAGAGAGAAACACGCATGATTGAGAGATTGTGGTGGGTAGTATACGTGATAAGAGAGTGTAAGATAGCAGTACTCAAAAGCCAAAAGTGAGAGATATTGGAAGGAGTGTGAGAGGCGAGGAGTTGACAAGGCGTATCCTGGTGATCCAATTACCAGAGAAGCCGGGCATTACAGGCTCATTATATCCTCGTCGACAATATCTAGTCCAGAAGCCCGTGCTCGTCTCTCTGCAATCTATTCTGGGTGCAAGAAGCCATCTTGGAGCTTAGATGTGGAGATGAGTAGCCCGCCGTCAACTTGGTTAGTTCGGGGCGTCCTGACGCCGTCGACGTTGTACTCAAGGCTTGCTTTTCCCCTCGCCATCCTGCCGCCACTCGGTCGTATTGAGCCGTCTGAGCCGGGCAGGAACTGGCTTGGTCCGGGCCACATTGTGCGTCAACTCCGCCTCCACGGAGTCATGAAGAGTTGCATAACAATTGTGTTGATCGTGATTGGGCGTCCAGACCGGGGCATGACGGTGGCTGCAAGGCGGTGGGCGAGGCATCAACGGTGAGGAAACAAAGAGGTCTGTGTGGCGAGTTTAACATAAAGGTACAATTCTCTCTTGTATCTCTGCTTTGTTTACGAGGCCTTCTCACCTCGGTTATGGATTCTTGCAATAGTCGGTTGCTCAATATAAGTAAAAAACCAACCTACATGGGCTCCCGAATTCACTTACGAGAAAATTCATGGCATGGCATCGTTACACCTTGTTCGTGAGTATGCAACCATCATCCCATTCTGCAAGACATACAGGAATAATTGGCTTGCCTATACTCGCAGCGCACCCCGACTTGCAGGTTGGTTCTGAGCCTAGGCCAAATGCGATCGCCAAGTGTGACTGCCTTGCCTATTTCAGCTACCAAAATCGACCAAGTGAGGAGCGGCTACCTTTGTTCAGGGGTAATAAGCTAGTTGCATGCCCACAAAGGAAATGTGAAGTTTTAACGCTGCAGGCTCATTAGCAGATGGGGTTTAGACGCTAATCGGATGCTTTCTAGCGCTCCAACGGTAAGGGTTGGCGGCCAAATTTCCCTGAAACAACTGGTTGAAAGGGCAGCAAGAGTCTACGAACACGAGTGTGTCGTTAAGCCTGCTTAGTATGTAATTTTCTGTTTGCACTGGAGGACGAGCAGGCGGAGAACGTTTATGTCGTCCGATTCTGTCTTGGAACCCTCAACGCTCGGATGATGCGCCGCGTGGGTCGGGTCGCCCAATAATCCTGCCACTATTTCCAAACCACAATAGCAGATGATCTTTTTTAGTAAAAGTCCGAATATTGGAAAATTGGGATTTACGTCTTACGTATATCTCTATCAGAAGCACGAGAGCGGGTCTCCCGAAAGTTGACCATAATCCTAGATCCGCAGGCCGCTTTCACACGTCCACCACAGTATTACTCCTGAAACCCTACGTACACCAGCCCCATACCCCGACAACGTTTCAATACCTCAGAATGGTCTTGTGTAAGGAAAGGCGCCTTTGGAACGCCACCTCAAGCTTTTTGACATGCCTCGAAGTACTCAGTCCCGCGTGACATTGCGCCGCCTTATGTCAAAGGTGGATGTTGACATTCTACCGGCTCGGAGTGGTCAGGCCAGGGCTGAAAAAATAAGCTCCACGGTCTCTTCTAGCTTTCAGTCAAAGCGAGCTGGAGAGATGGGACCCTATCCCCTCGCTAGGTCTCGTGTGATTAGGTACAAACAAGTATGTGTCTAACCCTGAGCTGGTACTCTTGAGCGGCGCTAGCTCTTCTTTGTCCCTTGGGTTGTCTCTTTGACCCTCTGTCTCTACCGGTGCTCGACGCTAATATAGGAACCATCGGCCCGTTGAGTGGCCATCAGGGGAACACCAAGGGCGATCCTTCTTGATGTTTTGACACGCAGAAAACGTGAATGCTCAAAGAGCTTCAGCTCGCAGGTGAAGGCCCAAACCGACCCAACTTCATTGTGTCCTCCTGGTCCAGCTGCCAGTATCCACCGAGCTCACGAAACGTTTGCTCGAGCCCAGATAGGATCTCGTCCACGTCCCTTGCTTCAGCATCGAGCATTTCTGTACACTGCGCCGCTGTAAACTTGTCGGAGTGGTCGGGCATATACGCAGCGCCATCCCACTTGATAGCCACGTTAATGTTTACCTGTGGACTTTCTTCGCTCAATGCCCTCTTGTAGTGTCGTAGATAACCTCCCATGACGTCACGATTCCATCTCAACACCTCGAGCGACACTGTCTTGACCAGTCCGCCGTGAAGGAATGCAACGCGGCCGTCATCTGGATGGTATTGAGCGAAGGAATGCCCGCAGTAGAACCAATCATTCTTTGTTCCCACGCTCGTAAGCCATTTCTTTGGCTTCCCGAATGAAGTTTGCAACGCATGCCACGCAAAGCGGAACATGTCCTTGTCGCCTAACAGGAAATCATTGTAGTATTTCCCCTGTTCGTTGTTCAGCCACGAGGCAAGCTGGAGATGATACCAGAAGCGCCTCTTATCAACTAGAAGCTGACCGCTCTCCTGCTCGTATTCAGCCATTCGGCATGGAGTATTGAAAATCGCCCAGGCCGGGTTCTGAGGACGCGTACGCGCGATGTCAGGCCAAAATACCGTATGGTACTCGGTATACTGAAGTGAATCGTAAAGAATCGCCGGATCGAGCATTGGGATGTTGTCAGAATCTAGCAGGAGGGGCTCAGCCCATTTAGAGTTGAGCAGAGCTGCTGTTTTGAGCTGGTAGTTGATTCCAAACATCCCATCCTTCTTGATGTGCACAATGTTGTGGTCTTTTGAGAGGTCGTTGTAGTAGATCGGTTCGTACAAAGCGTTGAGGCCAGCCATGGTCTCAATGTTCATCTCGGTGTCTCAGTAGTGAATCTCTACGGGAAGAGTAGAACTGAGTTTCTTCAACTGGCGCAAGATGACCTTGACGCGCATCACTGTGTCCGCGTTACCTGCAACAATGACCAACCCTCGGCCACGGAAGCTATCCTTGACGCTCGCGTACGGAATCATCTTGCCCCGAATAAAGTCATGCCACTCGCGCCGGCGGAGCTCGATCTCCAGTACCGGACGGTCTTCAATGACCCATTCCAGAGAGTCCGAGAACTGAAAATTGACGTATGTGTCGGCGGGCCAGGTACATGTTACGCGGGCCTCACGCTGGGAGATGCCCTTCAAACCTGTGATGGCCGCAAAATGGGGGATGAAATCATCTGACGTCGCGAGTTTATGTGCATCGGGAATGAGTTGCGCCTGTGGTAGTAGTGGTGGTGGTGGCGGCGGCGGCGGCGGCTGAATCTCTAGGTTGTCGTCGAGGATCGGAATCTCCACTTGGTGAGGAGAGGTGTCGATGTTAAGAGAAGCGTCACCTAGATGCTGCGCAGTGATTACATTATTGGGCAATTGTGAAGATTGGGTGCCTGCTTCATTGCTCTTGCTCTTGAACATCAAGATCAAAAAAGATGTGAAAACCAGCGCCAAAAAAACTCGAAACCGCTTCATGCCGGCCATTTTCCCCATGATGGATTGTTGATACCAACCCGAAGCACTCTGCATGCAAAGATGACGGTCGAGGATGCCAGTACTCTTTCAACAGGAAACCACTGTAGAGCAAAAGCTATCCGCATTCGATAATCCATGGTTCACCTCATGTTATCTTTGCCGGCCTCGGTCCCAGCCATCCCATATTCCACTGATCCCCATGTGAACACAGCAGGGGTGCCATTCCTCGCGTCGCTGCGTGATTGCGTCGTGCGGGGTCTGTCGGATCCCTAAATCTCCGGAGGACGCCGTCGGGAAGTGTGGTGCTGATCAACTTGGCATCACGAGCTTCCATTGGTTGGGGTTATGGACGCAATCAAATAAGCAACCCCCTCCTCCGCACACTCCTGCATCGCGGAGGTGAAAGTGAAGCGGACCGGGGCGTCTCACACATAGCAGGAGGTTGTTTCGCCGCAAGAAGCTACAACTTTCTATAGCAGTACCCATATCGCGATCCACTGAAGAATCGACAGATCACGAATGGATTTCTTTATGCACGTTCGGATGTGTGCGCAACCAGGTATGCATCATCTCTACAACTTCGCTCTTCCTATACCAAGGTTGTTCCAATCATCCTGAGTAAACGGAACGTATGTATTACCCTTGCCGTGCTTCTCGATCCAGAGAACCTGATCCCCGCCTTGGATCTTGCTTGGGTCAACGCCTTCGTTCTTCAACGGAACCTTATTCTGCTTGTTGTTGTGTGTCGCTGTTCCTTCTTGCAGTAGTCGGATGAATATGGGAACAGCGTATCTCGGAAGTCTAGCTCGTGCATAACTGCGTTGGGTAAATATCTTAGCCTTCGTATCACAGAGAGAAATAATTCCCATACCTGAGAAAGCCCGCATAATCAAACGACGACTTTTGAGCCGGAGCAATATCGAGTGCGGCTGCGCCGGCCTTGCCGTCATGGCCTGGAAGCTGAACACCATAGACGACGGCCTCGTTGACTCCAGGATAATTACCAAGAACTTCGGAGACCTCTGCGGTCGAGACGTTCTCGCCTTTCCATCGGTACGTGTCTCCCAGACTGGAAAGTGATGTAAGCGAACGCATTGAGAACATTGGCCGATTCTCAAGACTTACCGGTCCATGAAAAACCACCTGCCATCGCCATCACGCCTTAGTGAATCTCCTGTTCGATAGAAATAGTCCCCTTTCTTGATGATGTCTTTCACAAATTTCTTGCTTGTCGCATCCTCGTTGTTGAAGTAGCCCGGAAAAGGGCGCTCGCCAGGATGCTCGGTCAGAATTTCTCCACCAACTTCGTACGGAACACGAATGGCAAGTCCCGTCTTTGGGTCCCGCTTGATGTGGCCGGTTTCCGCATCGACTTCTACTGGGACTATCATGTTTCTGTATTTGATTCGAAGCAATAAGCCGTGGTGTCCGATAGCGTTGGCGAAAAAGTCTCCCCGAGCCAGATTGCGTAGACCCAGTGCGCCCTCAGTGCTGTTGTAAAACTCGCATACCGTATCGACATCAAAACGTTCCTGGAAACGCTTCCACACATCTGGTCGACAACCGTTGCCGAACACAGCGTAAATACCGTGATCTTTATCTCGCGGGGAGGGCGGCGCTGCCAGGAGGTAGCGGAGTGTCTCGCCGACATATACAAACCATGTCGCATGGGAATCGCGGACGTCATTCCAGAAATTCGAAACGCTGAACTTTGACGCCATACATACAGTCGATCCGGCCTACTGTCAGTTCAGCTTCTAGATACCAAAGCTGGGAGATACCAGAATTACCAGTATTTGTGATATCATGGAGATACCACCAGTTCCATGATAATATGGCTGTTGTTCTGAGCTTCAGTCGAAATCTCGCCAAAGAAACCCAGAAGCAGTACGAACCATGCAGATGTAGCATCTTGATTTTACCCCATTGGTCGGATGAAAGCCAAAACCATTCTGCGCGGATCAGCAACTAGAAAGGAGAGGATGAGAGAAACTAAGATGACTTACTGGCAATGAAACTCCAGCCGCGGTGGCAGCTGGAAAGATTACGGCTTTCGGAAGACCTGTAGTGCCACTTTGGCTGTTAGACGAATTAACGTTTGGCTGGCAGTACACTCACCTGGTATAGAACATGGCCATTGCATCGCTAGGCGTGACACCCCTTCTCAGTTCATCTCTGGGACGAACAGGGTCCAATTGGTAGATCCGTGGCCTCTCGTCCCCGATGTTGATGACTTTGACACCTTTGAGATCTAGTTCCGTCTGCACACTCGCATACTTTTCAGCAATATCTAGGCCTCCATCAATGAGGACTAGCTTGGCCGTGCTGATTTCGATACACCCGACGAGGGCTTTGCCGGTGAGATTGTAGTTGATCATAGCCGGCGCCGCACCAATGGCAAACAGCCCAACCCAGGCAAAAGCGAAGTCTGGCGAATTCTGCATGAAGAAAGCGACGAAGTCCCCAGGTTTTACTCCATAGGATAAAAACAGTTGTGCATATTGGTTTGATCGGTCGTAGGTCGCTTTCCACGATACGCTGCCGTCTCTAGTCCAAATAGCTTCATCGTAAGGGCGTTTTTTAACCGCTTCCTCGAAAATGTAATATGGCGATACGCGACCTGCCCTGGCTGATATTTGATCAGCACAGTATGCGACAGTTTATATGTCTGGGGTCTTCTACATGAGCTCTCAACTGCTTTCGTAACTGCTCGGCGATTTTGCAGCGTCTTGATGTCTTTTGACAGATGGTATCTCGCGTCAAGGTACATGCTGGAGGCAACACCTCCTGCCAGTGCGGCAGCCCCAACTGGGTTTAGGGTTAGCTTATCTTCCGTTTTATAGCCATTGAATTGCAGTGGTTCAAACAAAAGCCGGGAATCTCGTGTCATGATCTAACGGGCGAAGAATTTTACCGAAAGCCATAGCTATTTCTGTTCTTCGGGACTGTACCGACGAGCTGTCTGGCCCTTTTGCAATTTTCAGTTGACAGATAGCAAGCTTTTCTGGTCGAATAAAGACGCCGTGTAGTCGTGAAGTTTAGGAGGGACTTATGAAACAAAGACAAGTCGACCTTAGAATATCCCCCCATTGACCAACGCTCCGGAAATACTTTGATACTTTAAGGAGAACTGAACCCTTGTGGAAGGTGGGGACGAGAGGCCAAACCCTCTTCATCTTGCCGAGGTCTCAGAGCTAAGCAACCAAGAAAACGATCGGTTTTATTGGAGGAGGATGGTTTTCTGGGGCTCGGTGCGTTTGGGGGCATTTCTTTTACCGACCTGCCGTAGTCCCGAATGGCCGAGCTACCATTTCCCATGTTGCTTTACTTGGAAAAACCAGCCGGTAGACGGTTTTCATGCGAAACCGAGCAGAGATTGGATTGGCTGCAACCAACGTGCCGCACAACCCATGCGCTGTTACCCCAGAAATAGCGGCGTCATGGCTGGCAATGTCCGCGCTAGCAAACCCAAAGTTTGTAGCCGAGGCGGAGAAGTGGCCCCGCTTCACAGCTTGGCACATTTACGTGCAATGCATTCATCTATCTGTATACTAATTATGCCGATAACGAAAACGCCCGGCGCTCTGCCATGCGAGAAGGAGATTTGCAGAGTTTGCGGATGTCTGATGCTCCGGACTGTCTGATTGGGGCGGCCGTCCCGACCCTGCATAGTCCGCTATCCAAGCTTCGAAGGGCCCAGTTTCTTGAACGGTGCGAGAATGAGCTTCCAGATTTGCCGACCCCTAAGGTCTGCGTGCAAAGTTCCGAAATATGTCTGCCACGGATGGCAACACACTACGTCTCCCAACCTCATATAAACGGTCAGGGTATTCGAGCTCAGGCGGACGAACTCGCCGGCTTAAGTGTCACCTCCGATGTAGGGTGCGGGCCGCGAGAGCGGTTAGCTTGCCAGTATTGAGTTACTGAGACTTAGAGACTGCACAATTGCAAGATCCAGAAACCTGGAGCCGGCATGCAGTGTAAAGCTGGCGAGATTATCTGCATTTATGGCCACTTGAGATGCTACTGCCCAATCGGAAACTATGGAATTGAATCGCCATAAAAGTCTGGCTGACATAAACCTGCATCCGCTAGTTTATCAAACAGAATCAAAAGAAGCCAAGCAGGCAACCGTCGGCCGTCTGGGCGAAAAGCTGAACTATTTGCAAGACAATCGCCAAAAATTCTTCGCCCAAGTCCCTTTTTCGAAATCGTTGTAGCTGACACATGATGGCCTTCGTGTCTATTAGTAGATCTGCTTCTCATTATTGAAACAGCCAGCACACGCAAGTACCATAGAACTAGAAATATATCATACATCATTGCTGCTTTGTGCCCTACCTTGTTGTGTTTGTTATGCAGTTTTATCACGACTTGAACGACGACACATTGTATCTAGTGGTACAATAGTCACTTTGTTCACGTGCTTTCCAGGTAGGGAATGGGTTTGTTCAAAGACTCAGAGGTGCAGTTCTCGACAACTAATGGCACCGGCAGACTTGGTCGCGCTAACAGGTAATGATGACGGCGACCACGCGTTCGATTACAGCTTCCCTTCTATACGGGTACACAAAGGGCCTGTCCAGAATCATCACAGTGCGAAATGTTAACTGATGAGTAGGTGACCTCAAAAGCATGTCACTAAGCATTTTGGACCGTTCTTCAAGTTCATTCTCAGCCAACCAATTTTTTGATAATCTGTTTGCAACATGCCTGATGCCTGCTCTTTAAAGCCCGTCCGCCATTCAAGGTTGCCTGAGCGTATCATTACATCGCTGACTCGCCAACTCGACCAGATCTGTATTAGCGCTTGTCCCTCTGGTCCGCAAACTACTTTTGGTTCGATCATCGTACGCTCTTCACATTGTTAGGGAGACATTTACAATTTTTCGAACCTACTATGACTTCTCTCGCAAAAAGTGCTGCATTGCAAGAGCATTTTCAAAAATTTATCAATGGTTCTCACATCCTCCATTTCCATCAAGTCGTCGATGCATATGGCCATCTGTCATTTCGACATCCGTTCCAGGCGGACACCTTCGTCATGTCTCTCAACATCGCCCCAGCTCAAGTGTCTTCACCTGAAGATCTAATTGCGTATAATATCGAAGATGCAGAACCCGTAAACCCGAATTGCTCCCAAGGCTTTGCAGAGAGGCGGATCCACTCGGAGATCTATAAGCGGCATCCCGGAGTCAACGCCGTGGTCCACAGCCACTCCGAAGCTGTGGTCCCCTACACCATTTCGGGCGTTCCTCTCAAAGCTGTCAGCCACATGTGCGGGTTTCTCGGACCCAGCGGCTCACCAGTCTTTGACGCTGCGAACCATATGGAGGAAGGCGACGTCCCTGATCTACTAGTACGCACGGAGAAGATGGGGTTTGCGCTGGCAAAGAAATTTGACAATGACAACAAAGTCACGTTGATGCGCGGGCATGGATTTACAGTCGTGGCAGACAGCATTGAGCTGGCCGTGATGCGCGCGGTCTACACGCAGAAGAATGCCAGTATTCAAACCACAGCCTTGATGATCCAGGGGGTGACTAGAACTACAGGCAGTGTGAGGGGTTTGAGCAAAGAAGAATGCGCCGGGTCCGACCAGACTACGAGATGGTCGATGTTGCGACCCTGGCACCTGTGGGTGAAAGAGGTCGAAGAGAATACTTTGTACGTCAACTCCGCGTAGTGGCAGTCGTTTTACTAGGCCTGGGGTTTGGTTCACCCGATGTTTCGGTCAAGGCTCTCATGATAGGAACTATCGCCTTGGTGGCTAGATCCTACAGCGGCTAATTCTTGTTGTTTTGTGAAACTCTTTATTCAGGCTGCCAAGTTCAACTGCTTGTAGAATGTTTTCGAAGAGTGTGTCATGGCATTGCATTTTCCTGGTATGTCATAGCGGACGAACATAGGTCACTCTTGATAAATTGGCAGGACGCCTTTGTCCAGAATATACCAAGTAAGAAGGCCTAGTCCCATATATGAGCTGGGATCGCCACCTATTCAAGTTGGGAACTCTTGGCTGGCATAGCAAAAGCAAAGAGCTACAAGACACAACTAGATGGCGCCCGATGTCATGTTTGCTTTGCTACAGATGTCACTGCTTGTGCAATCCATATCCGGAAAGAGGTCAGCATCTACCGAGAGTGATCGATTTGTTTAGTCTGGAGCAGGTGGTTCAGGGGAGATTCCAGTGGGCTGCTGGTGGGCTGCTGATGGCCAAGCATGCAGTCCGAGGCCGCAGCACAAATCGGCATTGACGCAACGGGTCGTTATCTGCTGCATCTGCGGGGTGTGATCTGCGGACTGGCCTCAAAACCGCATTTCCGGCCCACAGCCGTCATGGGGTCGGAGTATTTCCTTAGCTTAACACTGCCGATTTGGGTTTAGCGGGCTGATAAGCCTCTTCATTGCTCGTAGCAGTGGGCTTAACACATATTGCAAGAAACCAATAGTGCTCCCGATCGACAACTTGATAAGAAGAGTATGTCACTGCTTACCATCTATCTCGCCATCTATCTCGCCATCTATCTCGTTATCATCGGTGCGACAGCGGGATGTGGAAGTGAAACCGCCCACAGATGACATAAAGAAGCCAAAGGCGGCTCCTTTTTCGTAAACGGCACTTAAGCTTCAACATTGAGGTTCTGACCCTGTCGCGCGCCACACTGCCGCAATCGCCATGGCTGGAACAGTGGACGGCCAAGATGGCCACCTGCAGAAGCGATTCTCCAAACTAACCATGATTGGCATGGCCTTTGCCATTCTGAAGTAGGTTACCCCAACCTTCTGAAAGAGGCCGCTACTGACCTTTGAAGTACATGGATTTCTCTGGCTGGGTCCATTGGTCTTGTCATGCCATCAGGAGGCTCAGTTTCTTTCGTCTACGGCTTCATCTTCTGCGTTCTTTGCAATATCTGTCTTAGTGCCAGTGTTGGAGAGCTCGCGTCTCTCTATCCGACAGCCGGAGGGCAGTACCATTATGCTTATGCATTGTCAACTCAGAAATGGAGGAAGATGACGGTAGGCCCAATGCTCCTTGTTTGATTCGGCCAATTGTACTGATAGGACCCAGAGCTTTTTCGTGGGATGGGTCAATATTGCTGGATGGCTCACTCTCAACACGACAGCCGCATACTTCGGAGGTAGGTTCCCGCATTGCAAAATTGGTGAAATCAACGGCTAACTCGAATAATAGCACGGTTCCTCGCAGCGGCTGCTGTTGCCGGCTCTGGTGGCGCCTTTCAAATTTCTCAATGGAGCACCTATCTGATTTTCGTCGGAATCTCGATGATTGGCGTCTTCTTAAACATATTCGCCTACCCGATTCTGAATCGATGGAATGAAGGAGCTTGCAAGTTAATGCCAGCTCAGCCGCCGCAGATAACATTCACTAACTAATCCCAGTGTATTGGTCCCTGATTAGCGTGGTCGTCATCAGCATTGTGCTGCTCGCAACATCTCCCAAGACGGACGCTGAATTTGTCTTCACCAACTTTTCCAACACGTCTGGTTGGAGTGACGGTACCGCTTGGATGCTTGGGCTTCTCCAATCCGCCCTTAGTTTAATCGGGTTTGTACTCTTTTCGCACTTGAAGCCTCGGATGATACTTACCAATTTGGATTCTATAGTTTCGATGCGGTGGCTCACATGACTGAAGAAATGCCCAATCCGTCTAAGGATGCGCCCATAGCCATGGTTGGCGCCGTGCTTGTTGGTGGCACAACGTAGGTTGAAACCCGAGCTACTTTCTGTCATTTCAGCACTCCTGACACACTTCACAGTGGAATTGCTTTCATCCTCGTCATGCTCTTCTGCGCCGTTGATATCGATGTACTTCTTACTTCGGCCACGGAAAGTCCACTCACGGAAATGATACTACAGGCAACGCAAAGTAAAGCAGCCGCCACTGTTCTTAGCGTTGCAGTGGCCGTGTGCTTCCTCAACGGCGCCACTGGTTGTGTCACATCCGGCAGCCGTCTGGTATGGTCGATGGCTCGAGACAATGGCACACCGTTCTCGAATTAGTATACACTCCCGATCACTAGCAATTAAGTCACACTAGCTAACTCGATATTCTTTAGCTTATCCCATCTCCACCCGAAACTCAATGTGCCTGTTCGTGCCATTGTTGTGCAAGCTATCTTCAATCTCCTATTTGGCCTCCTCTACCTCGGTAAATATTCACCTTGCCTTGCCGAAGCTATAACACTGATGTTCTATAGGCCCTGAGGTGGCTTTCGATGCATACATAGCAAGCTGCACTCTCTTCTTGAACCTCTCTTACGCTATGCCTATTATGATTATTCTCCTCAGAGGGCGACGGATGGTAACAGCCAGTCCACCCGAGTTTAGCCTAGGCCCGGGGTTGTTCGGCTACGCTGTAAACTGGATTTCTGTTCTATTTGTTGGGTTCACCTCTGTTGTGAGTAACCCTAGCTCTCTTCATGAGTCTTGAAGCTTTGCTGATGTGTGCTCGTTTAGTTCTTCTGCTTCCCTCCAGCAATCCCAGTCAACGTCTCTACTATGAGTAGGTGCTTATCTGCAATAAATCCAAATGAGTGACTGATTTTCTCTAGATTACGTTACAGCTGTAGTCGGAATATTTGTCCTCTATGCAGTAGTGTTGTGGTTCGTCAAACAGAAGTCCTACAACGGTCCAAGGTTCGAACTAATCCTTGGAGAGGAACTTCCCGTCGCAAACACTTCCCGGGAGTGTGCTTCAGCAAAAGGGGAAGATTTCTTGCCAAACGAGAAGGATTGAAACCTCGACGAACTGGCCTGGAGTAGTTTGATATTTCTGTAGAGCAGCTACTTCATATTGTGATTGTTGCCAAGCTCGATTTTGAGTCAGCCAGTTCTGTTCTAGTCTCCCATTTGATGTGTTTAGTTGTTGTAAAAGTAGAAAAAAAAAGTAAAAAAGAGAACGGAGGTCAGCAACCTGCTGGTTAGCACAAACATTTTGCTATTGAAGCCTCACAAGTCATGATACCGCAGCTATAGCTGACTGTCAGGGCTAGTGAACTGGAATACTTGCCTACAGCGGTGGTTCGTCACCACTGTGCACAGTCAAGCCTGCAGGAAACATCCCTCATGAACATCCAAATCTGAGAAGTAGACACAACAGATCTAGACCTTGGTACTTTTCTATTATTAAAGTTTCGCCTCTTTCGAATATCCGTAATGCCAATCAACCCGCTTCAAATCCTTTCTTATCTGATAATTCATTTCCGCAATCTCCACCAGCCGCATGTCAACATTTACCAGACGCATTCCCTCCTCGCCATCAGTGAAGCTTCCAGGAACTTTACCCACAATAGGCAAAGCTACCTGACTACAACCAAAGAACCCTTGTTCCGCCGGGCCAGTAGCATTGCAGTAGATGACTGCGGCCGTGTTCTCGAATGCGCGCGTGGTGAGAGTGGTTTCCACAAACATCTTTTCGCAGTTGGCGTTGTATGCAAGTCCTTCTTTACTCATATCTGATAAGCTCCAGTACGAAGGCATGATGATTATCTTGGCCCCTGCGAGGACGAGGTGTCGAAATGCTTCGGGGAAGGCGAGATCCCAGCACACCAAGATGCCGACGGGTCCCAGGGGTGTCTCGAAGACCTGATGCGGTCCAGCGGCGGGCGTGCCCTCGTCAACATTCATTTTGTGGGCATAATCGATACTGGAAGTCAGATGGTTGCGTTCAGGGATCCAGAGATTGGTCTTTGTGTAGGCGCCGAGAAGCTGACCATCGTGGTCGATGAAGTAAGACGTATTGAGAAGAGTCGGCTTGGACTTTGTATCGGGGTTGCCAGGCTGTTGAACATTCGGTGCATGCGAGACAATAGTTCCTGCACATATGTTAATGTGTAGTTCTGCTGCTAATTGCTGGTATTGCTTCTGAAAGCGACAAGCATCCTCGGCGCTCAGGGCGAACGACGGCTCATCCGGCATCCATCCTGTCAAATGGTATTCGGGTAGGACGGCCAGTGATGCTCCTTGTGTTGCTGCCAGGCGGATCTGCTTTGATGCATGCGCAAAGTTATGTTCCGCATCAAGAACCTGTTCAGACAACGACCACGAGTCAGCGTAGAATTCTCACTATGGCGTAGTGATGGGGGTCATTTGGAAGCTCACTTTGGGACATGTTTGTATCAGTGCAACCTTGAAAGTCTCTTTTCCCGTAGTGCCTGCCATGGTATAGAAAAAGGGCCAAACTTGTTGGTTCCTACCGGTTTCCCGGCTGCGGCATGGCTTAATGCTTCCAGCAATTGCTATCGAAAGTGGGTTGACCAAATGATCGAAGTCATCGTTTGCTCATCGATACCCTTTTCGGCAAAATCATCCGTCGCCTCTAAGGGCCCAGTTTGGTTACCAGATGGAGCTCGCTGGGTCATGCAGGCCCCCATGGACACCCCACCTCTGATAAGCCCTGTGTTCCCACCGCATCCCGGCGCGAGTCATTTCCGTTGCTTCGACGCAAGTCCGTTAACTACGCCTGCATCCAAAGTCCTGAATAGTTTCCTCGCTCAGCTTATTGCTATCGGGTGAGAGCACAGTGACCAACCACAGTCTCGCTGAGTTAATCCGTAAATTTCTTCAACCCTGTTACGGCCTTGAAGGACTACTCTCAAGGGTCCAATGCTGCCGTCAAAACGTAAAACCATTACCAGGTCCCGAAATGGATGTGCTGTCTGCAAATCGAAAAGGGTGCGATATTATTACTGCCAGCAATAGCTAGTCCCGATGAATGCTGCTGACTGCTTGGATCAACAGCTCAAATGCGATGAAGCAAAGCCTTTCTGCTCCCGTTGCCAAAGGCTTGGAATTTCATGTCCTGGGTATCAGAAGCCATTGAAATGGACTGCGTCCTCAAGACCGCCCCGGGGCGGTCTCACATCCCCAGGAAGCAATGAGTCTGGAAGCGTTCATCGGTCGTCAGGAAAGCCTCTCAGTGGATCTCATATACATGATCAACTCAGCAAAGAAACTTGCGATATGGATTTCTTCCATCGGTTCACAGATATGTACACGCCCGGGAGCATCGAATTCGAAGACACGAGCGGCATAGAATCGCTGTTTCCAATGCCGGATGTGTTTATCGAAACAGACCATACTACACCTTCCGCTGCCTCTGAAACGATCTCGTCCTTCCATTTTCGTGGAACAAATACGAACGGTGTGTGGCCAGGAAGCATTCCAGACAGCGCAGGGACTACTGCTAGCATGGTTGGGAGATTCGCACCGCCGGCTTCGTCTTCGCCATCCCGATACGAGACGCCACTTTCACCTTGTTTGCAAGACAACTCTTCAGTATTGGTGGAATACTACTTCAAGGAAGTGTGCGGAATGATGTCTTGCTACGACAGCAAGTTGAATCCCTACAGGACAACCATTTCAGATCTCTGGGGCGATTCACCCTCTCTGTACTATGTCACCCAGAGCATGGCAGCAGCTTGCCTCTCTGAGGTCTCTCCGGGCTTCAGTGCAGCCAGCAGCCGACTTCGGGACCAAGCGGTCAGTTACCCATGGAACGAAAGCAAAGTTGGCCCAACAGATACATCTTCTCTGATGGCTTTGGTCATGCTTGGCTTCAGCCTCTGTTGGCACGACGCTAGTCAGCTCGGGCAGTCTGAGTTTGAACTTCTTGCTAAGATAGTTGCCCACCTCGACAATCAGTACCGCAATTTTACCCCGGTCGAACGGCAGAAGAGCTTTTTCTTCTACAATTCTCTTGTGTACTGGAAGATGTTACTGTCCTTCGTCACCGACAAAGAATTGCCCTCTTTGGGCACCACTCAGGTAGTTCAACCACAGCCAGACCTTGTACCAACTCAAGGACACGAAGTGATGCCGCACCCACAGACAGGCATTGGTTGCGAGGTCCTAGAACTTGTCGCTCAGGTTGGCGCTCTTGTTAGGAGGGAGCGTAGACGCATTCGCCGACGGCAGCATTCATCGAAAGATGATATTGAACAGTCTATGAATGCAATCCGAAGCGCAGAACAGCTTCACGCCAAGTTATGCGAAACTGAACTCCCAAGAGAAATAGCAGTTGTTGACTCGGGCGATGATATGACACCGGCAAATCACCTACTGAAAACAGCGGAGGCTTATAGATGTACTGGGCTACTGCAACTCTACCGTAACTTCCCCGACCTTCTTTCGCATAAAACATTGCCTTCTAATCTCAGCAATCCGCCAACTTGGATAGATGCTGCTGGAGACGCCGATTGCAATCCCCATCCCCAAGAAGATTCCGGCGTCATCCTGGACACGTGGTTGACAAGTCTCGCTCTTCACGTGCTCGATCTTGTGCAGGATATTCCGATTTCTTCACGGTCTCGGTCTATTCAGCCGCTCATCCTTGTTAGCATTTGCAGCGAGTTGTCACTGTGTCGCACGTTCGCACCAGCGTCATTCATGAAAGAGACCTCCGTAGCTAGCATCGGCTCCAGCCCAAGAACGAAGGCATCGCCAACAATCACCGATATCCTACACGCGAGACGACTCATAGCCTCACGACTCTCGTCTTTTGAGGGCATCTTGGCTGCTAAGCCAATACGACAAATGCTGAACCTTGTGAAAGAGACTTGGGCTTGTATGGATAGTCGGCATGAGGATGCATATTGGATAGACGTTATGATGGATGAGGGATACGAAACCTTGATGGGCTGACAGTTATCAGATGTGATTGTAAGCTTGTCATTGTTGACGGTAACGAGCGCTTTGTAATAGGTCTGCAGTTGCACATAGGGCCAGGATCAACTTAGTGCGTTAGACGGAGACATTTATTTACTCAGGTCAAAGTAGACTAGATCTTTTCGGTTGGCCCTCTGGTATTTTGCATTAGATTAGCAGATGTGGAGCTTGGGTTATATCCCATGGTTAGCAAACGAGAGCAAGCCAGCAGCACCAACAGCACCGTGACGTTTTAAGACTCAAGCTCGTCAATATCCACAATGATAGTGCTGATCTATTAGGCCACAAAACTCAGAACAAAGGGAACCCGTTTTTGGGCTAAGTAACAACGCTAACCTATATCTGAGCGAATATGGCCTTTCCCTGACGGCCCCATCAACGTGTAGTAGCTAAGGTTTCGATCCTAAAAATCGGCAGCAGAGTATATGGTTTAGGAGCAACCCTCTTGGCGTGATTGCTCCTCCTACTACTAATTTTTCGGAAAGACACAGCGCATGCGTGGGCTGTACGTTTTAAGATCCATCCCAGCTAGGCAACCGATACTCTTGTCATAGATTGGATCCTTGGAACAGTTGAACTCGGTGACTCCTTCGTAGCTAAACGTGCCGTAACCCGTCTTTTTGGCCTTATACTTGCACTTCTTCCGTCCGAAAGCTTCTTTTCCATTCCTGGTCTCAAAGCTTGGCGGCCATGAGCGACTATCGAACATTGTTGTAAGTCTCCATCCTATCTGCTTCACCTCGCAATGTTTGATGAAGCTATCATTTTGCACCGGGAGCATAACCCACATCTCACCCGATGCCGGTGTCTCGATTCCGGCCGCTAGAGTTTCTTCATGCATGATGTAGAGGGCCTCTGATTTCTGTGGCTCTACAAGCTTTGGTGGACCTTTGGGCAGCAGTACTGATGGTTCAGGTGTTGCGACCGCTGTCACTAAGACAGTTGACGTGACTATTGCAACTGTCTTCATCACTGACTTTTGGACCGAAGCTGTGATTGTAACTCGCTTTACACTGGGCGTTGAAGACGTAACTGACGTTGACGAGATGACCGGCGATAGTAATGGACCACCGACATAGATCGTGGTAAATATGGACCGCGTTGTCTGAGTGCGTGACTGTGATGGAGAAGCTTCTGAAGACGGCGTTTCAGTTGCGGATGTTTTGTTCATTTTGCCAATTGAGGTCGTACGAATAGCAGTGGACGTTGTGTTCAACGTAGCCAGGTCTGAAGTCGAAGCTGTCGAGTTCTTCCCAGTAGTAGGACCCGCTGTCCTATTCGATGACCACGAAGTCGTTGGAAGCAGTTCTACTGTGCTCATGCCTCTCGGGGTTGTAGTGTTAATGTCGCCCCATGTTACAGAAGCCGTAGTCCCGTTTGAAGATGGCAACGATGTCGGAAACATCCATGTTCTGCCGCCGCTACCGCTGAAGTCTGTTGCCAACGACTTGTTCCACGGAGACGGAGCCTTTGTCCCGTTGAGAGATAATGAATTGGTTGGAAGTGGCTGCGTTCCACCCACACCGGCCCCCGGAGTTGTAGGCACGTGAGGTATCCCTTGTCCGATTGAATGCGACGATGGAGGCGACCCCGAACTGATATGGCCGGCATTAGAGGCCGGCCCGCTCCTCATCGGGCATGCTTGTCTGCGGGCTGCTATGGCTGCATCCGAATCAGGTAAGTCGGAAAAGATTTGATCTTCTTGTGGCGTCCATTCTTGCATATACTTTGAATTGGGGAAGCGGTCCCCTTGCAAGGGCAATGCATCGACCCACCAGCGCATCGCAGCCTTGTCATTGCACGTCTTTGCAGGCTGGTACTGGAGCAAGACCTTGCCGCGCGGGGTGTCACGAATCCTGTTCAAGAGGACAACTGACCAAACGGCTTCGCCCAAGTTGCTCTGTTCTCTCGCCATCATCTCTGCGTAAGTGAGCAACTGCGGAGGATAGTCAACGACGACAGTAGCGACGTTGGGCAGTGCCTCGCTAAGGTCGTCGATGATACTCTCGACTCGATCAGCATACAAGAGCTGGCCCTCGTTTATGTTGTAATCGTGTGTTCCAGGCCAGTTGGCCAGTGTGCCATTCGCTTCGAACTCCCATCCTCGCACACGAGGGGTGACTATGAGCACCTGAACAGGTATTAGAGGTCCTTCGTCCGACATTCCGTCATCATCGCTGAATAAGACGCCGAGTTTCCCAAGCTCTGGGTGGTTTCTAAGGTCGTCAATTTCATACTTGGCATATTTGGATACTTCATCCTCTTCTTCGGACCCGAATCTCCACTGGTACAAGGCGTTCTCGAACAGTTCGTCGTCACCCATGGTTGCCTCATAGAACTTACCCATCCACGCACCCCTATGGCTCACGATCAGAACTACTGTGCAACCCGTAAGCCCCTAAATACCTAGTGATTCGACCTTGTCTCCGAATTCGATCCAATTCAACCGGACTGTCACCAAGTTCTCCTCGTCGTCCTGCAACGGGGGGCCATCGAGCACGAGCTTAGGATTGTGGTAGTTTGGCTCTGGAAGTGCGGGTCTCCTGTTACACATATACCTGAACTCTTCCTTCATGAAATGGGAATATCCATTTTCATAGTCGCTTGGATCGACCCATTCTCCATAACGTGGTTCTCCGCGTTTATCAATCTTTGAACCAGCCGGCCCTGGTATCTTCTCCGGCCAAGGTATTTTTGTATCCAGATCAGTTGGATCAGGGGTATCTGCTGGCCTGACTTCCACGATCTGCGGGACAGAGCCACCTGCGGATCTGGGCTCGAATGCTGGGCATGCTCCGTCGCCGCACTCCGGACCGCAGATGGGTATTGAAGGCCTGGGATGAGATGACCGTGTGATGGCCACCGTGATGATCGAGTTGAGAACACTGCAGCCGGTGATGGTGATGTATGCACTACTCAAACATGTGGTGGTCGCAGCTGTACGCGTAGGGGTACCGTCATTAACGCCTATTGATATAGCAAGGTCAGTATTGTTTGTTTCAGGCATAGCATGATTTCCACGGAAGGCCTACTTCTGGTTATTGAACAGAAGACTGTCGGGTGGGTAGCAGTGACAGTGACGGTGCAAGAAGAGGTCGAGGAGGTGGTGGTTGTGGATTTGGTTTTGCTAGACTTTTTGTCTTCATCTTCATTTTCATCATCTTTTTTGTCGTCGTCTTTGTCGTCATCTTCATCATCCTCTTTGTCATCCTTTTTGTCATCATTTTTGTTGTCTTTCTGGCAGTTGCCGATCTTGAGTTCAAAGAGCTGAATACAGAACTGGGGAACGTTGATCTCGATGTTGGGAGGGAATTTGATGTAGCAGCCGAAGCAAATAAGCGGAGGCCCTTTGAATGGGAAAATAACTAAAGCCTGTTAGTACTAGCGGTTGGGATGAGTTTTGAACATTTCGCACGGCATAATACCGCCCATGGTCAGGCAGAGTCCCAGCTTGAGCCCATGCCCAAAACAGCATGAGAGCCATAAGAGGCTTCAATGCCATGTCGATTTCCTGTTTACTTCTCGAACGGTTGATGCGGTACAGACTTGAAGAGCAAAGTATCATCATCAGTTTGCCACACAGGCCCGGATGAACGTGTCTTTGGTTGTGATTAAATGCGGTCGCTGTTTTATATCTTTGGCGTGCCAGCCGCACTTGTACACTCTCGACCATCGTCATGAAGAACTTGTCTCTTCTGCTGCCCAACTTCAGAGCAGCCTCAGGCTATCGTACAGACCAGGCAGTTACAAGCCAAGCTCGTGAAATTGATAATTGATGCAGGGCTTTGGTGCAATCTTTTCCGAACAAGGACCGGCTCCTTTGCTCAGATACGTGAAAACCGTTGTACGAAGGGAAAGAGTACTACCTCCATTCATGGCAAACTGCCTTTCATTTTCTTTGAAAAGGCCGAAGGTGTTGCACAGCTTGTTTGTAGCTTGATTGCCATTAACATCGGTTTGTCCGCACATCATATCTTATTGTTGGGGAGCGTGATGGGCATCCACCGTTTGGGTGTCAGCAGTACTTCCAGACCAGTGCCAGCGTCGACCCCACAACGTAGCATTGCGAGCTTTGAATTATTTTATCACAGGCCTCAACTGGATAAACCGCAGATCGCGTATGTAGAGTGTTGATTGTTGAGGGCGATCGGACCAAGTGGATAGGTTATACTTTACTCGAACTGCACCGGCCACCCTACGAAAAACCACCAGCAAACAAATGTAGGGAAGTGGTATAAAACCAACAGAATCTACCAAGAATCCAGTTTGAATGCTGTAACCTTAAAACATCGGTTAAAAGTGGTTGTCATGTAAATCTCTCTAAGGACACCCTCGTATTCTGCAACTACTTGAAGAAGCTTCTTTCACTAATGGTTGATCATTAACGATACCGCTTCAACCGCTTCACAAAAAGGCTTGAAAAAGCTTGTATGGCTTTCTGCGGCAGAACGATACGACAAAAATTGCTTGATCTTCGCGATGGAGATACCAGCGTAGACAAAACAGGTTTGAGCGATTCGGGCTAAGGCAAAGAACCGTTGACTACCTATTTCAAAGCCAAAGAACAGTGCCTGGTCTGCGATTCTGGTTTTTGGTTTCTCAAAGACACTAAGAGTAACTTGTTATAGCACAAAATCTAGAAAATGTGCGATTTTGGTGATTGCTCAACGCACGTTACTCTAGAGATTTACTATGAAATTTGAAGGTCCATCCAGAACCTTGCCGTCGAGATTTGTGTATATGGTAGTGGAGAGAATGTGCATCTATACGTAATCACAAGTGTGATTTGATGTCGTTAGTTTAAGATCATATTGAGGTGTCCAATGCAGCCCGTCTGTATGTTAAGTATGCCTGTATGTCCCACCACGGCTCTCGGGAATGCAGTCGCCCGTTTAGGATACTCATTCCATACAAATAATTCTGTTACGATTACTCTTGTTGGTTCAGAGTAACTTAATTTTCTGCTTGCATCGTGCGTGAATAAATAGCAACTGGTAGACGAAAGAATACTCGTGGGATTTCAACTTCTCTGCTCTCCAGTAATTCCTGGAATAATAGATAGACCAACCGAGCCTACTAAGAAAAACTTCAGGGTTAAAGAGTTGTATTTCTTAGGTTAGTTGTTGCTGCCATCAAACAGGCGTGCATTTTTCCTCCTTCTCAAGCATTCACTGTCCGAGATTAAGGTTGTGCTTCTCATGCTGGCGCAGTTTCGCGATCGGTAAGTCGCATCCAGTGGCAGTAGCATGTGGTCCATCGACTCCGTTTCTTTTTGAGTTTCTCCATAAACTAAGAATACTAGTCAGGGGTGGCATTTAACAGAATTAAAAAGATGACTTACAGATTTCTGAGCAGACGGGCACTAATGTCATGTGCACTGTGCCATCTGCATTGTGTGGAGAGCAGAAGTCAGCACAATCCAATCCAAAGCTGTGTTCTATGGGTAAGGGTAGCTATGCTGGATGGTCCGGACTTCTGCCGACCAAAATCAGCGAAGTATGGCGTCCCCCCGCACCTTTTCATTCCTGTTTTTTCTCTCCAACTCACCCATCACCATCGACTCTCTCAGTCAGTACAAACACAGTGTCAAAACGATAAACTCGCACTCCCACGGGCTTGCACGCCTGTATAAAAGTGTACGAAGATAGATTTTCCCACCGCAGCCGCCATGGAATCGCTACTTTTTGTAAACCAGAGTGTCCCAGGGGCCTATAGCTTCTTTCTTGCAAACAGCAGGAGAGCTTTTGCAACCTCATAAAGTGAAGTCTCTTGTCGTTGCAGCCCCTTTCTTCACCAAAGCCTTCGTCTCTGGAGCAGTCCACCCATCGGTACAGCTTTGTCTAAAGCTCCCAGCCTCCGAAGTGAGCATGGAGCCTAAGTTCAAGCAAGAGATCCAGCAGGTCAGTGGGCAAATGATGGCAGTGGCTTTTCGCAGACTCCCCTCCTCCCCGCGAATAATATGTATTTTGTTACTTTAGAAAGACGCCATTGCGCCATTCTTCTCTCTTCTATTTCGCCTTATCCAGTCTTTCAAACCCCCTTCCCCTTTTTAACCGACAATGTAGTTGGGTCATTGCGCGCTATTGTTTCTCACACCTGTCAGATGATGTACATTGCGGGAGAAACGCAAGATGTCTCCACGCCAACCATTAAGCTGATAGAGGATATCATTCGAGACCAGGTCGTCCAGATGGTATCTCTCCCGAGCAGAACCCTTCTCAAACATTGCGAAGATCTAATGCACAATTAGCTTAGGACGGCAAACGACCTCGCCGCCCGCCGCGGGTCTCGCGTCATGTCTAACAACGACATCATTTTCCAAGTCAGACACGATGTCGCTCGTGTTGAGCGTCTCCGCACGTTCCTGACCTGGAAAGCAATTAGAAAAACCGTCAAAGACTCGGACGACAAAGAAAGCCTCGTCGATGAAGCCGAAATGGATGATGGTGTCGTCGCCGGTCCGGCGGATGACGCACAAGCCAACAGGGTCAAGTTCCCCACCGTCTCGTTCCCGTGGGAGGTATCATCCTTCTTCTCTGAAAACGTGGCCGAAGCTAGTCAGGATGATCTCATGAACATCACCAGCAGCGAAGCCGCGCTGGAGAAACTGCGCAAGAACGACGAGCGGACCCGCGACATGACCGTTGCCGAGTACGCCACTTGGTCGGAGTACCGCCACGCATCATTGACGTATCGCAAGGCGAAGCGGTTCAGAGAGTGGTGCGGGCTGGGCGTCATTGTGGAAAACAAGCCCAACGATGATGTGATGGATATCCTAGGCTTCTTGACCAGTGAGATGGTACAGAATCTAACAGCCGAGGCGCTAAAGGTACAAGAGCAAGAGGTAGTCTGCGGCGGGAAGGGATCCACGACTGGCTTTGAGATGGGCCAGCAGAGTAAAACGGTGCTGTTTTCTGAACTCGAAGGGATTAGGAAGGCTATTGACGAGAAGCATGTTCGCACGGCGTTTCAGCGGCTGCAACAACGACCAAAGAAGCGGCGGGCTTTGTTGAATGGTGCGAGACCTTGCCCATCCTTCTCTTTACTCTAACTCTTGTACGTATTCAAGAATAACATTAATCAGAGGTTAGCTTGGTCAGCTACATCGAAGTGCCTTCATTCGCCCATAGATATTATGTTGGCCTCCGAAGCCCGCCAAGGTTGCATATGCTATAAATGTGCAAACAACGGCGCGGTCTAGACTTTGTTTGGCCAACATTACATGTAACGACGCCCATTAACCACAAACTACTTTTTTGTAAAAATAAAGTTGTAGAGAGCGACTAGTAATATCACGACAGCATTAAGAAAACAAAAGTCAATATTGTTATACACCGTTTGTGCTATACGCCATACACCTCACTTAGTACGTACAGGCCTAGTCTGACGGGTAAACACCGGTGTAGCGAATGGAAGCTGTCGATGGATTTTCATGAGAAGATTAAACGCTGCAACAGGAAGCCAATAACAGAAAAAGTGATGGATGATTACGGCCTTTGATCTTTTTATTTTGTTACGACTGCGTAACAGGCACAAGCACTAGGCACGGCGGTGATGAAATGCGTTACAAGGATGGCATGCCGAAGAAGTCATGAATGAAGGAGCTTTGACCTGTCATTATCCACCCTTGCAACCGGCGTCAGAACTAGGGACAGCAGGTGCTCAGTGCGACGCGGCAGGAAAGATTTTATCTCTAGTCGCCTCGTCTTTGAAAACTTCCTCTTTTCCCCCTTTGCAACATCGAGAGGCTTTAGAGCTTGTACCGTTCATTCGATTCCCTTTCTCATTTTCCCATCTACTACAGTCTCAATGATTGTGTTATCCGCCGCCTGCGGGCGACCCAGTAAAGGCTGGCAGGGGATGCTGTAGCTTGTCGTGTTTTGGTACATAGCTGGAGTATGTGGTTTGGATCCTAACAACCAGTCACTAGTCAAGGTGCCAGAGTGGTTAATGGGCTGCCCTGCTATCAAACCTTGATTCCAGATTAGGCAGTGGCTTCGGTCGCGCAGGTTCGAATCCTGTCCTTGACGCAGAATCTTTTTGCATCTTTTCGTAGCTTCTAGGTTCTTTCCTGACGAGTTGGTGGTGCTGTATGTTGTCTCTGACCGAACTTGTCTGATGTGAAGTGAGTACCTAATCGTTGATGGAGGGTCGGTCGATGGATGTTGCTGTATGCCGGGTCGACCTAGGTCAAGGTCTGTGTGGACGGACGGACAGACGGACCCACGTATCGAGGGGAGGAAGCAAGGAATGTACCTGATCAGACCTTAGAGCAGCTATGTACCCGATAGTACTTACCGTACTGACTGGAAAGGGTCGGAAGACAGTAATTAATCACCACATCGCATCGGATGCCGGGCAGCAGCTCCCCCCACCGCCGCCCGCTCCCGAAGCTTCCCCTCCGATATGACCCCGCGGCGTCACATGACGATGACGTGAAGGTCTCAAAAGGTCGGGTTCCTCCTGATGATATCACAAAGCAGCTCTCTCTGCATTTTTGAAATTATCGCTTTTTAGGTCACCCGTTCTCTTGTACGCAATCGGACCTACCTCTTTCTCAATCAATCCGAGTCGAAACACAGTCCCATACCATCTCAAACCAGGACACAGGCAGGCAGGAGAGAGGGGTCACGATGGCATCCGCACAGCAGGTCACACTCCCCGACGGACGGGTTCTCTCATACGACCTGTCGGGCCCGGACTCGAAGCCCATCGTCCTGCTAGCCAATTCTCTCTCGGCGCCGTTCACGCTTTGGGACCGCGTCGTCAAGGTTCTCCACGACAACGGCTTCCGCACGCTGCGCTTTGACCAGCCCGGCCACGGCAAGTCGTCGGCGCCCAACGCCCTCGATACCGAGTTCGAGACGATAGCCGACGACGTGCACTTCCTCGTCAAATCGCTCAAGATCGACAAGCTCTTTGCGTGGGTCGGCGTTTCGATGGGCGCGGCGACGAGCCTCTACTTTGTCACAAAGTACCCCGGCATCGTGCACAAGGTAGCCATCTGCGACACCATCAGCTCGTCGCCGAAGGTGGCCGGCGTCGAGGACGCGTTTGGTCCGCGGGCCAAGGCGGCGGGCGAGGCCGGCAACATGCGGGAACAGGTCGAGCAGACAATGGAACGCTGGTTCGGCGCCGACTGGATCAGGGCCAACCAGGAAGAGGCGAGCCGCGCACGCGCCATCATGAACCAGACCACGGTCGAGGGCTTTCAGACGTGCTGCCATGCGCTGCAGAGCGACAAGTTCGATATCCGCCCGCTATACGAGAGGGTAGGCTCGGGAGTCGACGAGGCATTGCTGGTAGTGGGTGAAAAGGACGCGAACTTGCCGCAGGCCATGAACGAGATGCGAGACAAGGTCGAGACGGGGTTCAAGGCGGCGGGCAAGGACAACAAGGTTGAGCTCAAGGTGATTGCGAACGCGGGCCACGTTCCGTTTGTCGACAACTTTGAGCAGTTCAAGCAGGTGATCCTAGACTATCTCAAGGCTTGATTGCACCAGCCTGATTGCAATTGACCAGTAGTGGGAAATTTCAAACAAACCAATCCTTACTTCATCAGGGCATTGGAGGTTGGATGCCGTGAAGCTACCACTGTCGGCTTCCGTTCCCAGCCTCTGGTGGCTTTCGTGAGATGGATGCAACAGAAAGGGGGCAGCCCTGGAGCACAAAGAAGAGGGTAACGGAGGCTCGGTGAGAGAACCAATCAAGACACCCGAGAGCTCCGTATCGTTGGACCGTGCTACTCACCTTGGTCTTCACCGAAGTCACCGATGTCCATTTACGGATAAGCGCCAACCCAGCCTGCCCACAACCAGCCTTCTGTTTTTTTCCGCGCGTTTTCCCCATCCAGGCCAGCTCCCCGTTCCAGGTCCCTCCCCCCAGCCCCAGCCGCCCAGTCCAACCCAGTCCAACCCAGTCCGGCCCAGTCCAGTCACTGATTGCACCTGTGCTTTTCAGGTGCCGATGCTGGTCCATGTGCTCGTGCTTTGGGCCGCTGCTCCGTTTATCTTGCTCCCACAGCAACCGCCCGTCAACCATCGCCATCACACACACATACACCCACGCACACACACACGCACACAACCACCGCATCCTCTTCCCCGGCCCGTCCGCTTCCAAACCCGTGCGGCAGACAAAGCCGTCGAGCACGGAGATAGAGAGGTCTTTGCTCTTCTTCCCCCTTTTTTCTCTCTCTCTACCCGCCCCCCCCCCCTCGGTTCTCTATATCTCTACCTCCAATCCGACGCTTCTCGGCTCGCTCGCTCTCTGTCTGCATCACCGCCGGGCTCTCCCAACCAATCCACGTTGCCTCGTTCCCACCGCTGACGTGGTGCTCAACGCGACTCTTGTCTCCGCACCCATCCACGTCCGACTCCGAACCGTCATTTATCACACCCGAGTCGCACATACCCCGCGCTCCGTTGGCTACCTACAATTGACGACACTTTCCCATCTCCCACCGCATTCTAGCTTCCACATAGTCGCTCGTTGTTTCCGCATTCCTCCCCCCACCATGGCTGCCGACTCCGATGCTGGTGCCCAGCAGCCCAACGGCACCCCGACCGAAACCCGCTCTGTCGCCGACGAGCCCACGACACCCCAGGACAACGACATTCTCGCATTGAACTCGTCGCAAGTGACGCTGCCCTCCACTGAGGTCCCCGCCTCCCCCATCGACCCTAGTCAATCCGTCAAAACAGAGGCCAACGACGACCGGCTGAGCTCCTCCGCCGTCATTGCCTCGTCCTTGACACCGCCTCCTTCCTCGCAAGTTGCTGCCCACGCGGGCAACGGTGCTTTTCAGGCTGCGTACGGCGCTTCGCAACGCTCCGCCCTCTTCTCGCCTCCCGCGACCGGTCTCAACACGACCGTCCGACGCGATGGCGGCCTCGGCACAGATTACCTCCCCCCAGCGCCCCAGCAGGTCCTCGAAGCGACGGCCGACGAACTACGAGCCATGATGCAGGCGAGCATCGCCGAGCACGCCAAGCTGAAGATGGAGGCCGCGCACCACAAGCTGCAGTACAATCTGCTCAGCCTCCAGGCCGACGAGGACGCAAAGAGGGCGGCGGTGGAGCACGAGATGACCCGGCGGGAGATTGAGGCCCTCAGGACAGCCGAATACTCGCGCCACGCCGTCCGCGAGCTCAGCGCCGCCTCGGAATCCGCCCAGATGAAGTACCTCCAGATGAAGATGTGGTACGAGGAGGCCATGGACGAGAACGACGCCCTCACCCGGCGCGTCAAGATGGCCAAGAAGGTCATTTCACAAAAGGAGGAGGAGATTATTGGACTGACGGAGGAGCGCGACATGCTCCTTAACCGCATCCGTGAGAATCGGGAGCACTTCCACATGCTGTGTAGCCCGGGCGGCATCTTCCACGGAGCCATGACGCCCAAGCAGCATACCATCTCAACGCCGCAGCAGGCTCACCGAGCCACCCCCAAGCAGACGCCTCGGTCGGCCAACCGCGAGGCCAGGGTGGACCGCGACCACGGGCCGGAGCCTATTGCGGCTCTGCTGCAGGCTCTCAGCCAGGACAACAACAGCGCGCCCACGACGCCCACGACGGCGGTCAGACCTGCGCCCCGCATGCCGGCAAAGCACACCCGAAACGCCCAGTCTCTGTCTTCCCTGCCGACGACGCCACTCTCGCGTGCACAGCGCCACGAGCAGCAGTCCGGGCTTCTGCCGTCAGTGAATCTGGTGCCCCAGAGCGAGCCTCGGCACAGGTACTCCAACGCTCAAGTGCTGCCCGGCACGCCGCCGCCCGCCATCCAGGAACGTGTTCAGGAGCGCGCCCGCAAGAGCCGTGAGAGCACCATCTCGGCCGACGACAATGAGGAGCTTGCCCGTCAGGCCCTTGAGTCGGTCGCCAAGTCCGCCTCATTTTTGTCTCAGGCGTCGCGTGCATCGCGAAACGGCCGTCGCCCTCTGCCCAACGGCGGCAACGAGGACGAGGAGGAAGTCTACGAGAGCCAGGCCAGCCAGGCGGCTTCGGAGATGCTGCGCCGTGACCCCCGCGAAAGCTTTGAGGTCGCCAGCTCCGTCGGCTCGCGCGACGGTACGCCGGCGCCGGCGGAGAAGAGTGCCAGGCTGCAGGCGAAGCTCTTCTCTGGCATCACCAAGAGCGGCGCGGACAAGCGCAAGTTTAGCAATGGTCACGGTCCCGGGCAAGAAGCGCGGTCGGATATGGTGAGCCCGACCAAGAAGATGCGCGTCGGCGGTCCCATCGGCGATAACCCGAAGGTCGGACTGGGCATCCAGTACGGTTACAGTTAGAGGGGGAAAAAACCCCCGTGGAATAGGAAGAGAGGGTCTCTGTCGCGCCTGCGCGCCTGCGTCAGTTGTAGCCAAAGCCCGTGTGCATCCCCGCCGCGGATGGTTCATCCGGTGAGGTGGCTGGGTTTGAGGGGGGAAGAGAGCGGTGTGTGGGGGATAGCACGGCGCCAGCGGTGTCGTGCCCACAGCCGAGGGGGCACTTTTTTCTTGGTCCCCTTCTTCTCTTCTGCTGCAGTTGCAGGGAATAATTTGACGTGGCATTCATGCATGTGGACTTTTGGGCTGCACATTATGGAGACCAACGGGGGAGAGCGAGGGAAGAAAAAGGGTCGAAGACCAGCACGCATTCGCATGGAGGAGAGAAAATGATACCACTGGGCCGTTGACGACGATAGTCCTGGAGTCGTATGTCTGAGAGAGCGAGAGAAGAGAAGAGGACGAGTTTGTACAATACCTTTTCAACTACACTAACGACCTGGGACGAGGGAAATTTCATGACGGGAGGCCGGCGCGGAACTGCCGCCTCTCTTGGGTTTACACACGCACGCATGCATGCGCATTTGGGTAGAATCAATGACAGGCCGAAACAGACTCTCCAACAGACGAGAGAGGCGAAAAGAGAGGGTCGTGAGGATCCAAGGGTCGACAGGACTTGGGCCCGATCCAGAACCAAAAAACTAAAAATGGGCATTTTTTTCCTCCTGCTGCAGAAACGAATCCACACACACGCGTGCCAACGTCCCAATGTGCCAACACCGATGACTCTCTCTCTCTCTCTCTCTCTCTGTGTGTGTGTGTGTGTGTCTGGCCTGCCTGTATCGTATCGCCTCCCACCTGCCATTTTATCCCGTCCATCCACGCATCCATGCAATCCAGCGCTGCCCATCTCCAGGGGCCCACGCCATCCCTCATTCCCGCCTCTTTTGCATCTCTGGATGGAGGGATGATATCCACTCTCGCACTTCCCGCCCCGTGGTTCCGCAGCCCGTCCGACGCCGCTCTCTCTCTCGTTCCTCGATTCTTCAGAGGTGCAGACACACGCGCATTCGCTCACTCGCTTACTCGCTCACGCACGCACGCACTCGCTCGCTTCACCGCGATCCCATGGTTCAATCACCTCACTCGTCCGTCTCATCATGTCCCAAACCCCGTAACCCCTCCCCCGTCCGTGCCCGCGTCTTCACCGAAGTTTAACTTGACCGCCGATCGGAAATACCTTATTTCTGCACTTCTGCACTTCTGTAGAAAAGAAGGAGGAGAAAGCAGGAGGACAAAAGAACAGGGCCTGCAAGGTTCCATCCGTCCCTTACATGCGCGCACCGCCTCTACATGCTTTTTGGTCTCTGGCCTACATCGCCAGGGCGTCTCCGAAGGGTTTCATCTCAGCTCTAATCGATCATTCCATCCTTTCGCATCGCCCGTCCTAGATCTCCAGGGTTCAAGAGACCGTCGCATCTTCATAGCCCATGCGAATAGTCCAACAATCGCAGTTCTTATCCGTCCCTCGTGCGGCCTTTTCACTCACCGCCGCCCAGCGCCCACTTCCACCCCGCGCCAAGGGATCCAATCCTGCCCTCCCCTTTTCCCCTTGCCGCATTCCGCAATCCCATCATCCCAGTCCACTTGACTTGGCTTCGTTGATCGCGGTCCGCACCACTCGTGGCCACCAACAACCATCATCCTTAATCTCAACTCACAACCCGGCGACAACACACGGCTCCTTGGTACACGCACAGCGCATCGCACAATGAGCCATCTCCCAGCAAGTCCCCGCAAGGGGTCCCCCGTCCTGCTGCCGCGACGCCTTTCCGAAGAGCTCGGTGACTTCTCATTCTCCAGCGATGAGTACGACGATGAGGAACAAGGCGACGAGGAGGATGAGATATACAACGGCATCGAAACCCCAGCCTCATCGCGCAAGTCGTCACATAGCGTAGGCGGCTACTTTGATGAGGTCAACGCCTACAGCCAGCATCGGCAGCTCCAGGACACCACTTCCGAATCGGAACGCACCGAAAAGAAAAACGACAGCCGCCCTTCGACGGCGGTCTCTATGCCCCCTTTCCGCCGCTCATCCACCTGCCCGTACTGCCGGATGACTTCATCTCAAGTGCCGCCGACGAGGTTGTCAAGATCATGCCCGAGCAGGCGGATTTCATGAAGCGCATGGTCGAGGGCTGGAGGGAGATCCAGCGTCGATCGTCGGTAAGCACCATGTCTCTCGCCTCGCCGGCGAGCGCAGTATCGCCGGGTATAGTGACTTCACCCAAACGGCCACACACTGCACCGTCACCACTGTACCCGCCTCAGATGTGTTTCGCCTCTTTCCCGCAGACTGTCCCTGAACGGGATGAGCCGGATAGCCCTACAGAGTCGGCAGGGAGCTTCTCCGGTCTGGTGGAGAAGCTTGAAAGTGTCGAGGAGACGCTCGAGGAGCTGCGAGACCTGGCCAAGCAGCATGCGGGCGCAGCGATTGCGTCGACCTCGGCCAGCATGGCCGAGCAGGATGCCAAGTTTGCCGTCGTGAACAAGTGCATCGACACCATCGGCAGGGTGTGCGAGAGGACGCCGGAGCAGGAGTGGGAAGCGCAAGTCCATAGGGACAAGCTCGACGAAAGATGTGTGCAGGCGCTCGTCCAGATTTGCGAAATGTTTGCGCGCGAAAGTGTTGAGCAGGACCCGTATCGGTTTGGTTCTAGTTTCATGGCCCAGGAGAGTGAGGACGATGATGCCGAATATGAGGGCGAGGATGAGGACGAGCAGGAGAGTGAGAGTGGGCGTGAAAGCGATTACGAGGATGACGACGAGGACGACGAGGAAGAAATCCCCATAGACTCCGATCCAACCGAGTATGAGTCTGGAGACTTCCATGGAGGGTCACCGACAGTCGAAACGGACAAGACTCTTCCCCCTCCATCACCAACCAGGAGATCAATAACGCCCACTCGACCGAAAACCGCGGAACTGAGAATCGAGGGGCCCGATACGCCCCGCAGACGAGCCCGGCTGGTTCGCGAGGCCAAGGCGGAGCTCGAGGCGCTCTTCTCCGAGTGGGCCGAACCCAAGAACTCGTACGAAGAGCGCCATTCCCGTATCGTATACGCCACAGAGGCATATCACCTGCGCCTTGTCGACATGAAGTCAGCCCACGAATGCGAGTTCAAGTGGAAGGACGAGCTCAAAGCCTACGACGAAAAGATGAAGGACAGAGGCTCCTTTGGCCCAAATGTATGGACCGTTATCGACTTGGCGCTGCCCATGGCTCAGTGTTTGCTAAGCTCGGTGCTCCTGGTGGTCTACTTTTTCGGCTTGGACAAGTGGCTGATGGAATCGAAATCCTTCGTTATGTTTCTGGCTGCGTGGTTGGTGAGCGTGATTGTCTTAGCTCGATCTAGGGAATCCAAGGCCAGGGAACAGTTGTATGAGACTATGTTGCCCTTCGAGGCCAGGGAGATGCGGAAGAGGCACGAGCGGGAGTTGGTGCTTTTGAAGGCGGCTCATGATCGCGCTGTTCAACGAGTGTATCTCCCTGAGCAGGAGTCACGGACGTGAAGTGGGTGAAGTGTATACTATTGAAGTGTATTAGTAGGCCTCCCACAAAAGAAAACCAGTCCATTGTTAGGATATCCATCAATTTCCATGCTACGCCAACGTTCATCCTGCGGGACACGTTCGTGCTTTCTATCCCATTCTCGTTCCAATCTCGTAACGTCTACAGCCTGTTGGATCGGCTATTCCCGAGTACTCGTTTGTAGCCGACGGGCTCTTGAAAATGCCTGTACCCAATGAGTGTCGGTCAGCAGCCTGGTTCGGGCAGGACCATTGTCGGGCACATTGTCTACTTCTTCCACGTCCAATTTGGGTAGTCCAGACGAAGGTTCGCATTGCTCCTCGCCAAACTCGAACCAACAAAGGCATAGCCCGTGGCCGATACAAGTCGGACGGCTGAGTTTGGTGGTGCTGATACCAAGCATTCCGATAGAAATCCAGAAAAAAAGGTGTATGGCGCACATCGCAGGTGTGAAGTCCATCCAAGGTAATAATGGGCCGGAACGTGTCGCAAGCGGGGTCGACAAAACTGGCTTCTCCTTCCCTAGACTTATTTCCCCGTGACTCTTTGCGAGTAGCGTGTCTGACTGCGGAAATCTGGTCAGCAGTGTAGAATTTCACCAGGAGCTGCCCCAAAGCATGAATGCTTACCTGCGTCACTGCGGATGCGTCTGTCCTATCGATTGGTTCCTGGCCGTGCTCTGAACGACGAGACGGGCGATAAGTTATGCCGATACAGCTAAGTATGATACCGAGAGGGGCGGGTATAGTGACCAGGTAATAGAAAAGGGTAACAGGGCGGCCTTGGCTGTCGTAAAGTTCTCTAGCCGTGATTTTCTTGATGCCGGGGATTGGCACTGAACGGTGCACAACTTGGGTTGATGGTAATACAGCCTCCTCTTCGCTGGAACCGTCTATCAGAGTGCCGGTCACGACTTGTTCGTGTGCCTAGGCAAGGCTAGTCAACACACGGACAGCTCGGTCAGGAGTATGGGTATGGATAAGAGCTACTTACCTTTGGCTCGAAAGTGTTAGGTCCACTTGGAGGGTCGTGGGCATTTTCTTCCTCGTCTCGTTTTCGCATGCGTCGACAGAGCAAGCAAATATTCATCAACCATGTAATAAGGGCGAAGAAGGCCGTGATACAACCCATTGTTATCGCCGCCAGAACCGCGGGATGTATCTTATCCTTGGACGCCTGCGCAGACATGCTCCCGTCAAGGGCCATGTAGTTAGGGGGTCGTCGTAGGCCTCTTCTTGGTACATGGATGTCGATAATGACATTTGCATGCAGTGACTGCTTGGGTATTTGGAATGAACGCAAGGGAATGGTGGCATCGATTCTGATGGCTAGATATACAAGCTGTCTAGGTGACGGACGTTGATGATGCTGGTTGAGTTGCAGGTGAACGAAGAAGGATAGCAGAAATTTCTGGTGTTTGCTGGTTGCGTCATTGCATTGATAAAGCAGGCGGGATTGGAGATTCCTTGGGCTTTTCCTTCCCTCGAAGTTAACATTGCCGGTCGGTGGTTCCCATCGCGGCAACAACCAACGTTCGTTTCCGTCTTCCTCTTTCCTTCCCACTCCGATACTCTGTTCCTTTCTATTCCTTGCACCGGAAAACAAAGACGCAGCCACAACTCAGGATAACATTCACCAGCTGCCTCCCCAGCTACGAACAGCCCACCCATCCCAAGTCAAGCAAATTCCCTAGGACATCCTGACCTACTCACATACATCCGGCTCAGCCATCAGCTTCTATCACAATGCCGCGAGCTCGTTGACCTCTCACCGAAGAAACGAGTCTGGAAGCCTGAAGTCGGGGTTTAGCTCCCGCATGTGATTTGCCGAGTCCTCCACGATGTCGTAGTCGAAGTGGAAGTCATAAAAGGCTTCTGGGCTTGCTGTCCTCGACGTTAGATGAGACCCATCCTTGCCAACTTTGACAGAATAACTCACTCGGAATCCGGTCAACCGGCACAAACTCGGACGCCGCCTCTTTGATCTTCTCCGCCTCATCTTGCGCTGCGTTACTGAATATTGTCACTGCACTGGCTCGATTCCTACGGATCCGCTCAAAGAGTTCAATCCTCTCCGGAACTTCGGCCCCCGAGGTAACGTTTGACAAACAAACCCCTAGGGCAATACCGTCTTCTATGGCCTGGGCGCCGCCTTGACCTTGGTCTAGGGGCAGTCAGTGGGTTGAGGCAGCTTGGAACGAGGACTCGTTTTGTCTTACGCGGCAGCATTGGATGAGCAGCGTCTCCAATGAGAAGCATCCTGCCTTTCCTCCATGTCGGAATTGGGGCCCTGTACAGTAGTGGCCACTGCTTGACTTCACTCGCCTTGCTGTATGTCTGTCAGACTGTTCGAGGCTTGGGCCATTCTGGAAACGAAGATACTCACCTGAGAAGGGAAAGCACGCTGGGGTGAAAGTCGGAGAAGCATTCAAGGAGAAGAGACTTGTCGACCGATTTATGCCAGTCTGGGATGTAGTTAGCTTCTCTTCCTCCCATTCCAATCCGTTATTCGGAAATTGGCGAGCTCTCCCAGGTCCCGTGGACTGACCTTCTCTACTTGATGACCCAACTTCATTGTGAAATATGCCGATGCAGTTGAGGACCTCGCCGCTATCCCACGTCAGTAAAGGGTCTTGACCAACAGCCAAAATCACACAAACTCTCGACACGGATAAGTTACTATCCTCTTCTCGTTCCCAAGAAACATTCTTACGCCTCCAGCGGCGCCATCGAACAACTCAGCTGTGGTCGGATCAGATAGAACATCCTTCATCGGTAGGAGGAACCGATAGCAAAAGTTGCCTTGCGCCGCGGGGAACGCAGGATTAGGTGATCCCAGGACCGCTTCAACCCCACCGCTGTGAATGCCATCTGCGACAATGACCAGGTCTGCGGAAACGACAGTCCCGTCACGAAGGCTGAACCGAGCTCCATCAGGGTCCTGTGCAGCTTTCATCAGCAACAACGATGTTGCCCAGAAACGCACTGATACCCACGTAGTCCGTGACCTCACTTCTCAATTTGAAAGTGACAGGCGGCCCCCATCATCCGTCGTTGCCATCCGCTTCAACTCCTGGTGCAAGTCGACTCGATGTGCAAAGTACCACGGCGAGCCATACTTGTCCGCGATGGCGCCCAGATTGAGTTCGTGGACCGGCTCCAGGGTATCCCCTTTCACCCGTTGGCTGCCTTTGGCCGGCACGAACCTGGCTCGCACGGGATCCATGCCGAGCGCGAGTAGCGGCCGCGAAGCGTTGGTCTGCACGTTAATCGCAGCGCCAATCTCATTGCTCAGTGCTGATTTCTCGTAAATTGTTACGGGGTGGCCTGCTCGTCGAAGCGCGATTGCGGCCGTAAGTCCGGCGATGCCGCCCCCAATGATTGCAATATCGAGCATTTTCCTGAGCAATGCGTACTGCTTGTTTCAGTCCATTCGATAGTAGAGGAAACGTCACACGATGTTAGATATGCGTGTTTGCGAAGCTACGAGTGGTGAATGACCAAAGCCGGGGATAGAGTTGAGAAGACGTAAAGGAGGGGTAAGGAGTCTTGAGCTTGTTGGTGGACGAGCCGCGAACTTTATTGATTGAAATTCGAGCATAGCTATGGAGGTACACCATTGTCTAGTCTACTTACTGACGCTGCAGCTGAGCGATTGTCTCACGGACTAATGATTCTGATCTGCAAGCACCTGCACGCCACTTGCTGCATCAGTTGAGGAGGCGCGTGCTTTGAGGGAAGGGTCTTTCTCACATTCAGTGAAAGTGTGCGGATTAAAATAACCAAAGACTTCTGATGTTGCCATCAACCCAACTGGCCTGGCGCCTGCAAGCTTGACTTTCAGCCAATGTATATGGTTTCTGTCCGTCTCCGATTACTACCTGTGCAGTAGTAGGTATGCCAGAATCATTGGGAGTGGCTAACATTGCGCATCGGACCGGACCAGATGGTGGGGAAGTCCTGGCAGGACCCTGTGACTGGTAGATCGAGCGGGACTTTCCATGCCACAGTAAACTCGTGGGCCAGTAGGTCGGCGAGCGTTTCTCAATGCGGAAAGTTGGTGTTGGTTTTGGGCCGAATGACATTAGTGTGCAACTTTTGTTGGAGAGGCCTGTGGGGGATTATTCAACCCCATCTGGGGCTATCACATGGTCCGTGGATGGCGAAGAGATTTGGTTATTAGTACCCTTAAATTGGTGCAGATCACGGAGACAAGTACATCAGACTCATGTGCTTTCCGAAACCACCATCTTTGATCAGACCTCCTTTTTGATCAGTGGCAAGCGAATAGCCACGCGAGTAAAAATGACAACACTGGATTAATTCAAGGTAATTTGCCTCTGAGATTCGAGGGACGGGTGTACTGACGAAAAGGTGTATGTGACTACAAGCGATTGCCCGGTGTTGGGTTTTCGCGTCTAGCCTATGATCAGTAATCACTTCCCAATGCTCTTCTTAAGGCCAACTTACCATTGTCTTTCTCACTTATCCATGTGCGATGGGATGCGTCCTCTCCTCTCCTTGGATATCAAGGCGCTCGGAAACCGGACAAAGGCTACGTACGTCGTAATCTCTGGCAAGAGAGAGGCTCTGCTGCTTTTATAGCTCTCAAGGTTGTTGAATAAGGAAGCTCGGGGCTCTTGCTCTGTTCAATTTGAAAAGGCATTTTTTGCGCTAGAGTGACTGTTTTGTGAAAGTTTTCAAGCACAATCAATCGCATCTCTGCCCCTGACCTGACACCCGCTTCGGGTGCCTAACACGGTGAAGTCTGACGTCCCCTAGCTCTGTGATGGCTAGCGGATAAGGATCTTAAACTCCGCATCCCTGTGGGTTGCGTACATTTGCCTTTTTGCTAGTCGGCAGCTAGGCTTGAAATTCCGATAACATGAGAAATATTCTGTCGTTAAGAATATCGTGGTTGTGGCATCTCCAAATTGTGTCTGCTGTTTTGCGTCGATCCATTCTCCTAATCTCGGAGTCGGAGTCGGTCTCGGTCTGTCGATGTCACCCAAATCCCCGTGGTGGGAGATTTGTGGTTCATCCAGCTTGATGGGACGTCGCACCGATCTGCAACGGGCCCTACAACAAGCAACCGTCGACTGGCTACCAATGACAAACCCGACTTCGTCTCGACCCTCGTCATCATCACCCCCCACAGTACCAGTGATGCGTTTATGGGGTTCGAGCCGCCAAGACCAGTCCAGTTGACGGCAAGGAACCCCGCGTAAATGGATCTCGTAAACCCTGTAATAGTATGCAGATGATTCGCCGGTCGGAAACTAGCCAAGCGAACCGCCGCAGCATCTAGCTCGAATTCTCATGCACGGAGCACTCGGCACTCCAGTCGGTAGCTATCAATTGCGGAACCGAATGCGAGACCGATCCCCCTTTTACTTGGGAGACGTGAAATAACACAGGAGAAGAAAGCATTGGTTGCCGGCTTCGGACTGCAACAGTCACAGAGATCCACTTAACGGAAAGCAACACCGCTAGCCATGCCGGCAGGCATGGCAACCAGCGACGAGCTCTGAAGCAAAGAAGCTTTCATTGCAGAGAGAGGGGGTTGGGGTCGAGATGGGTCGCTTGACGTACACCATCGGCCAGCAAGATGGCACTTGGGGGAAATCGGCCTAGGATCACGTCCAAACGGGTCCAACCTCTAAGCCGGATGAACCCCACCTTCAAGGCTTAGACGTCCCGTTTTCGTAATCGCTTTCATCTGAAGTTGCATACAAAACCACCTTGATGGAACACTCTTCCCGAGGGTAGGTAGTGTCGAGTTTTTCTCGAAGACCCCATCTGTAAACATCGTCTCTGTGTCGCATCTCGTTACTTCAGAGAATGGGAAAACAAAGATGGCACTTCTATCTTTTGGCTTGGCCAACACGGTTGGCTTGGTAGTCGGTCTCGTAAGTTTAGCCCAGGCCGGCAGTTGAGCAGCTTCTAGAAGACTAGAGCCGACCCCCAATCTAATAAACTTCTCTTGACAGGCGATATTCTATGGCCTTGGCCACGCCTTCTACAACCTCTTTCTCCACCCACTAGCAAAGTTCCCCGGCCCGATATGGATGCGCGTTTCCCGAGCGCCGTTCTGCTACAAGCTACTCACGGGGACTCTCCCCTTCGACATGCTCGAACTGCATAAGAAGTACGGTCCTGTGGTACGCATCGCACCCGACGAGCTGGCCTTCCACGATTCACGAGCATGGAAGGACATCATGGGCCACAAAAGCCAAGGCGGTGCCGAAATGGAGAAGTCAATGAAATTCTATCGCTCTGTTCCCAATGCGCCGTCCGACATTGTCAGCTCTGGTCGGGAGGAGCACGCCAACTTGCGCCGGTCGCTGGCGCATGGTTTCAGCGAGCGCAGTATGCGTGACCAGCAGCCCATGATCAAAAGCTACGTCGATCTACTTATCAAGAGGCTTCACGAGCATGGGGAAAAAGGCGGTAAGGCGTTGGACTTGGCAGCATGGTACAACTATACGACTTTTGATGTTATTGGTGACCTGGCTTTTGGCGAAGCCTTTGGATGCCTTGACGGTTCCGATTACCATCCGTGGGTCAAGTCGATTTTCCAGATGGCGCGTCTGGGTACAGTGCTGCAAACGGGCACTCACTACCCCTTTGTGTTGAAGCTTATGATGGCTATGATTCCCGAAAAGGCGAAGCGCGAGAGAGCACACCATGAAGAGTTCACTGAGGCAAAGCTGAAACGACGCATGGAACTCGGCCAAGACCGACCTGACTTGATCGAAGGCCTTCTCAAGAAGAAGGACGACTGGGTATGTGTCATGGCTTTCTATCCCCAAGATCACGGAGGACTAATAACGGAGCAGGATATGAGCTTTGATAAACTCAAAGCCAACAGCAGTATCCTTATTATTGGCGGATCCGAAACTACAGCGACTTTACTCTCCGGCGCTACATACTACCTGCTCATGAATCAGGACGCTCTCAAGAAATTGACGGATGAGATCCGTTCTACTTTCAAGGAAGAAAGCGAGATCGATTTCCAATCCGTTAGCAACCTGCCCTATCTACTCGCATGTCTAGACGAAGCGCTACGTCTATACCCTCCTGTACCTATAGGACTACCCCGTGTTGTTCCCCAGGGAGGCGCAACTATTGCCGACCACTACGTTCCCGAGGGTGTAAGTTCACATGTACAGACCTGATTGAGGCAAATGACTAACATCAATACCCAGACAACCGTCTCTATCTACCAATGGGCGATGTACCACTCCGAGAAGAATTTTCGCGACCCTTTCGGCTTCCACCCCGAGAGATGGTTACAAGACCCAGCTTATGCCAGCGACAACAAGGAGGCGTTTCAACCATTCCATATCGGACCCCGTAATTGCATTGGCAGAAAGTGAGTTTGAGCGGTTTACTGATATCGCACCTTTGAATGCTGACAGAAGTATGCGCTTAGCTTGGCATACGTTGAAATGCGCCTTATACTCGCCCGTGTCCTCTGGAACTTCGACCTCAAAATCGCCGACGATAGCACCGACTGGGCTCCAAGACAGAAGATATATTTGTTGTGGGAAAAAGGACCTCTTAATGCGTACTTAACGCCGGTACAGCGTTCTTGAATACAGAGGTGGAGGACTGTATTTAACAATGAAGCATCATTTTTGCACACAGGTTACATAGCATCGCAGTTAACCCTCATTGCCCAACATGACTGCCCTGAAGTCAAACTTGATGGTTAGGAGCTGCGTATGAATATTAGATCAGGCTTTTAGTCATTTCTTTGCGCAGATTTATTGTGAATAGATAGACAGAAGATTAGAAGCGCCGATAGAGTGAAGCCCGCAGTGTTGCCGAAGTTCGCGTGTCTCCCCATACATACCCCGCTTTGAGGCTTTTGATGATTGGGTCTGAACTCGACGACAAAGACTGGGCTACAGGCCTGGACGGGGTCGATTACTCACTATACAGATGCAAATGAGAGTGGAATCCCCCAGATATGCTCTTTTCATCTGATTGTTCACCTCTTGGGTAGTTGTGCTGTTGAAAACGATCGCAATTGGGTCGGCCAAAGCAAACCGAGGAGCTATACTAGCGATGCAAGTGAGTTAATCGGAATGAAGACATTTATGGATACGCTTAACTGGTTGCTAAATACCCCTATCAATTAATTTCCTGTGAGGGAGTTGAAGGTACTTGATCTAAACTATCCTTGTGTCTTCTACCCATGTGTCTCTTGTTGATCGAATGTTTTCCCGTTGACCCTCAGTATTTGTTTCTTTTAAACCCATATGATTCCTTCCAACAATCCATCGTTTACAATCGCCTTGCTCCTCTGTTTCGGGCTGTTGCATCTGTCGCAACCTTGTTCAAGGGCTCGGCCTGTCTTGTTGTCAGTGGATACCTGTTCTGGGATGCTTCGCACACCAATCAAAGGGTTGGATGTATAATAGTCATACTCTACCTCTACTCTCAGTCTAAACTGTCTATATGTAAGTGTTTCTCATTCGCAGAGAATAGGGTGTTGTTGTGCCATATTGCCCATCTCGTGGTCACAAGTCTTTTCTTTCGGTCTTTGACGACTAATACAGATTCCTCGTGATTAGTAAAGTATTAACGTACACTCAGTATAGGAGAGAGTAATACCTTGTTGAGCATACCGACATATCATGTCCTGTTCATCCTTGAACTTCACATTGCAACCTCTCAAATGCTTCACTGCTCTTTCCTGCTGCAGTGGATGTCTAGAGAAGGTTGAGCTCTGACAATTTGCGGGACATCGCAGAACAAATAGTGCAATCTCTTCATCCAACACATACGGAAAAACCCAGAGATTCTGTTTCCTAACCTTGTCCGTTTTAATAGCATTGGGCGAAGTCAGATTAAGATCTTGGGACCAGGCCTCAACAATCTCTGACGAAATATGGTGACCAAAGATAACAGGTGTAGAAGCGATCGATGGTGTGGAAATGAGATCTGGAATAGGAGGAGATCCAGTGTCTGAGTGCACGAGAAGCAGACTTTTGTGACGTGATCGACTGTTCCGTTTCGAGTATGTCTTTCCCTGACGAGGTCGCCGGTTGCTACGCTTGGAAGTGGATATGGAACTTTCGCTCAATTCGTCCCAGAAACGACAAGTTAGTATTATGTCGATCTTTCTTCGTTTGAACTTACCTGGACTAATGCCCTGCGATCGGAGTTACTCAGTGTGCAACAGGCCCCAGACTGGGTGCTTCCAGCTGGCATGCCGGACTGCTCATCAGCTTGAATATCACCCATGGCCTCTGAAGATGCCTGATTCTTCGGTTTATATGATATAATCTTATCCCGGCAGACGATGATGAATTGATCGGCTGGTGGGATCGTGTACTCTTCAGGACTCCCAAGGATTTGTTGGGCACACGGCCTCGAATAAGCGTCCGTGAGGATAGTCAATTGATGTGCTCTCAACTCTCGACTTAGATCTTTGTAATGATCAATGCAACCTGAAAGCTGAGTCTCGAGATCTAAAGATGCGGCATTCCATGCTTCCAGATTCGCGTCGAGCAACACTCTGAACTGCTCCAATGCTGGATCAATTGGGCGGAGAGCAGGCAAAACTGACCTAGAGCATTGATCTTCAAGAGTGTTTCCAGACATACTTGTGTCGCGACGGATAGAGCAAGCAGGCACTGCGATTGTGATATATCGGGTAGAACTCACAGGCCGAAAGCCTGTAGCAGAGCTGAGAATCTGGAAAGAATTGAGAAAAGTACGTCTGGGGCAACAGCAAAATAAAGTTAGCAAGTGTTTAATAAAAACATAGAAATCTAAAAGGGTGCCATGCTTTACAACAGAACCGATAAGATCTAGCTGTTTTCCTTATGCTTGGCTGTTGTCAACGATGTCTGTCGAAGATTTGATGAAGGGATTCGTACGTTGCCGGTATCAGGATCGAGCAGTCAGGTCTTGCACAACCCACCGGCTTCCTTAGCTCTCTTCGGTCAAAGTTGTCGAAGGTAGGGTGTGACAGTACCGGTCAGATTCAGGGGTGACGAGGACAGCGCTCGAGATCAAGGTCATCACAAAGAGTGATGTAGAAAGGGCCGTGGGAAAGACTTTGAGGGATGGCAATCTGGGTTTTCCCTGAGCTTGCATGTTTATCATGTCGTCTATATGACTGATATGCAGAAAGGACACACAGCCCCGTGCTTTTTGCGTTTTTTCCGACACACTCGTATGATATTGAGCGCGAACCCTACCTTGCCATACATGTTGGCCGGGGGTAGGATTTATCTTCGAAATTCGCACTGTAGTGGCAGCGAGTCAAGGTACAGAAATCATCTACACAAACAGGGATTATAGTTACAGCCCCTGCAAAGTGGGAATTGAGATGCAACTACAACTGATGCTTGCAGCAGGCAATCATACCACCACACCAGCTGGGTGTGGCACCACCCCGGCCCCCATGATAGTGTGATGACTTCCACTGAACGATAGTCTGTGGCAACGACCACTCAATTTTCAGATTGCACCCATGTTCAGGCAACCCGAGAGACTAAGCGATCCCGGTGACAAAGTCCTTACCCAAGTCAAGGCTGGTTGAGTTTGCGGTGTTCCTCAAGTTAGCACACCAACAGACCACTGCGATTAGCTGCCGGCCAACCCTCCCCAATGTGCAGAAAGACCGCCCTGGTATGATTTCCACATGATCCTCTTCTTCCTCGATGTTTCTGCTTCTACAAACAAGTCATCAATCGTAAAATGTCCAGGGCGTACGTAGACATCAAAGACGTGTAAGTACGGTTTCAGTCTTGGAGCATCTTTTAGGTTGAATCGAAGACAGTCACTAATCATCACTCTTCTGACAGAACACTAGGTATCGACATAGGAAGCACCAGCACAAGGGCTTACCTCCGATGCCCAGCAACGAAAGAAGAGTGGTATGTCGAAAACCCGTCGGATGAACTTATTGTTACGAACGGAGACTTTTCGTCGGCCGGGTACCCTTTCAGATCTAAAGGGCCGGTATACCTTGGAGAACGAGCAGATCCTACTTCACAAGCAGTCTCTTTAAAGTATGCGTTTTACCCACTCGCCGACGCCTCCGATGAACTCCTCGAGCAGTACCATCTGGTGCGGTCTTTGATGGAAAGAAAAAGCGATGCCAAGTTTCTCGACCGGCTCCGTCAAGGCTTGGAAGAGCTGTTGGCGGTTATCAAATGTAGCGTCGACGATATCTGTACAAGACAGAGGATCAAGGTTACGAGAATTGGCCTATCTATCCCATCTCAATGGACGCTGGAATTTGAAGATGTTTACAAAAACATTGTTTCCAGTGTCTTCGGCCATTCACAGAGCAGCATTTTCTTCCATACGGAGACTGAAGCTCTGGCTCACTATCTTCTTGACGAAGGTCTGGATTACCTCCTGCCTGATCAACACTCAGAATACCGCGTCTTTCTCTTTCTTGATCTTGGCGGACACAACATGGTCAGCCTTCTATTTCCTCATGTTCACCTCTCGACCTCCATTTTATAATACAACACGACAACCGTGAAGCGACACTGATTATCGAGCAATAGAACGGATGTATTTTCAACCTTGTGTATGGAAGCGACAACAGTACAAGCTTTTACAGGATAGGGGAACCTTTTGGTACGTGCTGTGCGTCGTTGAAAGCATGCCCACTACTAACGCATCTATCAGGCGCAGGTGGTGGTAGCGAGCACTGGACATTTAACATCGGGCAAAGATGTCTAAGATATGTCGCTGAAACAGTAGACAGTGGAATGATTATGCCACCAGAAGAAAGACAGGAATTGCTCGAGAGTTTTAACCGACAGAAGAACAAACTTGGACCACTCCACGAAGCTTCGCCCTTTCGATTTTCAGGATTGGGGGGCTGGAATATCAAGTTGCCGCCAGAGGAGATCGCAACCTGCTTTGAAGAGGCTCTACACCGAGTATTCAACGTATCAAAATCCCACATTGAAACTGCTTCCAAATTCAAGGTGATTCCGCAAGTGGTGGTGGCTGGGGGCACGTCCAAGCATGCTGCAGTGCAGTCGCAATTGAACAGCATATGCGAGGAGGTCGGTGTTCCTCCACCACACTACGTTCAACGAACAATGGCGTACGGGCAAGTATTCCTTCTCATAGGAGGCTGCGACTCTGCTTTTTGGAATAAGCACTAACTAGAGTTAGCTCGGGAAAGATTGCGAAAGGTGTCGCCTTGGCCGCGAGCAACTGTTTAACGGTGGAACAATTTCTAGCCCGTGGAGCAGGGTTTGGCCGACAAATGAAGCAGAGCGCGAATCGTGGCAACACCAACCCCGATGGACAATGGGATGATATTGCTCCTTTTCTCCTTAGTCAGGTAAGTGAGGGAGTTCGGTGGCTTCCCTTCTGAGTTCGCTAAATGATACCTTCTCCAGCACCGCCGAGAAACGATAAAGTTTAACGCCATGGGCAAGGATGAATTCAAGATCATTTGCGATCCGTTTTTCGAGACGCAGACCGGGGGAAGCAACCTACACTACGATCGATGCTACGATATTCTAGATCTCGGAAAGGCGAAAGCAGGCATCCGAACGCTTGCTCTGTCTTTGGTCAAGAACGACGGAGTGATGTGTCTTGTCATCAAAACCACCAGAGTTTGGTTTGCAGGTGCCAAGAGAGGACGAAAAAGATGTTGCACAAAGCAAAATTCCGACGTTGAGAACGAGGAGAAAGAGTCTCCGCCTCTGCCATTCTATTTCGACGGAGGGACAAATTGCGCGCATCTGGATCTAAAAGGGTTCGACGTTACAACTCTGGGATTTGAACCGACATCCAGCGTGACGGAAAGAAGGGCAACAGAAAGCACCAGAGATTCAATGCAAGCAGCTTCCAACACGACAGTGGCGGTGTTCACTCCACCTATTGGGAATCCTCTTCAAACCCACACCCACGCTGCCGCTGATGCAACCAGCCTGCAAACAGATATTTCTCGTTTTAATCCAGCGGACAACGATGAAGCAATATCTATTACCAGTCATCAGAGAATGAATGGACTGAGACAATCAGAAGTAATACTTTCAGAGCTGCGGCGCCGTCGACGTAAGCCGGAGTGGCGAAGGGGAGAAGGTCCTGTAATCGACCCTTACACCCGCCGAATCTATGCACCAGGGCAGAAGAGCACAATGGTGAAAGTCGAACAGCCCTGTAGATCGGAGATTTAATGAGTAGTAGAGATAGTGTTAATCAAATCGCTTCGAGAAACCATGCATCACGGAGGTAAATTCGTTTCTGGAAGGAGAGGTAAGCCCAGGGAACAAGGGGCCTGGCAGAATGCCAACGAACGGGAAGAATTCCACGAAGAAGCTGGAGAGACTATCCGTTGCGGCAGAATCGGGGTTCTCGTTTGTGTCGCTAAACTAACATGAAAGGCTGTCCGAAACCGAACCACCAACGCCTATGTATGTATGCCATTGCATCGTGTAGAATAAATAAATTGGTTTTCGTAGATAGTCATGAGTCAGTGAGTGGAAAGAAAAATACAAGCGCGTGCAAAGACAGCTATAGGCGCCCACCCTTGTCGCCACCACCCAAATATATCAACTTACCGGGTATAGCGAACTGCAGTTGCCGGAAGCGCTTCCCCGGCCTCCCCTGTATGCTAGAACTCTTAGGTGGAAGTAAAGTACTTCAAAATTTGAGCACAGTGCCAGTAATGACACCCCAATAGGTGGCAGACAGACCTTTGTTGGATTCCCTCTTTCTATCTTGGCACACGACGTGGTATTACATTGGCGTCCGGGGCCCCTGCAGCAAAGGTGGTCGCCCTGGTCCGGCCCAACCAACAAACACTATAACCAACAGACGTCGAAAACTGGGAAACAGCAGGACGAACTCCGTAAGATTAGCGTAAAGCCTGTTACTTGTCTAAGGGATCAGCACAGCATGAGACCCCACACGCCCCCAAGCTTCATATCAGTTCTCTTATGAACTTGACTCACTAAGTCAATTCGCCGTACAATCTGCAATTTTCAAGAATCAGGCTGACGTACACCAACAACTGTTACAGGCACCATGAACTCCATCATTTGGTGCTTCAACTCTAACGAAAAGAATCTCACAAACAGTGTAGTCTATGCCGAGCCTCTGTAGACAATACAGGCACGGTCACATTAGCCAGGGCTGACTAGCGCCGACTTCGCCGGTCACAGTCCCTTTCATCTGGTTGAAGCTTGGCTGGTCTCCACCTCTATGCACCAACCTTGTCCCGGATGCTCCTTCCGGCACATCGACCCTCAGCATTGGTGTTATGTCGAGGAGAGCATGGCTTCGTCACTCAATGTAAGGGGCTGTTGCCTAGAATGGCCTCTCTTCTTGACCAATCGCACTGCGCATGGTATAATCCAATTCTCATGATGGCGTGGCCTGCCCCCCTTTTGTGAACGTTGGCCTGGAAATGCATGTCTCAGTTCACTACACCATGTGTGGGTGGTCTCGCCATAGAATCTTTTGGATGGTAAGATGCCGGACAACCCAGAACGTACCCTTGTATGGAAGCAGAAAGGGAAGTAAATCCCCTGAAGACATCTTCGGGTCTGTTCGAAATAATCAAAATTCTGATAAAAAGAAGGAAATGTGCTCAGTGTCAATTACACTCAGTTATTGGTGTAAGAGCCCCTGTCTGCAATGAATGATGATCCATGAGCCACGAACATAATCTAAAACTCTTGTTTCTAGATATTAGGAAATAAACATGAGGACGAGATTGAAAACTGAACTGCGACTTGAGGTGACAAATCCACCAAAGGTGCTATCCAAAAAAAAGAACCCCGTAGGAAAGAGTACCTCCAGCCTTAGGAGAGGGGTGATCTCGTACTCCATTTGGATACCCAGGCTTGTAATGGTGCCGTTGGTTGCTCGAACAGCCTATTCAGCGGGCGTCCAATCAGTGTAACTCTGCAATATAACACACCCACCAGTTATAGTGGCGCATGACACAGGAGACAGGTCAGAACACGAGGACCATGCGTCAGATGTGAGAATTTGTTTGAATGAGAAGAACTGCCCATATGGCTCCTCAAGCAGTCACTACTACTGCTATCAGATAGGGTGTGACGGGCTAACGGAGCCCCTCAAAAGGTGTAGATAATAAGACCGATAAAATCGGATGCACATTCGCTGGGGTTTGTTTGCACTAACTGGAACACGAATTGAAGGTAAAGGCAAATGCGGCAGATCTTTGTATACTTTGAACATCAAGCAGAAGCAGATGTCGTCAAGCATCAACGCTCATTGCCAGCAGGCAAGGGGGTCGTTTAATCCTGCACAGAGTCTTCTCACTCTTTTTTTCTTACTCGGTGGTGGTCTGATGATGAGCGCAGCTAACTGTTGACCCTCCACTCAAAACCTACTGCAAGGCTGCCTGAGGGACGGTGTTCAAAGTCTGGATGCGAAGCTTTTACCACCACTCTAGATCGTCTTTAATGGTGTTCAAGCTGATCGAAAGTAGGCCGAGCAAACACTTCATGAACCAACGCCATCTTTGAGAAGCATACTTTGAATCAACTGAAGTCACGCGCATCTTTGGGGAAACGTAAATTGCACTTTGGATCGAACAAGAAAAGCAAAGGTACCACGCAATGTCAATTGGGGGGGGGGGGGGGGGGTCGTTTCTCTTTTTATTTTGTTTTGATCGCTTAACTATCTTTTTTCCTCCAGCATAGTTAAGACTGATACCGGCACAGCCGGTATTTTCATGAGTATAACCTTTCTCGCTAGGTGGTGTCTTTCCTCGACTGTTATAGCATTGCAAAGTTCCCTATAGCCCCGCGATAGTGCAAGTTTAGAAAAGGTAAACCTACCCGTTCTCAGATTCTACCCAATCCGACCTTTTTGATTATTGCCTGCAGAGTAATTTACGCATACCATTGGATGGAAAGAGTGCATGCCCAGACTACTGTAATCAAGAAATTTCCACCGTGGCTGATGAGGCTCCGTATTTCCACAGATGCCATACCGTCGTTCACCTGTTTCGGTCCATGGCTAGTTGATAATCTCTCGACTGTTTCGCAGAGTGTACGAGAATGTACCAAGTCAATTGACGCTAGCTTCTTTCCCAAGACGGGTAAGGGTGATCAAAACTACCTGTACATATTCTTCACGACGATAGCCTTATAGCCGTTTAGGCGACTACCAATTCTAGCTCTCACAATGCTGCATCCGTCGTTAACGTTATCTTTGTCATTGGTGCTGATGCTATAGACAAATCCAAGCAGGATAAATACCAAGCTCATTAGCAATATTCCATTTTCCCGTTCAATGGCTCTCTAGCCTGAGGCTAAAGTCATGAGAAATGGTGAGAATATGCTGGCCCGATCCGAGTTTAGTGGAATGAAGGCAGCTATTAGGCCATGGCGCGGTATGTAACCCCTCAACATGAGACCAACCACGGTATATTGGCCGGTTAAACCCAGGGTATCGGGGCTGACAATATAAGTCTTTGTTGACTTATTTTAATGCTCTTCAAGGTAATTTGTGGGACTTTTACATTCTGTTTCAACAACGAGGAGCTAGGTCCAACCTTCGCTGAACCAGGATGAATACTCGATGGCGTGCTTACATTCAGCCGGAATCTGGTGGGGACTACCGAAGGCCTTACTCAACTTTGCTTGTATCAGGCTCGTCTCGTTTGCAATGTGATAGTTTACCCGAACGAACATTTTGAATGAACAGAATACTGTTGTGAAGATGTTAAATGTTAGACTACTATCAAATATAACCCTTCCTGGATGTTGCACACGGCTCAACGTGAAATATCTAACTAAACAATAGTTTCTCACTTGTCTTAACAGCCCAAAGCATCACGATCCACCAAAAAGGCCGCCAAACCCGTGGAGCCCAGAGTTCTCACCCCTACTTTGCGCTGCCATTAGTCGTTGCGGCCAAAAATGTTTCTCCGGGCAAAGCGCGAGCTGAGCAGGTCTTCGGGAGCCCGCTTGTTGGCCTGCTGTGGACGCTGGCGTTTAGCGCCTCCGCCACCTCCACCCAGCAGAGCGGCGAAAGCCGCCAGACCCTTGCCCTTACCGCGACCTTTCTTGGCCTTGGCCTTGGCCTTGCCGGCGTTGGGGGCAGCTGGAGCAGGTGCAGCTTTGGGGGGCGCGGCTGGGACAGGTGCAGGTGCGGCTGGGACAGGTGCAGGTACGGCTGGGACAGGTACGGCTGGGGCGGCTGCATCGGCGTTGTTGACGGAGGCTGCGGCAGGGCCAGCTGCCTCCTGGGTAGAGTTGACGAGAAGGTCCTTGACGGCAGAAAGGCCCTGGTCTCCCTGAGTCATGGCTTCCTGGTTCGACTTGACGGCGGCAGGGAAGTCGGCGATGTCCTGTGCGATTTGGGCATTGATGCTTTCAAGCTTGCCAGCGGTGGGGATGTTGTCGGGAGTGTTCTGCTTGGGAGTTATATCGGTCTGCTGGACGGCGAAGCAACCGCCAAAAGGACCTCTTGCGTTGCTGTTGAAGCAGCGGACGGTGCAGACGTCTCCGGTGGAGGCTACAAGTCATGTAAGTTATGGCCCAGAAGTGATAAGAGCATTGGACCGCATAAATTACCTCCTACGCAAGCCATGTCAGCCGGCATCGTAACGCTGAGCCTGATCATTCCGTTTTGTGGCTGGAATTCTTGAACCGCGAGCTTAGTCTGGCCTGTAGCGCCTCCGGAGTTGCTGGTCAAGTCGAGATCGCAGCTGTAGGGACCGGCGCCGTCGGCGCTGACCTGAGCAATGGTAACATCAACGTTTGCACCCGCTGTGACCTGGGTGACGGTCTTGTTGCCAAGTTGGTTCTCGGTTTCCTCGCCAATGTCGATGTTGCCTTGGAGAATGGTTCGGCCGCATTCATTGACGACGTTGGCGACAATTTCCTGCTTGTTGATAATGTTCGCATCAGGCTTGTTCTGGTCGACTGTTGAATTTAAGTGAGCTGGATGCTCGCCTTGCTAAAACTTTTCTGTCTTAAGAGACTTACCAAGCAATCCGGGACTAGCAGGACCGGCAGGGCCTTGTGCCTTCATGATAACGCCTTGGGCATGAGCCATCGCCAACAGGGCGGAGGCCATCAAGGCTCTCATGGGAGAAGACATTGTTGCTGTGCAGGAAAAGAGAGAGAAAGGTAGACTAAGAGATAGAGCACGAGTTAAGTTGGGTCAGTACGCGAAGTGAAGTCTTAATATGTGTCCAGCACCGTCGATAGGAAAGAAACGAGGGAGGCGATGGCCTCTCAAGAATGCAACAGACCGGCTGGAGAGGGGAAACTCAAAGGAAATATCGAATAGAAAAGAAAGTGTGGTGAGCGATGCAGACAGGAAGAGCACAGGGAGGCCAAGCGTTTTACCCAAGGAGTGAGCCGATTAAGTTTTACACATCCTTGCATTGTTTGTTCCGTCTTCCCTCTTTTGCTCTACACCCCTTTGACTATGACAAGAGTAGTTGTTTCTAGGGTAAAGCTTGTTATATAAGATGTGCACGGAGAATAAGTGACCGGGTTTGGGGACAACTACATGTGTAAGCGCATTGATGATACCAATCTAAGGAAGGAGAGCGGGCCACTGGGGCGTACAATAACTTTCAGGAACCATGAACGTTGTGCCTGCGCCCGGAAGCTTATGTGTGCGGCTGGCGCTGTTTCTGCCTCATCCATCCAGATTGGGCGACTCTTCCTGCTTGTTTCCTCTGTGTTCTAACCAATTAAGCAGCGATTTTCTCTGCAGCTCTGACGATCATCCGCAATGAATACCATTGTGTGAGTGGGGATACCTGTGGAGACAAAGGCGTACACAGCTGCCGACTGACCACGTTAAAGATCGATAGACATGTTCCAAGACCGAATCTTCTCCGTGGGACATCCCGCTTCCCTGACCCATGCTTTCGAGCAAACTTAACTTGAGCTGGTCGCAAGTACGTAGAACAATAGGGCGACAACCCCGACACACTGCCAGGATGCACTAACGTGGCAAGATGTCGCCGTAAGTTCAGACGAAGACGGGGCTGCAACGGCGTTTCAGGCCCTCTGGTAAGAGACCACAATGGGTTTTGCTGCTTTATCTACATAATAGAAGGCGGACATTAGATAGTGACCGCAGGCTAGAATCCCCGTCTTAGCTTTGCCACCCAGTCCGGCTGTCTCGCGGCGGCGAGCCTCTGCTAGCAGTTTCGACTCCCGAAGACTTCAGACGGCCCGCATTCTGAGACGACCTCGTAACGCTCAGACATTTCAGTAGCAGGTTTGCTTCTGCTGGCGCTTAGGCCTCGAGTATTCGAGAAGTTGGACGAGAGGTATTTAGGGCCGGAGGTGCTCCACGGTTCTACGAATGGAGAAGGCGATGCGGCCTTTTGAACCTCTGCTATGTTGTTTTCATACTGGAGCTCAACAAAGCTTCTCTTGGTGGGCTGAAATCGATGTCGAGGGTTTCTGTGCAGGAGTAAGACAGACGTCAAGACTCATCACAGCGAACTTGCTTCATGTCCTCATGGCAATATTTGACTGACAACTTTGCAGCATCTTTCAGCGGTCGAAGGTTTTGACACCGAAGTCCGATTTTCGCTCGTGGTCGGCTTCCCTATACATCTATTGATGTAGACGATGCACTCTGTTGCGTCACAATCTATTGCGGAACCGCGCTGCTTTCGGACAAGTAAAAATAGTCTGGTTGATGTGTTTGACAACATCACCTACCTAATTGGGGGTCTAACCCAAGTTTCGCAGTATACTTTATACTCACAACAAAGCCGAGATCCGCACATGGATCATCGCGGTTGACCCACACAGTCCGGAAACAATCTCAATCCCAATTCTGACTAATCTCGTTTCTAAAGTCTGAATAATAGAACTCTGTTGCTATGTTTGCTTGAGTTGGCTTGAGTCGGCTCTACGTCTGTCAGACTACTGAGTTTCCCTCTGTGAATATTGGTGTTCCTCGCATCTTGATTATCAATCGACGGTGGCATCGAATCTGCTGCAACAGTCAGGCTGCAAGTAAGGTGTAAGAGGTTCTGTGAACTCAGGAAGGATGAAGCAGCACAAATTCAGGTGAACTGCACGCCTGTTTTCTTTGCCACAGCACAATACATACTGATCCAGAGCCCACGAAACGGAGTGGAGGTAACAGAATAATCACAATTCGCATATCTCAAGTGTTCCAACTCGGTCGCCGCGGAGTAGACAAGGCCTAATGGACACACAATCCATCAAGGTAGTTTGGTAGATTAGAGCCCAGGCGTCTCTCACCTCTAGAAGATCATTGTTATGCGCAAGTTGGAAAACAAAAATTGTGTTAACGGTGATTATCAGATTATCAGTTAGCGGCTGTTTTCTCAGTTGAGATAATCATCAGGTCATCGGCGTGTCTCTAAAGCAGCTTAGCTGTAGCCACTAGTCACCCTGCTTTATCCTTTCTCAATATCTTTGATGTTAAGGAAAAGCGTTTTTGCACCAGACTCCTGGCCGAAGTGGGTACAGTTGTTGGATTGGGTATATGGGGACTATTGACTCGGTTGTATTACTTGTATGTGTGTGTATGTGTGTGTACGTGTTCGTAAGTATGCGTCGACAGATTCGTCAAGCTTCGAACAAGCCAAGCGGCACAATAGCGGCAAGACTGATTTCGTGAACACAACGCGCCGTGGTCGGAAACCATGTGGTCATGGGTTGGGTTGGTGGATAGTAACGTGAGTAGCCATGCCCGTATAGCGGCTGCTCAGCGCCTCTGATCTGTGAGACACGTTCGGCTGCGAGTCCGAGACAAGTCGTCGTACCTGGATACTTGGACTGGGATTGCACCCTGGGTTTCTGGCAGGCCGTAGCACGGTCATCGTGACCAGAAGAAAGATGGAGATTTGCGTCCTCGAGACGCGACTCGGCTCATTCGAAGGCGGCCCTTAGGCGTGGTATCACTGGTGAACCCTGTATACCGTAATTTTCTGCTCCTCCCGCACAACATAGTCTCGCCGACGTAGTACCTTTACATTTGAGACCTACAGAGAGAATAAGGCAGCTTGTTAGGACAGATGCACATGTTGATCGGCTCAGAGGGGGAATTACTGTTACGATCGAATCTTATTGCAAAGTCGGACGACACGACCGTGTGGGCCGCACCGTATATAAGACGGCACCAACTCGGCTTTAGCAGGGGCCAAGATGCTCCTGTGAGAAGGCCTTCAAACGGAGTGATAGGCTAAAGGGATCTTCAGGCGCGACTCTGGCCGACTGAGTAGCCTTCCAGAAGGAGTGAATCACCTGGAGCCACCTTGCCTAAAAAGTATAAACGCTAGCTTCATGACTCGTTACCATGGAAGGAGCCCAGCATAGGTACCATACTGGCCCAGCTACGGATAGGTCGGCAAAGCCAAATCGGTACCTGCACCCAATCGAGGCAGCCGCCTCAGATCTCAGTGTGCGTGCGGGCAAGCAATTGAAACGGCTGAATATTTTCTGCCCCGTTACCTTCAAAAAATTACCTACGGACAGAAATGAGCGGAAATTTCCATGATAGACCCTGTCTTCCTTTTCGAAACGATACCTGATTTGAAATAAGTTGAACGAAGGATTGTTACCAAATGATGTCTCTATGGGAGTAGAAGTTCCGAATGCTCTTTTATTATTCCTGAGGGAGTCTAGATGAGTCTAGATGCTGCTCTACTTATTGGAACTTCTGAGCTGGGTATATCCATTCTTCCCATTTTTGTCCCCAACTTGCCAGCATATGGGACAGCGTACGCACCGATGCTTAACAAAAAGACGCTTAAGGAGGCGATTCATCGTTGTACCTCGGTACTAAGGCTACGTCATCAATACACGGAGGTAGCCCGTAAACAATTAAATTCGCGTCGGCCGCAGGAAGCCTTGATACACATGATTTCCCATCATAAGAGAAGATAACTAAACCATCACACCAGCGGCGGCAAGAGCCACCAGCTTCGTACCACAGGCCGCAGGGCTCGCCCCAGCCACCAAAGGCGGAAACCTTGAGATTGAAGATTAATAACCAGCCTCAAGATGATGTCAAAGCGTCGATGCAGATATGGCAACGGATTGAATCATTCTTATAGTCTCCTACCTTCTCTCTTGAGGGTCAAATGCACGTGACGTTGAAAGTGCCGTTTTGGTGCTTAGTATTGCCTTGGATTTGCGGAACAATCGCATCGCCTTCAGAGAATTTCTGAGGTTCAAGAACCAACCACAATTTAGTTGAGAATTCAGTCTTGTAATAAACGACGATCGAGGACAAGACTTGGTCACGATGGGCGACACTAAGTGTGTCACGTTCTATAGGTCTTCAATAGGTCAAGTACCTTTACGGGGTAGCATGTGGTAATAACTGTACGGTGAGCTGAGCCTCGGCGCAGCCTCAGCTCACTTCAACCTCTCATTTACTGACCCTGAGCTTGGATAGTCGTGATCAAAGGGTTCACCATGGTCCAGTTGATCTATTAATTTATTACACGGTATCTAGGCTTAGACTTTGTGGTCGTATATAGTATCGCAGCCATTACGTCAGATTAGTCGAACATATCGTCCTCCAGACTATGCCAGCATCTGATGTCATGTTATAGGATAAATCAGCACACAGAAAATTGGCATACTGTAGCTTGGGGTACTATCCTAGGTCTGCAACCGTCATCCAGGGTCCCCAAAACAATTCCTGTTTTGAAGCACCCTTTAACAGGTTATATAAACTATAACTCTAGTATTAGAAGTTGTCATCACCGGAAATCTCGACCCGCAACTAGAACTGCTATCAAGACAATACAGCCGTGGGGCAAAACACAAGCTGAGATATTGGCGCTGGTGTCGGTGCCGCGATGGCATACGCACTTGCCAGATGTGATAAAGTTGTATAGATAGGAAGGTTCTCTCACAACTCCCACAGCTCAGCGATCATTGACTAGGGGCATATCAGGAGAAGTTTCCACTCTATGAGTATCTTAGAAAAGGGTCGTGTTCTAATGGCGTCTCTACCAGATAATGTACATGGGAGCCCTGAATCTTCTGACCAACTTTGACTACGTGAAGACTACATGTAGTGCAGCTTTGGCTTCATGGGTCTATCTCACAGTGTATCCCTATTTAATGCTGATACAAAGTCGAACCGGTAGCCGATTAAACTCAGCAATCCGCGATTTTGATATTGTCGACCGATACCAAAGCATCAACGCTGCTCGTAATGTCAATAAAAGGAAAATTGGAACGGTTTCCAACTGTATCAGCGATACCTGTATCGTTGGAGAAGAAGGGCGAGATATAGAGCGAGTTGCTTATTTGTACTGTAGCCGCCGGGATGCTTCCAGCTGCCAGAGTGTTGTTGTTGGCGACTTGGCCGACATATTTGGCCGTTTTCCAACTATCCTTGGTCGTGAAAACAGTGATAGCGTTGATCCCGTCCTCTGAGCAGAGCAAGACATCACGGCCTGGGTACCGTGCAGGATTCAAGAGTCCATCGCAGCTGACGCCTTTGTAGTCTGATGTAAAACCAGATATTTTGACAGTGCGTGGCTTAGGAGGAGCAGCATTTGTGTCGAAGGTGACAAAAGTGCCAGCACCGGCGTCGGTAACAATAAGCTTGCCGGTTGGGTGAAAGACGAGGCCTTCGTAGAGAGCAGGGTAGTAACTGTTGGCACTGGCAGTGTCGTTGGAGACATACCAGGGCGTTACATCACCGCTCGGCGAGACCTTGGCGATGGCTCTGACGCCAAAGTCAACAGGAACGAACGAGTTGCCGAGATGATCTTCGGCCATATCTTGGAACCCGTTGACAGTCAGATTCAAGGTGTCTTTTATATCCGTGAGGAAGCCAGCCAAGTCGGCTTTGTAGACAACCCGCTTTGTCTTAGTATCGTAACGGATTAAGTAGTTCGGGCCTGTAAGGTTTTGACCGAAAGTCACGAAAGGAGTTCCGCTGTTCGCCGAGATGAAAATGGAGCCTGTTTTCTCGTCGAAGTCGATCCCTGAGATATGGAAAGGATCTGTGTGACTAATCCCGTCGAAGGTGAGAATCTCTTGAGTATTTTTGTATGGGTCGTAAACCAACACGGTGGCATTGAAGTTGGAACTATGAACCTGTTATCAGTATGGCTCTTCGAGCACAAAGAATTGAACCAGAATAATGCTCGTACGCACCCGACATAGAGCTTGCAGTGCTGTGTGTCAAAGTCGAGATTTTCCGGATAAAGCTTGGAATTGTCGATAAAAAAAGTGCTGTTGAACGGAGGACATGCCCCCAGAGCCTTTGTCACCAACAGACTCAGGAGGGAAATGCTAGATAGTGTAAGGTGTAACATTTTTACAGTCTTGCAATGCATACAATACTCATATAGCAACTGACTGTTTTTTCGTTTTTTGTTTTTGGAAAAGATAGATCGGGTGACTTAGTGATGGATGTGAGCGATGCGCAAATCTAGGTTGTTACCACTCTTTTATACGAACTCTTGCCCACTCATTGTAAAGAATCTCTCCACGCTACAAGCAACGCACTAAGCCTTGATAATTACCCCATTATAGGCATTATAGGTAGTAAAGGAGAAATCCCTTGTATAGCTGGGGCAACTAAGTGACAAAACCCCCCTTTTTGCCGCGCGGTAAACATTAGTTCGTGATCGCGCCATGAACTATCTTTTAGAGTTTGAAAATCAATATCCGTATACAACCCCACCGGGGGCTTCAACGGTTAACTAACACGGCGATGGAGTGTGTCAGCGCCCGAGCTTTCCGACATTGCCAATGGACCCCTGTCAAAGCTCACTGACGAAACCCAGGCGACGCTCGTGTAGGTGGAATAGATCCGAAGTAAGTCTGCCGTGTAGCCGCTCCAGTGAAGTGATAAATTTAGAAAAGCCAGTGATATAGCAAGCACTTCTGAAAAGGTCTCGAATCCTGGCCGAATTTTGTAGGCGGGTAAGCGGTTCACAAAAAATAACATTGCTGTAAATTAGGCGCTTGAGAAGAGCTGTGACCTGTTTGCGTGTCAGCACAAGCAGAAATGATTAGTATATTTACTAGGCAAACACTGCATGTGTGCTTTTCAGGTTAAGGTCACCTGCCTCCTCTTCTTCAGTGTTAATATGACCAATATTCCATCGTCGTCTGCAGACTCACAGTTGGTCAATCTCTCCATAGAAGCCACGAGTGTGTCGCAAAGTAGTCAAAAAGGGGTTCGTTTGTAGTGTATGTATCATTCAGTCTACATGCATAAAGCCGATAACAACAATCACCTTACGACATCCGTGGCGTGGTTCTGGTCGAAGTTGACTGTCAACCCCAGAGCGTTTTCTATTACAATATTTTCTTATGTTTTCAAAGGATGATGGCCTCAGGCGCCGAAAAACTTTGGACATGTTGACTCGGATGGAACAAGTAAAGACACTCACCTTAAGCTTTCGTGACTTGAAAATCTGTTCTGGAAGTACACTACATAAGCTAGGTAGTAGCTTCATTAAACGCAACAAAACTCAAACCAACATACCTCTATGGTTTGCCAAGGCACCCGAGTCTAGCAGTCACCGGACGATGTGACGGCGAGGCTCACCTTCATTCTTAGTTCGAGACGCTGAGCGTTTTATACGAGAGACTATGAATATATGCATACTTTGGGTCCGTCAAACGACGTTGTCGTAGCTGTCAGACTTCATGTATAGCTTTGATACGGCTCATGCATTGTTTGTTGAGTATAGAGCGTGGTTCGGCATCGTGGGACAATGGGAACCTCTGATTTGAAAATGAACTGTAAAGTCGGTCAATATTGAAAGCGTACATGATGACCAGGACTTTAGCGGCGCGGTCCGGTGCGTACACAAGCACAAAAACCTAAAAAGCAACACAAAATCCTCACTCAGAGTCTGGCTAGGCCTATCTGATCAGGGCATAAGTCATGATCAGAGCCCTAGTAGGCTGCTAAGTGAGGTGACCGCTCCCAAAAATCCTGTATTATCACGATCAGGCCGTAAATCGTCACGAAAGGTTCTGTGTAGTTCGGCCGAAGATGCAAGGTTGTTGATTGATCAAATCAATCTCGCTCGCCCACGCTCTATCTAGTCCGTAACCCTGGTCAAGCCGGCTTATCTAATCGCAAGAGTGTAGAAGTCAAAGAAAAACAGCCATCACAATGTGGTCCTGATCACCCCACCCCATTCCAATTTCTATTATATCCGGACTTCTAGATGAGTTTTGATCGAAACGTAGTAGTGACAAGCCGACAAACTTGTAAACCATAAGTAGTAGAGCTGTTCGATGCTCTGTCGACTTTCCTTGACGAGAGAATAAGTAGTGGCGCAAAGACGAACGACGCTCTTAGGCACTATCGTTCTCTAAGTCTTGTGTCAGGTGGTTTTGTTCGTTGCTTAGAGACACTTCGCAAAAGGGGCTGAGAAAAGCCGCCCAAGTGGCTCAGAGACCGTCGATATCGTGCCGATTAGCCGAACTCCCACAACCAACAATCAGAGCTGTTAGCCTCTTAGGCTCACTCGTCTGAATTAGGCAGGTGCAATTGCTGCGCCTCAGGAACCATGCAGGGATCCACTGGGTGCAATTGGTTATGTATAAATTTGGTTAACTGCAAATAATTCAACCACCGGTCTCGGTAGACTTCACCTGTGCTGTGGCTAATGTTTCCTTTTTTTCGTGACTATCGTGGAAAGCATAAAAAGTGAAAATGGCACACTCGTACTTGGAGTACGCGCGACTTAAGGCGATCATAACGGCTCTCCGATTCTTTGATGGAGAAAAGCCAGCAACACCAAGCCCGGACGACTCTTTCAAGTACGTTTCCCGTGATAGCAAACGCGAGTTAAAGGTCAATGTTTGTAAGTTGGTCCTAATTTGATATGTTCTCCCGTGTTGCGACACGCATGGAACATGGAAACTAAAAGCCCCAAGACCGCTCCAAGATTGCTTCCAACCCAACCCCAGTCCTGGTGAACTGGAACGGTGGCGCATTCGTGTTTGATGGCCACGGCTCCGACGAGCCATTCTGCCGACACATCGCCGATAAAACGGCGTACGCCGTACTCGACGCTAGCTACGCGTTGGCGCCGGAGTACCCGTTCCCCTCAGCGCTAGAGGACGTGGAAGATCTGGTATTGAAGGTCTTTGAGCAGCCGGCCGAGTACGACGTGAGAAACGTTGTTCTCTCTGGATTCAGCTCGGGCGGAAATCTCGCGCTTGCCGCAGCTGCCAATCTGAAAAAGGAAGCCAAGCTGGGAATCAACTCTGTCCGAGGAGTCTCAGTCTTCTACCCGCCTACTAACATGGCGATTCCTCCCGCCGAAAAAAGGCATTTGGACGGATCTCTACCTGATATCCCCGCACTGCTCGGAGTCCTCATGAACACTTTTAGGTCTGCGTATCTGCCGCCTGGAGTAGACCCCGTCGACCCCCGCATCTCCGTCCTCGAAGCGGATCCGGTTGCGTTCCCCGAGAATATTCTGATCATCGCTGCCGAGAAGGATAGACTTGCACCGGAAGCCCGAGAACTGGCTGGCAAATTGGAGCATGCTGGTAAGAATGTTTTATTTAAGATTTTCGACGGCGTTAGGCATGGTTGGGATAAGACGAAGGATGAAGCTTCCAACGAAGCGAGAGTGCGAGATGAAGCTTACAGCTTAGTGGTCAACTTCTTGTCGTCGATGGTGGGCGTTGAAGATCCTGATAAAAGAACATAACTCTAGCTCATTCTGAGCAACACGCACAATGTTAGCTGGCTGTCCATCCACATTACTTACTTTCAGACTGTTCAGAGTGATGCACTATCGATCCAAAGATGTGGACCTAATGCAAGCAGGGGGTCCAACCTCGGCCATTACTAGCCTGGATAACAGCTATAAAATGAGCAATATCAACCAGGGCGGATAGGGAAGTATGATTTGGCAGCTTTTCGTCACCTTGTTGTCAGACCAACATTGTGCTCGCTGCATCCATCTTACTGTTTAATGTGCTTGATTGCACTCTGCCTTGCTAATACAATTCAAATATTCTTGGCCCGCTGACTTCCTACAGATGGGTGGATGCCTAAACTAAAATATCCATGACGAGGTGCGTAGTAAGCTAGCTTATGGAAAGCATGTGTCTGGACCTAGAGTACATTTAAATGTACACCATAACTTTGACTTGGAACTTGCACAACACGTTCGGCTTCTCAGATTCAGCACTGCGATCTTAACCTCCCCAAGGACCGCAAAACGCAAGTATGCCTTACCACAGTCTTCAACCCTCACCAATCACTCAATCACCCAAGCATCTGAGCCTTGTCTGACGATACAGGGGTCAAAGGGTGGGCTGCATTTTGTAACCATCCCAAGGACCTCGAGAGCTACCACCGCATCACGCCGCAATCAACACACAACGAGAACCCAAGCAATGCACTTGCACTTCTCCTGTTTTTCCCGGCAGCCCAATGTCTCTGCCATCTTCGTCCTTTGTGGTTGTCTCCCATTTCTAGGCAGTTCCTCGCCATTTTCAAAATTCGACAGGTGACGACCCTTGCAAAGTGATCTTACAACTGCGTGCCACCCACCTCCCAGGAGGTTTTACCACACTGTGGTCCGCATACAAAGCCCGCACAAAGATATCCCTGGCAAACACATGTACCACGCCGAGCATTCAGAAAGACACTACAGGAAGCCAGCCACATCATGAGCGTTGTGGTCATCGCAAACCTACCTCACGCCCACTACGCGTCTCACGACTTACCAATCAGTTCGGGCGGAAACTTCGTGGCTTTCCATTGCACTTTTAACCTCCCCCGAGCGCTGCAAAGTAAGGCGGACGTATCGCCTCCAACCCAGCGAAAGCGCCAAGAACCGGTAGGCTAATGCGGCTTACATGCCTAATAGGTAGCTAGCGTGTATCTATGCACGATAGCCTGCCCACCCTCCGTTACACGGTTGGTTACACTGCAATTTATCCCCCCCCCAAGGGGATGTTCTACGCTCTTCTTTGCCCACATGCAGCAACGACATATCCCATCAACAGTCTTCGACCCGCAGCCTGAAGAGAAACCCTCGTTCCGCGGTCTCCGAGGCGCCTTGCTCCACACACTACCAAACACATAGAATCGCATAGCTTCACTGAGACATCCTATAGAACCAGTTCAAGTTCACGGAATTTTACTTCTAGGTATCTATTAAGAGGAGCAATAGAAAAAGAGGGAGGTGATTACTCTCTAAAGAGCCCCTTCTGGGGGGCAAACTTAGTACACGGATCATACCAATCCGCCGTGCAAATCGGAAACAATAAACAACAGCCTCGGATCACATTGATCTGTCAAAGGCCACAAAACGTCCCCTTACAAGGTTTGCACCCGAGCTTGCCTCTCTAAATAGCTCGTTCATTACACACATATGGCACTATGTTCGATTTCATTTTTCTCTTCATTCCTTTCTCATCCTCTCGTATCGGGAATCAAAACTTTTGTTGCGTGACCGGCCGCTTATTCGGTCTTCTTCTTGCCAAATAGGCCACCCTTCTTCGGCACTCTCGCCAGCCAGTACAGACCCAAGGCGGCGAAAATGTTAATGATGATGTAGACCCAGGCAATGCCAAAGTTCCTCCAGCGGTCGGCGTAGTCGCTCTTGACGCTGGCCAGGAACACGTTGGTGTCCTGGACCGTGCAGAACTGGCAGTCGGTAGTAGCGTTGTTGTCCAAGAGATATCCACCTGCTTGCTGCATGTAACTGTTCATGAACTGGAAGCAGGTCTCCCCAGAAGGAGGATCGAAGTGCAGGAATTCATTGGAAGCACAGTAGACCTGAGTGTTGGCAACTGCCGTTGACAGCATGCCTGACACTATGTATGTGAATGGTGATACACGATACATGAAGATCCAGAAGCGGGGGATGGAGTCGGGGTTGGCGAGGACACCGCAGAAGATGAGGCAGAGCATGAAGAGCAAGTTGGCAATGTTACCACCAGCCTCCGCGGTCTCGAAACCGGCAATGATGAAGTCGGTAAAGGTCGAGGTGAAGAGCATGAAGACGAGGAGGTAGAGGAACATTAGCGCGCCACGCTCGGCGACCTGGTCGGCGGGGATGGCGTTCTGGTAGAGACCAACAGGGTAGTACCAGCAGAAGTACATGATGGCAGCCATTAGCGTGTTCCACGGGAGTTCGACAATGATCTGACTGAGCATGAAGACCTTCCATCCGTACACCTTGGACGGGCGCTCTCGCACCTCATACAGGGATCGCTGAATGACGAAATGGGGCATGGTTTGCTGGACAAGCTGGCCAAAAACGGTGAGCAGGTTGAAAATGGCGAACATCTGATTCTGAAGACCCTGTTGGGTGTTGGGAGCCTTGAAGAAGACGAAACCAATGAAAGCGGCGACGAGCGTGCAAAGGGCAGTCTTGGCGTAGATGTACGAAGGGGTTCTCCAGTATTGTTGGAAGACGCGGTGGGTAACCTCCTTGAGCTGGCCGAAGAAGGGGGCAGCAAATTCGTTGTAGCTGGTCTTGTCCACAGTGGGGGGCTGCTGCTCACCACGCTCGTCCTTGAGTCTCTGGAGTTCGGCCTGAACGTCCTGGTACTCCTTGGAGTTGCGCCACGCCTGGTGCCAGTCGATGTCGGTGTGGGAGCCCGGAGCGGCACCAATGACCTCCAACATCCATTCGGCGGGGTTGGCATCGTGGGGGCAGGGGAAGCCGCCGTTCTGCTCAAAGTAGGAAGTCATGACCTTGGAGTTCTCGCCAATGTCACCAAAGTAAACAGTGCGACCACCCTTGGCGAGGAAGAGAAGACGATCGAACCGCTGGAAGAGCATTGCGGAAGGCTGATGGATGGTGCAGAGAATGGCTTGCCCGCTCTTGGTCAACTTCTCCAAGAGGTCGAGAATGGCCCAGGAAGTTTGCGAGTCGAGACCAGAAGTAGGCTCATCGACGAAGAGCAGCAGGGGAGGCTTGGCGACAAGCTCGACACCAATAGTCAGACGCTTGCGCTGTTCGACATTGAGACCTTCACCTGGAACACCGACAACGGCGTCGGCGTACTCCTCCATATCAAGCAGCTTGATGACCTCCTCGACGTAATCGAGCTTCTCCTGCTTCGGGACATGGGCGGGCTGACGAAGAAGGGCGCTGAAGTTCAGTGCCTCGCGGACGGTTGTGGTCTGCAAGTGCAGATCCTGCTGCTGGACATAGCCGGTCTTGCGCTGGAAGGATGTGTCACGTTGCCAACCGTCGACCAACATCTCGCCAGTGATGACACCCATGGAAATACGGTCAGCCAAACAGTCCAGAAGCGTGGTCTTGCCGGCACCAGAGACACCCATAAGAGCAGTCAAGGTACCAGGCTTGACCCAACCGTCGACGTTATCCAGAATGCGTCTCGTTTCGTTCTTGATCTGGACTTCGTAGCAGACGTTGTTCCAGTGGAAGGTAGACTTCTGCTCCTCGATGAGACCATCGTTCTTCTCGTTGACGCGGTTGCGGTCGGCAGTGGTGACGGGTCCAACACGGATGTCTTCGGGATCATCGGTGTGCTTCTCGTTGAGGGCAGCAGGCTTGTGTCCACGACGGAATACGAGGACCTCACCCTTGGACTTCTTCTCCGAGACCAACTCGGCGGTGATCATGTACGTCATCAGGAAGAAGAGCATAAAGGCAATAAGGATCCCGAAATTGCGCCAGCGGTGGGCATACTCGTAACGGAAACCAGAGCCGACGTAGTTATCGCCGTTGACAAAGTCAAGACCGGCAACAGAGCCGACGGCGCTGCAGACACGCTGAGAAGAGGGCAGGTTCTCGTATCCAGGGATGTCGGGGTTGGGCACGAAACTGCTCCTCGAACAGGAGAAGTTGCGGTCGTGGAACTCATTGACAATGAGGGCCTCGAAGGCGTAGGCCAGGGGATCGAGGTAATTCAACCAACGGCACCAGCCCAGCATGTAGTCGATGGGAATGACAAAGCCGGTGAAAATGACAAGGTCCAAGATGAGAATGGCAGCGGGAACCATGGCTTGCGACAGGGTTCGGGACGACGAAGCAATGGTTCTAAAGATCATGGACATCGTAAGGACGGTGAAGAACGAGATCAGGAGGAAGAAGAAGAATGCTCCAGGCTCGCGGCGCAGGTTCGTCATGAAGTAGAGAACCAGGTTGAAGACGATGGTGTTCATAATCTTGTATGGCATGTCGCACAGCATGGACGCAACGGCTTCGGCAGACGGGTGGTACAGGGCGTAGCGAGCGTGCTTCTCGACAATTGGACGTTGGGCGTAGAGCGTGAGAATCTGGGAACGGTTAGCAGGGCTGGCGCATTGAAGGCAGAGTGGACGCATACCTCGAGGGCACTGGAGAAGGCGTTCATGAGCAGGGCGAAGAAGAGGAGGGCACCGCGCTGGAAGAAACTCTCGGTGGTCATTTGCAGGTTGTAGAAGACACTTCCGATGATGAGACCCATGCCGACGTTTCCGATGAGAGAACCGACAGTAATGCTGGGATCACCGATCAGGCGTCGGAATCCACGCCACAAGCAAAGCTGGATCTGTTGGAGATAGGACAGCGTGAAGGGAGACTTGGCGCGCTGTCCCTTGGCCTGCTGGGCCTTCTTCGAGGCACGGAAAGCCTCGGCATCAGGGCCGTTGAGGGGGTGAGACTGCTTGTACTCTTCGATCTCGGCCTGCAAGGCCTTATAGTTGGGGCTGTTCTTCCATGCCGTGGCGAACTCGTCGGGTGTGCGAGGGGCTCTGCCTTCCCAGCCCGGACGGACGTGACGCTCCTGGGGACTCGTCATGGAAGTGAGGAAATCGGGGGTAGTGGCACGAGCGGGGCAGTCGTAGCCAAGGTCGACAAAGTACTGCTTGGCATCGGTGGCCTTGCCGAAGAAGATCTGGCGACCCTCGTACAAGACGGCCACCTTATCGAACAGGTCGTAGGCGCTCTGGGGGCCTGGTAGATGGACACGCAGGCGGTGTTGTCAAAGAGCTCGGTTTGCAGACGGAGCGTCTTGCAGAACTCGATGGCGTTGGCGGAATCCAGACCACGGGTGCTGTTGTCCCAGCACTGGAGAGGGGCGCCAGAAAGGGCGGCCTCGGCGATGGTGACACGCTTGCGCTCACCACCGGAAACACCACGGATGTACTCGTTACCAACGCGGGTGTTGATGGTGTGAGAAATGCCGAAAAGGGCCATGACCACGTCCCTCAAGTGCTGGGCGAAGGTGTTCTTGTCGAGACCCTCGGGAAGCTGGCGGGGCTGACGAGCGCGAGCAGCAAAGGTCAAGGTGTCGCCGACAGACAGCTGGGGGAAATGGACATCCACCTCGGCCGTGTAGATAGCCTCACCACGATGATGGGTGTGCATCTCCTGGGCGGTCATTCCTGGGTTATGTCAGCACTGGAGAATTCACGTATCGTTAGACAAGGCGTGGGGGTTCCGTGTCCTGCAGGCCAGAGGTCACAACGCCGGCCACACATTGAACCCCACGCACCTCGCTTTAGAGCGTTTGCGCTGCTTACCCTGGTAATTGAAGTAGGAATCGTCATCAGTGTAGAGACCGTTGGTCTCACCAGCGATGGTCTTGAGGAAAGTCGAGCAACCGGAACCGGGGGGGCCCAGGACGACCAACATCTCGCCCTTGCGGACCAGACCATCGAAGTTGCGGAGAATATCGATTCTCGTCTTTCCACCGCCAGTGATCTTGCGTGCCAGACCGGCGACACTCAACCAGATGTTTCCGACATCCTTCTGGTAGTCGGTGGCCTGGCCGAAACCAAAGACATTCAGGTTCTGGAAAGCGACACCCGAGGTGCGGAACGACGCGCCGTTCTGCGAGACGAGATCGACAATGGCGCGGGCCCAGGCGCGGCCGTTGAAGTTGGGCGAGTTGGGGTTCAGAGGCGAGGTCTCGTCGGCGAAGAAGGGGTTCCCCCGACGGAGCCAGTGGCCGAGGCGTGGGAGTACTTGCGGGCGAGCGACTGCACCATGGAGTGGCGGCGCTCCATCTCGGAATCCTCATCGCCCTCGGCGGAGATCTTGTCGCTGTCCTGGGGGTCAAGGGCTTCTTGTGTGTCGAGTCGCTAGCCGCGACCTCGGTGACGGACGTCGCGGCGGTGTCGATGGTTTTTTGGCTTGCGGGAGCAATCTCCTCCTCCTCGTGGTGATTATTGCGGCCAGAGCTGATTGGGACGCCAGACGTCTGCGCCGTGCTGTCATAATTAGGGACGGAAGCCATCCCGGCGAAAGCCATGGTAGATCGTGGGGGCGGGTGTTGCCACGAACCCAAAGATTAGGAGTGTTGCGCTTGTCAGACGGGAAGCCGTTGGATCGCTGGGTGTACAAGGACCACCCGCTCGGCACAGCTCGTGTGTGTGAATGCCTGTTTCTCGCTCGAGCGTCGGTTCTCGAAGAGGCGGGCTACTCCAATCGTCTTCGGTATTAGTTACTAAGAGCCCAAAAAAGGGACTTGAAGTGGGGTATGATTAAAGGACCGACGCGAAAAGAAGAGATTGGGGGAGGACGAGACGGAGGAAGAGAAGGGGAGGGAGGAGGTTGAAGATAATGGACGGAAAGGGAAGGGTATATGAAGCAACCGGATGGAGTTGGTGGTCAGAGAAATAATAAAGATGATCCCGGTACTTCGGGGTTACCAGGATGCAGGTGCGGCGTGTGTCGAGGGGCAAGTCAGAAAAAAAATAAAAAAGATGGGACGAGATGGAGCTGGACCGGGCTGGGTTGCAGGGGCAGGCAAATGAGAGAGGGAGTGGTCCGAAGGCGGGACAGAAAGGACTAGGTGCTCGGAATAAACACAATAAAACAACAAAGCAAAGAAAGCAACGCAGATGCTAGCGTCCATACCTAGCTACGCAGGCAGTCCAGTCCTCTGCCCCAACTTGGCAAATACCAGAACCGAAACTTCGAATCATCCCCGAAGTAGATGCCCACCCTGTTGTGGCATAAGGTAGGTACTGGTAGGTATGGAGGAAGGTACAGCAAGGTACGTACCCGTCCTCTTGGCTGACCACAGAGCCAAGAGAAAGAGCAACGAGGTAGGCACGTCCGCACGAGGCATCGACTCAAGATACGCCGCCTGCAGCACGACAGCGGTACGTATATGCTGGGCCTCCCAGTGCAGTACCTACCGTACACGTACATATGGATGCCGACACGGTAAGCTACCTGGGTATAGCACTACCACATGGAAGACCAGAATAGGTAGTGTAAACGATGACGCGCCCGACGGGGCCCACTGAGTGCCCCGAACCCCTAGCTCCACTCCAGCGCCCCTCTGCCAATTGTTCACCCGCCAGGGAAAGGCCCTCCGCGCCACGAAAACGACGGGTCGCACCATGTGGGAGACGGCACAAGGGCCATGTGAGAATGCTGCACTTGCGGACTTTGGGTCAGAGATCATCACAGCAGCCTTGGCGTCACGAGCGAGAGTCCAAACTCCGCAACACCAGCGGGGGGGCAGAGGATGCAGTGCGCGCGCCCCGTGGGAATTGCACCACTGCCACGTGGAGTCGCTCGCGAGAAGGAGAGCCGAAACTCTGATAATCAGAGAGAGAGAGAGAGAGAGAGAGACGTGCGTTCAACGTCTGCCGATGGGAGCCAGGGACCGGCCTGCGAAGAGGGAGAATGTACGTGACGAACTCTGTTGACACGGTTCACCCGATATGCGGGGTGCATCTCCAGAGAAAAAGTCAGAAGATAATTAACCATAACCGCAATGGTCCGCCCCCAAGCTTTACACTACGTCTCTTCTCATCCCACCGGGGCGAGTGAGACGCTGAGATGTCTTTACTCCGGAGGGCATCGGGGGTTGCGAGAGAGCCATCACGTCCGCACGAGTACGGAGCACTAGCGTTCGTTATGATGGGCAGTACGTAGCCGTACCTTTTGGAAATAATCCTGCCGGTCTAAGCCGGATGTAGCACTGAGCTAATTACAGCAAAGAAACCACAGGGTCGTCGTCGCAGTGCTCCATCCCACCGACCCCGAAGAACACCACCCGTGGTCGGTGATCCAGCCCACCGTTCGATGAGCCGCAGCTTGCAAGGGCCCGGAACAACGCCCTGCGCAGCTCATTCGATCCTGTCGGCATCTTGTCAATTCCCGAGCCCACAAATCCCAGCAGCCCAAGGAATCCCATCTGGTAAGTGGTGCTGCTGTGCGAGGGAGGCAGAGAGCGCCCAACAGTCTTCGAACACTAGATACCCGTCGTACGTGCTGCAGCGTGGCCTCCCATATCAGACAGCAAGGCCGGCACAGTGAGTTGTAGGTGGAACACTGCCAAGCAACGCGGACCCGTGCATCATCTCACATCATCAGCCACACACAGCGCAGAGCACACAGCATGTTCATGGTGTATGTACGCATCGTGTATCGCAAAGCATGATTTGTGGGCGCCACTATGGGTTCGCTCATCAGCATCAGGCTCCGACGCTGCGTGTAAGACGGCCAACCCTGCCGACGTGAGCTCTTTCGTGGCAGTAACGTGTAACCATCTCGCCGCGCCCCGTCACTCACGAGCCTGTTCTGCTCCTGACATTGCGGAAGCACAATGTCTACGCCCCTGGGTTGCTCCCTCGACAAGCACCGTTTGGGCGGAATGGCGCATCCGACAACGACCCAACGGCGCGGCTCGGTACATGGCATTCCCAACATAGCAGAAGCCAGCCGTCGCGAATGAACGTCCCTCCAACAGGTGGGATGGCGTGTGAGACTGGCGGGCAGAACCCTGCTGTCGGGTGCAATCAAGTGTCCTATTGCCCAATAGGCATGTACCGGTATGCTACGGGGTACGTACTGCGTATCGTCGGTAGGTAGTACAGGAACGTGCTTCTCGTCGAACAGAGGCAAGTGCGTTTGGTTGGCTGGTGGCTTCGATTTACGGATTTTCACACGGGCTGGGCACGAGATGGACCACCCAAGACGAAGGGGGGAAGGAAGGACTTTGATTGTTACTTAGTACACGTATTCAGTTGCACACAGTCCACCCTTCCTCATCCATCCATCCATCCATCCTCCTCCAATCTGGCTCCAGAAAATTCCGCTGTCGTTGCCATGCCATGCCGTCGCCTATTGGATCGCTCCTCCCTCTCAATCAGAGTTCGCAAGGTTCACAAGTTCCCGCTCCCTCGGGCGGCCCCACCATCCTGGGTGGAGGTCAAATCCCTTCCCCCACCAAAGAAGCAGCAGGCACCCCCATCTGACCCAATGGGAAACTCGTCACGGACCCTCGAAGCTGGGAACCGATACGTACATCTCGCTTGACACCAAATAGGGGAGCACGCTATCAGACGCTAAGCCGCCACAAGCGAGCTGCCTGCCTGCCTCGGGCTCTTCGAGCACCCCGACAACCCGCATCTTTCATCCCCGATCGGATCCACATCTGCGCCTGCCGGTGCTGCTCCACGTCCCGTCCTCCCGTCACCGAAGGGGATGGATGAATCGAGAGAAACGAGCGTCTCTGCGTGGAATCGTTCCGAACGACGCCTTGTTAATGGCCCCTTGCACTTTGTCCGGCTTCGTCCCCAGCTAATCACAATCACGGCCGCCCCAACGCCAATCCGCCTGAGTCACAACCGACTTTCCAATCCTCGTCCGCCCTGTTCCTCCTCCGATTCTCGCTGGGGCAATCTTACACACGCCGGACCTTGGCCGGCCGCTGATGTGTACAGGACAGGACAGACACGCACTCTCCCACCTGATGGCAGGCCTCCGAGCCTGGGCTAAGACTTCGTGTCGTGTCCGTTGCCAGACAATGGTAGATCTTGCACACCCGACTGCTTGCAGCTACGGGCATCCGTATTGGCGAACGAGGAGCCGGGGGCTGACTTACTCGACCATACTGTGTGCTGTGCTGTGTAGGACAGAGGCTTCAGTTTCACCTCGCAGACACTAGCAATTCAACGACAGCGTAGTTCTTTTCGGGTTCTCGGGAAACCAGCACTGCGTGGCATGGCATGACACACTAGGTATACTGACCAAGTTGCACCAGTTTTCAACTTGGCGATCACCGCTGCCGATATACGACGATCTACGATAAATGCACAGCCCCTGACCATTTCCACCTGCTACCATGCCCACCAGCCCAATGGGTAGTCATGTTGTCCCTGATGACTGTGCACAGCTGGCACTGTGTCTCACACAGAAACTGGTTGTCTTGATCCGGCTGCTTCGTCCGAGATCTGTTTCCCCGTCCCGACTCTTGATCGACCCCGAGGCTCCGATACCGATGGAACTCGTCGGGCGGGTTGCTCTCAATGCCCCGACAATCACAGGGCATTCATCCCCGCCGTTATTGTTCGTCTGCTGAGTCACGCGATTTAGCAGGGCCGCCAAACCCCCAACAGCCGCCGTCACTGAGTCGCCAGTGAGAAAGAGGCCTTGGCGCACAGGCTCACCATTGCATCGGTGAATGACAGGGCCTTCCTTTCTCCGACTCCCTCGCCGTCTGCACTGTGCCTCGTCCCAGCCCACTCACAAACTTCGTCCTAATCACCGGTTGACGGCATGCATCCTCGAGAGCCAATTTCAATCAGGATTTTGCCGCGTTTCCACGACACCAGACGGCCAAGAAAGGCAACCAGGGAGCGACTTTGAGTTCACTGCACAAGGGACGGTTGTCAACGACCAAGATTCCACCATCGAAGACAAGCCCCGACCCTGACCTCGTCATTCGCCAACGCAGTCATTCGCCCCAGATCATGGGCATCATCACAAGGCAGTCCCCCGCGCGCAATAAGCGCCCTTCGTTCCGCGGTATCCCCAGTGCAGCCACCTGTTGAAACGTTTGTCGAACCGCTTCTTCATCATACAGCTGCTGGGTGATGATCAAGATCAACCACGACAGTCTTGGGTCACGATCGACCGAGGCTCTTGAAATGCGTTCCATTCCATCCTCCGCTTTGCCCAGGGACCGCTCGGTACCGTACCGGTATTCCGGATCTTTGTCGCCACAGGCCGCCATGCCTCCCTCAAGGTCGGCGCAGGCGCCAAACCTAGTGCAACATGGCACCAGTGTTACCATCTCGCCTGCAGCTGCTTCTAGTCGCCCGCCGCAAGGAACAACATGGAAGCATGGAAGCATGGGGCCAGGCCGCCCTGTGCTTCGGTCACTTCCGTTCGGTCGTCGCACTCGCAAAGCACTGTCAAGCATTGGCCTTCGAGATGCGGCCCTACCCTCAGATTGACGAAGGAAGCAACAGTATCCTATCCCGCGCTTTCGACGCGATCAGGGTTCACCGGCAAAAGTCATACTGACGCTGGCAGCCGATTTACTTTGACCTCGCATACCTATGGCTTTGCGGACGCTAGTCTGCACCCCGGCGGATCTGCCCTTCCCCAATACGAACCCGAACTCGAGGTCCAAAGCTTATGGAGCTTAATTAGCCAGCCAAGATGTCTCCAAGTTCACTATACCGCAATAGGCATCATGTCGAAAAGATCCCCACCAGTCATTTCACGTACCGCTGCGCAGCTAAGCGAAGCAAGCTGTACGATTACTAACGACCAACAACGATGCACCTTTCGTAAACTGCCATGGCCCAGCCAATCATTTCCCAGTGCCGTCCCTTGCCCCTCCGGATGGGCAAGCCACCGCCTAAGCCGTATCCATCCGTTTGCCAATGAGGTCCCATTTACACCAGACAATGCAGGAATACTGCATCTCTCACGAATCAAATCTACGTGAGTTGATTTATGTGGCAGGCAGAGCAGCAAAGCCTTATCGAGGGTTTTAGATGATCTCCTCACCGCACTTATTTTGTTTGAGCCTCTCTTCGATGTTCGTACCGAAATCTTCGAGGACAACTTGTCAAAGGCGTGTGCGCAAGTATATGGTATCAAAGAGTCTTGTCTCTCAGTTGTGGCTTACTGAATCGACCATCTGGCCATGACAATCAGGAGAGTGCTGTTCGTTTGCGTTCGTTTCAACTTTGTTTGCGCGGCTGGGGCCCCTCGTATCGGCCCTCGTATCAACATGTCGCGTAACTGATCACAAAACCGGCCGTGTACCTAAGCGGAGATGCCGGCGCCGGTTGTGATGTTCTCCTTCCGTGTGCCGGGGCCGCAGAAGACGAAGAAGCCGCGGTCGCAGCGTGATTGTCTCAATAGCATCAGTGAATCTGCCTGAGACAATAGAGCGGCCTAGGATTGGCAATGGCATAAGAAATGACATCCACAAGGCAGTTTGTTGAAAGCTTCTCATACCTAGGTAGTCTCCACTTCTACGTCCAATACCGGTAAGGAACTCGGGCATCTAGCTGATGCAAAACTATAGCTACATGTATCAGCAAATCCAGTTCTCTGGGCGAGTAGTGAACCTGCTTGTGGCCCCCGGTATCTTGCATCATTGAAAACTGCGAAGCAACTCGTTACTATCCGTGTCAACTGCTTGAGTCTAACCGGCGTTTGTTCCAGTGGGTAAGTCTGTTCCACATGACAATTGCCAAACTGACAGGAATCGTAACACGAAATGAGAACCCGACCGAACAGCGGAATACACCAATGCCCAGACCGCAAACGAGAACACATGAAAAAGTCCGCACAAACATGGGGATTACAAGAGGCCGGCTAGGATGTTGACCGTTTTGTGCCCTGCCAGTGGAACCCTTCAAAATAGGCATACTCGGCCTGAGTGCGACACTACACGCACCCTGCGATCTCGCGGAAGTTGCATCGGACTCAAGTATGAAACGGCGAGGCCATCCCAACGACAATGCGGGCTCCATCACTGGGTGAGTATTTTCCGACTCCGGATTCGTTTCACTCGTCAATAACGGTTCGAGTAGTGAGTAACGTATGCTTATCGGCTCGCTCCCAGTGGCCCGGCCTAGAATGGTCCTCCACGATCCCACATCTGCCTCGGCAAGAACTCACGCATCTTCATATGAAGTACATCAATCCATCATTCTATCTTTACTGATTTGACTCTCACTCGGACTCGAGAATTGCGCCGACTCTGCGTTCTTCCCCTCCACTACGCGCTTCGCCGATGCTCAAAGTTACCCGCTCCCCCGATTACCCCCGTGGCCAAGCACCGTCTCTACCTTGTCGTGAGCTGTCATGAGCTACATCCAGCATGTTCCACCTCCACTTCGAGATATGGTTCCATCCGGAATCGACTACATCGAATCCCGAACAACAATCAGACGACGTACTGCTCAACTGGGACTAACGCTTCCGTCAAAGGGTCCCGTCTCTCCCTCGGCCACGGCTGGAAAGATTCGCCGGCATCGAACAGGGTATGCACGGCGCGTCATTCCCGGCATGGCCTTAACACAAGCCCAATTAAGTTTCCGGTTTGTTTTGAAATGCAGATAACCGGTATCCAGGAGACTGACTTCACGTGAAGACTTTTCGGCATCGCAGTGTGAGGCCAAGGTTTCTGCAAAAATCACTCCTATCCCGTATTGCACACCACAGGCTTCGCTCAACAAACTCGCAAGATGAGTTTTTATTTTCCCGCATGAACCTTTTCGAGGTGTGAATGGATCGTGTCTCAGAACCAGTACAATGGATCATTGTGAGATTTCTACCCGGGCCAAAGATACGCACATGTTCCATCCGAACGACGCAGAGCCACGCCAATGTCGAGCTCTTCGGATGGGTCAATGCTCATGCTGTCCCGAAGCGGTAGCATGATCGCGTCAGGTGATGGCGCGCGGTGTCCGGGACCTTCGGTCTCTGGAATAACCTCGCAGCGAACATGTGTCGAGCGCCGTTGGGAGCCCGGTCTCCAACCCGACGAGAACGATAATGTTGGCTCTGTCATGCAAGCGCACTGCTGGCCCGCTCCGCGTCCGCGGGGCGAATCGTCGTGCTGGAACCAGTCTTGGCTACCGGCTGGGGAGCCGTTTGGCAAAGCTACTCATGCTTGAGTGATGCAAGAACCGTGTTATGCCCGAACTCCCCGGTTCGAAGTGGCGACTCGGTTCTCAACCTCAAGCCTGGTCACATGATCCAATCTCATCAGTGCCGATACTTGGTGTTACGGACAGTTTTCGAATCAGTTGATTCCTAAGATCCGGCTTGCGTTATATTATGCGAGCTGTTCCTCTTCTGATATGGTGCAGGGACAGTTATGCTGACGCTTCCATGACAAGGCCTTTTACCGTTCAATTCCATCAGCCGTTGCTAGTCTGCATGAGCCGACTTAGACCGTAAGGGTCAGAAGTGTTTGCCAAGAGACTTCCTATTCTTGACTTTTGACCTACAGTTTCGAGATTGACTTATATATCAAGCTAGTCTACCTTCATCTCCATGCTACCATCGACGTCATGTCCGAGTAGTACATCTGATTGTGGTACATATGTGGTTGCCGAAGCACTGCGATATCAATAGAGACACCGAATTTCTGAAATTTCTGCGTAGAAGCTACACAGGTACTCTTTCCCGAACGCATGTCTAGAACGGAGGGAGCTGCTTGGCAGCCTTCATCCGCTCCCAAGCCGTCTTGAATCCCTCCACGGTATCTATCTCCTCTATGAACCCAACTTCGCGAGACCGCGTCAAGTCAAACTCTCGGTCAAAGCCAACCTGAACGAGCATGAAATCCAGAAAACTCCAGTCAAAACTCTGAACAGCGTCCTTCTCCAGGCCGTGCTCGCTAGCCAGAGCGGCCCAGACCTCCTCGTGTCTTGTCACAAAGTCGGTAATCGGCGCCAAGCGAGGAGCCGGCCCCTGGCCCTTGAGTCCAAAGTACTTGCAGAGACGCGGCCACACCTGCGACCATGAGATAGTCTGCCCGTCCGCCGCGTTGAAGGCGCGGCCGTCACCGCATTTTGTGGGATTGACGGCCGCATGGATCTCCAGCTTGGACAGGATGTCTTGAAAGGTGTCACTGTGGGTTGTATAGTAGCTGTTGTCCGGCCCAGGGAACGGGACGCTGGCGCCGTCGCCGTGGACCGCCCGGTGGATCGTCAGGTAGATGCCGATTCCCTTGGCCAAGTTCATGGCATTCGATGTAGGGGCGAAGCCGATGATGGCGTCTGGACGAATCTCGGAAAAGGTCCACGACTTTCCCTCCGACAGCTTCTCGAGCGCGTCGTACTGGTTGTAGTAGAACACGTCATTGGCCCACGGCGATGGGATCCGAGGGAGATCTTCCTTCAAGGGGGGACAGATCTTGACTTCATTGGGGTGCGTGACGCCGTAACTGAATGTTCAGCCCTTGGTAACGTCGACGTGAATGTAACGGCAAGGAGTCCCTTACCTTTTGCCGCCTGTCTGCAGGATGACGACCTTGACATTCGGAGAGACCTTCTCGATCGCTTGCACTGCAACTGACAGCAAGCCCGTATTCAACTCTACCGTGTTTTCAGGACTTGTCCCCGTTGCGTATGCTACGTGCTGCTGAGTACCCCTATTTCGAGACCTGACTGGGATCGTGGGGATGTCACCGTACCTGTGTAAAAGACATGGGAGATGGTGTCTGCATCTGGGATTTTCTGCTTGAGCGACAGGGCAACTTCGTCCACGGACTTTGTGAAGTCGATTCCCGACGCAATGTGCAGGCGAGGATCGTTGGGTAACTGCGCCTTTTCCAACGTCAGAGGACGGTTTGTGGTACCGGTGATCCGTTTGAAAGTCGTTGGAGTAGGATAACTGCAAGCCTGGTTCAGGAGAGACCAGCCGGAGATTCCGGAGGCCCCGAGGATCAGCGCATGAGCCATGACAAGAGGAGAAATGTTTGATAGATTCTTGACTTCTAGTGCTCGGGGGCTATTCAATAGCAACAATTTATATGAACGACGACAATGGCAGGGTTGGCAGACCCTCTGGTCTCAGTCTGACTAAGATGCGGAATCTGGTTTCCGTCGATAACGTTATGGTTTGTCTGCAATCCGATCATTTTTCTTGAGTCCGTGGTATTATCAATCGTGCATCCACTGGAGAGCAGTTTAATGATCGCATACAGGTACTAACAGTTGTATGGACAATCGAGGCACATTAATTGAGGCTCTAGAAACCACAAGAGCTTACATGGGCTTTGCTCCTCACAGTTGGGCTTCAGGGATAATGTCACCATATTCACTTCTTAGCGAGTATAAAGATACTTGTAAAGAACATTACAAATCGAATCATTCCTTGGAGAAAGAGCAACTCACTGCTTTCTGTTGAGCCGCTCGCGAATTACCAAAACCCAACGACTGCCTTACGTAGAGGATCCTTGACGCCTTTGGTTGAAGTAAACAATGCTGTGAAGCTGCAGAAGCCCTTCCACAGGTCTGGTCAACGTCCTTGAACGTAGGAATAAAAGAAGAACATGCTGAATAAACCCAAGCCTGATGAAAATGCCTGACATGTCTGGCCAATCCTTTGAAAGGTTGACAATGCAATGGAGCTCCACCTTGGGCATGGCAGTGTCACACTGCATGCAACTATATCTATTGGCCCAAATTGTGGTTAGCTGGATTCCCGGAGGAGGTTTGACAATTCCCAGAAGCGAAGCCGCTACTACAGAGCATCTGCCAAACGAGCCCCGTCCTGGTCTTGGCTGTCCCTCGAGGGCTAAAGCCACTACGACCAGACGCCCAATTTTAAGCTTTATGTACTAGTGTCAGACATATTGGGCCTTGGTAGAGATAGGTATTTTGAGTAGAAGACCTCAGATAAGAATGGGTGAGAATGAGATCATGTGAACTAAGATATTTTCTAGTTGTAAGCCGTCAACAATAATACTTGTTTTCTTCTCAAGGTTGTAAAAAAGGTCGAGTTCAACACAAATGCTCGCTAAGAATGTATCCTGCGCTCATCAATTTCCTAGACAGGCAGGTCTTCGCCCACCAAAACATTACATGCAATAACTTGCATGTATTGAGAGCCAAGTAAACAAATTACTCTGCGGCGAGACAATTAAGTTGACCTTTCGAAGCTTTTCACGCTTCTTGGGCTGAGAATCCAACAACTAACGTGGATGGCTGCGACAATTTGCCTAGTCTTTCCTGCATGACTCCTCATAAGATGTCGGCAACTGGGTATGTTTCCCCTGATAAATGGGAACTAATTCTGAAGTAAGCGAATAGTGTCTTGGATTGACCCTTTGAAGTTGCGCGTATCGTTGGAACACAATGCCTGCATGGCGGTTGGTTGCGGCCTTATAAAACTCGTGCAAATACCCACTGCCTCCGTCTTGTTCTTCAGCTAAGAGTTGAGTGTGTGGTCAATAACAATGACAAAACTTCGAATAATAATAGCCATTTGGACTTGGGTAATGAACAACACTTGTATTTCGTCTCGAAGAGAAACTGAAACATCAGTCCTTCGCCCAACAACACTTTGGGGCAATATTCCTTGACGATGACACGGCTATTTCGGCTCATCTCTCACCAGAAAACCCGTAGTGTAAAGTCTTTTTCATTATAATGAATGAAGATAAGACTCATTGGGTTTGCCTTCTGAATCTTGCAGGTATTGATTTTAGCAATGGCTCGTTTCATGTGAGCATACCTTTCGGCTGTATTGGCAACAGCGCCACGCAGATACATACTCGAGATGACGCAACTTCCAACAACGGATACAGCGTTAACTGACTCGTTGCAATGTATAACAAGCGGGGTTTCAATGAATTTTTAATATGTAGAATAGCCGCTGCCTTGAAAGGCCAAGCAGCGGAAGCTGAAATACTCATTGCCAACGCGGTCTGGAGCTTTTACCAACGGCCGACTGATAGTAATAAAGCAGCCAGAGTAAATTGAGTATTTGGGTGACTTCATCGCATTCGAATCACCCAGTCTTCTCCCACTTCCTTGGGACGGTCGGCATTGTCATCATCTCCATCGTATCTCAACTGCCCGTACCACCTATTTCCCATCTTTTCATGGAACCTCTGTTTCTACCTGGTCAACCGATCACAGCTTCTTGGCATCTTAGTATCCATACAAGTTGACCTGCTCCGAAGTGGACGCCCGAATCCGTCGGTTCTCTCTGACGAGCAAGACACGGATCCACCACGCACAGCATATCGAGAGCAGTGAGAAGCCGGCTGAAGCACCAAAACCAATGGCATAGCGGGGCGAGTCGGTACTGGGCCACAGGTATGCGCCGTAGATGTAGCCAATCTGGAAATAGTATCAGCAACGTGGTATTGGGTGAATATAGCGTATTTGGAACATACCTGTCCTCCGACGTTCGTCATGGCGAGAACGACTGCCTTCTTCTCTTTGGTTTGCGACAGAGTTGATGAGGCCCAGCCAATGATAACCTATTGGAGCATCAGTTTCATGATCGAATGGCACCGGATAGGTGTGTGACAAGACTTACGCTATTCACCGAGTAGGCGCCCATAGCAAAGATAAAGCAGGCAATATATCTAGCCGCTGTGTTGAGCGTCGCGGAAGCCATGACAAATCCGACGACAGCGATGCCCAAGCCGGTGGTAATGTGCCATGTTCTCTCGTGAAGTCTACCGGAGCTCCAACCAAACAAGATGCCGGCAGCACCTGCGAAGATGAAGGGTGGGCAAGTCATCAAGAGAGTGACTGTGGTGTTAAAGCCGAGGGTTTTGACGACACTGTTCACTCATTTTAGCTTTTGTGTTTTTTAGACCATGAATGCTATGGTGATGCGGCTCAACTCACGTAGGGAAAAAGGAGTTGAACGAGCAAGCACTGAGATGAAAGTTCTGCATGAGACAGAACAACCAAGTGCGCTTGTCGCGGACGGCCTGCTTGAGGCCGTCCATGGCTGAGGCCTTGTTGTTGTCAGAGTCCGACAGCTTGTCCTTCTCCATGCGGGAGTGGGCAAGCTCGCGCTCCCGCTCGCTCAACCAACGCGTCGTCAGAGGCGTGTTGGGAAGGAGCCAGAAGCCAAAGATGGCGACGACACCGGTGGCGGCGCCTTCGACGATGAAGAGCCAGCGCCAGCCGGAGATGCCGCTAAGGCCGTCCATGCCGGCGAAGATGCCGGCTGCAATGAGAGAGGAGAGCCCGGTAGCGAGGATCTGGGCGCAGTAGAGAACAGCAATACGGGACGCGACCTCTGGGAGAAGTGTCAGCATGGCTTCGATGGAGGTTTGAAGGGGCGACTAGCGAACCTTTGCGGGTATAGAAGATTGAAAGCATGTAGGTGGCACCAGGGTAAAACTGATTCATATTAGTCGGAATTACAGCATACATGTCATACGTTGTTTGCCTTACAGGAGCTTCAGTGATGCCCAAGAAGAACCGGCATGCGACAAGACCTCCATAGTTCTGAACCAGAGCCGTGCAACCTATCATTCTGTGAGACTTTGACGCTATCTTGCACCGTAAAAGGAGATCATACCTGATACCACGGCCCATACAAGCATCCAGGCGCTCATGTACAAGCCAGGCTGAATTCTGGTAATCAACATGTTGGAAGGAATCTGCATTAGGACGTAGCCGACAAAGAGGCTGTGCAACTGTTAGTTTTCATTCTCCCATACGGGCTCGCGAAAAGATGCTCCATCTTGCGCTCGGTATGATGAGGACGGTGATTCAGAGTCTAGCCGACGCTCGCGGAAAATGAAGTTGAAAGAAAGTTCGGTGGCATGGGCTCTTACATCGAAACTGCAGTGTTGAACTGGGTGCCGGACATGCCCAAATCGTCCTCCAAATTATTGAGTCGAGCCTGAGCGATGGCATTGCGATCGACGTAGTCTGATTGGTCAGTTTAGGTGTCCTCAAGTGATGCGATGTCGAGCGGGGAGTCGTACTCAAGAAATACATGATGCAGAGTGTCGGCTGATGGGGAAAGGAGTGGTTAGTAATTTGCAAGGACGGGTTGCAGCTCTTGTCTTCAACTTACCATTATCCGCCAATCCAGCTTCCGCACAAGCTTAATCTCTTCAGGATCAGTCTTCTTCGCAGACCCGGTCCAGTCACGGTTCTCCTCATCCTGAGCAATGGGCTTCTCGTCGTGGAGCACGCTGTCAACATGGTTGATGGTATGCTCTCCGCGCTCCACCGATGGTGAACGCTTCTCGCTCGTTGTCATTTCGGAAGTTTTTGGTTGCTGTTTGTGCTCGAACCGAGTTGTGCGCTTTGCAAAAAGGGTTGGTGGTGTCCAAGAAGGATCGGCACGGTCAGGCTAACTATGCAGTGGAGAAAGTATGTGGTCCAAGAAAATAAGCATAAACCAGGATGGAACCTGCAGTATCAAACCGTGCAACAATGCAAAAACTCGAACACATCAATTTGCACAATCAGTAGGGTTCTGCTATTTATCATCATTTCCAGGGAACTCTATTCCTTTACCCCACGGAGAAGGCGTCAATTAGTGCTCCCCCAAATCCGGGGTAGCTGGATCTGCCGGGGCAACATTTGGGATCCGGCGCGTTGACCAAAGGTCTAGTGGGTGAAAAGGGTCAAACAATAGCATTTCAAGACGAGCTGGAGCCGCAGTCGGGGCAAGGAACGCGGGGTCCCCGGGGCCAGATTTGAGACCCGAGAGAAGAAAGAGGCGGTCGATGGAAAAGGGTGAGAGCAATGGGGCCGATGAGCCAAGCCTTACGGGGGATAAGCAGGCATACGGCAAGAGTCCAGACAAGAGTCATTCAAGCACCGCTACCATTAAGGAGGCCAGGGTTGGTCAGTCGCTGCAACTGGAGACCGCCCAGATTGGGGAAATGGGGTCATTGGAAACCCCGCGTGCCAAGACCCGAGGGAATGGAAACTGCTGGGGCTAGCATGGGGTTAGGGGCATTAGGACCTGTTGTGTTGGGTTCAGGAACGGGGGGAGGTGTCAGAGGGAGTGATCTGGTTCGTTCGGAAAACATGTCGTGTGGATCAGTCTTGCTTCCTGAGGAGGCCTGGGAGGCCCGATGCGACACAGAAGCGAGGATATCGGGTGAGAGGTGGATCTCTGGACATGGATGTTGTGAAGGCGGGGGGTCGATGCTGTGGTCATTGGTAAGATTCCAGCATGTTTCGGGCTTTGGAAAATGATCTTATTCCTACGTGATGCGATTTGGAAGATAGGAATATGGGTTTTGTCACTGACGACATTAGCACGTTACCAACTTGTTGAGCTGGTGATCGACAAGCCAAGCCTCACATTGATGACTTTGCTTAATCAGCGGGCGTACCTAGCCCCAGATACGACGGCCTGTAGAAACACAGAGCTTCTGGCATGCTGCTTATGTGAGCTCTGTGCATATGCGGACTACCCTATGAGTAGGTATCACGTTGAACATGGGCGGTATCGTGAACAGTGAGTTTAAGTGCCGGCCTCCAGCGATAGGGGAGCATTAACCACTGCCCTTGCAATGCTTGTTTATTGCACCAGGAACACATTCTTCAAGTTCAGGTCTAGCAGTCTAAGCATAAGGAAACTTCCCTTTCTGCGTCAAGGTTACCCATGCCGACAAGTATGTGACGAACGAGGAGGTGAGACTTGACCAGTGCGACCTCGGGTCTGAACTGGCGAACAATCAGGGTACTTTTGACTTGCACAAAGATATATGCTCCAATGCTATGCAGATGTTTTATCTAGACTGCAACTGAGTCCCCGGATTATACTTCAGGTTGTAAAGCTTTAGTGTATTAGGCTTGGGTATTGCACCAATTTAGCCCCATTTTCCCGCATAACATGTCGCCGATGTGGAAGTAGTGGACCCAGTGAAACTCACAGCCATCCACTGCTTCTCTAGAGAATTGTTCTAGAGATATTTCAGACTCGGTTCACAGCGAAGCTTCTGAGCACGTGCAATCCATCACATCGTCCTTACGCTCCGGCGCGCTGACGACACACTAATCCATCGGGTAGGGGGACCGCAAGGTGGTGAGCTGCGAGGTGCACATTCTTTCCCTGAGCGGAGCCCGAATATATGCTCGATGTTGAGTGGATTCTCTCTTCTTGAGAGAACCCAGTTGTACGATCGTACCTGGGTTAAAACGTGGGGTGAATCAAAGATGTATTTTCCGTGATTGTCTTTCTAACTACAAGACTTGGCTTTCGTGTACGAGATATATGATCTTGTACGTCCCTGAGTCAGTTCGGCATGAACATACTTTGATCCCATCATTGAATAACCGAGGGTTTCCAGTCTGTGCCCTCATCCATTGTATGTGTCCTTGAGTCGTGCATATCGTACGGTCAGGTAGTGTCGTTATTCCAACACTCGAGGTGATACCTTATAGAGACACTACGTCTATCGGAGTGCAAGCCTAAATAAATAAAAGCCCGTGCTTCTCAGGCGGTGGTATCGGGACGTAGGCAGATTATTTGGTAGGTACCAAAGTCTATTTGCTTGGTGTACTGTTGAGCATCAGTATTTAACTCGGCTTATCAAAGGAACGATTTTGGTCAAAGGAACGATTTTCGCTACATCTTGGGATACACTGAAAGATATTTAGACAGTTGATTCCTCTATTTGTTAATCGAGATCAGGGCGCATACCAGCACATACCGGTATCTGTGTATCTCTCCACGACAATGCCTACCCAACTTGTTCTTTCCTTTGTACCAGCCACAATGTCCATGCTGCCTTCTCAATTTTAGAAAAACCTTGGAAGGAAGATAAAGCTTATCTAGAAGATCCAAGGTGACTGGTTAGACGGTAAGTCTTTGCTTATTAGCCGTTGGCGGCAAAGTAGCCTGAGTGCGCATGACAGCAAGATTGGAAGCCCCGCCAATTGGAAGTGCAGCACTACAGCATGTTAGAGCTCTAAGTTAGAAGTTTCATCTAAATGGTGTGTGCTTACGGCACCGTCTTGCTGGAAACTTCCTCCGGGACAGCAAGATGAAGTGTAACCAGAGTTGGAGTTATCGGGTCTGAGACAACGCCACATGAGAGTTGGGTTATTGTTGCAGTAGGCAGCAGAAGTTAGACCGATCCAAATGCTCTGAAGTTGCCATGTTAGTTGGTCGATACGGCGGTTAACGCTCGGCGGTTCGGGGCTCTTACCAAGGCGAGGACTGCTGTGACGTCAAGGACCTTCATTGTTTCTCTTGTTGACGGCAATGACGAAATAAGTCAAGACTTGCAGTAAGAATTAACACTTGAAATTGGAGATGTAGTAGAGAAAACGCTGTTCTTATATCTTGGGGTGATTTTTTTCGAATAAGTAGTCACCCTAGGGTGGAGTGTCTATGTTCCTTGCTATGATGAATAAAGGTTTAGTGATCATCAAATTTTTCTGGTATTGCCCAGAAGGTTAATTATATGATATCTCTCAGGAGTTTCAAAATAGAGCAAGATCAAAATGCACATTGGTCTATGCAACAGAAACGGAATCTTCTACTCCGACTTATGAGGCAGCGGACGTGGTGCGAAGCGCCTTGTTTAACGACTGTAAGAGCGCCTTCGACGCACATCTGCGGCGAATTGCGCCCGTAAAATAGGAAAAGGTTCCAACATAGGTGCAGAGATTGTATTGGATACGGCTTTGACTGTGAAGGTGTGCGGGCGTTGTGCGGACATTGGCGCCAAGGAGTGGCATATATATGTTTTCCACTTAATGTCAATTACAGGGTCGCAAGGTGGACCGCTAATGGTGAGAAGGTAAACTGACTGTACTCTTGGCCGCTCGCTACCAGCTCTTAGAATTATAATCTCCCCGCAGCGTTGTAGATGAGTCCAGGTACGACCATGAATTTATCAGCTCAAAGAAGAGCATGTGGCACGAACTGAATCGCTCGTCGGCTACGAGCGTTCACGGATAAAATGTTATCGCATCAAGTCATAAATTTAACATTGTTCTCCTCGAGTCGCTCAAATGAGAACACGTGTAGCAGATCCGGTCCATGCTTGGTTCTCCATTTCTCATCCCGCATTCAAGTTAGTACCCTCAATCTAAAGCTGATCTTGAAACATAAAGAACATGCAATAAAGTTAGCTGAGAATCATGGTGTCTTTCTGTAAGGAAAGGGTCTTTTATATTATCACTATAGCTTTTCTGTCGAATTGAGGAAGAGAGGCAAAGACAGACATAGAACGGCGGCAAGGCCCCCGGATAGTTGTTCCATGATGCAGAAGTCGCCTTATGGAACATGCACGTTAATGATGTATTATACTCAGTAGTCCACTGCATGGAGCTTGGTCAGGAAGATCTGTCTGACTGGGTGATGACTTACGTAGTAAACTAGCAACATAAACCGGTCTTTCGGGGATCAATCTCCGCCCATTCCCCAACCAATATCATTCAGTTGTTCGCCGCCTCCTAAATGGACGAATATCCTGATTCTTTACGCCTGATATTTTGAGAATTGTTACAAATAAAGCTGATTGTCTTGCGTGTTGAAAAAATAAGCACCTAAATCTCTGTAATGCTTGTCTGTAGTTAATCCACACGAAGTCTCGCACTTTGAGGAGCAAAGCTTAGGATAGTCAACAAGGGTGCGTGGTTGATTCCAAGTTTTGTTTTGTTAAAGATAATTAAGTAATTAAAAACAGCTTAAAACTACACTAGTTTGGTGCGAACTGGTATGGAGACAGCAACTTTGTTCGTGAGGGTTCGCCCCAAATGGGATCAATGAGGGTGAACTCGCAGCTGTGGTGTGACTCGGTGTATTTCGGTGTGCTTCGGTGTAGTTGCCGAAACATCTGCCGGTTGAATGTTTAGCCCCGGAACTGAGCTCAAGCTCCTCAAGCGTTGCCGAACCCAATTGCCATGGGGAGCGGGCCACCCCACCTCGGCTTCGAGGATCAAGCTGGGGAAGTGAAGGGGATGAAGGGGAAGAGCTATTCTCCCCAAACTCTCAACTGGTACATCATTTAAGCTCCCCCCTGACCTCGGCGACATCGCTCATTTTTACCCGACTCTTTTTCGACCTGCTGCCGGCTGTTTTTTCTGGACGTTGTCTCTTTTTCTCTATTCAACAAGCTCAATCCTCCCTACAGCGTAATCATCTCGAGTCAATTGACGAGCGAAGCTCCAAAAACACACCGCAACCATGTCTGTTCCCAAAGGACTCTCGTCCGTGCTGAAGAAAGCACCCTCCGATGTCGTGATCCTCTCGTCGTTGCGAACAGCCATCTGTCGGTCGAACCGAGGACAGTTGAAAGACGCATACCCTGAAGAACTACTCTCGACCGTTCTTAAGGCCACGCTCGACGCCAACCCGAACCTTGACCCCGCCAAGATCGAAGATGTCGCCGTCGGCGTCGTCCTCTCAGAGCTCGGCGGCTCCAAGGCGGCGCGCATGGCCATGAACCACGTCGGCTACCCCAATGAAACCTCCCTGTACACCGTCAACCGCGCCTGCTCGTCATCGCTGCAGTCGATTTCGCTCATCGCGTCACAGATCCGGACCGAGACGATATCGGTGGGCATTGGTGCCGGAATGGAGAGCATGACTCGGAACTACGGCAGCCGTGCGATCCCCGTAGACGTGTGGCCCGCGTTGAAGGACTCGCCAGCCAAGGATGCGAGGGATTGCATCATGCCGATGGGCATCACCTCGGAGAACGTGGCGGAGCGCTACGGTGTCTCCAGGGCAGACCAGGATGCGTTTGCCGTGCGCAGTCATCAGAACGCCGCGAGAGCGAGGGAGGATGGCTCGTTCGCTCAGGAGATCGTCCCCGTCACAACAAGATACCAAGAGGTAGACAAGCAGGGCAACAAGGTTGGGGAAGAGCAGACCATCACAGTCGCCAAGGACGACGGTATCCGCGCCAACATTGGCATCGAGGCTCTACAGAAGCTGAAGCCGGCGTTCAAGCCGGATGGTGCCAGCACTGCAGGCAACTCGTCGCAAGTTTCCGACGGTGCCGCCGCCACACTGCTTATGCGCAGAAGCACCGCCACAGAGCTGGGTCTCACCGATAGCATCATCGGCAAGTTCATCGGAGCTACGACGGTGGGATGCGCGCCGGATGAGATGGGTATTGGCCCCGCTCTGGCGATCCCGAAGCTCCTCGGCCAGTTCGGCCTTGAGAACAAGGACGTGAACCGCTGGGAGATTAACGAGGCATTCGCTAGTCAAGCAATCTACTGCTTGAGGGCACTGGGTCTGGAGCAGGCTTATGAGGACGGCAAGGTGAACCCTGATGGTGGTGCAATTGCTTTGGGACACCCTCTTGGTGCTACTGGTGCGCGCATGACGAGCACTCTGTTGCACGGTCTGGGGAGATCTGGTGGTGAAGTTGGTGTTGTCAGCATGTGTGTCGGTACTGGTATGGGCATGGCCGGGCTGTTCGTGAGAGAGTAAAGATCAAGATTGTAATTATACCAATCAAGTCGCTTCGTTGACTAATCTTGGGCTATTTGAGGGTGTGCCTGGTAGGCATTTTGGTGCTTGCGCCACAGGATGCATCTCACCGTGCATGATGCAGCATGCTCGGCGTCCACCCTACGGCTATGATTGGTGTTTTTTACCGCTCATATGGTCGCGGAAGCCCACAGCAACAATCAGGCTGACACCATGCCCAAACCTGAACCTCTACAAACCTCTTCTTCGGACCCGATCCTACATGTCTTGTTGCAAAAGCGCATTGCCATAATCGCCTACCGCGAAAACTCTCTATCTCTGCGCTCCCCTGCGATGCAATGGAAGTGATAGGCGCGGTAGCAAGCTTTATCGCTATCGGCCAGGCTCTGATCGCTGGACGCCATGTCATCGATGTTCTTCGAGCAATCCCCGGCATCGGAAACGAGCTGGCCTGGCTCAACAACGAAGTCAGTATAGGCGCCAAGGTTCTTCTACTGGAACCAAAAACTGATCGCTATGGTCTTCCTTGTAGATTGAAACCCTTCGACTAGTGGTTGAAGAAGCAGATATGCGGGGAACGAGCACCGATCAATCCCTGCCTGAGACGCCGTTGCTGAAGAGAGCCAGGCTCCAGCTCGGTGAAATTGTCTCAGAGCTCGAGCAGGTCCACGAGAACTGTGTCCGAGCTGTCAAAGAGGATGGCAAGGTCAAGCCAAAGAAAACGAAGTGGTTTCTGCAACAAAATAGGCTATCTGAATGTCGCGAGAAGGCGCGTGATGCCCGCGCAAATCTCCTCGCTGCTTTACAAACATTGCAGCTCAGGGAAGCCAAAGAAACCAAGTATGAGGCGCAGGAGAAGAGACCGACGACATCATAACTGACATATTACAGACAGCTCGTCCTGCGCATCGAGAGCTTCGCGATTGAAACACACGGTGCAATGGCATTGATCTCTTCAAACCCGAAAGACTTCGAAGGACGCTCTCGCCACCTGCAAAGTCCACGGGTCTATGACATGAAAGCGCTAAACCAACCGCAGTATGAGAAGTCTGTTGGCCAAATGAACACCGACATACAACAGCTTGTTCTCTCGGGCAATCAATCGACGAAAACGACTGGGCTCTCATCCAAGGGTTCAGATAGTGTGATTATCAACGCTTCACTATCGGCGCTCGAAAGGTGCCCCCGGCCGTGCTGGTGTCGCTGTCATGGCTCGCGTCCTGTATCCTACAGATCCGCAGATTGGGTCCGAAATCTGATTGGGTCTTTTTCACTGACCTACGACCGACAATTTGCCTGCAGTGAGAGCGAAAAATGCGACTCGTCTACCTGCAGAGGCAGCGGGAAAGCATCTACTACTTTCAGCTATTCTTTTCCGGCATGGCTGTGCTCTCGCCTAATATATCTTCAGGCTTCAGTAAACGCTTCTAAAAGAATAAGCTTTTCGTTACGACCGGTTAGGATAATATCGCTTAATCATATTTTCTGGGGCTGCGTCGAACACCACTCGAGAAGAGAACTGAGCCAGCTGATGCAACATACCGGGATAATATACCCTGGTGATAGCGCCTCTAACGGGGACACAGCATTGCACGTGAGAGTTTATTCCCCAATGCTTTTGGTTTCCATGGTCATTATCGCTGACAACATTCTGTTTAATTTACGGTTCTAGTACGTTGTTTCTAGCGGAACAACAGATATCTTGTTGTATCTGGCACACTTTTGGGGAGACCAGCTGAACGATGATAGTTTTGACCAGTAAGTCTGATGTGCACAATCAGGTATAAACCAGGGATTTTCCTGAATAACATGTGGAAATCCTAGCAACTGGTTCTTCAAAGCAAACCGTTTGGTCGAAGACGAAGTTTCTCTGCCCTCAGAGAAGAAAGATGCATTACGCAATATGATTTCTCGCGGCGAAGCCAGAGTTGACGCCATACAGACGCCCTTGCACAGTGCTGTTAGACAAGGGGACATGTCTGAGATACAGCGAGCCGCCAAAAGTCAATCATGGGCCATGGACCAGCTTAATCACCGCGGCGAAACACCTTTACATGTAGCTGCCAGCTTGGGAAACATCGATGCTGTCAGGGAATTACTCAGGTTGGGTTGTGATGTTGATCAGAGAGACAGTTCCGGAGAAACTGTCCTCATCAGAGCCAGCGAAAAGGGCTATACCCTGATGGTACAATACTTACTCGATGCCGGTTGTAGCGTTGATGCGAAGAACAATCTCGGCCTCACAGCCCTGCACCGTGCTGCCGGGATGACAGGTGAAAGCTCTACGGAGATAATAAAATTACTGTTGCGGGCAGGAGCGTCACCGACGGCTGTCGATCCACATGGTCGTTCTGTTCTCCACTATCTTCTGGGAAGAGGTGTTAACAGAGATATCTTTAAAGAGAATCTGCGAATGCTTTTGGAAGCAGGTGCTGACTTAGAAGGACGCAACTATCTTGGATGGACGCCGCTGGAGGAAGCAATTCTACATCAGGAACAAGTTTGTCTTCAATACCTCATGGAAGCAGGCGCCAGAACAACACCTTCGAGTACTCTGGGCACTATTCTACATATGGCAGTGCATTGTGCGGATCATGGCATACTTTCATTTTTGGACAGCTTATCACTTTCCGAAATAAACACGGACATGGTCAATTGGGCAGGAAATACAGCATGGGATGAATTCATCTGGGTCTCTTACGCCAAGGGCTGGAAGCTGTCAGGTCTTCTAAGGCCGACAGCAGAAGAAAAGGAGGCATTCGTACGATTGTATATTGGGGTGAGAAACAGGAATCTGGAGAATGAAGTCGAAACCCTGCAGCGAATTCGTCAATATTTATTGCACGAGGATCAACGAGGGGCCGCAGCTGCGCTGGCCCCTCTGATCAAACAGAAGATGGAATGGGAACGATGGGATCTGGTACACACCTACAAGACGGTTGGGCTACAGATCCGAGAAGCGATGTGGGATGCAGCAATAGAGTCGGTGGACGAAAAAAGTGAGGTTTTACGGGAGGAGATGGGCAAGTCTCCATGGCAACACTCTTCTCGTTGGGATTGGTTACTCCACGACTACCCAGAAGAGACTGCGTCCGAGTCGGAGAATGGGTACGAAACAACCATAGGCTATTCTGAAGAAGAATACGAAGGAGAAGATGACGAAGATGAAGAAGAGGATGAGGAGGAGGAGTGGCAACTGTTCACAATTGAAGAGGAAGTTAACAGGCAGGGCCAAAATTAGAATGTATATGACAAACTACAGGGTTGAGTTAAAGCAAACAAGTGGTGTTTGATTATCTTAAGAATACATACAGAGACAAAAAGAAGAGTTTTGCAACTCTTTTTGAGCTGGTCTAGGATGGCAACGGGCTTTTGAGTGAAGGCTAGAGGAACTATGGAAAAATGGATGAAAAGTCAGACTTTCGTGGGTTGGCTGGGAATGAAGCGGAAGCTTATGGATACAATCACAACTTACAACACTACTCAACTCCTGAGCACATAAATAAAAGACGGAGCAACCAGCTGGCCGACTTGCAAAACCAAACAAAGGCAAATTTGACAGAGCCGTAATCGCAGGGTAATGGCGGGTCAACCAGACGAATGATACGGCAAAACTAGGCGCTTTAGCAAAGGAGACCTCATGGAATATTGGGTTTCGCGGAGTAGCCCTGCCGCTGCTTTCGGACGTCCCTGATTATCGGAGTTCTGTCCCTCCCGTTGCGCGTTGAAGCCCGGACTGGCTCGGCCAATCGGCCCCACTGGCGCCGCGACCGGAGACGCCGAAGTCAGCTGCGGCCAGCTCCCCACTTTTGAGCACCGATTCCCTGCACCTGGATTACCCCAGGGATCCGGGTCGTGGCCACTGAGGCCGGGGCACGCAAGGGCTACAGTAGCTTGATGCGACAGAACGGTGGCAGTGGCGACCTGGAGAGTTCGTCCGATCCTATGGGGGCTTAGCAGATCGTTCCGAAACACTTCCATCAGGACCGTTGACTTGAACCTAGCCAAGAATCCATTGGGAACGTGTACGTCGTACCGCCAACAAAGAGTTCATTTGCAGCATGCAAGCAAACAAGAGATGTCTAGTTTCCCGGGATAGAGACTCGTTGAACACAATGCCCTTGCCATTCGCCGCATCGGACCCGAGGAGCCGAATGCGAAAGGCGACTAATGGCGTCGCGTCATTGGTGGCTTGTTCCCCTCAGCTCCCGGTCTGTGGCTTGCTGACCCAGCAGGGCTGACAAGCTCACAAGGCACCCCGCGCAGTGACTGCGCCACGGTGAGAGTGACGAGTAGAGGTAGCTGAGCCGAGGGGCGCGGCAGGGCGCTCGCTGCTGTGCGCGGTGTGGATGTGGTGGATGTGACGGCGGGGAGATCCAATCCCCGTTAGGCGCGCTGCATGCATGTCGTGCCCCTCCTTGGCAATTTCCGCAAGCTCCGTTTCTGCTGCGTCTGACGGATAGCGTGAGCGCTCATGTCTGACGGCCTTTTAAGCTCCAGCTATCCCCTCTTCTTCAGCTGCGGTTCGTTTCATTTATCTGTCTGTCCGATCGATACAACGTTGTGTTATACATTCTCCAACATCTATCACAGTCTAATTCGACAACTTCCCTAGCCAACATGTCTGCGAACGATTACTACGGAGGTGGCGGCAGCGGCCACGGGCACAACCAGGGTCACGGCCAACATGGTTACAACCAGGGCGGAGGCTACGCACCTCAGCAGCCCAGTTATGCACAGGTACGCAAAGCCAGCCTTCGCAACTGTTGCAACAGCCAGGCCATCGCCATTATTCGGTCATACTGACGTCTCCAAAAGGGCCAACAGCAGCACGGTGGCTATCCCCCTCAGTCGCATTCCCCGTACCAGCAGGGAGGCGGCTACAACGCCCCTCCACAGCACGGATACGGCGGACCCCAGCAGCCAACATACGCTCAGGGCGGCTCGCAACATCAGCAGAGCTACGGCCACGACAACCGAGGCAGCTCTCCCTACCCTCCCCAGCAGCAGTACAACCAGCCCGGTCATGCGCCTCCCCACGGCGGACAGCCTCAGTACGGTGGCCAACCTCAGTACGGCGGCCAGCCTCAATACGGTGCGCCCGGTGGTCCCGGCGGCCCGGGTCAGGATGAGCGCGGTCTCGGTGCGACATTAGTCGGTGGCGGCGCTGCCGGATGGGCGGCACACAAGGCCGGTGGCGGTCTCCTCGGCACACTCGGCGGTGCGATTGCAGGAGCAGTTGGCGCGAACATGTTGGAGAACAAGTTTGAAAAGTGAGTTTTCTTCATCACGGTGATATCCGGACCAAGACTGACAAGAACGCAGGAAGCACAAGAAGGATAAGAAGCACAAGAAGGACAAGCACCGCAAGCGCAGCGGAAGCAGCAGCTCGAGCTCAAGCAGCGACTAAGAGTCTGACTGCACTATTGAGAACCTCGACCTGATATTAAATTAAACCCCTTCTGGTGCCCAATTTGGATGATACCCCGATTCAATCTCTGTCAAGCGCACCGGAAGAACGACTGCCGACGACTGCTTGGATGTTTTACGAACTGCATAAATAGAAATTAATGTCACTTGGTATGAATAAAAAAATCGTTTGAATAAGGCTCTCACGGATTGAAATTATCGTGTCGCATTACTTCTTCTATGGTATCTCTCACAAACACATGATATACAGTGATCTTACTCCATCTGCTTCAGGTCTTTGGCAACCTCGAACGTCGCGTCCGTCTTCGCGCGCACTTCCTCGACATCGACGCCGGGTGCGACCTCAGTCAACGTTAAGCCGCCGTTCTTGCGGTCAACTTGGAACACACACTGTGGCCGGCATTAGCAACACGTCCCTAACAACGTTTGGGGCGCAACTTACCAAGTCGGTGATGATGGTGCTGACGACGCGAGCGCCCGTCAGAGGCAGGCTGCAATCCTGCACGACCTTGGAGGAGCCGTCCTTGGCGACGTGCTCCGTCGCGACGACGATCTTGGTGTTGTCCGGGTTCGACACCAGGTCCATGGCGCCGCCCATGCCCTTGAACACCTTTCCGGGGATCATGTAGTTGGCCAGGTCGCCCGTGGCGCTGACCTGCAGCGCGCCGAGGATCGAGACGTCGACGTGGCCGCCGCGGATCATGCCAAAGGACTCGGTGCTGTCGAACGTGGAGGCGCCCGGGACGAGAGTCACGGTTTCCTTGCCGGCGTTGACGATGTCACTGTGGGAATGGGCTCTTAGTTGCTGGCCGACCGGTGTGGATGAGGATGTACTTACGCGTCAACTTCGTCCTTCGTCGGGTAAGGACCCATGCCCAAAATACCGTTCTCGGACTGGATCCAGACTTTACGCTCAGCAGGCAGGAAAGAGGGGGCCAGCGTTGGTATTCCTACGACTGTTAGAATATCTCCTTTCTCTTCACGCCGTTGCACTCGAGCAACTCACCAACACCGAGGTTCACATAGAACCCCTCTTTCAGCTCCTTTGCCGCACGCCTCGCAATGCGATCGCGGCGCTCCTGCGCGCTGTTCTTGGGCTTGGAGGCGTCCTCGCCGTCGGCTCCCTCCGATCTCGTCTTGAGGATCTCAATGTTCTTCTCGGCGGTGGAGGGGACGATGCGGTCGACGAAGATGCCGGGCAGGTCCACGTCGTTGGGGTCGATGGCACCAGCCTCGACAATGTTCTCCGCTTCGACAATGGTGACGGTGGCAGCCTTGGCCATAATGGGTCCGAAGGCCTTGGTGGTGTATCTGCGTTGAGCCGAGTTAGCGCGGTTCCGCAGTCAAAAGCAGTCAGACACGGAGGGTTCGGACGCACCTGAAGACACAGTTGCCGGCGGTGTCGACCTTCCATGCTCTCAGGATGGCAACGTCTCCGGTCAAGGCGGTTTCCATGAGATACGTCTTGCCGTTGAACTCTCTCGATTCTCTTTTGCGACCGCGCTCCTTCACCGCGCCGGAAGCGTCCAACCGTACGGGAATGTCACCGCTTTGCACCAACGAGTCTACAACAGTTAACGTGGCCCAATACTGCTTTGGATGATGTCACCTACGAGCTCCAGTGGGCGTAAAGAAGGCGGGAATGCCGGCGCCACCGGCGCGGATCCTCTCAGCGAGTGTTCCCTGCGGGCACAGCTCGATGGCGATCTCTCCCGTCAGGTACTTCTTTTCGAGAGCCTTGTTATTTCCGAGAAACGAAAGAATCAAACGATTCACCTGGCCGGCCTTGGTGAGGGTAGCCAGACCACCCTTGCCTTCTTGGCCGGCATTGTTTGACACTGCAGTCAGCGAGTGCAAGTTCTCGGGGCCTCTACGGTTGAGTGCACCAATGATCGTGTCTGTAAGAGACCATGTTAGTCAATTTCGATTCGCGCCAAAACCAGTCTCCCTGGGCTGCTCAGTGTTTACCTGCAACACCACAAAGTCCGAAGCCAGAACTCAAGATGGTTGATCCGCTCTTGATGTCGGCGACAGCCTCGTCCGCAGATGCGTACAGCTTCGATCCTCCCCTCTTTACGGCCGGCGCCTTCTGAGACCTGCGAATTGGCGTTGTGGTGATGCCGCGACAGCTTGCGACGCCGAGAACCTTTGCGCGGGGGAACCGTTGCGGTTGCGCGCAGACTGCAGGCAAAGCTGTGAAGGATGCCCGAATAAGCACCCGCGGGCGCAATTGGCGAGTAACTGAAGACATGTTCTACTTTGAAATTGTCACAAATCACAACCAAAGTGTTGAGCTCCTGCGACAAGGTCTGGGAACAGATAAGAACGAAGAAGATGAACACGAATCCGATTGTCAGTGACACCTTCGACTTCGGGTTAGGTGGGCGCGACGCATCTTTTCAACGGGTTTGTGGGCGGGCCTCATCGGTGGTTCTTTTGCACGCCGACGACATGATGACTGCGAACCAGCATGAACCCAGGTCCATTCTTCAAGAGGGTCACCTGGGTCCGTTCTCTGACGTCTTTGTAGGTACGGATGGCGGGGCACCGGGACTTGCGGGAACTAGGACGTTTTGTTGCAGTAGTTCTCGGCGGCCAGAACTGGACTCCGAACCAGCTTCCCGCCCCCAGGTTGACACACGGTAGACACCGGCCTCTCATTGGTGCGGACGGCTAGCGGCCAGCTTTGGTTGGGCAATCTGGGGATGGTGTAAGATACCACCCGCAGGCGACTCAAGCAACCCCGCAGATTTGGGGTCCGGGGAAGACGGGCTTCAAAACGGGAGAGGAACCCCCAAGTTTTTGCCTATGCTTGGCTCATTTCGACGAAAGGTCTCGTTGTTCTTGGTTGTAGTAGTCTTGCTTGTCACGCTGTCGCTTTGACAGAGTTCTTCTTGAGGTAGAAAGTGCCCAACTTGGTTCGAGCCCGCCATGACGACGAAAGACTTCGACATGGACCCCAAAGCCGAGCACGATGAGAATGAGTTGGCTGCTGACGTGGAGCGTCAGCGCCATCTCACAAAGACCCTGTTGTTCAAGGTCGACACCAGGTAAGCTCACATGAAGCCATTGATGATACTTTGGAGTGAGGGCACTAACACGACATGATTGACAGGGTCCTACCTCTGCTCGCACTCCTCTTTCTCTGTTCATTCCTCGACCGAACCAACGTCGGCAATGCAAAGATCATTGGCCTGGAGGAGGATCTTGGCATCGACAACAGCCAATACAACCAGGGCTTGGCCGTTTTCTATGCAACATACATCGCCAGGTACCATCCTCTTCAGCTGATCTTCAGCCTTTCAAGACCCCCCAAGGCCCATCATCCCATGTGTTTACCCCACACGTCCGGTCGCTAATGCACGCCCAGCGAGTTGCCAAGCAACCTCGTCCTGAAAAAGGTCTCACCCAGAATCTGGCTCCCGTTCCTCACTTGCGCGTGGGGCATCGTTACCATGTGCCTCGGCTTTGTCCGCAGCTACGGCAGCTTCGTCGCCGTTCGTGCGATCCTTGGCATGTGCGAGGGTGGACTGCTGCCGGGCATGGTGCTCTACCTCTCTGGGCTCTATACCCGCGGAGAGCTGGCGCTCCGGATCGGCATCTTTTACACGGCTGCATCCCTCTCCGGTGCGTTTGGAGGCCTTCTTGCGAGAGGTTTGTCGGCCATTGGCCCCAAGGGTGGCCTTGAGGGATGGAGATGGATCTTCATCATTGAGGGTCTCATCGTGAGTTTCTGTTGTTCAGATGCTCTGCCGTCAAGTTTCTGACATACTGTCGTAGACCGTCGTTTGCGGAATTATTGCCGCTATTGGTTTGCCCAACAACTTGGCGACCGCCAAGATACTGACCCCCGAAGAGCGCGAGTGGGCGTCGCTCAGACTCCAAACCAATATCGAGGGTCGATTCAAGTACGAATATCTCATTGAGCCACAGCGTATGAAAACAAGAGGCTGACACACTTGACAGTTCTGCTAGTGAAAGAGAGGAGAGATTCCGCTGGTCAGAAGTCGGGCGCGGCGTTCTCAACGTTCAAGTATGGCTCAGTGCGACCGCGTATTTTGCGATTCTGTCTGGCCTGTACTCTTTTGGTCTTTTCGTAAGTCTTGGTTGCCATGGATGCGTGCAGCCGAACACTGTTGGCTGACAGCACCACCTTAAAGCTCCCAACTATCATCAACGACATGCACATCGCATCCAACTCCAACCAGGTCCAGCTGTGGTCCGTTGTCCCATATGCCGTCGCAACCCCTGTCACAGGTAAGCACTCAATCACCAAGGCCCTATCGTGGCGTGACCCATCTAATACGACGAACAAGTTCTCGTGGCCTTCCTGTCGGATCGTCTTCGCCTTCGCGGTCTCCTCATGCTTTGCGTTCTTCCCATCTCCATAATTGGTTACGCTGTCATCGCCAACGTCACAGCGCCGCAAACGAGGTTCGCCATGACTTGCCTCATGGCCATCGGCATGTACAGCGCTGTTCCTTGCGTCTTGGTCTGGAACTCCAACAACTCGGCCGGCCACTACAAGCGAGCTACGACCTCTGCGCTGCAGCTTGCCATCGCCAACTGCGGAGGGTTCGTCGCGAGTAAGTCAAAGGCCTCATCCAGAAGAAAGCTTTCGCTAAACTGTGTCGCAGCCTTTATCTATCCCAGCAATGAAGGCCCATTTTACCACAAGGGCCACACTGTCATCTTGGGTTTGCTGTGTTATGCATGGGTAGCGTATGTCAACCATCACTAATGATCTAGCTCCCGCGTGCTGACATTTATGACAATAGAACTCTTCTGAATGTCCTCTGGTGCGCCAAGATCAACCGTGACAAGGCGGCAGGGAAGTACGATGAGTATGAGGGTACGGGCGATGATCGAGAGCCCGGTTTCAAGATGGTATTGTAAGCACCTAGCTGGGATCTACACGAATAGCAAATTATTAAAGAAAACGATGGATATGATGGATATGTTGAAGAGAGATGGTAGTGTCTCCTTTTCTCTCTCGTTCTGTTTGCAGGGATTCTTGGTTTCGGGTCGCGACTTGGAGGGTTTTCTTTTATTCCACGTAGACCTCCTTTTACGTCAAACTTCCATGTACATTGGCACTGAATCGGGCGGCGGCCAGGGACCACCGAGGGGTCCCTGGAGCGAGGGCTAGGGATCGCTGACAGGGCAACTGGGCTGCACTCATCGGATGGGACATCATTACACCGCCTTGATTGATTGATTGATTGATTGATTGATTTGTTCCTACACGGTTATGATGCCGCTTTTTATGCCAGCAGCTGACTTTTGCCCGCAACTGCGCCCAGTTGCAAAACCCTATATACGGGTAACTCTGTGATACCAACAATGACTTATAGCTGCATCCTCTAAGACGCGATCATCAGTATACGGTTTGATAAGACTAGTAATATTTCGAATATCAGCTTTACCACTCTTTTCAATAGACGTCCTACTGTGAGATTGACTTACCTAGAAATACTTTTGACAAGTTGAGGTGGTGCTACAAACCAGATTGTCACAATAGTCGTCCGAGTCGTCGCATGTGCCTCCTTCCTTTGTGCACTTGTCCTTATTCTTCTTCGTGCATGAGCTCTTCTTACACTTGGAGCCGGAGCCGGAATTTTTGCGGCCTAGAAGGAGGTCCATGGCGTCGCGGCTTCAACGTTAGCGGCTATATCCACAGAGTGAGGAACAGCGCTAACGGCAGTAGCCAAGTCGAAAAACAAGGCAGTAGTAAGATAGAACCGCATTGTTAGTATTATGAATAGGCCGGATACGTGTAAAACGTAGTACCTAAGTAAAAGTCGGTTGAGGTGCAGTTGGTCAAGGTGTTTTAAGGTTGAATGTCGAAATCATACTAAAAAGTAAAGAAGTAGGAGTCTATACACACAAGAGCTTTTATACACACTATTCCTCTGACTCTGTTTTACTAAATTCTAATTTTCGGTCAAATTATATGAATAAGTTTATTTGAGTTCTAAAACTCATTTCTACAAAGTTAGGTTCTCCTGGCGCAGATCACTTAGGGTAGGAGTCTATCACCTTGTATCATTAATGCATGGAGATAGTCTGCAGTTCATCTCGGTTCTTCCGCTAATAACCTTTCGGTCACATAACAACAGCAGCAGCTTACGTCAACATTGTTAAGGATTTGCCATATACGACTTTACCATGCTCTCAATGAGCACGATGTCACCGTCGGTAGTAAGCCCTACAGTGTATTGGTATGTCACTCAAGACGACGCCGTAAATTGCCGGCAGAAATTAGCGCCTTATATCTCGTTACATAGTACATCAACTCTTACTGACCAAAAATAGCAGCTCACCGGGTGTGGGCACTCAAATAATCCCGGGACGTCGATGACTGTCAGAGTGTTTTTGCTCTTCACATAGTGTCAGCCTATAAATAGAAAGAGAGAGAGATAGGCATCGAACAGCGTCAGGGCCGCTGATCTCGATCTTGAGGATATCCTGACTGAACACCCCAAGACCAACATCGTCGTCAGCTGCACTCATGCGGATGCCCATTGCCACATTGGCCTGGAATGAAGTTATCAGTGAGGAGAGAACTCAGCTGGCGGGGTTGAACAAAAGCAACGTCTCTGAGAATCTTGGTGAGGTCTTCATCGTAAAGGTTTGACAAGTGGCGCTTGAGTTGAAGAAGCTTGGCCTTATCTGTTTACTGTGCAAGCAACCTCATCACCCTGCTCGCGCGATCCTAGGGCGACTGGTGATCTGGACTTACCTGATACTCAGAGTGGCAGATTCCATTGCAATGAAACCATGTCCACAATGCCCAAAATTTCCCAGTCACCATCGCCAGTCTTCTGGTTCAAAGACTAGTGCTTTCTTGTAACTATCACATCATTGACGCTGCTTACTTGTGATTGAACGCATGCAATTAACCTCAACGAAGCAAAAACGACCAAAACGGAGACAGTACCATCTGAGTGCTGTGTCAAGTAAAGCAGCACTTCGTGGAGCAGCAGGAATAAGAACACTCGTCATATAGTGTATTTTACAACAACACGCCTTGGGTGACCCGGTTCTGAGCCCCGGTATTTACATTTCCTCCAGAGACGACAAGTACAACTCCTTCACTTCACTACAACTTTGACTCGCGTGCAGGTGCAAAGTTGGACCGCGATGCCCCGCCAATCGCCTCCGTGATGGTGTCGACCGACTTCAGGATCCACTCGCTGCCCTCGTCGCTCGCCAGCCACTGTGCGCCCTTGATGTCCTCCTGGTTATCAGCCTTGAACGTGCCATCCTCCAGGCCTTTCCTCAATCCGAAGACGTGCGATAGTACTTGTGGGCCGACGCCCGTTTGCGCTCTCAAACAAGAGATAGCGACGATGGACGTCAGCACTCTTCCTACGCTCGCCAGGCCCCCGCGCTCCTTGGGGTCCGATAACAACCCCGCGTAGTGGCTATTCAGGATGTGCACCGGCAGGTCGGGGTGCGACTGCGCCAGCTTCTCGTACAGCTTAACCTCGAAAGGCGCGTAGATCGAGTCCCAGAGCGCCTGACCGCGCGCGGTGATCTCGCCAATGTTCTGCGCGTTCGGTGCGCGCGTCGGCTTCGTCTCCAACTGAGCGGTCACCTCCTTGGGGAGGCCGGCGTAAAATGCGTTAAGGCAGTTGATGGTGCGCGGGATGCCGTTGAAGCTGATGCACTTGAGGCCGATCTCGCGGATGAACTCGGCCGTTTCGCGCTTGTCTGGACGGCCGGATGAAGATGCGACACTGTAGAGAGACTCGAGGGAGTCGGGAGAGTTTAGGGTGAACGTTGCTGCGGCCTGTGGCACGAGGCGTTAGTCACGGTTGCGCGAGGTGTTGTGGCGTCAACTCAATTCGAGTCAATCGGGCTCTACAATGGTGAGGAAGCTGGGCGCAAAAGGTTGCTTACCGAGATGGCCAGCCATGGCTTTGTACCAACGTTCTTTAATGTCGCATCGCGAGCGATCGACTGGTAAACGTCGCGGATGTGCGATGGCGCAGCGGTCTGGCCGGGACGCGCAAAGGGCGCATTGATGAGAGTCTTCAGCGACGGTGAGAGTTTCGACATGTTGTCCTCGGGTTTGTGATTACTACTGGACTTCTTCTGGTTCAATTGCTCCTCTGAAGGCGCGTCATCCATCGGAACAAGACCTGGTCACTTGAGTGGGATGCGGAAGTGGTTTTGTTTCCCCAATGGAAAGGGATCGGAGGGGTTCCGCAGTCGGAACACAGAAGAAGAGCCCCGTGCGAGGTCCTCGGAGTCAAAAAGAAGTGCCGACATGGTGAGTTCCATGTGACATCAGCGTGGGGAATCCTGGCTCGACTGCTCATCATTGCGCCGACCTGCCGAGTGCGCGGCGGGACTACTTTTAGAGGCCGAGGGATTGTGCGATATGCCTGAGGGACGGCGCGTATCACCGGTTCGGGGATGGATAAGGGGAGCAAGGGGGTCGATGAACGCAAAACAGCATTATTTATCAAAAGAGCACGTCCGCGGATCGTATTTCTCGAAACGGATTCTGAGGCTGCTTTTTGGACTCTTGTCGCAAATACCCACACTCAACATGGCTGGCGGTAACAAGCAAAAGGAACCTTTCTGGCTCGGGTATGTAGTAACGTCAAGCATTGTACACTGTGGCGCGCCTGTCGACTGACTTGTTGGCTGCAGAGGTGCCGCAGCATCAATGGCCGTCTGTTTTAGTAAGCTTCATGCTAGAGATCGGCCAAGTCTTAATGTTTGCCCACGATACTGACCACACAATGATAGCGCATCCACTGGATCAGACAAAATAGTATGTAAATCTTGCCCCTAGAACAAAAAGGAAACGATTACTGACCATCACAGTCGGATGCAGGTTTTAAAATCACGAGAGTCCATGTTTCGGGCCATGTACCGTTTCGCGGCACGAGACGGTATGCATATTCCGACATGTATGACGATCTTCCACTGACCCAAACAGGCTTTTTCTCCCTTTGGTCGGGGCTTTCGGCATCCATCTTTCGACAAACGACCTACTCCACTGCAAGATTCGGTCTCTATAACTACTTTGCGCAACAAGCTAAACAATGGACCGGCAAAGATAAGTTGACGACAGCGATGACGATATCATGCGCTGGGCTGGCGGGAGGTATGGCCGGGCTAGTGGGGAACCCTGCCGAGGTGAGTAATTGCTGGATACGTCCTCCTCTGCCGGCATGAGCTGACGAATTCTATCTAGGTTGTCCTCGTCCGAATGTGCGCCGATGGAGCTAAGAACGTCGGTGAACGTTTCGCGTACGCCAATGCGATCGAGGGGCTTTACAGAATAGGAAGGGAAGAAGGAATGGGCGCGTTCACTAGAGGCATCTCTGCCAACGTTGTTCGCAGCGTACTCATGAGTAAGTCGACAAATCTTGGAAAGGCCTGACACGTTCCAATTGAGGCTAACTGATAATGACAGATGTGGGACAAATCGCCACGTGAGTGCCAAAGGAGTGGACGACCACCAAGAGCGGTCTGAAGAAACAAGGAAGCTAAAGCACGAAACAGATACTCGACGGCAAAACGGATCCTCTTGCAAAAGACTGATATGAAAGACGATATCAAAACGCACGCCGTGGCCTCCCTCTTCGCCGGAACTGCAGCGACGACAGCCTGCGCGCCGGCCGATGTCCTGAAGAGCAGAATCCAGAGTGCCGCCGCGGGCGGCCCAGGGGCAAACGTGAGTAGTGACACAACCCACGTCCCAGGATTTGGCTATTAATGGTGCTGTAGTCTTTGCTTCGTATTGTGCAAAACGGTCTTCGCGAGGAGGGAGCGATATTTCTTATGAAGGGCTGGACCCCGGCGTGGTTGAGACTGACGTAAGCTGTGCTGAATAATGAGAATAACAATGTTGCTAATCTTTGCATACTGCAGGCCAAATACTGTCCTGACTTTTGTGTTTATGGAGCAGCTGCGACAACTGACCCAGTGGCAGTTCGCCGCTCCGGTTGAGACCATGAAGGCTTGATGTGTCTGTGCCTCCGAGGTAGGCATATCTCAACCGTCAAAACCCAAATTCTGTTAGATTAGGCCAGCTCAGCCAGTCAAAGTTATTCATATCCTCCCAGGACAAGCCTGCGAAGGAGGGGTCAAATTCATTACCGGGCTGATTAAGGACCTCGGCAATCTGGTCGTCGGACATGCTGGAGAATTGTAGGGTCTCGGGCCACAGTTGCGACTCCACGTAAGGTGGCTGTGATACCGGTGGTCCCATCGAGTTGATGGGAGGGGATGCTGCAACGGCCGAGGAGGGCGTCCCGAGTTGGCCGCTGCGAGGGACGGTCTGGTCGGGATGCATGTTCGCTTGAGGCTGCCCATCCGTAGCGGTGGCCGCCTTCTTGACGATGTGTCTTAGGTATTTCCCATATAGGGTCGACAGCCCATTCCTGTGCTTCGTAGCAGATCCAATACGTTCCAAGACATCCGCCGTTTCCTCAATGAGATTCCGAATGCTGGGTGCCAGATTCGAGCTTCCTGTGGCGTAGGCGCTCAGCGTCAGCGCGAAGCAGGCTGCAAACGAAACCATGATGGTAGTGTTATTGGGGATTGACTGGAGTTGCGACTCTCCTTGTATCACTGCGCGCATGACCGTCACAGCAGAGGAGAGTCCGGCAGTGCGGAAAAACTGTCGCACCTCCATTGGCGCTGTTGGGTGGTTGATGACGCCGCCGTAGGTTGAAAGTCGTGTGTGCGTGACGAGTATCTCAACGTACGGCGGGAGACGACGTTGGGGGCCTGTGCCAATGGAGAACCCCCACTCGGTAAGCCATTGGTCGAAGAATCTCTCAATGGCGCTTTCGATAGACTGGGCGATCAGCCCGCCATCTGTAGATATTCCTTGCGAGCCGTCGCATAGTGCGCGGACCGTGTTGAGGAGGCTGTCCAAGTCTCGGCGAAGAACAGCCATCGAAACAAGGTGGCCATCCATGGGGTCTGCGATGTTGGATCTGTGCCATTGATCGCAGTCTTTGATGACACGGGTCACAGGCACAGTATAAGGCCGACCGCGGGCCAGCGACATGCCTCGCTCGAGAACGAAGAGAGCAATCCAGCAGCGCTCACGGCGTCGCAGGAGACGCTGGCCGAGGTCAGAGGTATGCTCGATGTGGCTGAAGCCATCCATGGCAAGCGCTGTACGAGGGTCAAGACAGTCTCCGCGTGCTAGAGCAATGTGAGAGCCAGAGCCAAGGACTTCCATGGGTATCAGGAGCTTATGCAGAGACAAGTCAATGGCGATAGTAGCCGCCATATTCACGTACCAGCAAGTCTCGTCATCAGTGCTGTGCCGGCCAGGGAACATCCACGGGACGTTGACCATGAACGCAAGAACAATCTCTACGGACTTGTGCCGCTTGGCGATAACCCTGTGGGCAAGAGTCTTGCAGTGGTTGGACAATCTCTTGGACAAAGCGCCGGCGGATGGGAGAAAGAGGGCGGACGCGGCCATAATGGAGGTGCACAAGAAGGCAGACCGCGAACGGGTGAACGACGGAGTATAGATCTTCGGATCAAGACCCCAGCGGGTGTGAGCGAGCTTGCCATGGAAGCTGAAAAGTGAGTTAAGCGATACGCTCGTTGATGCCTGGCCGGTAGGTTGTCACTTACAAAGCGAAAAGAGATTCTGCTTCTTCCTCAGTCACGAGGCCCATGGCGATGGGATCAATGTCATCGCCGACGTCGAAATTGACGCGGACAGCGGTGAAAAAGGACTGCATCTCAGAGTCCTCGTCGGGCTGCTCGACGTGCTGCTTCTTGCGGCTGGCGCGAGGACCGGGCTGCTTCGGCGAGAGGCCGCTGATGGGCTTCGGCGAAAGCTGCAGGTTCGAGGCGCGTGCCAGCAGCTGGAGCGGGTTCTCGGCATCGTCGATGGCCAAACTCTCTTCATTGTGATGATGTAGACTCATGTACGTGTTGCTGTCTGGGGTGTTGTTCAAGTCATCATCATCGTCAGATGAGAGGTCGGGTTGGTCGGGGCTATCGAAATGCGACGAACCCCGCCTTAAGTGTGAGGAGGCGGTAGTTGACCGAGCAGTTCGAGAGCCCTCCAGGAGTGCCTGGAGATTGCCGATGGCCTTGTCATCTTCGGAGTTCTGCTCGCCGGTTCTTGCTCTCTTGATGGCCTGCTCTATTTGATATAGAGCTTTATCTAGACCCTTTCGCTTGCTATTGTGTGTAACCAATAATCAATATGGCTTCCGAGAGTGTGGGGGTTGTGCTACTGTGTTGGGGGGGTATGTCTCGGTTGTGGGTGCCAAAACCAACAGATCGGACGGCGCGGAGGGGGGGGATGGGTCGCCGTACTTTTTGATGCCCTTCTGCCTTCCAGCATGAAATGTAGGCCGAATGCACTCAGAATCGAGCTGAATGCACCTCTTGCATTTGTTCTCATGCGGAGAATAGTCGCACTTGATCTTACTTCGGCGGCAGACCAGACAGGCGGCCTGCTTTGGACGTAGCAATTGAGGATCCTCCATCCAGGTGAGGGGAAGGTCAGAGGAGCCGGGTGCACTATGGCGATCGCGGTGAAGGGCCCAAGCAAGCGGCAAACGGGGAGTTCAGAACACGCCTTTTGTTATTCTCGACGGTAGTGAGTGACTTTTGGTTACGTCGAGATGAGATCTTAATCCAATATCAGATATGGTCAGTTGACGATACGAACAAGCTGCCCCTAGAGCAGACAGCTCTGCTGAAGATGGAAGTGCTAAAACATTCAGACTCTCGGGTGACGAGATGTCGAATTACTTGAAGGGGCCTGGCGGCAGGGGAAGGTCCCCAGGTATGTGACTCGCGTGAAGCCGGAATCACTGGGGAAAGACGAATGAGGGCACGAATCAGCACTCGGCTACAGACCCGTCTGCCGATTGAAGGAGCTTAGTCATTGCAGACTCACTCTTGGCGGATGATTGAGATTACATAATTCTCTAGGTCACTGAAGCTGGGCATCCATCCTCACCTGTTTCTGCGCTGTGCTACAGTGTCTCTGATACTGATGAGCAGGAGTTCATTCATAGGGCCGGTCAACGCGCGCTTGGTGAACATAAGTTGAGGATTCCCACCGTGTTCTTCTGACAGTCGTCGATTTGGCAATGAGTATCCATGCATACACCAGAAACTTGACCGCAGCGAACCGGTGCGAGTTCAATCGGTTTGAAAAGCCCAAACCCAAAGCCTCCCCAGATGATCGAAAAGTGTCAGTGTCCAGTTGAGCATGCAGTACCGTTACCGGCATGTCTTGCAGCTGAAGTGCATGCGGATGGGACAATACCCGCCTAATCTGGAGGCTGAGTAACGGCCTCAGCCGTTAACCATGAATCTGTGTCTGGCCTCAATCACACACCACTCTAACTGGTATGAAGGCACCAGAGAGGATTAGTATGAAATCCCTTGAAGCCTTGATTTCATAATCATCCCTAAACCACCGACTCCCCTTTCGGAATATGTCTCCACCAGAGAGCAAGCTGCTCCCTCAGCTTACAGTGTTACGCGCTTGTGTTTGGCGCATTTTCTCCCCAAAACTCTCTCTCGCTTCCCGCAACCCTACACATCGCTCGTAAGAAGTTGAAGCCCTAGGCAACGAATCGTACCGGAACCGAGCCCCGCAATGGCCGGCTCGGTGTCCGTAGACCATGTCGTCCTCCGCAACGGCACGCCAAAGGAAGTAGCCCGTGTACTTTAAGCATATCCGTTCTAACACCATTGATTCGGTCGTTGTGACCTTTCACCTTCACGATGCTGCCGTCCAGGGTTCCATTTCACACAGCATCCTCTCCATATGTTTACCAATCGCCAACGATGCGCAGTCGATTATTCAAGGACTTAGGCAATCAGACAGTCTGTCCGAAAGGCACACAACCAATCAGGCGTTCATCAGGCCTTTCCGGCCATTGAAGGTAATGAACCCAGTATGGGATAGGGCTGGTGGCACTTGGGGTGTCGCAGGAGTAATTGCAGCGTCGATGAGATCAAGATGTTGTGCAATGATCTGGCCAAAAGGGCCTCACTCTACGGGTAAAGGTCGGAGAGGCGAATTACATAATTGAGCGCAATAATCAGCATCCTGATCGCCGATGCACCTCAGTCCAAGGACAACACAGATACAAAGCCACTTTTCTGTTACTACAAGCGGATACTGTTAGCTTGCTCAAAGGAAGAGTCGCAGAGCTTGAAGAAACTACGCGGAAGTGGACGAGCAATGTTCGGTCTCACTGCGAACTCACCCAACCTCTTACACAATGAACATTGTAGACTCCATCTTTTCCAATGAAGACCCCAAGAGCATGGAGATTGATGAGGACGCATGCATGCATAGGCTGCCGCCTCCAATTGAATTCAGGAACACTAAGGCGAAAGAAACCTGCTATCTCATCAGTTGATGATCCCAAGACACCGACGGAATGGCATCCGCATCAAGAAGCCACAGGGTTGAGCCTCAGTGATCCCAACAATACCATCCCAGCTACGATTTTGGACTAAAAGCTTTTCGAAAAATGGATGCACGCCAATGATACCCTGTTTTCAGAACCGAACTTTTGGCGGGCCAGCCTGAGCTATAACAAAGCAGCCTTAAGCTGTGGCTGAATCGCCCTGGCCGCAACTGCGTCTGTCTACGTACACACTGCGCCCCACGTTCCGACCACTGGTTCAGACTAAACCCACGTGATGATGATATGCATGGAGTCTGATTTATAATCAACCTCCTCCTGTCTGACATATAATCAATCTTCAGTTTGATCATTACGCGAGAGTTGATGAAGTTGCTGTAATTCGTCAATTGCCCCCTTGCAGGAATTTGTTTTATCAGCTCCCTCGAAATCGCTTAACCAGCGAAGCGATTAGGTCCACGCGTTGCTGCGTCTTCTGCTTAGACCCTTTAAATCCAACGCAACCTTCAAATACAAGCCATGGAATCACAAACAGGTTTCGGGGTCCGGCCAGGATTTAGAGAAGAGGAACGGCAAGTCGTTGTTAGGGTAAGTTAACCCAAGGACCTAATAACATCCCGCCTCTGCTGACACCTTGAGGAAAGGCCTGCGACATGTGCCGGAAGAAGAAGATCCGCTGTGACCCTACCACACAAGGGTGCGCTCAGTGCACCAAATATTCTACAGGTTGCCACTTTACGCCAATTGCAATGAAGAGGAGGCCTCGCAGACCAGCTGGGTTAGTCTGCTACTCTAGCTCACGAAGTTTGCCTCTATTAAACGTTCCGCAGCTTTAAATACATCGCACAGCTCGAGGAAAGACTATCAGAAGTTGAGACTTTGCTAGGAGATAGGGCTTTGAGGGAGCCACCTGTGTCTAAGAACAGTTCGCGTAAAGAGCAAACGACACGAGCAGTATCACGTGGCACAGCGGCATTGATCACATCGCCTAACGAAAGTAGCCTATGGATGCCAATGAGCGAATCACAACTTCCATCACCCTTAAAAATGAGCAACCTAGGGTTTCACCTCGAGGTTACACCCTGGGAACACGACCACGGCCAACCCGAATTGCCTACGCTTGGGGGTTATGTAACTGACCGTCTAGCTGGCAGTCCAAGGTCGCATCTCGCTGCAGAGCTACCGCCATTTGTTCGACCAGCGCGGCAGCAGCTTCCTACGAAGGCAGCCGCTCTAGAGCTGGTCAAGGAAACTTTCAGCAACTATAATAGGCACCTTCCACTTTTTGATGAAGAGGACTTCATGAGAGAGTTTCAACTCAAGTACTCGACTTCCAGCGCTGGAGACGCTGCTTGGTGGGCTTGTCTCAATGTCGTGCTGTCGATAGCTCATCGTCTCCGCGCCCTGCGCATATTGGACCCGACGCATGAGAATATCCTATCCTCTGGGTACATACAAAACGCCCTAGGTGTCGTCTCTGAGCTGAGCGTCTCTAACGGCAGCCTCTCTGCTGTCCAGGCTCTGGTGGGCATGGCTTGTATTCTTCAGGGAACACCGAATCCGGAGCCAGCCTCAGTCCTCGTAGCCGCTGCCCTACGCCTGGCACAAGCTATGAATCTGCACAGAGAATGTTCCAGCCTAGGCCTCACGGAACGACAAGCTGAGCAGCGGAGGCGTGTATTTTGGAAGATATATATTCTTGACAAGGATATCAGTCTACGGACGTGCAGACCCTTCAGCCAAGATGATGACGACATGGATGTCCGACTGCCATCAAATACAAGTTTTGAGCCATGTAACGTGGACCTTTTTAACTATCGCATAGGCCTTGCGGTTATTCAGGGGCAGGTGTACAAAAAGTTGTACTCGATCAAGGCTAGAAGACAAGCGGAAACACAAAGGGCGATTGCGGCACAAGAGCTGAGTTCTTTATTGTCGTACTGGAAGTCCAGTGCGCAGATGGAACCGCCAGAGGACTCATCCACGATGTTACCAGGATACCAAATCGCTGGCGAGATGGTCCACAAAGTGGTTCTTCGACTCACATACATTTATTGCCTGACAATGATTGATCGCCACTTGCCTCCGACGACACATTTTCTCTATAACCAGGAACTCAGCCGGCCTGAACTTTTGTTACCCTCAGGCAGTCTTTGCCTCGCCGAGTTACGCAAAGCGATCCGGCTCGTTGAAGCCATCCCTCAGGGAGACCACGCTTGTGTCTGGTAGATGATTCATTAAAACCACGGCCTCCCCGAATTCTTTCTGACTCAGTATAGGACTGTTCTTCACGCTTTCTTCGCCGCAGCTAGCAGCTTGCTCTATAATTTAACACAAAACCCTACATCGCCAAACGCAATTTCAGACCTTCATCTCGTCAAGCCGTTTCTGCGTCTACTGGAGAGGCTTGCCAGGGATCCAAGAGCACGCTCACTATCCGAAGAACTCGGGCGAATGCATAACACTTGCAACAGCTTAAACAATGAAGCAAAGAAGGCTGTTCAACTTTTCAGTTCAGGGTCTACGGCATCCGTGATGTAACTGTTTGAGCTTGATCATGTGGAAAATAAAACTGAATTGATTCTTTATCTCGTCCACGGTAACAGAACTTTTGCCTCTAGACAGGTTGCCTTGATCCCAAAAACGCTTTTACTTGGCTTCTAGCCGCAAGTCGGTTCTGCCGAATGTTCGAGATGGTTGGGCAGGCTTTCATGTGCCCTTGGCACTCAAAAGAACCGGGAAACTTTCTTAAGATTCAAAATATGCTGGGAAAAGAACACAGTGTCAGGGAATATTAGACAGGGTGTACAAGAAAGGAGTCTTTCAATCGCCATTCCGTTTCGGAACTTGATACATAAGTGGCCACTTCCTTGGTGTAGGCGTCAGCTTGACACCGTCACCCACAAAATACCCTCATATGCAAAAGACAAAAGATATGTGAAAAGCGAACGAAGCCTTCATAGAAACTTTTATGCCCAATAATAACAAGGGCCTGTCTTAATCTTGACCTAATTTCGCAGCAGTGGCTCATCTGTGGAAGACATTAAACCCCCTCCTGTTACAGTCAGATATCCGTCAGTGGTGTTTGCTGCTAACATGTAGCTGAGTTCGATACTTAATAACATTACCTAGTCCTTTGTTGGTAATCTTGCTGGTATCTGTTTGCACGGTTATCGGTCGTGCACTTTAGGCGTAGGTAGTTTGCACAATTTTACAACAGAAGGATAAACTAAGAGTCACCTACGAGAGAGTGAGTCACGAAGCTCATTGCTGAAGAGCTATTTGAGGTAATCTATCTATCTGGAATGTCGGTCCTGAGTCTAGGACCGCTTTTCGGCTATGAGCCCTTTCTGATCTTGACATAACCTTCCCTAGTTCTTCCGTTCCAAGGTGAGTCTTATGTATCCCCGTGTGGCCTGCATATATCCTGTCTTGTAACCGCGAGGTGTCCATGGGGCAACCCAGTTATGTTATGCTTTTTGGGTCGTAAAACTCCACCCATGATCCGCCACAGCCTATTTGGCTTCTTGGAGCTTCAGTACCTTCTTCACACTAGGACGCGCGAGCATGTTCTCAGACCACTTCTTGACATGCGGATAGTCGTCCTGGTTGAACTCTTCGTCTGGGATTCGTGGCGAGGCTGTGTTCTGCCACGTGAAGAACGCAATGTCCACGTAAGAGAGCCGGCTACCTAAGAACCAGATGTTGCCGTCCGCGTCAGGCTTTTGCTTCGCTAGGTGTCCTTCTAGTACGCCAGTAACGCGGTTGACCTCTTTGACGTAGCGCTCGCGCGCCTCGGGAAGTGGCTGATAAATGATAAACCACATCGCCTGTCCGTAATACGGTCCTTGGCCGGTGGTCTGGTAGAAGAGCCATTGACGAGCGTGGTAGGCTTCAGCTGTGCCCGGCACGAAGCTTAGCTTATGGTCCTTGTCGTATTTCTCTGTCAAGTACTCGATAATAGCGCCTGACTCCCACAGCGTGAGGTTTGTGTTTGGATCCTGGATAGACGGCAACCGCCCATTCGGGTTGATGGCGACGTACTTAGAGCTCTTAGTGTCGGTAAGCGGGATTGTTTCTGTCTCATATGACAGTCCTAGCTCCTCGCAAAGGAGGATGACCTTAGCAGCGTTGGGTCCGTGAACTCCCAACACTTTGATCGCCTTGATGTCCGCCATTTTGATAAAGATATGTTGAGTTGTCTGAAGTCAATTGTAGACGGAAAGCTGTGAAACTGGTTGATGATGAAAGATTCAGTAAGGATGAAGAGCGCAGAATGGACTTGGTTTCATAGACTTCTGATCTCCTATTTAAATACATCATCGCCTTCTTCCCGACAGTACAAAGCACATGGAACTTGACAATACTCTTCTTGAGAGCCACCTAACTCTTTTCCAATCATGAAAGGATAGCAAGCTGATAAATGTTGACATTCATTGGTCACAACATGCGTTGGTCATGCTGTATTCTAGTTCGGACCATCCGAAGGGTCCGGGTCCGTGATGACTTGCATCCCCAACAGGCCCTGCAGCAGGCCATCAGTTCTACCAATGCAAACCCGCGCTACGCCCCGAGACACCGCTACGCTAGGAATTCCACGTACCCCAGTTAGCGCAACGGAGTTTACTTACGATTGATTAGCTTACAAAAGTTAACCGCAAAACTCTCGCCGCTTCGAATCGCTTGACCAATTGAGTATTGCGGCTACCTGTCTCATTTTTGCCTCAATCAGAATATAAGTATATGTATAGGGCAGACGAACGCTTCCTGCTTTCTTACTCGACTACACCCAGTCTGGCTTCTCCGACACATCCCAAACCATGCCCGGAACATCTCCTGTCGTTCTTATCCTCGGTGCGGGGCCAAGAGTTGGCTTGTCAGTTGCGAGTGTCTTTGCTTCGAAAGGCTACAAGGTTGCAGTCGCAGCCCGGTCGCTGAAGGAGGCAGACAGCACAGACAATCAACTTAACATAAAAAGCGACTTCGCCAACCCCGATGAAGTTGTCAATGCCTTCGCAAAGGTTACGAAGGAGCTGGGAATCCCAAGCGTGGTCATTTACAACGGTAAGTCTTGACACCAGAAGACTCTGGCTGAACATCTTGCTAAAGGTTCGTAGCCGGAGCCGCAACATTCTCTCCTCCCAACGATCCGTTTGCGATCCCGTTGGATGCTTTCAAGCGAGACATGACTGTCAACACCACCAGTGTCTTTGTCGCTGCCCAACAAGCCGTGCTCGGCTTCGCAGAGCTCCCTGCCGATGCGCCCAGGACATTCTTGTTTACAGGGAACATCCTAAACGTTAGACCCCTCCCGCGGTTTCTAGAATCGGGCGCTGGCAAGTCAGCGTCTGCACACATGATGATGGCTGCTGCCTCTGAATACAAGGAGAAAGGATTCAAGTATGCCATCCCTACCGTCTTCTAACGATTGAGTAGATGTGCCTAACAATTTGTAGGTTTTATTATGTTGACGAACGGAAGGAGGACGGCTCGGCTGCTTTCAAGATCGATGGAGAGGCACATGCTAAGCTCTTCTGGGAGCTCGCAGAGACCAAGACGCAGGGTCCGTGGTTGCAGACCTTCGTCAAGGGCGTGGGATACAAGGACTTCGGCCCATATCGATTTTAGTGTTGTTAGCTGTTTTACTAATATCTTCTTTCTGCTGATAGTATCTTTATCAGTATGACATCATTGTGAAAAGAGTCTTGATATTAGAAGAAGCTTGTCAACTTGATATCGTGGTAGTTCGCCGCTGTACGAAGTGTGACAAAATAAGGCTCCCCAAAGCCCTCTTCCCCAGACTTTTGGTGAGAATCCTTGCGACAAGGTCTTCGATGCCAGTACTAGTGCTAGCGTGTTGAAAAGCTGCCTGCTTTTGCTGCCTCGAGTCTTAATAGTGAATCAAGCATATCTCTGGTATCTATGGAGCTTCCCTTTTGTGACTCCAACCAATGTAGAACATCTTCGTCTCACCCTGGCCTCACCAGATTATCGTGAAAGGAGCAAAAGCGGCGAGCCTGACCCAGCTTATCAGAGGCAGTTTTGTCATGAAGCGCTATGGTTGCACCAACTGCCTCACAGTCATGCACAAAACATCATCAATCTAGAGGTTGTTGATCCATCAGCCCGCATCAAACTTGACATGCTGCAGCAGTTTGCGCACGAAATTTCACACGCTCTCATCTGTAGTGGTGATTCCTCCTACACAGTGTTGCTGTTCAATAGCATAACCTGAACCATGGTTGACGAGAAGAGCCTTGAGGCACTGCATCGATGGAAGGCAACAACGCTGCCGGTTTTGCAAGGTATTCCCAGTCACATCACGGAGCTTCGGAGGCCGGCTTGTCACCACAATCCTAATCGGCAGCCACGAGAGCTGTCTAGTTCATTCCACTTGAAGCTCGTGATTCTGGCTGTTTCACTGGGACCTCGGTTCAAACAGACCTCTGTAGACAATGTTACGATACTTATCAAAGAGCTAGCAGAGATTACAGCACCGTACCACAAGAGCTGGGCCCATCTAAAATACCGAGTCTTGCATTATCGCGCTGATTGGAGGCCACGTCTTGTTCATCTCGCCCTTCTCTTGGAATCCCTAGAGAACATCCATGCCGAGTATCCAGCACTCCTAGATCATTTGCACGTAGACATGGCGAAGCAGTTGGTAGATCTTGCTCATGACCCGAAAAGAGAAAGTCATAGCCCGATTTAAGAAGATGCTTCACACCTGGGCCAAGTGTCTCGTCGAAGACTTTAGACATGGCATTAAAGAAACTCCGAGCAAACTTCAGTCTGGGTTTCCTAAAGAACGGTTCAAGACTGAGATAGATCTGGAATGGACGGATTTAGACTTAGACAAAATATCCAAATTGTTCATGCTAACTATGCAGGAAATGGTCCTTTGATCAACCGGGATTGAGGTAATAAATCAGGTCTGCTTCGTTTAGATGTGATGCTATATCGCCTCTTGTCTAGATTATACCGAGTCATACAAACTGTAACAAATCAAAAATTCTGATATTGTTGGGGCCAGACGGAAGCGTGACCTGCTGCAAAGTATTCTTTGAAACTTTAGAGGGCGCATTCACTTTGTAAGTTTACATCCCCCACCCAACCCGACAAGCTTCTTGGTCGCGCATGATAATGGTGGCCATATTTTTCTACTTACCATTGACCCCACGTTCAGGGTCAAGCCCGACCATTCGACTGCCCATGATGGCATGAGACCCGATGTTATCGACCCGTTATCGGTTAGCAGTGCCGATAAATCCTGTAAACTAAATCCTTCGTAAGGGTCTACGCTGACAGGGAGGTCTGATGCTACCGTACTACGTCATACATAGTTAGTGCAGCCGAAGCTTCATCTGAAGAAGCGACCATTCTTAGTTGCAATGTTACGTGTGGAGCCCTCCATACGGAACTCCGTTGTCAAGTCGGACCATCTAGCCATTTTCACTCCTTACGTCGACTTCAAGTGAGCCATCTACCACAGAGAGAGGCTAGATTGTTAAGTGGCGCACTTATTGATATATAACCCTATGGCTACTCAAAGCACCAACGGCAACTCGACCCAGTCCCAGGGTAGCGGGCCCAAGGTCGCAATCATCGGTGCGGGGTTGACCGGTCTGATCGCTGCGCATGGTCTCAGGCAGGTAACGCCACATATCGTACTCCGCATAATCATTCTGTCACTGACCAGAAATAGAAAGGCTTTGAGGTTGCGATCTTTGAGCGCGATGCCAGCATCGATTCACGTCCACGTGACTGGAGCATTCTCATTCACTGGGGCATGACGACTCTGAAAGAGATGCTACCGGAACATGTTCTGAAGAACTTTCCCAACAGCTTTTGCAATCCTCACCTGGAGTTCAACGAATGGGATGAAAGTGTTCCTGGCTATAGTGGCCTGACTGGCGAGGTCATATTCCGGAACCCAACTCCTGGCGCGAGGCGAATCAGTAGACTTCGCTTTAGAAAGATTCTGGCTGACGGAATCGACATTCAATGGGGAAAACATCTCGAACAAATGACCGCGGGCAGCAACTCTGTCGACCTCGTTTTCAGAGACGGTGAAAGATTCAACGCAGACTATGTCTTGGGGACGGACGGTGCGTCTTCCAAAGTTCGCGAATTGCTCATGGGTGTCGAAGCTGCCAAACCGGTGCCGTCTGGCTACTCAATTGCCAATTGCGTTTGCAAGTATGGCGATGCAGATAAAGTGAAAGCTATCGTGGACACGCACTCGGTTTGTGCACTGATGGTGGGCTCCAAGAACATGGCCGGCTGCGGCGGTAAGTAAAAATTCCTCATTGTTCGCATTATAATACGTGTCTGAACTCGGCCGATAGTCTGGTCTGTGGATGATCCTAGTGACTATTCCACCTGGGAAACGTTCTGGGTCAAGTTGTGGTGCGGCCATTCCGTCAGTCTCCAAGGCGAGGAAGCCATCAAGTATGCTACAAAAGACTTGGCGGGGATATGCGAGCCTTTCCGTTCAGCCTTAGAGTGGACTCCAAAGGACAGCCCGTGCTACCTCGACGAAATGAAATACTGGCTACCAAGCCCTTGGGACACATACGACGGTAGAGTCACACTTGCCGGAGATGCTGCTCATCCCATGTTACCTTGTGAGTCCTTCATGAGCAACCTCCATATCTCATGCCATTCAGTTGTCATTTGTTAACGATAAATCTTACAGTCCGAGGACAAGGACTACAGCATGCAATTATCGACGTCGACAAGTACATCACTGCGCTCACGCAGTTGAGAGCCGCCGGCAACACGATCAATCGGAATGAGACCATAACAGCATACGGAGCAGACGTGGTTGAAAGGGGTTCCACAGCAGTTGCGCAGGCGCTTAAAGAGGCCGAAAAAGCGTTGGATATGAACACCGTCGGCAACATGCTCATGGTCACTCAGGGCCATGGCAGATCCGTGTGAAGTCAATGGCTTATGTTTCGGGTGAGCAAATGGGTATTTGATCCTTCGGTTAAAACCTCCAGTTCGTTTTTACGGAACTGGCCATTGACTTAGCGCCGAAAACGAATTAGGAGACAAAATGTCTGTAGCCTCTTTTAACTGGTTGGAGCGTCGTTTATGTGACAGGCTCATGACCCCTTGAGGGAAGATTGCCGGCTTGACATTCGCTTAAGGTGTGCGTTGTCGTATGTGACGTGACTTGGTCGTCATCCTCAGCCATTCCCATCCCTTGCGATCTAACACACCTGTTATCCACACGCTTCAATGAATGACGATGTTTTTCGCTCAGATTAAAGTGACTGGTTCATAAAATGGCCAGCGCCCCACAAAGCGGTTGGCCTTTTCAGTCGAACCAACATACTGCCTATTCTACACGCCTTCAGAATGGCTGACGATCAATCCCAGACGCGTTCGCATACGCTAGCGGCGTCCGACTATGTTAATACGAACGGCGCCAAACTCAGCGAGGATCGATCGGTTTACGATTTAGGATGGAACAAGGACCCTGACCACGATGCTAGGCCCTGGATTCGTGGCATGCATAATGAGGACATTTGGGTTCTTGTGCGAAGACTCAACAAGGCAATTTGACCCTTGACGTTTAAAAAATCATTGGAGCTAATTATCAACAGTCTGTATATGAGGTCAAGAGGACAAGAGAAATACCCTATGGCGGTCTAGATCTCACCGTTGCAGAGGACTCAGAGAACTCTCCCAACAAACTCCGCAGCGAGATGGAAAGACTTTACATGGGGCTTGTAAGCATTTTTGGCCTAACCTTGTTACGATGGGAACTAATAAGATAAATCAGATGCTTGGGTTGTTCTCATTTGCAAAGACAGTGGCCCGGCTCCGTTCGTGGCGCGAGCCAAGAAGGACAGGTGCATTCTGCATTGTAAGCCTCCGCGCCAATGGAAAGCCCCTCTACTCTTCGTACATGATTCTGACAATACTAGGCTTACTTCGTGGCTTGGCTTTTAGACTACTTGACTCTGCTCTTCTTGGTTGTAGTTATCGCCTTGATTTTGTCGCCCAGAGCTCGTATCGCCCTCTTCCCGCCCGCACCACTGGCCATGGTCGACATCCGTGACGGCAGCCTTGCGAAGCCTATGGGTGGAACACTCGGCTCAACGGATGCCGCAACTGGCGCTCCGCAGAACCTGAAGGGCGAGAGTGTCGAGAATGAAGCTAGCAACTTCATCACCAGTGTCTCAGCTATCGCTACGAATTTGCTGACCGGCAAGGATCCTCACGGCGCTCCAAATGAAGTCGAGGGAGGGAGCAAACAAGGGTTCAAACCCCAGCTTGATGTAACAACTATGGCAGTTGTCAAGGACAAGGCCGAGGGGGTGGATAGACCGTCGCAAGACAAAACTAAGGCACCTATGGAGGAGAAAGTGTGGGAGCAAATGACGCCACTACTACACATGATCATCTTGATTTCCGACTTCTGGGAACGTCTATCAAAGTTGGTTCATCTTTTTCACCGTTTTGGTCGATACTGATTTTGTCAGCATTCTGGTGCCTACTCCTCCTTTTGACCAGCAGAACCACCAGAGACGACTTGCTGCCTACATTGTCCCTATAGCCGCGGCGTCAATTGTACTCTCTCAGGACATTGTCATCAGCGGCACGACGTTTGCTCTGGGTGTCGGTATCTTTGGCGATCCCTTACTGACTTGGTGCTATCATTACATGAATACCAATCGATGGACTGAGTCTATTCACCTCAACAAGTAACTCTTAAACCTATCCATAAACTAATGGCGGAGATAACTGACCTTGGTACAGCACATTGTTCAAAGGAGTGCCGACTAACAATCAGCTGGCGCTGACGCTTCTTCGGGTTGGCGAAGCCAATAGAGCCCCATTTCCACCACCAGCACAAGTCAAGCATGCTCCGCCAAACAAAGCCATTGATATTGATGAGGATGTTGTTGGTGCATCTATGGGTGATAATCCGTTGGGTGCATCGCAAGATCAACTCGAAAATGTTGCTGAGCGCGACGATGAGATGGCAGACCATGCTGGTGGCGAAGACACAGAAGTCCAGCAAGCTCTTGGGCATGGGAGTAAACGGGAGAAGATCTTTGGTCTCTTGAAGGGTGGCGCTAAGGAGGTTGCCAAAGCTACCAGCACGGTTGACAAAATCAGGGCCAAGGCTGGGTCTGAGAATGCAAAGACGCGCGTCGGAGCACTGCCGTCATCGAACGACGATGTGCAGACCATTGGACCCGTAGAATTCAGCGCCCGCTTCGAAGGGGAAAAGGGATTTGTTTACGTCAACGCGGCTGCCGGTTTCGTGGCGTTCAACAAGAATTCCATCACCGAGGAGAACCTTGATACAGTGTGGGCTGTCAACATTGACGGCATCACTCAACTCAGGAAGCATTCTGGTTATGGAATGAAAGCTAAGCTTGCTTCCGGATGGGCAACGGATGGACCGATTTACGATAGCCTGAGGATCGTTGATCAGGAGAACAAGCACTTTGTTGTGACGGCTCTTCCTTACAGGGACGCGCTTTTCAATCGACTATGCGCAATTGGCAAGCACACTAAGTGGGAGGTTTGGTAAACATGTTTTGTTAGCATGTGGGAGTCGCTTTATGCCGCAAACTAATTCGACTCTCACGTTTCAAGTCGTCGAAACGCACCAGTGCTTATGTTAAAGGCTAAGCATCAGTCCAATCTCACGTGTTCGTAGATTTAGTAGAGCACCAAGGAGCCAGCCCTTGTATCTGATTCTTGAAACATCATGTCGCATCGTAATAGTTTAACTAGAATACGCCTTTTTGATCTAAGAACATTCGCTGAGAGAAGGGTCGCTAGTTGCATGAGGATTGAATTGGACATTTTATATGCCACAAGCTGTTTACTATTACCCAAGAGGCGCATTTCAGCCAATCGGGTTTACTTATTGTTCGCAACTATGTCCCAGCCTTCACCCTATGCAAACCTAACACCATTTTTAAGTGTACCAATGTTGGTGATGCTGACTTCCATCTGGGTCCCAGGTGAAAGCCACCGCGGTGGGTTGAAACCGGCACCGACTCCTGCGAAAGTCCCCAGGTTAGTGGTGGTTTTTCAAGCGAACGTACGCCGTTGATATATCTTACCGCCTGGAGTTCCTGTCATAATGACCGTACCCTTTTTTAGCGTTGTCCCAGAGGAGAGATAAGAGATGATATAAGCACAGTCGAAGGCTAGATCATGAATTCCCTCTTTCTGCCTCACTTCACCATTGACTTTCGTCTGCAGTACAAGTGATTTGAGATCTCCGACAAGATCAGGTCGTACCAAACAGGGTCCCAGCGGTGCAAACGTGTCAAACCCCTTGGAGAAGCCCCATTGGGGTACGTTGCCCGCTAACGTAGGGTCGCGCTGCAGCTTTCTTGATGAGATGTCGTTGCCGCAGGTGTAAGCAGCGACATAATCCAGTGCTTCTGCCACCGAGACATCTTTGGCATTTTTTCCAATGACGATACACAGCTCGCCCTCGTAATCAGCCTGATCATCCTGACAGATCTTCGGAATGACTACGTCGGCGCCGTGATCAAAAACAGTTGTGTTTGGTTTGAAAAATAGGGATGGAAAAGGTGGCGGCTTCCGGCCAGCCTCTTTGACTGCGAAAGGTGTTAGCGAGTCATTGCAATCCGGTAGTCGTAGCTTACTATGAGTAGCATAGTTCAAGCCAATGCATCGTAGGATCGGTACGTCCTCTGGCGTCAACGGGCCAAGGAGCTTTTTCACCACCACAACTTCATCAGTAACCTTCGTTTTCCCAGATACGTCGTAGATGTCCGACCCGGCAATGACCTTTGCTTTCAACTTCGTTTCTTCCGTTGTATCTCCTAAGTCGAATTTATCATTCGGAAGGATGGGCTCTCCCCTAAGCACCCTTCCGTCAGTAGCAACAAACCGAATTAGTCTATTCCAGGCCACAGCCATTGCTATGAAATGAGACACGATAATGAGGAACTTGTCCGATTGAATTTTTGATAGCAAGCAAAGAGGCGACAACGCCAACTTTCTTGGTTTTGTTACAATGACCTTGCTGAGCTGATGCCGCCCCGCCTCTGCTTTGTCAAGAAACCACTTGCCGTCATGACAGCCGCGTGTGTTGGAACAGCCGCGGAGATAAAATGTAACTCCCCGAACTTATGTCTCCAACGGCACTTTGCTTTAGTGACACTAAGGTTAACCGTTGTGGTCCGTCTCCGACAGTTCCGAATTGGGAAACTTACGGCGCTACAGAGTGGGGAAGAGCGACGGAGGTCGGAGACCGGGGAGTTAAGACTGCTCGATGCGCAGGGGGCTCGAACAAGCTCAGCCGGTGGGCGGCAACGAATACGACAAACGCGGATCGCATCGTTCGGAATCAAACCGTTTGCGTATTTGCATAAGCCCGGAAAAGGTAAGAAGGTAGTCATTCCAGCTTTACTGGTCTTTCTTCCCACATTCCACTTTCTTTCCAGTTCAAGCGTCTGCAACATGCCTGCTGTTACACAGACGTGCGAGCCTGCCTCGCAGGGCCTGTTGATCACGTCTCACAACCCAGAGGCCGGGACTCTAGAGCCGATGGGGCAAGCCAGTGCGCAACACAATGAGAAGCAGAACGGACGCTCCAGCCACCAAAAATTATCCTCGACATCCTATCCGTCCAATAGTCTTAAGTTTCTTCACGCTGTAAATGCAAGCGAAAATGGAACAACGTCGAGAACGTCTCTGAAAGCAAATATTGCCCTTAACATATTGATTGTTGGGGCTGGCCTTGGCGGACTCGCAACGGCCGTCACGTTAGCAAAGAGCGGCCACAAAGTCACCGTTCTGGAACAAGCAATCCAACTATCCGAGGTAGATGCCCTTGGAATTGAGCGGTTTCTTTCAGATGCATTTGTTTTATCTTTCTTTTCAAGATAACTGACCAGTGTTGTTAGGTCGGAGCTGGTATCCAGATCCCTCCGAATTCGAGCAAGCTGCTTCAAAGATGGGGTGTCATGGACATCATGTCAGAGCAGGCTGTTCGGCCAGATGGCATCTCCATCCGTCGCTGGGAGAATGGCGAGCGGATCGGCTTCACCGACCTCTCAGAGTCCTTTGTTGATCTCTGCGGCGCTCCTTATTATGTTGCTCACCGTGCTCACCTTCACTCGGCTCTCTACCAGCGCGCGATAGACTTGGGGGTCACCGTCCATCTCGATAGTAAAGTATCCAAGTACGACCCTGAAATCCCTTGCGCTACTCTGGCCAGCGGTCAGAGTTATACAGCAGACCTAATTGTTGCCGCTGATGGTAAGTCAAAGAAGTTCCCATGATCGGCGTATGATCTTTATTAATCGCCCAAAAAAGGGGTCAAGTCTTCAGCGAGGAGCTTGCTTCCTTCAGGTCAGGTAGCCAATCCTAATTACACAGGGTTTGCTGTTTATCGAGCCACTTTAGACGTTAGCAAGATGAGAAAGATACCTGAGATTGCCTGGATTCTCGAAAAACCAGGTGTTCATATGTGGTAGGTTCTTATTTATCGGGTTATCCAAGTTAGCACAGTTCCCTGATACATGATTCAGGATTGGTGAAGACCGCCATGTCATGACTTACACGATTGCTGCTGGTCAATCTTTCAACATGGTACTCTCTCATAGAGATCACAGGGATCCTTCAATTTGGCAGCAGAAAACCCAAGCGGAGATACTTATTGAGATGAGAGCCGAGTTCCAGGGATGGGACTCACAGTGAGTAGCCCCCTTGACTTTTCCTATGACTGAATTAGTACTGAGTCGCTTGTGTTAGACTCACCAAAATCATTGAGTTGATCGACAATACGGTCAAGTGGCCTTTAATGGCAGGCGTCCCTCTGGAAAACTGGGTGGCAGAGTCTGGCCGTCTTGTGATTCTCGGGGATGCAGCACATGCTATGTTGCCCTACATGTCCCAGGGTGCAGCCATGGCAGTCGAGGATGGCGCTGCTCTGGCGGTGGCTCTTAACAACATCTCGAGTCGGGAGCAACTGGGCCTTGCGCTGGAGATTTTCCAAAAGGAACGAAAACAACGCACCTCCATGATGCAGGAGGCGAGCATGGTTAATGCTCTGCTGTTACACTTCAAAGATGGGCCTGAACAGCGAGCCAGAGATGCCGCAATGCGACCTGAAGTGGAGGGTCGCAAGTTTGCCACCAGTCCGAACCAGTGGTCTGATCCACTGACACAATCTTGGGCTTACGGCTATGACGCAGAGGACACGATGTTGGAAAAATGTAGGTGTGAGACAAGCCCCTTCATAGCCTGATTCAAAGCAATGAGAGCATTATTAGAAGCTGAAGATATAAACATAAGTCGCAATCAGCATATAGTTCCTTGGAACCGACAAATAAACATTTTCATGTCCTAGCAAACCAGTTTAATTACGACATCCTCAGCTTTAAATGTCATGAGATCTTCGCTTGTGGAGGTTGTACATAAGTGTTTCCCCTTAGAAATGAAGCCTAAATCCTTCTGAGCACGCTACTGAATAAAATAAACTTTAGGTCGTTAAGCGGCACCCAGATTACTGAGGTTTCTCGCATCTCTCAAGGCAATACGCTTAGGCTGGAACATGAAAACAAGTAATAACAACTCAATTTGTTTGGGAGGATAGTCGGACGTAATGATAGTTACGCTGTACAAGAGTCGCTTTCTTTCCTTCTCTCTCAAGCACGGAAATTCCATTTGTCCAAGAAGGCCTTCATGCAAGCTGCCGCTGTAGCGGCAGCATAGTCCTGCCACTTCTTATGCTTGTGACTATCAGCGTAGTCACAGACCCCCTTGATGATCACACATGAGAATTGTTCCCATGCCCCTGCGGCCTCCATTTCGAAGGCTATGACCCCTTCTTTCTCTGCGATTCTGTCTCGGTGCTCCCCTGATTTCATGACTTGATCTCCAGAAGCGACCAGGCCGAAGTGAACAATAGGTCGGACCACGAGCTGCTCGCTGGAAGCGACAGGCTTGAGTCGGACACGAGAAACTAGTCTGGTTTTGTCGCATTCGAGCTCCTCACAAGACAAGGTCCTGGCGTCTTCACAGACAGAGTTCTTGTTTTTCTCATCGTTACATACCGAGCAGCCGAAAGAACGACGGTGTTTGTGCTGGTAAGTTGCCTCGAAGAGTTGGTCTTCAGTGACACCTGGATAACGTATCTCATCTCCAAACTCGTCTGCCAGGATTTTAAGGTATTGATACGTTTTCTCATTTAGCAAATTTCGGTCGTGACGAGTCCGCAGTTTGGCAAGTTTAGATCGAATCACAGGAGGCGGTCTTCCCAGAATATCCATCATCCCAGTTTTTCTCAAGAAAACGTCGGCATATTGTCGTCCGAAGTCAAAAGGCACAACACCTTCGCTAATAATAACATCCCCTAGCACAATACCCGGGATGCCCTTTTCTGTAGCCGCTGGGACCCCGCCGCAGATGCCGACTAACAAGGCAAGTGCAATATCAGGGAAGCTAGCCTTGCAGCACGCTGCCGCCGTGGCTGCATAGCTCTTACCCATACCTGCCATATGAATGAGAACAACGTTATGGCGACCGATCTTACCCATTGAGTAGGAATTTATGTCTCCAGGGCCAACAAGGGTCGCTACGATATCATCATCCCAGTGGTCGTCAAAGAGAGCACGCACGGCATCTGCCTCCAATGTCAGGGCACATACAATAGCGACTGTAACGCTATAGCGACTATAACCACCTGCTGGAGAGGCAGTCTCGGATCTCGAGGAGTCTGGTTTTTGGGATGTTGCCGAAAGCTCGGTAGAAGTGGAGCTCACAAGCCTAAGTCGTCCTAAGTCGTCCCCAAAGCTTTGGTTTTCGACCAGTTTGTTGAATGAATTGGGATTGCTGTCAGAACTGAGGACTTGGTCTTGTGGGCGGTTTCGGAGCTGTATGTCATTTGATCGAAGTTGGTGGCCAGGATCGAATGTTTGAACATCAGATTCAGAACTGTTAATCCACGTGGGCGTCGTCAGTCTTATCTCAGCTTCCAACACTACAGGGATCATGCCTCACCTATGCCTAAAGTCCTCTCTTGTTGGTAGGTTCTGGCTATTTGACTTGTCCAAGACCTCAGTCACTAGTGGGGTTGACACTCTGCTTCTGATTTCTGAGGCAAGGTTTTGCTTCAACGATGCCAAGACTGTGGGACGAGGCAATTTCTTGAACTGGCCAACCGACATCATTGAGTCCTGAGTGATTTCCGGTATGTTGATTCGCCGAGACGATAAGAGCATGATTTTCAAGACAGATGTGTTTGAGTGAGACTGGAAATCGCGCACAAGACCATATAATTCCGTTGACAAACGATTGGCTGCGTCAGGGTCATGGTTGAGAGTTCCAAGATCTAGAACGATATGTGCCTGGGCGAGTTGAAATAAGATGAACCGCAAGACGTCGAGCCAGTCGCTGAGTGAGACCGCTGCTTGAAACCGCTCAATTACGCTGGCGAGAAATGAGATCGGCTTTGGCTTTGTGATCTTTTGTAAGGCCTGAATTGCAAGCTGCCGTAGAACTTGCTCTGGCTGCAGGTTCGCATATCCTTTGTTTTCCGCCGGCTTCATGAATGACTGGAGCACGAAAAGTGTTGGAGTATCAGTATACAGAAACATCGTGATTTCTAGACCAAATCGGTACAGCCTCTGTGTGGTCTGGTACTGCCCCTGAACGAGTAAAGTCCGGGAATCCCTGGAGGAGATCCAATCATCGAGAGGCTTTTGAGTCCAGACATCGTCCACACTACTCTTTGCGGGGTCTCGCGCTGCCCGGTTGGATTGAATGGCATTTGCACGACGAATCTGATCTTCCGGATCAATCAAATATGGCGTTGGCTCGGAGAAAGCAGGGACCTTCCATAGGAGAGAAGTGATGGGTATAATCGTATCGTCGCGGGCTTAATCGTTAATATCGAAAGAACTCGCCACCTTTCCGGGACCGAATTTTGCCTAATTCCAATGCTTACTATGAATTTGGTCGCGAAGAACCTCGAGAGCACCTTGGAAACCCGCTGGTTGCTGCTCAAGAATCACAAGCCCATCCATTCCCTGCAAGTCTTTTGTCGGGTTTGGCTTATCTCGAAAACTCTTACATAGTGCTATCTGACGGCTAATTTCTTGCTCAAGACAGTGCATGATGAAAACTCAACGCGGCGATGCCGATCGCGGTTGATGAAAGCCCTGGAAAGTTGGGGAGTGTCGAGGTGGAAGACATGCGCGGGCAAGAAGAGGTCTGGTTTTCCCTTCGATGTGCTGAACGAAAATTGTCTCGCAGCTCGATTACGAGGAAGTCTTGAAGAAGACAGGAAGAGGAGAACTAGGGCTGAAAACGTGGTGGCATTATAGAAGAGCTGCCTGATTGAGCGCCATCACACCCAGGTCCAAATTTCAAGCACCCCTGGGGTGTGCATAAATCAGGCTCCTCAAAAATAGTCGACAGGCATTGCGATCAATTGATTTTAGATTCTGCATATCGCCCAAGTCCTCCGAATCAATCGGTCCGGTTTCTTGGGTCGCGTTATCGACGATGGCGAGCCGCAAAACGCACCAGCTGCCCCGACGTCCCGCCGCGATAGCCCGGGAACGCTCGGACTCGGACCCGGACGAGCACTACGGTGGGCGCAAGCTTCGGCCTCCGCCTCTCAACAAGAAGCTCCCACATAAACGATTGCCATCGCAAAGCCCTCCAGCCACCGAACAGGGCGATGTCGAGAATCACAATGATGAAGGTCCGTCCGCAAGACGTCTCTAATAAATCAAGAGCTAACACCGGGACCTAGCAGTATCTTCTCGATCCCGGTCCCCATCGCCTGCACCGGCCAGATACCGCCCCATCGTCACGGTCGACTGGCGCAGCGAGCTCTGTCGCTTTCTTCATCTGTCGAACCAAACCTCCGACCACGAGATTTTCGACGCTCTCGAAGAAACGGAGGAGAAGCTGAGGGATGCAGAAAGACTCAAGTACCAGTACACGGCCGACCCGGGCCCCCCACGATCCCAGATCATGTACACCATAAACTGTCGAGACGATGAGAGAAGCAGGATATACCTAGACGAACCTTGGCCAGTCGAGAGTGGCCCTTATCATGCTCATCTCAGAGGTAGCCGACCAATTACCAACCTGGAGCTTTATCTTGAGCGCAACAAGAATATCAGTTTTCTTGTGTTCCGAGATTACGAATGCTGTTATCGCAAAACAAAATGGCAATTTACAAACGAAGCCGAGCAATCAACTGCTGTAGATCTTCAGCACTTTTTCAGCAGAGAGTACATCGACCTCGTTTCACTCGAATCGCAAACCGCGTTGACGGTATTGTCAGAAACTGCACTGGAAGGGTTACCTCATCCACCCTTTGACAGTGAGAATATTGGCAGTATTGCTTATCCGTACCTCTGGTGGTTCCATCGTCGCAACAAGATTGCCGCGGCGAAGGAGACAATGGATCTTGCCCTCCAGCAGCATATCGATATTGTTCAAGCATATATGGAAGATCGCTTACAACCAGAATGGGATACTGTTGACGAATTCACTGAAAAGGGGAAGATCACCGTGGACTTGTTAAGATATCTATTCGTAAGTCTTGCAAACGTTGTCTGACACCATTCTCGGGGACTCTGATGCCAACTGAGTATAGGTGCCAAACGACACTCTCATATCACAGGTTAAGGGAGAAAACATCTGCCAACTGAATGGCTTGACGGCCATAGGGTGGCTGCTAGTGGACAACGACACCACTGATGATGCTAGGTCTTTCAGGGCATCGATTCAAGTTGAATTCTGGGAGTTTGACGGTTCTTTCCATAACAAAACAACCAGGCAGGCACTGGAATACGTGCCTGTTGAATTACGGACCACGGAGTTCGACATCGTAAACCTTCCGATATACCCGGCCCGCTTTGCTGAGAAAAGCATCGTCGAAGGACTCCGAAGGCGTGGAGAGATGTTTTGGGCATGTCGCCATCAGAAATATGTCTCCTACGTCAAGGATACCCATGACATTGTACGATCTGCGGTATTTGTTGCCATGGCTATACCGCTACGTTACTGATTGATTCCAGAATACGTCAAGGTTCATGGTCGATTTAGAGACCTATAGGAAGATGCACCCACCTTCCCAGCCTCAACTAGAACAGAGGCCCATCAGGGAACGATCAAAACAAAGCGATCATTTGCTGGTGGATATGATGAGTGAAACGCCCCCCGCAAGAGACAGTTTTCTGATGTGTCTTCCCTCGACTCTGAAAGGATTCGATATGAATACAAAGACATGGAGTGAGTATCCTCATCAGGTTCGGTTTTGCCGGAATTTTTAAGTACTAAAGACATTAGGAACACTGGAGGTGGCTTTCATGCAAGAGGTGGTTTGGAATGTTGAAGCATTCGAAGACTTAGTCATCAACCCCGAAACCAAGGATCTGGTTAAAGCTGTGGTTACGAACCGATTAAAAGCCGAGGAAAACACAGACTTGATCCAGGGAAAGGGTAACGGACTGTTCATACTTCTGCACGGGTAAATATACCCAACACGCTTTGCTTGTCCTAATCAAATCAGAGATACTAATCTTCGATGCTTGTCAGGGGACCTGGCACCGGTAAAACGCTTACGGCGGAAAGGTGTGGAATTTCATACTAGTCACGACTCTAGGCTTGTTGCTGACTCTGTCCTTCAAGTGTAGCTGAGATAGCCGAAAAACCACTCTACAAAGTTACCTGTGGCGACGTTGGAACGAAACCTGAAGAAGTAGAAAAGGTGAGACTTGCTTTCACCATGTGTTGCGACTTACGCTAAGATCTACAGTATTTGGAAGTCGTAACGCTCCTTGGAAAGACATGGGGTTGTGGTGAGTTATGCTGTATTGCACAATCAACACCGGAAGCTAAGACCTTGTCAATTTAGTGGTTCTTCTGGATGAAGCGGACGTTTTCTTGGAGCAAAGATCACTCGCCAATCTTAAACGAAATGCACTCGTTTCAGGTATGATTGCTAAAGTACTTATCCGCTTAACCAGAAAATAAACTAATGAACGCTGGGTTTCACAGTATTTTTGAGGGTGCTGGAATACTATGATGGTAAATTCTCTCTTGTTCTGAAAGCAAGAAAGGGTGTATGTTAATCCAGTCACAGGAATTTTGATTCTAACGACCAATCGGGTTGGGACTTTCGACGAAGCTTTCAAGTCCAGGATTCAACTGAACTTGCGTTACGACAACCTGGATAAGGAGAGGCGACTAAAAATATGGAACAACTTCATAAACCGTCTTGAACTGAAGACCAAAGATACGGACAAGTCACCCTACGATTATGGGGTCAATTTGGAAAGCATCCGGCGTGAGCTCCCAAACCTTGCTGAGGAGAACCTTAACGGTCGAGAGATTCGAAATGCAATCTCAACGGCCCGACAACTCTCCTCATTCAAGTGCAAAGCTTTGGACTATGATCACTTAAAGAGTGTCATAAATGAGGCCAAGAAGTTTGAGAGTTATTTGATAAAGCTCCACCAGGGCCATTCTGCTGATGAGATCCAGTATGACCTGGAGGCAAGATAATGATGATCGGAAGTTTTCTTACCGGTACCTGGACCAATTAGATTGATCCAAAACCACAATTACGTATCTCATGACATGTATCGTTCCTACGCCGCAGCGTAAATTCCATTGGATACACGTGGTTGAATTTCAAATACTCCCCGGCAATTCCCCGACCAGCCTTGTCAGCACTGCCCCTCCTCTTAGGTCGCGGTATCTTCCTCCGTTACCTCAAACTTTTTTGATAAGCCTCAATAGAGAGTAACGTTGACTGATCGCCTCACATTTACTTGCTTCCTTCTTGGGCATCTATTTCTCAACACAATCAAGGCTGAACCGGTCCCGAACATAAACAGCCGGCTCTCTATCCCCCTTGCTTTTAGCAGGTAGCAGGGTCTGGCGGCTGGCTCATGGCTTCAACACGAGAGACTGAATTGCTGAGTGCTTTCCGCGCAAATCACGACCCAGGAAGAAGGAAAGAAATTCTTGAGGGGCTTTCCGCCGTCTTTATGCACCATACAATCTCGAGAGACGATACAGCTGGCGACTGCTCTCGACAGGACTGCCTCCTCGGAGAGTGGGGCCAGAAAACTCGATTGCAGCGACCGCATTTCTCTCGGACTGAGAAAGATGGTTCAGCAACTGCGATCTACAGACCATTTGGTGAAGGAACGGTACAGAGATACTTCTCTGATGACTTCCAGCACCCCGAATCACGCGCTTCCGTCGGCAATTTTGCACAATCATCTCACGAATCACATCGGATCTCAATACCAACAATTCCACATACGTACCAGGTGACCAACGACTTGTATGCTGAGGATGAAGATTACAGCCGATCGAGTTCTCCCGGTCACCGCCCTTCATCGGCCTATGAGAAGCCAAGGGTACCCCTTGTCGACGATTTCTACAACGAGCGGGGAGATGAAGAGTTCCGCAGACAGTCAAATGTTTTCTTTGGAGAGCCGCCTGCCTATCCAGCTCCCCCTTACGAGAAGCTGTCCCGACGAGAACCTGAGCCCCATTTTATAGCACTCAAGGCGAGGCAATCTCGAGAAGACAAAGAAAGAATTACAAAATCGCAAAGCAAACTTGAAGAGCGGCGTCTCAGCCACCATGACAACGAACACGGGGAAAGGGTGGGCGGGGGAGCTAACTTTGCACGCGCAGACGAGGTTTTCGCTGAGTTCATGCGCTCTGGTGCTGGCGGCGGAACGGACGACTTTGATGACATATTCCCTACATTTGGGGAGAACACCACCAGGGGCCTCCCACAATCCCGCTTCCCTTAGCTGTGTTGTGATGAAGCACGACTCTGAGGAACCCATCCAGTAGCCGCGTGTAGTATACATCGAATTGTTTACGTCTACCAGAATAGATCACCAGTAGAGAAATCATCCATCAACTCAGACATAGCATACGGCGCGCTAACCCCCGAGAAATCGTTGAAATTTGGTGGAAGATAATTCATCAAGTTGGAAAACGACTCGTCCATCCCGCCGTTGCTCGTCATATTCGTATTTTGATTCGCCCCATTCTCGTCAGTGACATTGGCTGAGCTGGACGACAGCATCCCTCCTCCACAGTTGGCGTCATCACGTCCTGGAACTACGAACCAACAATCAGTATGCGTCCAGGCTCTAGTACAACCTCTTAGACTTACTCATATGCAAGCTTTGGACCATAAAGATCAAGGTCGCGGTGAACTTTGCGCACTTTTCCACCATTGGGTTTTTGATGTCTAAACGCGCGATGCAGCTAACAGCACTTTTTAGAATTTCATCAAGCCTTGCTGCCGTTCCTACATAAGCTTGATCAAAGGGGCTAGAAACATAGCTATCCTCGATGAGCTTTATGGCGACAATCGTTAGGGAGGCATTGAAAGCTGTGGAGGAAGTCAGCAGTTGCTGTTTTGCAAGAAGGAATGCACTCACTGAAATATAGACTAAACCACCAAGCCCCAAGGAAAGAAAATGATGGTTGTGCATCGCTTGCCAGCTTGCAGGCCTCCACCAACCGAATAGTTGCTTCCGCGGCTCGAAGGCACATCGCTTTGCTCAGGTGCCAGGCCTGCTGTAGGGTGGCTGCTTCCTGTGGAGACTGAGCACTATTATCCAAGGCCTGTAAACAGCGGTCCAGAATAGGCCGCTGTAATAGGATCTGAAGGTTGTGATGCCTCAGTGTCAAGATCACTCGAAGCTTCAGCAGAATTAGCTTCGCATCAGGTTTGACCAACTCGCTTGGCTCAATCAACTGCATCGACAAAGGCAGGGAAGCTTGCCAATCGGCCAACTTTTGTCCGATGTGAATCACAGTCGATACTGTATTAGCAAGAGGAGTTGCTGTAGTAGACCCAATATTGCTCTCATATAGCTCGTCAATAACAGAGGCAGTGACTCCATAAAGGGTTCTAACCAGTTGACCATTAGCGAATGTCGGAAACGAAGTTGCTTGACTGATGGCATACATCGAAGCGTTCCAGAACAGCGTGCTGTCCTCCTCGTGGGACCATCTTGAGACGCCAGATACCCGAGGATACGAGATGAAATGCCTAGGCAGAGGCGTACGGATATAATGTTGCGGAATGATAGGGGGGCGGCCGAAGGTCATACTCAGCGTTCTGCAATCGTGTCAGAGAAGTGAGCGCGTAGGAACAGCTGAGTGCAAGTCAACAGACCTGTCTAATAAAATGCATCCATACCACGTGCGTATTCTGGTCTCACGTTCGAGTGGTTCGAATCTTTGAAGGGCTAACTCTGAGTGGAATCCCAACTCTAGCGCAGCCTTTACGGCAAGCCCATGGATAGCCCATGTCTGAACAGATCTCTGACTACCTTGCAGGTATTGTGACATCAAGAGCATAGCCTGTACTGTGTAAGAATTAGTATATGGCTTGTTACCAGCTTTAGCCTATGCCGCATGGTGTTGCAGCCTTCTTTTACATCACGGAAGATGTGTGAACAGCAATAATACCTGCTTCGACATTTGCTCCAGTCATCATCTCAGTCATCGAGAGGGACTTAGCCCGTCGGTAGTGAACCTCCGAGATAGCCTGTCTAGCGCCCAAACCAAGGTCGGACACGTTGGTGGTGCTAGTGGCGATCGCGAGAATCATGTTCAATAATGCAAGCCAAGAACGTCTTGCGTTGCGCATTCCGATGGAGCGAAAGTGCGCCAACGTCTTCCAGAAGCTCTCTTCATGTACGTAAGGAAAGAGGAGTCCTGTATCGCCGAAGAATTGGCGCACGAGACGGCTAACCTCATCTTCGTGTGGTAGGCGGCTTGCCTCGGAAGGCTTTTCTAGTTTCCTCGGATCGAACGAATCACTAACCGGTGACTGTGACCTAGAGACGGCAAGAATATGCTGTTTGGCATTTTGCCCTGGCGTAGAAGAAGTCACACCTCCTTCAGCTCGTTGAGCGCTATGGAGTAAACCATCCAATGTGCGGCGGATAATTCTTGTAAAAGCAATGTTGGAAGAGGGTCCTAAGCAGTGACACGATCAGCAAGTATTCCACGGGTGAAAGAAAGTATGCAGGTCGACTCAGGTGTCAACTGTATTGTCGTCGTACCAAAATATGCCCATGTCTCATCAGTGGTAAACTCAATGGTGCCCACACCATCGGTTGCGTCTGGAGTTATTCCTGTGATGCTTCCATCCTCGGCGTTCGAGGATCCCTCTGGTTGGGTGCTTTCAGAGTGATCGTCGGCGCGACAAGAATTGCTGCGCGGGAAGACGACGTGTTGCTTCTCATTGGAGAACGAGCTAGGCAAAAGTCGCCCAAGGCGACTTATTTCTTCTTCGACATCTGCCAAGCGGTGCTCCACTTGCTCGAGGTATCTAGCCGCATAGTCAGACACACCCTGAATGGACGATAAGACATCAAGAACCAACATACTGTTTCGGTACCAGCGCATTGCTTGCACCTGAGTTGGCAGCGTAGACACAGTCTATCCCTTGCTCAACGCAAGTGGAGCATTGTGGCCTAGCACCATCGCACTATTCATGCCAGTCGTATCAGTCTCCTGACATCATCCAGCTTTGAAAAGCCGGCTGACTGCTTCTCCCGAGGCGAGAACTTCCATATCCGACCCATACAGAGAACAAACAGGGGTCTGGCAACCTGGCACTCACCCTTGACTTCCGAACTCGACATGAACTGCATGCGATCGGGATGCGCTTCCGCTTCCGAGTTGTCGCGCCTGTTGACCCGGGGGTGCTGTTCTCCATCAGAAACTTTTTTGCCTGTCTACAGGTTGTGCGGACAAGACAGAGACTGGTAGTGGCGGGGATTTAGAGAGAAAGACGATCAAGTCCCCGGCGTAAAGTGAAAAGGAGGAAGCGGGGAATTAGGAGATTGGGCAAAACTTTGAAGGCGGTACAGCTAGCATGCAGAGGCTGTGCTCAATTAATTAGCGTGGTGATCACTGCGCTGGCCAGAGCCACTGCCTATGCCGTTTCGGTAAATGGCTTAACTCCCCGAAACGTATGAGCCCTTTGTAACCTCGCCAACCTGTCGACGAGATTGGTAAGTTTGCGTCCAATCTGTAACGGGATCGGAACTCGGTAAGCGGTAAGAACTGTGCGCGTCTTCATCAAGCCATAAACCGACCTTTACTACGTTGAATCGTCTCTGTCCACAAAATAGTACAGCTAGACTCTCTATTAATTCAGCCTTGAAATATCGAAGCGTTTTCATCCGCAAATCCCAACCGCAGCCATGTCTTCCACAACCGTTACCGAAACTCCCAACCACACCAAAACCATCGAAGATGAGACCTCGCAGATGTTGCGGGCCGCCGAGGCCAGCCACACGAAGCCTCTTTGGCTACAGATGAGCAGACTTAATCCACCTCTGCCCAACCCGCGATGCACGCCACATCTCTGGAGGTACTCGGAGATTCAGCCAACCCTTTTGCAAGCGGGTCAACTTGTTACCGAGCAACAGGCCGAGCGCAGGGTGTTAATGCTTGTCAATCCATCCAGGGGTGCGTTATGACTACCAAAGCTGAATTCTGAGGTGATCCTCTAACCAGAAATATCAGATGCACCTTTCACCACAGATACTTTGTACGCCGGGCTGCAGCTGGTTATGCCCAATGAGACGGCCAAAGCCCATCGGCATACCGCCTTTGCTATGCGCTTCATCATTGAAGGCAATGGCGGCTTCACTGCGGTTCATGGCAAGCGCATTCAGATGAATCGAGGAGATGTTATCTTAACCCCTACTTGGAACTGGCATGATCATGGAAAGGATGGAACCGGCCCGATGATCTGGCTCGATGCCTTAGATTTACCCAACTTTACCCATTTTCCTGTTCATTTTGTCGAGCACTTCTCGTCTCCGCGGTATCCCGCAGAGAATATCGATACGTCCCAGTCACCAATTGTCTTCCCTTGGGGCAGAATGAAGGCAGCGTTGGACTCCAAACAAGGCCATTATACTACGAGGAGATATTTGCACGCCGATGGATCTGAAGGTCTGTATCACATTATATATTGTCACATCCTCACATTGGCTGACTCTAGTGCACCTTTGTAGTCAGTAAGGTTCTAGGGGGCTGCGCAGCTCGCTTGGACCCTGGTACAAAATCGCCTCAAGTCCAGGAGACAGCATCATCCGTGTATCATGTGGTCGAGGGCTCTGGTCAGACTCAAATCGGAGATAAAGTCTTCGTTTGGAAGAAAGGAGACACATTTTGCATCCCTTCATGGTATCCTTACCAGCACTCAGCTGACGAAGGGCTTGATGCTGCTGCGTACTTGTACCGTTTTGACGACACACCAATGCTCAAGAGTTTGGGTTTCTATCGCTCGGCGGACATGGACGTAGAGAGCCTTGTGTCAGTTTAGCTGCAAGAATGATACTCGTTATAAATGCTTTGACCCCTGTTTTACACATACGTTACTCCATACATGCGTGGTGTTAAAGTGGTGTTGCCACTGACAAAATCATAGACTTTTGTTTTTCATGATTTTATTCTTGTTATAGGATAAAATAATCCAGCAGATTGTAAATATGGAACCGTTTGATCGCAGTATTGTCGGAACTCAGGTCTCATATCCGGATAACAAAGAAACAAGACGCTGGAATTCTTTTTAGTAGCAAACCACTCCTTTGTTGTCGCACTTCAGTCAGTAGTAGACGGCAATCATGCAATTTTCTATCTGAATCGGCCGTTTCCCTCTTGAAGGAGATGCAGAACTTCTAGCTTAAACTAGAACGGACGTCTTCCGAATGATCTTGTCACTAAAAAAGTAAATGGGAATAACCAGCAAGTAAGCAGCCCAAAGAATCCCCGCCATAGTACCAAATTGGGCGGCAGGGCCCACTTGCGCCATCCAGGTAGTGGCCGCGTAGGAAACGCCAAACGCAACAGAGTTCTTGATCAGATTAACCAGAACTCCGATATGGCTTGCACGCGACGGCATTGTGTCGACAGCATATGTGAGCAAGATATTGGCCGAGCAAGTCAATCCGGTGGTCAGCATTCCGTAGCCGACGCTGACTTGTGCCCACTTGTTTGGTGACTGGAGCCCATATCCAATCACCAAACACCCGGCGGGACTGATGAGGCCTCCAATGATCACAGCCGGAAGTCTCGTAGCGGGATCTGATATCCCGCCATTGAGTTGGGTAGCTCGGTTGAAAAGGTAATCGGCCAATGCTCCACCAACTGGTAGCCCAACCAAGAGGCCGACTAACGCCCCGACGCTGAGAAGCCCAATATCACGAGCGCCCCATAGCAATGGCGGTGGGCTGTAAACAACTGACAGTAATATGGATACAACGACAGTCCAGCCTATCGTAATCCCGAAGACCAGGGTCGTAACAAGCACCTGCGGGGCCACAAGAAGTTGTACTGGCCGTCCTATGTTGGAGGCAGCGAGTTTCCAATCCATGTCAACATATGCCATTGAAAACGATCGGAGTCTCCACTGCTTTCCCATTGAAGTGCCGCATGTAGCTCTTGGTTGTCGGTTACCGTTCTCGACTTCGTCATAAGTCGGACTTGAGGGCACGCCTTTAGGGCTGTCTTCGGTAGTTGGGCAGGGATCGATATGTGCGTCTTTGGGCGGCTCAATGCGTGTTTCCGGGAGCATGATGACTGAACCGAGAAAAGTGACAAATATCAGTATAGACAAGATGCGGAAATACCATCTCCAGTTATCGACCCCCTCGGCAACAACTCCTGCAATGATGGGACCAATTGCCGAGCCACCGGCCAGAAGTCCAACATATACAACCATTGCTCTGGCCAGTTGATGTTCCGGGAAGCTTTCGGCAACAAAACTTGGTCCCAATGCCTCGACGAGCCCGCCAGCGAGCCCACCAAGAATTCTTGACACCCTCAAGTCATTGAACGATGATGCTTCTGCTGACCACAGACAGAAGGCAAAGAAGAATATGAGAGATAGCAGAATCGTGTATCGTTTGCCGATGAGAGAGGAGGCGGGAAGGGCAAAGATATTCTGTAAATCTGTGTTAGCCACTGGTTTACGATTCGTTACTTGAGAGACAACAAGAATCTACAGGCTTGTCAATGTCTCACAAAACTGGAAGAACCTACCGAAAGACCCAAAGTCAAAAGAACATAGGTTGACAACTGAGATGCTTCATCTGAAGTGCAATCCAGTTCTTGCATGATGCGTGAAAACAGAGGAGGCACTCCCGCCGCAAAGGCATTCCCAAGAAGGTTATAGAAGCTGACGTTAAGAAGGATCCAGATCCTCCACCAAACCGGCCAAGACTATTGTGTTGACGAAAACGATCTGTTAGAACTCATGACGGGCGACTCCGAAGTTTTCGAGGCGGACATCATATCCGATAGTTTGGAAAGACTTACCATCACGGAAAACTCCATCGTGAGATCATTCGATGTGGACATAGCGGTTTGGTCTGAATATACGATATTTATTGACATAATTTGTGTAGCTTGATAACTAAAATGAATATTCTCGGATGTTCAGGCAAATCAAAGCTTAACACCGGCTCGAACCCGTCCTATCTATTCTCACCTCCCCCTGTAAAGACCATATCTGACAGAACTATAATAAGTTTAGAAACGAAGTATATCTCATGGGTTTTGCGTATAATCCGGGGAGATAAAACTGGGGTACGCGTCCGGGGAGAAGGTTCATAACCCCGGATGCTACCCCACGTCAGCCACGGCAGGTATCCACATTTGATGCTGGCCACTTTCCGCTGCTTCCTTGTTCTCGGGGTCCAGAGCGGGGAGAACGTATCACCAGTGACTCGATACAGATATAGCAGTCGAGAAACATATATTCGCGACCTGGCTTGCGTTGGACTGATAGTGTGACGGAGCTATCTACTATGCCACTTGTTTTGAATCAGGCGATGGACTCAATCGACTACATGCTTACTTCAATGAGAACAAAACTTGAGTGAGTCTTCCATATATGGCCAGCTTCTCGGGCAAAAGTTTGCTACATCGGAGAATGTTCAATAGATTCTCCTTATCTCTTCCCCTTCCCCCAAAGCTTGCCGAACTACTTTAGTACCTCCGAATTCCCACCATGATCCTAGAAGAGAAAGCTTTAGTGCAAACAAAGAATATGTGTGCTCAGAACTATGTCAGGGTAAAGTATGTAGAACGAGCGTATTGCCTTAAATACAAAGCTCTTCACAGTTCAATTACTTATCATCCAAAACCTCACTTAATGTAGTTATTGAGGAAGCCATCTTGTGCAAGCGCGGAGGCAAAGGTTGTCCAGTGTCAGTTTAGGCAGCAAGTATATAGGTCCTTTTGACGGTTTGGTTGTTTCCTTCTGACCGTGACATAAGATGAACTACAGAAGCTTCCTCAGCTATTTACCTAGGTTGGGCTAGTATACTTGTTGGAATAACAGCACCAGCTGGTTGTACGACACGCACGACTCAGGGACACACATCATGGCAGAGGGCACAGACTGGATATTCGGCTCTCGGTTATCCATTGAGGGGATCAAAAGTATATTCATGCCGAACTGACTCAGGGACGTACGAGATCATATATCTCGTGTACGAAAGCCAAGTCTTGTAGTTAGGAAGATAATCACGGAAAATATAACTTTGGTTCACCCTAACTTTTAACCCGAGTACGATCGTACAAACGGGTTCTCTCAGGAAGAGAGAATCCATTCAACAATACTATTGATTAAAGCCAGTGAGGATATTGTCTTCGGCATTACGCAGTACCATTGATGCCGGTTCTGTCTCAGTGAGCGCAACTAGAGGCTTTCTTACCACTATTCCGAGTCTCATCCGTCCACGAACATGAAGTACATAGCACCAATGTTTGAAATAAATTTTACGACCCCATAGCATTCATCTTTCAGCTGTAAGTTGCACTATCAAATTGTGCTATAACGTTTGATTAACTTGCATCGGATTGCTTATGTATGCATTCAGGATAAAATACTTCCCCCAGGACTTCACATTGGAGAACGGAGGCTAACGATAGACAAATGTTCCAGCGGGCAGTTTGATTCATAGGAACAAAAGTCCGATGCATGTTTCGGATTTTGCCGAGAGCAGTTCTTAATGATTTCTCCGGCTTCTCAATCAATTCTCTACCGAGTACAACTCCCTCACAATTCACGGTTGACCTCGAAGTAGCCATATTAGCGTTGCATGTACCCCAACACGAGAGCAGATGGTAAAGGGACGACCCTGTGTAAAGCAGGTGACCTTTGGGGAGGCGAGACTGTCGGACGCCATCATTGATGATACTTGTGTTTCACGGGGAGATTATTGCTTCTTGCAAAGTTCGTCGCCACTGAATTTGGGTTTTGTGCTGGACCAGACGCGAGCTTGATCTACTAAAAGAAGTCTATCGTAGTGCTGACCGAATGTCGAGGCTACAGAAAAGAAAGAAAAAAAGACAAAAGAGAAGAGCGATTGCTAGACCATTATTCTGGTCAGCAGTCTTCGTTGATGTTTGTCACGTAAGATGAACGTTCTCCTCCCTCAAGGATCTCCTGGTAGTAGCAAGCAACTTTGGCCACGGATGAAAATCTATGACGTTGGCATGAGATGGTTCTGACAAAGATATTGCAGATAGTCTGTAATTTGTTAACTGAATAGCATTTCGGAAAGGGTAGCCATCGCGTCATGAGATGAGACATCTTTCAACCATTTAAGCCAAGTGAATGGGCCGGCCACCTGCTTATGATCTGAACTGGAAGAACTTTTATGATTCTGGATGTTGATCGTACCAACAACTTTCAATTGGACATCAATGCCACCTAACTATGAACCAAAGTCGCCTCTGACTAGGTTATGCACCTCGCTTAATGACAATTAGACTCACAAAGTCACGAATGCGAAGCCCAGGATGCTCGGCTAATACAAGCAAACTTCGTCTCATAAACTTTATTTCAGATATCTTCATTAGATCCGGCTTGACCCAGATCCCCAAATGCTCATCTTTGGATCGATTCCCCACGTTGTGGTCCCTCTTCGTTGATCTCGCCGGAGTCCCAACATTGATCTGCTAGATAAGCCAACAAGTGACGGCAGCCCGGGACGAAGCTAATTAGGCGGGGTCCATCCGGTTTGAATATGATCGGCTAGCTTTGAGCAACTTTTTTTGCCTGCTACGCATGTAATTACCCATTCCTCATTATGCTGACCCTCTTCGTCATTATAAAAGACTTCCATGTGGATCCGGTGGCCTGGCAAAGTCCTCGGGACTGACTTTATACTTTTAAGCTGCAGCCAAAGGAATTTGCGGAGGACCAGTCACGTATATAAAACCTGCAGCCCTCTTCTGCGGAGATGTGGGAAGCATTTGTAAACAACTTTGTGGCAAACCGTCATTTGCCCAAAATGTCGATGCTGCTGTGTCCCAACATGAATGCCACTGTAGATGCAGCTGACGACAGCTTACTCTTCGCTACCATGATTCAGCGATGGCCCGTAGCTGCAATCGCCCTGTTCACTTGCACTGTTGCTTTCCTCTGGCATGCTGTGTTCAAGAGCGACCCCTGGGTAACATTTCCCTTAGTTGGAGCAGAATATGGAGGGCAAGAGAGCCGAAGGAAGACGTTCATGAACGGGGAAGCCTGGAACCTGTACTTGAGTGGATATCAAAAAGTAAGTTGACAATATCCGCAGGTTATTTCACGGTGAAAAAGTGGCCTTAGTTACCTACAGTTCAAAGAACAACCGTTTCGGATTACTACAACTAGGGGTAAGTGACTGTAAAGTGAGAGACGAATCCGAGGCCGCAGCTGAAATCCGGGAGTAGAATCGGAAACTATCGTTGTATCCCCCAGATATCTCAATGAGCTCAAAAGGCTTCCAGACGATGTGCTAAGCTCTAACATGGCTGTTGCAGAGGTAAGCTATAATCTATGGATACAAAAAACAGTATAGGATTAACTGGCCTCATAGTCAATGCAAGCGAAATATACTGGACTTGAAGCTGATGTTGGCTTATTACTTCCTCACACAGTCAAGACCGTTTTAACACCTTCTCTCAGTAGGTTGTGTCTTCTTTGGCCATGCTTTCTTTTGCTGATAAATGTTTAGATCGGCTGAACCCTATCATTTTTGAAGAGGTTACTGAGTCCATCCGGGCCGAGCTTCCCCAGTCTGGAGAATGGACTGCAGTTAACATGACAGAAAAGTTGATGAGAATAGTAGCTAAAACTTCAGGTCGCATCTTCATTGGCCCCGAACTTTGTCGCAGCGAAGACTACATAGAAGCTGTCGTAAATTACACCGTCCATTGCATCAATGCAGTACACGAAGTTGACGCTATTCCACTATATTTACGCCCCTTTCTAGCATCGAGGGGCCCTGCGGTCAGGAAACTTAACGAATGTTACGATAATGCAAACAAAATTCTACGGCCGGTTATCAAGGCAAGGCAGGAGGCTGCTGGAAACCCCGATTATCAGAAGCCAGATGACATGTTGCAGTGGATGATGGACTCAGAGATGTTTGTTCAGATAGACGACAGGGGGCTTGCCAAATATCAACTGACCATAAGCTTCGCTGCTATTCTCACTACGAGCATCACTATAACGAACGCGTAAGTATTCTCTTTGATTGAACACAGCTTTCCCATGGCATGTTTTATACTAAACACTGTACCTGAAGTATCTACACACTAGCAGCCATGCCCGAATTGGCACCGATTCTCCGTGAAGATGTGTTACAAGCCCTGTCTGCGACCAACGGTGTCATCACAGTCGGTGCAATGCAGAACATGAAAAAGGTCGATAGCTTCATAAAGGAGACTTTAAGATTCTACACACTATCACCCTGTATGTCTCCCGAATGGTTTAACTTGTTCTTCGCTGACAATACCTACAGCGTCCTTTATGCGGAAAGTTCTGAAAACCTTCACCCTGTCCAGTGGCCAAGTGGTTCCCGCAGGCTCCGTCATTGAACTATCTGCCATCGGCATTTATACCGATGAAGACTACTTCCAAGATGCAGAGAAGTTTGACGCTTTACGCTTCTACCGGATGCGTCAAACAAAGGCGGAACAGCAAACAGGATCTAAGAAGGCCGAAGTGGTCGCCAACTCCCAAGCCGTCAGCGTAGGCCTGACCAGCTTGACCTTTGGGTACGGACGCCACGCGTGTCCTGGCTGATTTTTCGCTGTCAATGAGATGAAGATGATCATGGCGACGCTGTTAGCGAATTACGAAATGCAGAACGCACAAGGCATCAAAGAGAGGTATCCTAATTTGATGGCCGGATCGATGGTGGGTATCTTTCTTCGAGAAAAGGCGCATGAGGACCGGACTGGCTGACTGTGTTTGCAGAAGTATCCTGATCCCAACAGAATGATCCTATTGAGGAAGTTGTAAGGGGCGCTAGGTGGCGGTTTGTGGCACACTACACGGTCGGAAATACAACCTAGGTGTGGAAAGTATATCAAACAGTATGAAAATGAGAGCCAACTTGTTGAATCGACTGCTAAGTGGGCTCAAACATGTTGTTATGAGAGCGACAGCATGGGGTGCAGCTTCATCGACGTTGAGCAGTAAACATAAACTTGCTTGACGAGGATCTCATGCTCAACATGATACAAGAAGGTTAGGGAAATGCTGGATTACAATTGTAAGCTCGGGGGGAAGGTGGTCCAGTAATGAGATTGCGTGTAAGTGGGTTGATTCGGTTGTTGTTGTTGAATGTGGTCGCAAACCTTTACTCGTATTCGGGGGCTTAGTTGACTGCTTTCGCGGTAATTCATCTAAGTTCTCGTCACAACATTTGTTTTCTACATGTTCCAACTTGTCTCAGACCCTGAGAGCCATACTGGGCACATCGGTTGCCATGCAGTCTCGGCCGACATTGGCCTCACCCCAACAGGTTTCGGATTTCAAATACAACATCCAATTGTAACAGCGTCGACCACCAATATTGAGATCAGAAGTCTTGCTTGGACATTTATGTATCTGACGGTCAGATTTAAGGGCTTGTTTTCCTTATGAGTAGTATTCTTGCATGCTAGACATAGGTTTGAAACGGTGGTATTTTTAAGCGATGGGAAAATCTCTAAAGCGTAAGCTCATCTCAGTAAAACCTACGTCGCGCAGCAAAATAACAGCAAAATAACCCACCGCATATTCAGTGGGTTGCAGACAGCGGCCCTTGTGACACGTGGTAGCCCCAGATAAGAGCAACCCCCCACGTTTCTCATCATTCGAATTTTTCTTACGTTTGGCTTCCGCTATGGCAGAGTTTTGCCGGGGACCCTCTCTCATGGCTTATCTCGGGTAACCGCTAACGTTAAGAAGAAGCGGGAGCTAACGAGCCCCGAAGCGGGGCCCGACCGTGTACGTTAAGCGGTCCCGAGATGCGGGGCCCCGGAGGTCGTGAGTCGTGACCGGCGTAATCACCGTGACCGTGTACGTTAGGAACAGCCGGGTTGCAATGAAAATTGTGCGCCAGGCGCAAACCTACCAGTCCACTAGATAACTCACTTTCTTCTACTTAAAAGAAGCATATCTGCCGCCTGACAGGTTAATTTAGTCTATAAGTAGGATGCCCCCTTCTCGAAGGGTTGTTTTTACTTTTTCTTCCTCTTTCATCTGGTATTCATCTTCAAGATAGACACCTTGAACAATCTCGACAACCGTACTTTCACCTACAACAGGCTTTGACAAACCCCTCAACTTCATTTACACTCACATCACTTTACCAGCCATGTTTAAATCAATACTCAAGATCGGGATCGAGAATCATTACTCGTCCAAGATCTATACCAGCGGCTCCCGCATCACAGGCGTCGTAGCCGTCTGTCCAGACACCGATCTCTCTTTTCATTGCATTCAGATCGTTCTCGTTGGCACCGCTTGCACAAGAGTCGACATGCTACCAGTCCCCAAGACAACCAACGATGTCTTTCTCAATCTGGATATGCCTATCACCAAGACATCCTACCCTCCAGGGCAGATCTTCATTGCCAGACAGAAACACGAAATTCCCTTCGACTTCACAGTGCCCCATATGCTTCACAAAGACTCTTGCGACACCATTTCAGGAGAGCATTCCCACGACCAGCATATGCGACTTCCCCCAACCATGGGAAGCTGGGAGAAGGACGACATGTCTCCAACCATGGCTAGAATCGAGTACAAGATAGTCGCCAGGGTGCTCCGCAAGCGTTCTTCCCTCTACAAAGGCACAATCGAGACCAGTCAGCTTATCAAGGTCCTCCCGGCATTTCCTGAAGATCCACCCTTGAGCATCAACAGTCGTGACGCGCGATATACCCTTTATAGTACCAAGGCGGTCCGGCGAAATCTACTCTCGGTCAAGAAGGATCGCATCATGATCAAAGCTTCCCAACCTCAGGCTCTTCATGTAAGCATTGGTGGATATCAACTCCCAAGCTCGCAATCCTCGGTTATACTGGACTTCATCTTCGAAGCATCTTCCGCCTTTTCTTTCCCGCCAGAAGTAACTCTCGGTCAAGTAAAGCTAGAAGCTCAGACGTGGTTCACTGGTACACCCATGAAAGTGGTTCCTGATCTGGGCAACCCGCGCGATATGGCAGGTCTCCGCCACGAGCTCAGGTACTCCACGAACGTCAAGCTCTCAACGACCGACACAGGAGTCATTCTATGGCACAAGGATGTCAGTGGGGAGGAACAGGGTTTGAGCACGTGGCGGTCGAAGACCAAGATCCCAATCCGGCTCCCTACCGCACACAAGATGTTCCTTCCGACATTCTACAACTGCTTCATCGCCCGGAGCTACATCCTCCACATGAGCTTCAACTCCAGTGGGTCAAAGACAAACCTATCCGTTCCCCTGCAGATTGCGTCGCAGTCGCTATACCCAAAGGCATCGGAGCCAGAGATTGAGGATCTGCCATCTTTTGAAGCATCTCTGACGTGGGGCTGACTCGGCATGATGCATGCTTCTTTTGGGTGATGAGTTGTTTGGATTGCTTTACTGCTGTGGTTTCGGTTTGAGCATGTTTTTTTTCATGATTTACGATTCGAGAAATGGTGGATTTCTGTGGAAGGTTATAACGGGTTATTAATTATTATACCGAACAGGGTGCTCGGTGAGTTCTGCTTCTAACTAGATGCGTTCGTATCGTTGAGGATTTTAGTATTGCTTCCTTAGTTAAAAGTGCGCCTTTCGTCAACAAATATGCTACTATTTCCCAACTTGAAACCATTGATCAAACGCGCCTGAAGGATCCCACTTTTTCTTTAGCTCTCTCAATCTTGACAGACTCGACCCATAAATTGCTTCGGCTGTCTCATCGCCATGAGCAAAGTTGACATACGTCGGATTCTTTGTCGCCGGCGAAGAGTAACTCCAGATGTCCCTTACTTTGCTCCCGAAATCCTGCGCCTCTGCATCCAACGCAGCGTCCGTGTACCACGGGATGACGATAGCCTGTGCGAAAGCGTCCCTCCTCAATGCCTCCTGCAGAGCTGCTGACCCCTTGGGGGCGCTCTGGGCCTTCGTCAGATTGTACCGTTCGATGAGGACAGCCGAGTTCGGCCCCTTCGCCTGGAACTCTGTATATAAGTTCCAGATCGCCGGCCAGGTCTCGGGCTTCATATGATTGATGGTCGTGCTAAACGCAGGCTTTCGGTCACCGCGCGTGCAAAAGTTGTCGTTCGCTGCGTTCCAGGCATCGTATGCGGCCACGCTGCTGCTGTTGGAGATCGGGCCGAGCGCGTACAGCGGGGCGAAGGCGGCGCGGCCGGCCTCTTCGGTCCCCTTTCTAAGGAAGCCGGTGACGAGAACGGCGGGTGCGTTGGACGGAGGCCCGGAGTTTGTGAGGACAAGATAGACAACCTGCTCGGGCTTCAGCGGCAGGTCTTGGATTGCCTGCGCGACTTGCTGGAGCTTTTCGGGCGCGAAGAACAGGTTCATGATCCATGCGGTGCGGTCTTGGGTTGACGTGGGCCAGGCTTTGACTGTGGCTGATGTGACGATACCAAAGTTGGGCCCAGCACCTCGAAGAGCCCAAAAAAGGTCTGGGCGGGAGGTAGGCGAGACAGTAAGGATATCTCCGCTTGCCACCACGACGCGCAGCGAGAGTGCGTTGTCGACTCCGAAGCCAACTTCACCCATGAGATTCCCTACAAGAGCGTGAGCCGGGTATCGATATAGAGCCGAGACATGGAGTTTGACATACCATAGCCACCGCCAAGGATGGCACCGAGGGCACCCACACAATTGCAGTTGCCGGTCTGGACCAAAACACCGGCAGCATCGGCCGCCTGGATCGCTTCACTGATGATCGCGCCACCGCCGATGGTTGCCTCTGTCTTGCTCTTGCTGAAAGTCACGGCGTTCAGACCAGCGAGATTGATGAGAACGCCATTCTTGCCAAGATTGAACGTCTTTCCCCAACCGTTACCGCCATTCTGAGCGGTGAAGGGGATGCTGCGCTTCGCGCAGTACTTGACCTGTAGCTCAGCGTCAGCAAAGGGGTTTTAAATGAGACTGGCCTCAGTAGAGCGGCTTACAACGGTGGCAACGTCCTTCTCTGTGGTCACGTTCACCACGATGGCCGGAGTCGGCGCGTTGAACATACTCCATCTCGCTCGAAGGTCAACGGTCACCGAGGTCGATGGTGATACGAGTGCCTTGAGATCGTCGGCGACGGCGGGTGCCCTCAGAGTGAGGGCAGAGACCGCTACGGCGAGCAGCTGCAGAGACAGGAGCAACTTCATCGTGCCTGAGGGATGGACAAGGACCTAAACGAAGGGAGTCACCAGTCTTGCCAACAGGCGGTATGCAATTATATGTAATGTCACGATGGCGCCATTGATGCTACCACCACCTGCAAGCCGTATGCAGTGCAATGGTACAGGATCAGGTTCACGAGTCATGGATCACATTAGGCAAGAAACCAACAGCCTATCTACCAAGTTAGATGGTGTTCCCAACAGGGGTTCATGAGCACTATTTAGTATGCCATGGGGCTGGACGGTGAAATACTGGGGAAAACGTTCAGAAGATGTGCCCTTGTTCGAGGAAGCGACAAGAAACCAGGTGACAAGTGGGAGAGGAGACGGAAGCAGGGGGACGGATATGTTACATCGTTCAAAGACGTCCAGGTAGCTGTAGTCTGGCACAACTGCCTATCGAGGAAGTGATGCCCTATCCCTGTATACTTATATGCGAAGCCCGTATACTCTAGCCGACCCAAAGACCGGGGTGTTACGGGAGATGTACATTATCCGCTGACTATGTATTAGAAACATCCTCAAAGCCCTGCAGAAATACTGCGATGTTTCCCTGCGCTGCGTCCCGAATAGTCTCCCGGAAATTGACAACCACATAGCCCAGCCCTGGCGGAACTAAGGAAAATTGTGGATAGGCAAGAAGCACCAGTAAAACTTCGACTTTGCACTTGTGCTAGTGGTCAATAAGACGGTCATGTGCCACGACGAGTGATGGTTAGGAGATGTTTGGACTCTGGAATTGGAGGATCTGTAGTATTCTGGTTGTACAAAGCGGCTTTTTGAGGCTGTGCCGTGTGCCAGCAAATAGACATTACGGGAAACGCGGGATATTGGATTTCTACAGGAAGTTAATGCCAACACCGACTTGCAATCCCTTGGTGCCCTGCTCGCCGCGTCTCAGTACCAACGGAAGACTAAAGTTAAGTTCGAAACGGGCCACGGGATGAGCGTAGACAAGGCCGACACCGGCGGCAGTTGATGGCAGACCGCTAGTCAGGTCGTTCAAGGCTCTCCAGGCACTGCTGGCAACGCCGCCAGCATCGAGGCTGGTTGATGAATTATCACCCTTGCCCTTGTTCTTCATTGCGACAAGTCTGCCACCGTTGGCAAAGACTTGGAAGCGGAGCGCAGAGTCGGGGCCCTTGTATGGCAGAGGGAAAAGCATGTTCACGCTACCGGCCGCGAAAACATCTCCGCCAACGGAGTCCTGTCCGTCGTGGGGTCCAAGACCACCATAGTGGAAACCGCGGACATCGGTGGGCCCACCGAGCTGGAACCGGTCATTGATGCGGCTGGGCTGGGCCTTGCCGCCGGAGGAAAATCCAAGAGGGAGAGGGTAGAGCATACCGAATCGGAAGCCTCCCCCTATGGATACGCCAGAGGGTCCCTCGACGCCGGGGATGGGGACGGGCACGGCGCCACCAACTTCCAGCTCGTTCTTGGAAAAGGCGACGTCGCCTCCAAGAGGGCCGACACCGGCCAGCTCGAAGACGGACTTCAGAACGTAACCACTCTGCGGCAATTGCGGGTTGTCTCTCTGATCGCGTTGGTATGTGTGCTTGATGGAGCTCTTGACGGAGTCTCCCGCATCAGCGCGGACGGTCGGGCTGGCGCCTTCGCGCAGACCAGTAACTTGACGCCAGATGCCCGAATACTCGACGGAGTGCATGTCCTTGGGACTCGAGAGCCAAGAGAAGCGCATATTTCCACCCTTCAGGACCTCCTCGTGAGCTGCCCATGATTTGTCGGTCGCCGACGCCAATCCTTCCAGTGCAATTCTCGTATCGGGGTTGCTCTGTACCGGCGCGCTCAACGTAGCGCTGTAGGCGGAACGGGTTCTCGTGCCGGCACTGGCGTTGACGGTCAGTTGCTCGGCGCCGCCAAAGATGTTGCGCCAGAGCAGCGAGGTGTATGCAGAGCCCTCGCTGTTTCCGACATCGGTTCCGGCGTTGAACTTGTAGCGGGAAAGCTCCTTGACAACAACGTCGACGTCGACATCGGTTGGGGTGGACGAAGGATCGGTCTGGTTCGAGCTGTTCAGGTGGACCTTGGGATCGGGGTGGAAGATGCCTGTTCAGGTCAGCCCAAGCTCTCTGTTGGATCTCAGAGTAGCCCATACCCAGTCTTTCAAGTTTTCCTCTGGCGTCGCCCAGGCGAGCAGCTACCTCACCGAGGGTGGAGTTACTGTTGACCTCCTCAGCCAGAAGCGGCTGGAAGATGGGGTCGAGGAATCCTCGTCTCGTGTTCGTGGCGCCGTGAACCTGGAGACGGTTGATGGTCATGGGTTGGGAGTTTTGTTCCGCCAGCTACTGCGAGTGTTAGCGGAAGCGTCGAGGACGTCGGAAGGGTCACAGCTTGCCAATGCTTGTAGCCTTCTGATCTTGGCCTCTTCCTGCAGCTTCTCGAACTCGGCCGAGGACTCGGCCTCCTTTCGCAGCTCATCCGGACCGGCCTGAAGCTTGCCAATCGGGTTGGAGGCCTGAGTGTTCAAAATATTCTGATTAGGTGTTGGGAACAACAGCAGAGTCAATTGCAGGATGTACTCACGGAACCTCCGCTCAAACTCGTTTGCGACGCCATTGGAGCTCCTGTGTAAGCTGTGAAGTACACTCAAGGCGCGAGTTGGGAGGAAAATGGCACGAGCCGACAGGCTTCGGTTGAATTCGAGATGCAGCACGGAGCGCGCAGAGGAACGGATCGGGACGACGATGGAACCTGGTCCCAATCGAGGCTGGTGCACGAAGCTCTCTGCCTGGCTCGTGGAAATGTGGGGGCCAGCAGCTCCAGCCACACGGATCACTGGAAGCTCTGGCCGGACGCCCAGGTCCCCTCCTGATGAAGAGCACTGTGGCGTGTGGCTAGTGTAGGTGGCAGTGACATAATGATGTGGAGTCATTTCCTGCTTATGTCCGACGTCCGACGGTACGTACCTCTGTTCTCTCTCTCTTTGACGCACCTTGACTTCGACAACGCATTGGCGCTTGCTACAGCCTCGCCGCATTCCCCAACTTGTCCTTCTCCCACTGTGTGTTTGTGTTTGTTGCGGTCGCACTTCATCCTCTCAACCCGCCAACTCAAACCAGCAAGGCCAGCCCACCCACCGAACAAACAGAATCCTTCACAGGCAGAGCTGCGGTCCTTCGTTCATCAACTCAACGTTCTGTGCACCTTTTGACACTCGTTCTTTTTGCTCACACGATTTCATCCACTGCCACGTTCGCTTTGACGATTACGTCGTTCGCCGCCAAACCGGGAACCGCAGGACTTTGTCAAAACTCCCTCCGACCTCAAGAAAGAAAAAAAAATCATGGCAGCCAGCAAGGCCGCGCAGAAGAGGGTACGCTAATTCAAACACTTGCTGCTCTTTGGATTCACCACTGACCCGTGTGTAGTTGACGCGCGAGTACAAGACCATCGCCGAGAACCCTCCACCATACATTGAAGCCCACCCCTCCGACTCCAACATCCTCGAGTATGTCCGTCGTATCCGTTGCGTCTTCACAAACTGACATGCCATAGGTGGCACTACATCATCACGGGCCCTGAGAACACACCGTATCATGACGGCCAATACTGGGGCACACTCGTTTTCCCTCCGAATTACCCCTTCGCGCCTCCGGCCATCCGAATGCACACCCCCTCCGGCCGCTTTCAGCCATCGACCCGACTATGTCTCTCCATCTCCGACTTCCACCCGAAATCATTCAACCCCGCCTGGGAGGTCTCGACCATCCTGATAGGCCTGCTCTCCTTCATGACGAGCGAAGAGATGACCACCGGTTCCGTCTCGAGCACCGAGACAGAGCGCAAGATGCTGGCGGCGCGGACAAGATGGTGGAACTCAACGGGCGGTGGCTCCCACGCAAAGTCGAATCCGGCACAAAAGGGCAACGTCAAGGCCGGCGACGGCGGCGCCAAGTTCCGGTCCGAATGGCCCGAAGTCGACAAGGCCAACTGGGAATGGATGAAGGAGAACAAGATCGACATGGCAACAGGGAACAAGACCGGCGGCGCAGCAGGGGCCTCGTGCGGACCCCAACTCGGCATCGGTAATGGCAGCGGCCACCAGGCTCAGGCCGTCGTCGATGCCGTCGTGCAGCAGCGGGACGCCGGCCGAGGCTGGCTGAACCAGAATAAGCTCCTCGTCGCTGGCGGTGTCATCTTCTTCTATGTCCTGCTTGCGAGAGTTTTGGGTGCCAGCGACCTAGATTAAGGGTAGAGGTGGACGAGATTCGGCCAGAGATGGTCGCGAGAAGAAGCGGGTAATACTCTGTGTGTGCGTGTGTGTGTATGGGATAATACGGCTGAGCATGGCGTTTTTGGGCTTTTTCCGGCAACGGATCAGAGTGATACACCAATGAGTCTTACTAATATAGAGGACTGAGACGGCCGATGGGGTTGGCAAAACTCGTATGACGAATGTATTCTAGATCCAACAAACAGGTCGGCTCTTGGAAGTGGCGTTGGGACAAGCTCTCGACTTGATGTTTTGGTGAACTCTTTGTGATACGGCGGCAGCATTGTGCCAATAGCTTATCCGAAGGACCACCGCATCGTTCTGGCATGACGGTGACGAGACGTGTTGACGGTTTGGGAGACGACGGCTAACGTGCTGCTTCGACAGCTGTCAACTAGAGGACCGCCGCTTAATCGGAGGGCACCAAGGTTGGATCTGCATCTATGAATCTTTGCCGTCGCATCGCACAGACGGGCTTCTTTTAATAAGCCGATCTCGAAACTGGATTGCATTCGTCCGCGGTACGGCGTTGACGATCAAGCTGCTTCGGAGCGTGTACTCGTAAGCAGGATTTGTCGCTCGTGTAACGCCGCAGCAGAAAAGACGAGCCGGAACGCCACATCGGAAAGTGGACAATGAGCGGCCAGAACGGATGGGCCGAGAGGGCCACGCCGGTATCATCTCGAGGAAGAAACATCAGATCTGATTGACGACACATGGAGCCACCGGTCGGTGAATATGGCAGCAGAGCCTTCGGATTGTGCCCAGCCAGCCAACAGCACGAGGCAAGGAAGGCGGAGCGACATGACATGAGCTTCGGCCGTTGCGTGGGCTTGGCAGAGAAACAGGTACAGTGCAGGGCCCAGCATTCGGACAGACCTGTTGCATTGCTAGGTCGAAACGTGTGACGCCGGCAGAAGTCACGGTGAGGGAGCAAGAGACCGGACAAACCATTCGTTGGGGGACTTGAGAGTTCAGACGGATCACAGGGAAAGCCGTGTGATACTGGCTCGTGGAGAAAGCGGTGGGAGGCGGTGTGGACAATCAGCTGTCGAGGTTCACACCAAACTGCCGATCGGCGTCGGCAGTGTCGGCGGCGTCGTCAACGCCGGTTGTCGATGAGTGAAGAACGCAACCTTGGCGGGCTGCAATATCACTGTGTTGGTATCATCATCTCGATACTGCGTTGTGCTCTCTTTGTTTTGGCGGTGCTCGTCTTTGCAACCTGCCTTCTACCATAGTACCATGTAGGCGTCTCATCCGTGGCACGTCGTTGCATCGTCGTCCGTGCGCCAACCTATTTTGAAAAAGCAAGGATCGGGCTCTTGACGATCAAAATGTCCTCCCTGGTTGGTGTTGGCGATGCAGCACTTGGACCGGGGGGCTCTCTGTAACAGGACAGTGGTGCCACCTTCATGCGTTGAGTCAAGAACCTCAGCAACATAACCCGTGGTGGTCACGATTCTACCGAACCAAACTTCATACCCACAAAAGGAACTTCATCACGTTCCCATTCTTGTTCCGTCGCGAGTTGTCGAGAAACTGCAGAGGTAGGCTGAAGTTCACGACACAGTGGTTTTGTGGGTTTGTTTGCAAGCTCCTCCGGCCAAGCATTGCGCGGTCATGATGCGACCATAGGCAACTGAACATTGGCAGAGCTTACCCAACACAACGAAGGCCCTTGGAAGAGGAAACCCTTTATAACAATGGCCTTCGGCGCGCTCCGAGAACGAACTACTGACGAGGGGAGGTCTCTATTAGGTTCCCTAATCCCAAAGCAGCCTCGAGGACGCTAAGAGCCAACGTCTACCTGAATCCAGCACCCGGCAACAGCTTCATGCCAGGGGCACATCCACAAGGGAGCAAAGGGGAAGAATCTCATGACGCGGAATACATAAACGACAAGCAACGGCACCTCTGTTGCGCGCGCGAGAATGCCGATCAAACCGTCGCATGCTGCATTCCAACCCCAGACCGGGTCGGCTCCCCACCACCCTCTCTCCCCTCCTCAACCCTCCGTGCCTCCGTTCCCCCAAAAGAACCCCAAACCCTACAAGGCGCATCGGTATCAAACATGATATTCGGTGCAAATCATTCTGTACCTCGTACCAGTGGCATTTTAACCTCGTCGACGAATTAGCCTCGTCCTCATACCCCGGCCCGCTCAACCCTACCTGTAACCCTCACCATCCATCAACTGTCGACCCATCCTCAATGCAACTGCCGAAATATGGCAGCGCCACAGACCATTGGCTATTAGAGAAGAAGATACAAGGTTAAACACCCTCGTTCCTGGTCTCGCGGCGATGAATGTTTGTCGAGCAGAAACATGACACACCCGAGCTTCGGGTGACATGAAGCCATGAGAGAGAGGTCTGGCCCCATGCCGCCTACGGTATGTGGAGGTGGGCACACACCACACGCGCACCTTGGCGCAGAGACAGGACAGTACCTAACAGAACACCTCTCGAAGTCTGCGGTGGTGTTGATCGTCGCAGCGAGCGTCCTGCCACAGATGGTTGCTTTTGATGGGACGATGCAATGTGCCCTCCCAGGATACGTCTTCTGTTCGAGAATAACACGAGATGTGATAGGGTAAGTGGGCTGCACGTCTGATCCCCCCATGGCCTGTTGCTGTCCGCCTCAAACCTAGCCTGTCAATCCCATTGTCATTGACTCCCTTTCCCCCTTCTCTCCGCTGCTGCCCCAAGCTCCAGTCTATTTCGATTTGTCTCTCGGCGCAAACGCAGACGGTGTTCCGGTCCCGTCGTGACTGCACTTCTTCCTCTTGCTCTCAGCTCTGGATCACGTACAGGGGGGGCATGCCTGGTCTGGTATAAGGCTGCAGTGGCACCCGGCGGGAAGACGTCTTGCCCCTGGTCTTGGGACTGTGGGATTGCGGTGCAGCTCTAATCCATCACGGCAAGGAAACGACAAAACATGGCGACGAACAACCGCTGGCAGCTCCAGGGTGAGCAGGCTGGCCCGAAGCGTTCGGCCACCGTGTCGGTATCGGAGTTCAATGACGAGTTGGATGATTTGGAGAAGAGCGAGACGCTGGTCGTCGGTACAACAAACTTGTATGTGAATGGGCAGTTGAGGTTGATTCCTGTAAGTCTTGCGAGCCGCCGTGAGAAGGACCATCACTGAACCCTTTTAGATGCCCACGCCCGACCCCAAGGGTGAGTCTTGCCATCACTCTCGTGGATCCCGGAACAGGATGAGTATTGACGTTACCACATAGACCCTTTGAACCTCCCCGCATGGCGAAAATGGACCGCAATCGGCGCGCTCTGTTTCTGTAGGACCTCGTTCCCAACCGTAAGCTTGGCCTACTGGCTAACGTCTCATCAGTTGGTGCCCTCGCCCTGTCAGCGGAAGTTGTCATTGGCGGTCTTCTCCCCGTCTTCATCCTCGAGTACTCGGGCGTCGACCCGCACATCCTCAACAACATTGACTTCAAATCCCAGAGCGGCGGCAGCGGCCTCAACATCAACCCTTTGTCCGTCGTCCCCCCGGGTGTGAAGCCTGCCTCGCTCGAGGAGGTCAGTCTGTTGGCCACGATACCTCTCCTGGCGAACGGCATCGCGAGCTACTTCCTCGTCCCAACCTCCATCTGGATCGGCCGTCGTCCCGTCCTCATCTTCGCCGCGACGAGCGCATGGGCTGGCGGGCTCTTTGCTGCCTTCAGCACAAGCCTCCATCAGCACTTGGCTGCGAGAGTGGTCATGGGCTTGGGGGCCGGCGCGGTGGAGGCACTGATCCCGCTCATTGTTCAGGACATGGTCTTTATTCACCAGAGGAACAAGGCCATGTCGGCTGTGGTGTCCAGTCAGGGAATCATCATCATTGGTCTTGGTGTTTTGGCGCCCTGGGTCTCATCCAACTATACGTGGAGGTGGATGTACTACATCACCTCTGGTCTGGGCGTGTTGGCATGGGCCATCCTCATTGCTTTCTTGCCCGAGACCCGATGGAATCGGTCCCAACAGGAGCTCAGTATGTATCATCTACTCCTCAGAAGACCCAGCTAACACTTTCCAGGTGGTCAAACCACTTATCCTGTTATGCCCGGCAAGAACCGACCTGAGCTCGACTACGTCAACTTTACCCCGCGCACTCTCTGGACCAACATCGGCGTCTTCCAGAACGGGTTCGAGTTCAAGCGTGCTGCCAAGTCCATGTTCGACGCCCTCCGATCGACCTACTTCCCTGCCGTCATCTGGGCTGTCCTCGTCAATAGCTCCGGCATCGTCATCAACCAAGCCTCCCAACAGATCACGCCTTTTGCGCTGCTTGCTCAGGGCTGGGAGTTCCAGTGGACCGGTCTCACAGTGCTGCCATTCTTTGCCGCGTCGGCTCTTGTCTACGTCTTTGGCGGCCCCGTGGCTGACAAACTCTCCAACGCGGTGACGAGGTGGCAAGGTGGGAGCCGAGAACCGGAGCACCACCTCGTCAACATGATTCTTCCACTCGTCTCTGGCGTTGCGGGCTGTTTTCTCTTTGGAACGGCCGGTGAGGAGAACTTGCACTGGGCCGTTCTCCTCGTTGGATCGTTCCTGATCGTCTTCGCCTTCTTGACGATGATGACCATCCTCAGCGTCTTCATCGTTGAGAGCTATCCCCAGTGGGCAGGGTACGTTGATGCATCGCAGCTCATTCAATGTTCTTGTACTGACTAAATGGTAGACCCGTGCTTGTAAATGTCTCCTCGCTGCGCATCGTCATTGCCTTCTTCGTCGCCTCCAAGGCCACCGTCTGGATCGCCGAGAAAGGCGCAATTGGGACGTTTGCTCTGTACGCCGAGGCCCTCATTCTCTTGTCTCTTGGGCTGCCAGTGCTCTACTTCTGGGGCAAGAGGCTGCGGCAATGGACCGCGGGAAGCGTCAAGAGCAAGCAGAACAAGCGAAGCGAGAAGGAGAAGGCGCTTGATGACGCAGCCTCCGTCTAATCACATAGAGGATGACAATGATAACGAACTTGACGAGAAAGACCAAATGTTGGTGTCTTCTCAATAGCGTCCACTGGCTATGGACGAACAATACACTTTGTTCAATAGATAATAACAGAGATCCAGTCGCTACCGACGCGCAGACCAAACCGGGAGATATACTTGCACGAACAGCCACCGCATACGTAGTGCTGTCTTGGAAATGCTTGAGAGAGAGCATAAAATTGCTAAGATTCCCACCGAAGCTCTCTGCGAACAACCAATGTCCGTTGACCGGTATCCCGGTTACCATGGTTGAGACATGGCAAACGAAGCGGAACTTAACACTGGCCAGCCACATTTTCCAAACTCTGATTATGACCGTTAAAGGCTAATTGGACGTTAAGAGCACGAGATAGTGGTGGATGGAGAAACTCCGAGGCCCAGCAGTCCAACTGACAAACATACGGGCATGCCACAAGCTGTCGATACTTGGGTGTGGGGCTTGTGGCATGAGACGCACCTTGTATCGATCAGCTTCAGCGCCATGAGCCAAATGACTTCCAAATTTGAGTCAATTGGGGATGCATGATTGCTCGCCGACAAGACTTTGGCTTGTCAAAGATCAACTTGGGGCCAGAAGGAGTAAATTTCGACGTGTTGTTGTGGGATCTTATGAGAGCCTGCAATATCGTGCAAGGATTGATTTTGTTTCCTGCCTCAAAACTCGTGGTGTTCATCCACCAAGCCTAAAAGTTTCGACACAGACGTTTTCAGCTCTCCATCAGGACGAACTTTCGGCTCTTCCATAAGAAGATACACTCTCCGGCTGCCTCTCAACACGCCCCAGGTTCAGCGGCTGCTCAAAAGTCAACGTGCTGATGGGTGGATGGCTCAAACTTGGAGGGTGCGTCAGAACGTTCCGAGATGAGTGCGATTGTCTGCAGTCAATGCCATTTGCAAACTTTTGATTTGGTTTGATTTGGATTTTCGCGACCATAAGACTTTATCCACGTAGCCAAGACCTGAATCGGTCGCGCGGCAGTCTTATTGACAGTAGCCGACGTCTGGGTGTTCTTTGCACTCGTATGAACGTGCCTCAGTGTACCTGATAAAATCCCCCGGTCTTCGTCTAACACCCCGGAGGGTGATGCTAACGAGGCCTTGGTGAGGAAGGCTGAATGCTGCACCGGTGTCTTTTACTGGCTTCCGCTGGCTTGATTAGTTAATTAGGACGAAAAACAGTCGCAACAAGCAGCACAAACGTGAAATAATATAGACCGTTGATTGAGCGGAGTGTGACTTGAACCAAAACAGGCTGTCACATCCGAATGCTTTGAGTTCAAGGGCATGACAAGTTCTTAGCATGCAGCTGCCCAACCTCTGGACTGATATCTTCGACATCACACAATGCGTCCTTCTTGCCACCCAATGCCAAATCCATGGTCCTGCGCAACAGCTCAACCTCAATTGTTGCCAGCGTTTCACCATCGATGGTCCCCAAAACCTCTTTAACCAGCTCGTCGTACTCCGCCGGCAACGCCAACACGGCTGGAAGCTGAGGAGCGTCAAAGAACGACATGTGCGTAGTCCCTTCAATGACCACTATAAGAGATGGGCCGCGTAGATGAGACCAGATTTCGTTCCAACCGGAAATGTAATCAAACGTCGTCGGTGTGCTTACCAGCACCAAGGGCCTGTCAGTACCTTCCGTCGTAACGGGTCCCCATAAGGAACCATCAAAGTTCAATCCGCCGAGAACGCGGTCGTCAGCACGGAGTGAGGCGGCCGCTGTGGCGCCTCCGAGAGAGTGCCCGGCGACAAATATTCGGTCCGCGTCGACAGAGGCCTGCGTCCCCTTCAGGAGTGGCCCTGCTACCGACGCATCTAATAGCTGGTCGATGATGAAGGACACATCTTTCTGACGAGTCTGCCGGTCCCACAATATTTAGATTCCATGTTCAACTTTCGGACGAGACGGGGAAGCAGCTTACATCTAGAAGACTCAGAATGTAGCCCATATCACTATTAGTTGCGTTCTCTGCATATCTTACGCTGCCATCCGGGAACTCGACCATGGCGGAATCATATGTGTGATCCAGTGTGACGACGATGTAGCCATAACTGGCAAGGGACCGCGCCAGAATACCGTGTCCCAGTCGGTAACCTGTTCGACCATGCGAGAACAGGACGAGTGGATACTTGTCAGCTTTCGTACCGCATGCCGTTCTGACACTACAAAACTCAAACTCCGTCCCCAAGAACAGGGTGCTGGGTAGCCCAAACATCGCCGTAGCCAATTGGCCATAGAACGCCGCCGTTTCGGGGGGCATATAGGGGACTGTCTCGACTGAACAGCTGGTATTCTTCTTGAGAGGGACATGGACAGATACCATCAACCGTCGCTTCTCGGGTTGGTTCTTGGGGGCGTGGGGATCCCATCGTGCGGCGTCTTCAAAGGCTTGCACCCTTAGGGCAACTGGGTGTGGTCCGGGAGGACCGGGAATGACGACTGCCGCAGCTACTGAAGCTAGACCCACGAAAAATGACAACAGCATCTCTGCGATGTACGGTGGGAATTGGACAAGCCAGGAGGACACAAGGAACAGCAAAACCGTAAGCTCTTTAGGCTACGTATATAAAGAATTCAAAAAGCATCAAAGACTGTCAGATGACGAAGATAGGAATTTGTCTGCCTCTTATACAACTGCTCTATCATTACCGACTACACCCGAATCGTTGTCGGGCAAAACAAAATCCTTCTCGTGTATGCAGTCGCCAGGCGTAGAGATCTTGGCACGGGCTGTAAGATTCCATCAGCCAATCAAACAGTGTCCGGCGCCGTTTTCAACATCGAAAACCACAAGAAGATATTTGAGAGAGGCAAGGCAGACTCATCCCAAAAAATGGCCTGGGGCTTCGTACCGGGCGGCTTCTCCCAACACTGACTTTGGTCATGGTTCTAAAAGGCCGCTTCATTTGCCACTCAAGGCAGTCTGATCAGACAATTGAAACCTTTGGTTTCATATCGCAATTCATAATAGGAGATTCTCCTCGAGCACGCCGAGACAGTGAGATGTAAGACGCAGCTGACATTGTGACGTCAGCAGGTCTTGGTCCCCCCAACTCCTATTCAATACTACCTCAGTTTTCATGACTTCCTATTGAATCATGTTCCAGAATGAGCAGAGGGAGGAACCGATTTGGAGTAAGATTTTAGGCTTAGACTGTTGCAGTATAGAAGTGCGAGAACCTGAAGCCAGGCTACTACTAGCACTGGCATTACTCAAATGCATAACTCGTCTCAACAAATCGATCTTTATTTGTCAATTAGCCTAGTGCATGATGTGATGTAGGAAAATCGGTATATACCATCAGTGTACCTTCAATCCAACAGTCTCCTTCAGATTAGCTTCGGGATCTACAAAGGCTCTCTTCTTCAGCATTCTACCTCCGCTGGAGTATCGGTACACTAACCCGTCCGGTTGACAATGATAATGGCGGAGGGCCGCAGGGGTCATCTGCAGCTTGTGCTGGGGATGGGGGTTGGCATTGCTTATATGACCGTGCCGTATTCCCGTTTCTGTCCATGGCGCTGGTGTTTCCACCGTAGTTGGCAAATGCCAAGAGCGAGACCAAACTCACCTCTTCTGCTTTTGAGTTTGACTCTCTGCTTACATCCATTGTGACAACAATCACTAATACCCCAGTAACTACTTGGCATCAGTGATTACATGATAAATCAATTTGAGATTTTAAATTGAAGTATTTCTTAGCGAACGAAGGGGTGCTGTTAATGCAGTACAGGAAGTTCGAGTCAATTAGGTAAACAACCAGAAAACGACATGAAACTTATCGTACCGTACGATGTCTTCATGATATCACTCGGTGGTGGATTGCTCATGTCAGTGAGGCGTAACCAAGGACAACACGGGTTGCCTTTGAACAAACCTTGAAATACTTTTCCCAACTCCAGTCCGTACCAAGTCTAGACCACGGTCCCGGGAATTTATCACCACAGAATCATTGAGGACTATCGCTAGCTCAGATGTCCTCAGGCTAAAGCAGCAACTACTCAGTTTCAGATATGAAGGGGGAAATCTGAGGCCGATTTGGGATTGTATTCAATTGACTCAAATTGATGAAATAATTAATCTTTCAACTGACGCCTATTAAGAAGATTCGGCAAAGCAACGGAAACGGGTGTGACCACCTAGTCAGGGGAGTACTTCAACAGGTTGGTCATGTGCTCCCCAAATCTGCCGGAAATGGCCGGCCGTACGGCCCCACCTCCGGCAACAGATAGGGGGTCCACCGGGCCGAGGACCATGCAATTTCGGAGCTGACTGGGCCCCAGTAGAAGGTGGTGAAGGGTCTGATTAATGAGTGGCCCGGTCGGTGTCTCGGACGAAACAAGTGGGAATTGAAATTCCTGACGTCGACACCAAAACAACGCTGATGTAATCAGACAAGGGGAGCGGGAGTTACGTACCTCGAAGCTTCCAGCTGCTAAAGACCAGACCAAAGACCCGACCAAACCGAAAGGAGCTCGACGGTGATTAGCGTACCGGCTGCCCTGTGGCTTGGGATATTTCGGTTGCCCAGCACGGGCGCAGTTGGGGTTGCAGCTCCCGCTAGCAGAGGCAAATTCGATGCGCGCCCGGGCGCGAGTGATCAAAGACCCTGGGCTAAGGTGGAAAAGTGATGATGATTGTTTGTTTGTGTGCGTCAAAGACAGACCCGAGCAATGCAAACAAACCAACAAACGGCCCTTCGTTGCCATTGATTCTTTGGCAAAAGTGTCTTGCAGCCGACGACATGTCCGTCTACTCGTCTTTGCTGCACGTTTTCTTGCCAGCGGTCATGTATGTCATGCGAGAGAAGGTCGAGGGCAACAATTACACTAAAGCAGGGTCGACGTTCCGACCTGGCCTGGTCTCTCCTCCCTGGTCCGCACCTTCCTTCCCTTCTCGATCGACAGCTTCCCTCCCCCCCCGGTACGTACCGACGCCTTGGTTTGCAGCTTGCCAGTTCTCGGGATAGTTTAGACCAATGAGACGCCAGAGCCAACAAGCTTGGGTCACCTCAGGGGAGGTACGTACCGGGCAGAAGCAGCGCAACGCAGCGCAACGCACCGCACCGCGCCATCCATTCTTTCATTCAACTGCCTTTTCTTTTTTGCGGGGGTAAAATTTGTGACGCAGCCCCGTTTTTTGTCATCATCGGATTTTCCTGCTCATGACGGAGCCCCGATTTTTTATTTTCGTTTTTGGTTTTTTTTTTTTCGTTCGATCCAAGCGCTGCACCTAGTCCACTACTGACTGACTGCCCTGCCCAGCCGCCCGCAACGAGGCAAGGTCAGGCAGGAGCAGCAGTAATTAATCAGAACGCATCGAGCACTTGCAGGTCTCTCTCTACCCATCCGTCCGTCCTTCTGTTCGCAGTCTGGCCCCAGCGGAGAGGCATCGGTGGCCACAACCAACGGCGCAAAGCAGCTGGAACCGCAACAACAAGCAGTAGTGGCGGAAGCTTGCCTCTTGCCCTTTCTTTCCTTTCTCCCTCTTCGATCTCGCGTCACCAAACGGATAGAGAGAAAGACAGAATCAAACCAGAAGGACAGAGAGAGTGGCTCCATCACACTCCCTCTACCCTCCATCCACGTCCCTTTTCCACGCTCGCTTCACCGCGTCCAGGGACAAGACAACTCCTCCACTCCACTGCCTCCTCTCTTTTCCCCTCCTCCCTTTTCTACATACAACCTCACAGGCTCATACTCCGCTCCTCCTCCTGTTGCGCCTCTCATCAACGTCACCCTCCGACACTCTCTCTTTTTGACTACTCTCCTTCATCGCTTCTTGCTGCTGCTCTCCATCCTCTCTCGAGCTTCTCCCTGTGGCACGCATCGGCACCTGCAGACCCTCTCTATCATGCGCCACCCCTGCCGACGAGAGGCTCCCATCCTGCACGAAAAGAGTCACTAGGCTTGGTAGCCCCCCATCCGAGGCCCGGACCTACGATTCGCGACTTGACGACTTGCGACTTCTCTCACACGACGGGCGACTGTTCTTCTAGAATTATCCACTTTACCAAAACCCACTTTGGTGCTACTCCTATCGCCGAACGAACAAACGACCGCAGCTGCTGAGAACCGACCCCGGCTCCCACCACCTGTTGGCCACCCCCCAGTCGTCCTAGTCCTGGGTCCTTCCCGCCCAGCCAGCAGTCCAAGTCAGAGTACGGTTCTTCTGCAAAGTGGGCTCAACACCCGCTCAACACCACCACCACTCATCCTCCCGCCTGCCCCCAAGTCGACAATGGCTCCCAACGGCAATCCGAAGGCGAGGAACGGTGTTGGTGTCGCCCACGGAAAGCCCAGCGCTGCTAGGCGCGTGGTCCCTGCCATTCCGCTTCCCTTGGATCGTCGCGTCAAGGCCAATGCCGCCGCGAAGCAGGCCGCAGCTGCTGCCCAAGCCGCCGCTGTTGCATCCTTTCCTCGACCCGTCTTGACCAACGGCTCTTCTCTCAAGATCCAGAACGACGCCGACTCGATACCTCCGACCCCCAAGACCGCCGAGCCCGAGATTGCTACCCGTGACGAGGACAAGCCCGCCGCCGACGACAGCGCCACCGCCCCTCTTGCTACCGATCAGGAAGGCGACGATGTGAAGGACCGCGAGGGTAAGTGCAAATTCTCCCCGCGCCAAATCCTCTCAACACAAAGCAGGGTTCTAACATGGTCACATAGCTACCGACTCCCAGGTGTCTTCTGCCGCTATTCCTACTCCCTCCACGACCGACGAGTCCGAATCCACCGACAAGGCCGCCGACCGAGACCTTCCGCCGCCTGTCGAGGATACTCTTCGAGGTACGTCCGCCCTCAGCTGCCACGCCCCGGAGAGCCCCTTCTTACTTGCTACAGAAAACAACCGCATCACCTCCCCGCCCGCGGCCCGGCCTGTGAAAAAGGGTAAGAACCCTCGGCGCTTGGGTGCTGTGTTGCGCCAAACAGGTTGCTCACAAGTCACAGACAATGTTCCCCAGCTCCCACCGACTTTCCGACCTCCTCCTGTTATCCCTCCGACCCGATATAACATGCCGCCTGCTGTTCACAACGGCGCTCGCCCCTCTGCTGTCGTCATCAACGGCACATCTCACCGAGGTCCTCGATCGGTCCACAATGGGCCTCCTCACATGCATGGTGCGCGCCCGAGCAACGGCAGTCTTCAGTTCGGCGGATTTGGCTCCAACTCGTCTTCTCCGGTCCCTCCCCACTCAGGAGGCTTCATGCCCCCTCCGGGCATGCCTCACCCTGACGCGCGTGCGTTTCCCGGCGCTACGAACGGCTACCACCACCAGATGCCTTACGGCACCGAGTTCGTGCCTGGTACTGCCCTGGATGGGTTTGGTCGACCGCTCCCAGGCTACGCCGGCATGGAGCAATACGCCCCTCACATCAACGGCTACGGTCCTTCAACCCCTCACAGCTTTCAGGGATCTCACTCTTCGGCACACGCGGACGAGCCTGGTGCCTACAACCACTACCCCGCGCCTGGCGTCCCCAACGGCAACGCCCAAGTCGATGACGCTCGCCCTCACCCGCCGCACGCTGGAGCTTTCGGTGTTCCGCCTCAGCGGATGATGCCTGGTCCTATCCCGCCCCCGCACATGATGCACCCTGGACCCGAGCATCAGGGGTTGGATGATATGGCCGCCTACCTACGATCGCAATTCAGAGACACTGTCTTCGCCGACTGCACCCTCGAGCTGCGATACCTCGACGACCGCGCCCCTCCTGTCCGGCTTCCCGGACACCGTCTCATTCTTGCCAGAAGCCAGGCAGTCCGAAACGTCCTCGAGTCTGACGGTTTCGAGTCGAGCCCGCCAGGCGCTAACCGCACCATCCTACTCCAGTCGGACGACAGACACCTCCGCTCCGATGCCTTCTGGATGGCAGTGCAGCATCTTTATGCCTTCCCGCTCCTGGATCTGCCCGAGCCGACCGCCAATGCCGCCTTTACCTTGGCTGGCAGCGCCGATGACCGCTTCGACTTTGCTCTGGGATACGCGGCGGCAGGTCACCTCCTCGGGTGGCAACCCATTGTCATCCGGGGCCTGGAGATTGCCTCGCACTCCCTCAGCTGGTCCACCATCGAGCGAGCCCTCGAATTCGCCCTCGGCGACGTGCCCAGTCGCGCTTCAGCCGACAGACACACCCAGTTTGTGTATGGCGAGCCCGTCCAGATCTTGATGAATGGCATCATCTCATTCCTTATCAACAACTTCCCGCCGGACTTCACCCTGGACACGTCTGTCGCGGATCCCGAGCACTTCGCCCGCATCCCCTATGTGTCTGCGTCCCCTCCTGCTCGCGAGGGAACGCCAACGATTGCTCGTGGAACGGCCAACCAGCAGGACCGCCGATCGCGACCCATGCACATCCAATTCGGTGATTTGGCTCTGGGCTCCGACTCCCCATCCAAGGAGTCAAACTCGACGGCGCAGTCTTCTCAGCAGAGGAGCATTCGATCTACCCTGTCGATGATTCTCATCAATCTGCCCTTTGCTTACCTGAAGCCCGCTCTCGAGTCAAGTGGCTACGGCAACGTCAACGGATGGGCCAGCATTGAGGCGCGCCACCAGATCATGCGAGCTGTCGTTAACGAGCGGGAGGCTAGACGTTCTAGGGCCGTTGATGCAGTCAGAGCTGGTGCGGTTCCGCATGCGGAGTCGATCCTCTACGGCTTGCAGAGCGTCGAGCCGCGCCATAGCGAAGAGTGGCATGGACTCGGCTGGCGTGAGGATGTGGTGTCGTACGTCAACGGCGACGCGCCATCTCTCGGCCGGCAATGGGCGCCGCTGATGGTGCAGCCGAATGGCGTCGGCCACGTGGGGAACCTGAGCCAGCCGGCCTACCCTTGAAGGCGCTCCCAACGGCTTGGCCAGGATTACGATGTTACGACACGGGAACTAAAAAAAAAGAAAAGGAGAGCCAAAACTTGGACGGCCCAGGGCGGACTCGGTTCGTCCGCATTTGCATCATGACCTACAAAAAGCAGCAATACCATTTTCTTTTCTCTCAGGTCCGGGACGACAGATTGGGCATTGCGCGAGGTGTTGGCAGTCCTTTGGCAAAGGGGCCCCGAAAACAATCAAAAGCTCAGGAAGAGTGCGTGGGCGGCTTCGCCTTGCGATCTGGCTGGTACGGGCACTTGCCCTGGTCTCCTTTTGTATGTACGCGTGCGATTGTTTTTTTAATAGTCGTAGCAGCTACCTATCTACGTTGGCTGGACCTGGTCGATTCTGCGGAATGGCGGGCGCCACGGGTGGGTAGTCGGAGGTTATCACAGGCAGGGGCGTCTTGGTGTAGCTAAGGATGGATTTTTCAACCTACCTTGCCGACTATGTGCGATGAGGACACATGAGGACACGAGAGGATGCGGAAGAGAGAGAGAGAGAGAGACGCATGTCACAGCGGCTGGTTGTGGGGAGGAAGGATACCCAGGAGGATGAGGAGTGCAGCTGCGTCGCGGTTGGGGCTGCTTCCAAGGTTCGTGGCGGCAGCAATGATTGTGTCCTCAGCAACAGAAAGGCTTGCTGGCTGATAATTGTGTGTATCGAGCGAACAAGAGACACTTAAAAAAAAAAGGTGACGATGGTTCTGTTCTGGGTGTTTGTGGCCGAGTGACATGAAGCGATGTTATTCTCGAAGGCCTTGTAGCCATCCAGCCCAGGCTCGCCCGTGGCCGATTTCAAGCTTGTGATTGGCGTCGGGGTAAAGTGAAGGGCAAAGTGAAGGGCAGGGCGAGCAGAAGCACGAGAGAGGAAATAGGAGAAAAAGGAGATGATGTCCAGCTCACTCCAGCACCGCATCTCTCACGTGCATCTCATGTGTGCATCTCATGTGAGTGTCTGTCTGTCTGTCTGTCTGTCTGCATACGATGAGATGTTCATGTTTATTTTGCACAACGCACGGGATGACCGTCCTGATGGAGCAGAAACGGCCGAAGCCCGACGCATAACTGCAGCTCGTTATAACAACAATTTCATGGCAGACGCGTCGTGGAAGAAAACTTGACGAGGTTTTACTGTGGGCTGGCCGGTGTGTTGTGCATAAAGACTCATTAAACTCGTGGTGGCATTCCCTCTGCAAGTGACGAGTGTGGGGGAGTCCCTTGTTGCGGGGGGTGGGACGCTATTTGGGCATGGTGGATGCGCATGGGCCAATGAGCGATGGGTATTCCCGTTTTTGTTTCTTTGCCCCGGACGAGCAGGGATGCGGGCTCCAACTGCCCGAGAGCCGAGGCATGTGCTTGCCCCCTCGAAGTGCTGGCGTCGGCGCTGGGTGCAGGTGCTAATTACCTACCATTGCCGGTGGTGAGTGGGCTGGTTGCTGGTCCTGGTCCTGGCACTCAGTGAGTGGCCGCCCAAGGAAAAGCTGCCCGTGACACTTGCGCGCCCAAGCTGCTGGGGTCCGTCGGCATCCGTCCGTCCCCTCTCTTCTCTCTCTCTTCGCTCTCGCACCCAAAGGTCGGTCCTTCGGGGGCGTCCTTGTCCACATTCCACCACACCACCACCACCACTTTGTCTCGCAGCTAGGCAATTGCCACGGCTTTTTACTTTGTACACTACGTTTAATTCTTTGCTTTTTCCTACATCACCTTCGACAGCCGTTCTTCTCCCAACCTAATTACGTCTCGACTGCTGCCGCGCCCAGCAAGGTCCCTTATGTGAGTCTCCCGAGCTATCCCTCGTCGTTGAGGTCATCGCTGTATCTGCGAATTGGCCCAATGTTCCCAACGCTGGCACGTGCTAACGGAGCTTCCTCAGTTCGGACCAGCCGCCCTCACTCCGTCCCCCCAAACCCGGGACCACACGACCCTACTCATCCGACGACGCACCGTCGACGTCTATCCCATCACGAAGACTGTCTCTAACCCCTCGATCCCGCCGCTGCCATGGCCTCTGCCGCGGCCTCATCGTCGCGGCCAGGCCCGCCCGGCGTCTCCCGTGCCCCCCAGACCTCGAGTCCCCGACCCTCCGGCGGCGGCCCCTCGCGAGCGCCGGCTTCGTCGCGCAATAGCGTCACCGACCCCATCCTCCGCAACACTCTGCGATACACAATCTCCGCCAAGGAGTATGCCACGCTGCACAAATACGTGCTGTCGCGCTCGCGCCTTCTAAAGAGGGCCGCCCCGAGCGTCACTGCCGTTGAGCGCATCGTCGACGGCGATAAGCCCGCCGCGGTGAGGCAAGGGGCTAACAACCCTCCACCGGGTGCTGGCGGCAGGGCTGTCGATGATTACAATGCGCGCGCAGTGCGTCACTCGTTGCGTGTGTTTCTTGGCACCGCCATGGCTATGAAGGGTTGGGCTCTCATCTCGACCAAGTTCCTGGGCGGGAAGCCAGAGTGAGTGCCCCTGTGAATGGACGTCTCAACCAAACTCAGCATGCTGACGCGACCACGCAGCCCCCATGCCAAAAAGCAACCTTTTCACAAGTCGCCGACTCTGCGCCTCTCCCTCTCCCTGTCCACCATCCTCCTCCTTTACCGCATTCTCTTCCGGTTTCTTAACCGCCTACGCGCGCACCTGCTCGATCCCTCAGCAGCGCCGTTCCGCCGAAGAAACCCGCGCACGACCGCGACGCTGACGTCCCCCTACGCGCCGGCCATAGGTGCCTCCATGGCCGGCATGTTCCTCGGCGTCTACCCCGCCCAGCAGCTGCGCGTGACCATCGCCATCTACACTTTGTTCAGGGCGCTCGAGTTCGGGTGGAACCTGTGTGAAGAAGAGGGCATGATTTGGGGCTTCAAGAATGGGGGCAAAGTCAAGAGAGAGAGGCCCTGGTGGTGGGGCAGCTGGCTCATCCAACCCTTTGCCTTTGGACAGCTGTTGCATGCCGTGGTCTTTGACAGGGATTGCTTCCCGGAAGTGAGTGACGCCGTCGAGAGGCTTTGGCATCCAAGTACTGACCTGTGACCAGTCGTATGGAGACTTCATCTTCAAGCATTCGTCAGCCTACATCCATCCCAGACCGAAAGATTACCCGTCTCATCTCAAGTGGCCCAAGGCCATGGAGATTGTCGATAATCTTGCCCAGATGGCAAAGCTGAATTGGCCGTAAGTCATGAGCTTCCGTGTAGACTGGGCTTTCCTAACAGCCACAGGCCCTTTGTCTCGCCAACTCTCTTCCCCAACAAGGAGACGCTCCCGCCGACACTCGTCGGTGTCGCCCCCTCACCTCGTCCGCCCATCCCATCATCACCTCGCTGTCGTGCGCGACCCTGCACCCTTCGGACCCATCATGTCTCCGCACCTACCTCAACTTCTGGCTCGGGTCCTTCCCCGGCCTCACGCGCTTCTTCCTCATCATCTACTCGGTCATGACGTTCGTTCCGCGCTTCCGATCGCTGTACCACTCGCCGGTCACAACGTTGCAGCGCGTGCTTACCAACTCGTTGCGCATGAGCACCTTCCTGACCGGCGCCATCTCCACCGCCTGGGCGAGCATCTGCTTCTTCCAACAGTGGTTCCCTCGCACTTTCCTGCCGACCCAGAGGTTCTTCTTTGGCGGTTTCCTGGCCGGCCTCTGGGCCTGGGTTGAGCGCAAGAACGGGCGCGGTGTGTTCCTCTACTCTGCGCGCGTGAGCGTCGATTCGCTGTGGAAGGTGGGCGTCAAGAGGAGGTGGTGGAAGGCCATGAAGGGCGGCGACGTGTGGGTGTTTGTCATGGCGCTCATGCTTACCGGTGTCGTGTACGAGAGGGACGCGAGGGCTGTCAAGGAGGGCAGCTGGAGGAAGGGCATCAGCTGGGTCCGGGGCGAGGGGTTCAAGGACTGGAGCATCGAAGAGGACATTGAGGAGGAGAACGCGGAGAAGACGGACTAGAGGGCGGTTGCCGAGAGTACGCAAGGGACGACAACGCCGGCGAACACGGCTCAGATGACGAGATTCATCTACCCGTGTTTGGTCGACGGAAACGCGCATACTTGAGTGTCCGACGGCTGACGACCTGCTGTTGAGGCCTCTTGTTGGGTCTGCAGGATGTAAGCTCTTCATGGCGACTGATGTTGTTGTAAAGTACCATTCATGTTGTACGAGCGGTGACGACTACATGCTTAGTAAATGTTTTTAATACCACGTATTGCAGCGCTTTGCCCATCCTGCCGACCACTGTATGTTTTCACATTCTAACCTTTGGTAGCTATCGATCGTTACTGTCGACTTTAGAACATCTCATGCTCGCCCCGGCGGGATTGCATGTCCTCTCCCGTATCAGAAAGAAAAGCCATGATCATAACGAATGATTAGCTAATGACTAGCCGAAGTCTATATGGATCCGTTTACAAGCTCCCACCCAATGCATAGCCAAGGGCCGTGCCCAAGCGTGGTTGACGGCTCCGACGCCACCACCATGTTGTAAACCCAACCTTGCAGCACTCACGCAGCTCACACGGCGGTCGACGATACACGCTCGTGAACCGAGAAAGAGCCGTATTTCCCTATTCCTTTGCCCCTTTCACTGTCGGACCCGGTGATGACGGTCCCGAGGGCGCTCTGCTCGGACATTGGCACGTAGTCGCCAAACAGCTGGTCCATCTGCTCGAGCGTGCGCCCCGACGTTTCGGGATAGAAGAAGTAGTAGCACAGCGCGGCGATGACGTTGAAGACGACAAAGACGTAGAAGAACTTGAAGCCGAGGGCCGTCAGCGCCTGCGGCGAAAAGGACACGAGGACGAGGTTGATGGTCCAGTTGGTGAAGGTGGTGAGCGCGTTGCCGAGGGCGCGGATCTCGAGGGGGAAGATCTCGGCCGGGTAGACCCAGCTGATGATGCCGAGGGGCGTGAAGAAGAAGCCAAAGACAAAGTTCATGGCGACCATGCTGCGGAGCTGGTCGGCGTTGGAGCGGTCGAGGAACTGGAACTGGATGGCGTTGACGAGGAGGGCGGCGGCGAGGCCGACGGCCGAGGCGATGAGCGGGCGCACGCGGCCGATGCGGTCGAGCATCCAGAGGCCCACGGTGTTGTAGAGGATGCCGAGGGCGCCGTTGATGCCGATGATCATGAGGGAGGTCTGGGTGCCGATGCCGAGGAGCTCGTAGATGCGCGGGCCAAAGTAGCTGATGACGTTGACGCCCGAGAGGGGCGAGAAGGCCTGGACGCCGCAGCCCAGCAGCAGGCGCTTGCGCCACGAGGGCTTGGTGAGCAGGGCCTTCCACAGGTAGCCGTTGTCGCGCAGCGCCGACTGGGCGCGCACGGCGTGGCAGATCTCGTTGTACTCGACGTCAATGAGCTTCTCGTCGACGCCGACGCGCAGCTTGTCGAGGCTGCGGCGCGCCTCAGCGTGGCGGCCCTTTTCGACGAGCCAGCGCGGGGACTCCTCGAGGAAGTAGATGCCTGTCGCGATGACGACGCCGGGCACGCACTGGAACGCCAGCGGGAACCTCCCTGTGTACCCGTTAGCACACTATCTCACGCCAGAGATATACAAGCAACCCAAAGAGACGACGGGGAGCCACTTACATGAAAAGTCGTTCTTGACAAAGGAGCACCCGTACCCCAACCACTGGGCCACCAGGAACCCCCAGCTCAGCATCCACTGCAGCAGCCCCGACAGCTTGCCCCTCTGCCTGGCCTCGGCCAGCTCCGACGCGTACATGGGGATGGTGGAGGTCAGCACGCCGACGGCGACGCCGCCGACGAAGCGGCCGGCGATGAGGGCGGCGAGGTTCTCGGAGCCGGCCTGCAGCGCGGAGCCGGCGATGGAGATGAGGGAGCCGAGAAAGACGGTGTTGCGGCGGCCGAGGCGGTCGGAGCAGATCATGTTGATGACGGTGCCGAGGATGGCGCCGCCCTGGAAGGAGGAGACGATGGCGGCGGCAACGGCGTCGGAGGGGTCGTGGAAGTAGGCCTTGAATGTGCCGAGGGCAATGGTGGACGTGATGATGCCCGAGTCGAAGCCGAAGAGGAAGCCGCCGGTGGCGAGGAAGGCGGCCGACCACACGGTGACATGGCGGCCCATGGTCGCGGCTCACAGGTCGGGGTCCGAAGGGACTCTGGCGATGAGATGGAAGTGGCAAGTCGTCGTCGCCGTCGTCGGTATCGTCGTCTGGTTCTTGGTCAAAGTGTGCGTTGGAACCAAAGCTCCCAGAGAGTGAGTGATTCGAGTATAAGTGCCGATGCTGCGTCGGTCTCCGGTTGTCATCCCTCTATCGAAGAGTCGCCGGCTTTGTTCGTCTTGGCAACGGCTGTCTTGTTTTTCTTCTCTCCCACACGCATATACACACCCGCGCGCTCGACGAGGGAAACAGAGAATAGCAGAGAACAAGGGGGGACAAGAGGAAGGGGGGGAGGAGATGGGGAATTCGGATGCATTTCTAGAAGGGCCTGTGCGAAGAATCTGCGTAGCGTGTACGGCAAAAAGAAGCCTTTGAGCTTACAAGGCGGGAACATGATGACGGCGGGAATTGGCGGACGGGAGCTTATTGCGTAAGTCGTCCAGTCTTTTCCATCTTCCTTTCCCTCATCTTGGGTGGTTTGGGGGGTGGGAGGGGAGGGAGGGGAGTGAGAGCGTGTAAGTGAAGGCCATGAAACTTTTCTCACCTCGGTTGGCGACAGGATTTCTTCCCAACGTGCTGCATATACCCACCGCTCGACTTTTGGGCCCGCGTTGAGCTCTCTCTGCTTGCGCCGGGTCCCATCGCCGGCACACCAACACCACACGCACAACGTGTAGCAGGACAAGGTTAGAGTTCCCGGCGCGCGAATGTTGAAGCAAACACAATTTCACAAACAGAGAGGGAGAGAAAAAGGGACAGACGCCCTACCGCACGACGCAAGTCCGTTTCCCGCCTTCCTACCGGGTCCCCGCCGCTTGAAACCGTCACCAAAACGCAAACCCATTTTGCGATGGTTTGTTTCTTTTCATTCTTTTTTTTTTCATGTGCTTCTCGTCGAACCTTTCCTGGAACCCCGCCACCGCCGCTGTGCCTCTCACTTTAAAAAAACTCACATGCCTCTCTCGGCTAGGTTCTTTCAACAAAGGTTAAGGTTCCTCCCGGCCAGACAGTCTCGTTTGGGAGCCGAGCCTGGCGCGCGGGTGGGCTGTACGTGTCGCTGCTTGGCAAGCTCTCAAGCTCTCTCGTTCTCGTCTTCGCCTCTCCAAGAGCTTTTTTGTTCTTGCTCCCGCGGCCTCCTGTGGAAACGTTTCCGTTTCCTTGTCAAAGAGGCAACCTCGAGATCCGACGCATGGCCACGGGCGATGCTTTCAGACGATGACGCACTTTTCTGTTCGGCTCTCCCTCTTCGAGCTATGCTTGTTCCCCCGTTCACAGACCACGTCCCGAATTAGATGAGCATCCGCGCACTGACGATCAAAGATCGCGCATGCATGACTCTTGTCGCAAGTCATAGCTTCGGGCTGGCTGGGGTCTTGCTCGTTCCAATCGTCGATTTCTATGTGCCAACGATTATATGTACAGCCGGAAGGGGATGGCGGATACTCCCACCGCACCTCTCTCTCTCTCTCTTCCCCCAAGCCGCAGAGTAGAGCCTCACCTTACCTCACCCCACCCCCCCATGTAGGTATGTCTACGCGCTGGGTTCCGCCCACTGGTAGTCGAAGCCCTGGGGCACGCCAAAGTTGGGCGTGCCGTCGGCGTTGGCCGTGACGGGCTGGACCATGACGTAGCGGTTGTCGTCGCAGGCGCCGTTGGCGTTGCCCGTGGCGTGGAAGGTGATGTACGTCTCCGTCTCGTCGGGGCTGCGGAAGAAGCTGTTGTGGCCCGTGCCAAAGTTGCCGTTGGCCGCCGTCAGCCGGCAGCCGTCGCTCTTTGTCCAGGCCGAGGGCGACGCCGGGTCCGTCGCGCCGTCCCACTCGAGCAGCGCGACGCAGTAGTCGGGCGTCCAGCAGTAGTTGGCCGAGTAGGCAATGTACGTCTTGCCGCCAAAGTAGAGCCCGTACTGGCCCTCCTGCACCGGCACCTCGCTCTGCTCCCACGGCTGGTCCGGCTGCGAGATGATGGTGATGTTGGGCGAAGCCGAGACGTAGTCATCGTTGAGCTTGCGGACGCACGTGGACTGGTTGGGCACCCCCGTCATGCACGAGTAGACAAAGTAGTTGCCCCACCCGTTGAAGCGGACGACGGTGCCGTCGAGCGACCAGTCGTCGGTGACCCGGCCGGCGTAGGACCAGTCATCCCAGGGGGAGGCGCCGCCTGGGGGGTTCACGGTGTCAGTTACGGGCTCACGTCCCCCCGGCTGCCGAAAACGGAGGAGGCCGACTCACCCTGCAGGACATGCATCCTCTGGCCGTCGAGGTTGCCGTCGTTGCCGGCGGTGTAGTAGAGGTACCACCGTCCGTCAAAGTAGTGGATCTCGGGGGCCCAGACGCTGCAGCATCGCGTCGGGTCCGAGTCCGAGTAGATGACCTTGGGCGTGGCCGTCTTGAGGCCCTCGATGCTCGTGGCGCGCGCGAGCTGGAGGTTCGTCCACTCGGTCGAGATGAAGTAGTAGTACCCGTCGAACCACGAGATCTGGGGGTCGCCGCCGCCGGGGTTTCGGATTGGGTTCGTGTATGCGGCCGCCGAGCTGACGAGGCCGAAGAGCCCCAGGGAGGCGGAGACGATCTTGGATAGGAACATGGCGACCCTGCTCAGGAAGCTGTGCCTTGCTGATGCTGATGCTGATGCTGCTGCTGCTGCTGCTGTGGCCGAGTGATGCACTCCTTTCTCCTACGGGGTCCTCGTGGACTTATATAGTTGTGCCATCGCCGCGCATCACGTTGTAATGCGGCTGCCGACATCACCGCCTTCCCGAATGTTCATGGGGTAGATCCGCTGCGAACCCAGAGTCCGGCACGCGGTAAAGACGTCCAAGGCGATCTTGATGGGTCCGGCCGTGACGCTCATGCTTGATTGTGACTGGAGCGCTTTCCGCCCAGCAATTGCCATTGAAGTCGCTCGAGTCAAGCCGGGCATCAGGAATCATATGGCCACAAACCCGTGAGCATCCCCATCAATCGCCAAAGCTCGGAGCTCGGTTTCGGGCGAGAAGAGCACTGAGGATGCGGAGATGCCAAGACCAGCTAAACGGCGATGGCACCCGATATCGACGTCGACTACCGGTACCTGCCTGCGAGAGGTTACACCGGATTGGCGCGCGAAGGGAGCGATGGCAGGTGGTGATGGCGGGGTAAAAGACCAAGGCCAAGACGTTAGACTAACTTACATGCCAAGACCTCTCTCATTGAGTCCTCCCTCGTCCGGGGGTTCGATGATCCGGCAGCCACCGGAGCAAGCCGCCGTTATCTTAATAAGTGGGGTTGATCTGGTCATGTTTGCATACCTAGGTTTTGGCAATGAGACGTACCGGTTCTGCAGAGGGCCTGGCTGGTTCTGCACGTGTCGTGGCACATTTTTTGCCGAACCCGTCCCCCTTGTCAATCGTGACGATGACGGTTTGCGTGGCATCCACTTTCGAGTTTCTCCGTAGCACGCGATGATGGTGTTGCCCCGCGCCACTCGCACATCGGGCCCCGGACTCCCAACGCAGTGTTGCTGCACGACTAATCCACTATGGCTCGGTTGCTTTGAGCTGTGTACGACAACTCTGACGTCAGTGCTCGGCTGCAGTGTTACCATGGCAGTGATTCCTACTGTTGTATTTCGATCTTGATATGCTTGCGGGTTTGCACGTGGTAGTGGATGTGAACATCCAAGCAAACCCATTCTGTGCCGGCAACGATGGGCAGAGCCGTGACTTTTGGCCATTGTTCCCTGACTGCGTTTTTCTATCTCATGGCATAGTCGGCGTCTCCGTTTCTTCACCCACGAGGCCTTTCTTCCTTTCTCCCGGATGATCTCCAATGAACCAAGTCTAGTGAAGTTTGATTCTCGACTCCACAGCGTCAGCCCAATCATACATTTAAAGTCAAACGGGATCGACTGTGTTGTTCAATCGTGCTATAACACGGAAAGGTCATGATTTTGGTTTTGGGTGGATTCATCGCTACCCCTATCCGAATTTGAGTGCAACTGACATGTGCTAGTTGTTTGAGAGAACTGGACCAGTGTTAGCATAGCCACTCCCATGCCCGGACTACCGGTAGGTATTCGATCAAAGCCCTACCATAAATTCGGTTCTAGAGGGTATTGGTTCCTTCGTTCTCATGCCACAAGCCCCTACTCGTGGGTCTTGCTACGCCAGCACATTTAGATTGTATTGAATAGCTGACTGCTGGAAGAGGCTAATCGAAGGCAGCAGATAGATGGGGAGCGCAGCCCGGTCAGCCACATCCTGTGAAGTGGGGTCAAGCCCTCAGCCACAACGAGTGGCAAATCCCACTTCACCTTGCCGCTGGCCACGCAGTTAGATCTCCCATCTCCATACCGAACACCTCAATACAAACACCAGCAATATCACCACATTGACGTGGTCGTTGCTGTCGGATCGTACGAGTATCAACGCTTGCGAGACCGACACGAACATCACGGCGTGGGTCCTGGATGCTTATGAATCTTCGCAGGTAGTTCGTAACTTATGAAGTTTTTATAATTGCTCAGAAGCCAGCAGCATGTTCTTCATTTAGGATGCCGGACCTTTACAGGACACAAGCTCACTATCTGCGGTGGCAAATCTGCGGATTAATCGAGAATGAAAAAAGACACCAGCTCTTCAAGCTTGCTGAAATGGAACAATTTTGAACATAATGATACGACTGGGCAGTAGAGAAAGTATTGCCCAAATAGAGCCCAGGCTTTTACAGATGGAAAGATGGCAGTAATGATTACAGTAACATATGTGCCAATGCTGCTAGGTGCGTTCGCAGCGATCAAGACTTCAAACTTGTTTCCGCTACGAGCTATTGGAAACACTTTCTGTGTTGCGCACTCGGCAGCTTGGTAATACTTTCACGCAGTCTCCTTCCTGATGGCCCGAATCACTAGATGATACTGTGGGAATATGGATCGCATTCATACTTCTGTCAGACTCGGAAAAATGGGGACAATTCATCCCAACCACAAGGGCCGTTCATCCAAACCACCCGGTCAGGTCGTAGATCACGGTATCAGACCTGGCCCTTCAGCACGTCAATCATGACTAGCGTCCCGAGATAAAATATGGCCTAATTAGATAGGTATAGCGACTAAACTGCCCCCACGACGATTTCCGTCCCTCACTTTAGATACCGAATGCAAGCCGAGAATATAGCGAAGTTGGAAACCCCCTAGATCAGAAAGGAATTTTTGAGCTCATGCTCACAAATCGCTTATGCAGACAGTGTTTGCACCCATCAGCGGCCAACGTCATCGCTCCTCGGCCGTGTGTCCTGCAGATGATGTTCTCATGAAGGCTCCTTGACTCAGTGCCCTGGTATCGGAAAACAGTTCAACATCGTCTGAGAATCGATCGAGCAACAATCGAGAATGCTGTGACGTTACGGCGATAGTCCCAGGAACCGTGTCTGCGAAAAGCAAGATGGAATCAAATTTGGAACTCAATTGCTTCGATTGATTTCTCGATTGATTTCTACCCACTGGAAGCGTGTCCGCTGAACGTGTATCCGCCTCAATTTCCACCAAGCATCCAGAATTCAAGATTCTTATCCATGGTAGAAAATCTTGGTTCTGGTAGTTGATGCATCCTCGACTTTGTGGACAAGGGGGGGGGGGGGGGGGCGGAGTTGAAACTTAGTCGAACCCCTCTCCATGCCGTTTGAGTCGTCCTCGTGACCGATGATTGGCCGAGGGAGACTTCCAAAGCACGGAGTGGTCTCCGAAAGTAGTCCACAGTATCCAACCAACGATGACGGTCTCCCGTCTGCATGTCAAACTGATGATCCACTAGGGGACGACCGACATGAAGGGGTTCAAATCGTTCAAAGGGTCCAGACCCTATCATCTATGAGACGGCTCCCCCCGGAGACAAGCCCGAAGCTTTCGGTTCAGGTCAGCCATGCAAACAGAAGAGGCACCGCAGGCCTCCTGGCTTCTACCGGCGTCTACACGCTGCTCCACGGTTCTGAAGCCGGGCTGTCCGATGCTCAATTCCCCCTCTCCCCCTGTGGTATCGGGGGGCCAACGCGCCCGCCCTCTTGTCGCCTTGACAGGTCTTGTGTTCAGGGTCCTGCTCGATTTCACATGGGCTGGTGGGCGGTCGGTTTCCTGCCGTCACTCCATTTTTTTCTACTTTCCCCGATTTGTCCACTATCATTCGATCGATCGCTCGACGCGAAGACCATTGACAGCCTCGTCGATCGAGAAGTTCTCTACATCGAAAACCAAGGATTACTCGGGTTCGAGCTAACGCATTCTTCATGTTGGGTTTCTTACCTAACTCATAAGGGATCATAGTCGCCTCGATGACAATGGATGTGTTCACACCTTGTTCCGCTTTTGAATCACGAATGTCGACAATCCCTCCCCATTCTTTCGTCGCGATCTACCGCATCATCGAAGCAAGTCCCACCAGAGCCTGGCAAGCAAGCCACAGCGGCCACTGATCACCGGGATGCCCACTCACGTTCGGTCCAAGTCGGAGCTGACCCGTCAGCGGGAAGTTTTCAAGTGAGTTTGTCTGCCTGCAAATGCTTAGTCATCGCCTCTCTTCGTCGCGTTCAGATCTTGAGGACTGACTTCTGCCTCTATTCAGATACGCTTCGTCTATCTTGTCAAATATCGACGTTCACGAAGACGGTATCCCACAAACAAACGAGCCACGCATTGCATCCGACAACACCGCGCTGACAGCATTCGCCCAGCTATGCGCCTGCCAGACAGGCACATCTCGATCTTTCATTTCACTGTTCGATGAGAAACATCAGTATGTAGTTGCTGAAGCCACTCCGAGCCTTCCGCTCGTGCCTAGCATCCTGCACGAAGACCTATGGTTCTGTGGTCATGCCTTTCCCAGACGCAACGGCATTTGCGAACACACCCTGTTTGAAGCCGACAAGGTCCGCGACACTGGCAGTCCCAAGCCTGCTGAGCTCCCTGTTGTGGTGATCCCCGACCTCACAGCAGATGCACGCTTCAAATCGAAAGCCTGCGCCATCGGTGACCCCGAACATCCTCCACGATTCTACGCGTCGGTCCCTATTCGAACGTCAAAAGGAGTCAGCATAGGCGTAATCTCTGTGATGCATCCTGTGCCTATTGCGACTTGGTCCAAATTCGAAACCCAGACTCTGAGGAACATCTCCCATGTCGTCATGAGCTACCTCGAAGGCAACAGAACCACTGCTCATTTACGCAGCGAACGTATGAATAAGGGAATCTCGGCATTCATGGAAGAGAATTTTAGCTTGTCCGGGAGCCATTTGGGTCCCACCACTGCCGATCTGGTCCAAACATCCACGTTAAACGACCCTTCCGACGCCGCTCCCCGACACCTCAAAGGCAGGGAGAATCTAAATTCCCCAGAGCCTCCGCCCTCGTCGGCAGGCTCGGACACGGCTAACACTCAACCGACGCCACTCTCGGAACTCGACGACCCTTTCTCCACGGTTTCTCCATTGGAAGCAGTAATGACCGGCGACACATCGATACCCAGTAACCGGAGCCCTGCCAGTAGCCCGAGCCCCACCATTCCATCCATCCAACTGGCCACCATGTCGGCCTTCGAGATTCAGATGCATGCGGAAACATCACGGAAGAGTGCCATAAATCTCATCTTCTCCAATGCTGCAGAGAAGATTAGGCAAGCTACGGATGTCGAAGGTTGTCTCTTCCTTGACGCTACCCCAGGAGGCTTTGGCGCCCTTAGGAGTCCGGCTGTAGAGGACCCCAGCGCGCAGCTGGGTTCGTCTTCTAACAGTAGCGATGAGGGCACTGATTCTTCGACGGACAGTCAATTGTGGCCACCGGCACGAGTCCTTGGGTTCTCAACATCTGAAAGGGGAGGCATTGACGGCCCTGAGCACATCACTCGCCATGCGGCCGTTGCGGAAAAGCTACTTGGAACACTCGTGAGAAGATATCCCAAGGGGAAATTGTTCACTTTCGACGCAAGCGACAACCTTCACCCCACCGACTCATCAGAAGAGGACCGGCTCAGGGCGCTCTCGACACTTCAAGATCATTTGTTGCAAAGCCGTGGCGGCCATGCGCGTCAAGGCCCTCGGAACAAGCCTTGGGCTAGACAGAACGAAGGTCGAGATCTTCTCCGGATCTTTCCAGGAGCCCGCAGCGTTGCTTTTGTTCCCGTATGGGACCCACGGAAGAACAGATGGTATGCTGGCGGCTTTGTCTACAGCCGGCAAACCAAGCGTGTTTTCACCGTTGAGGGAGAGCTCAGTTACTTGAGAGTTTTTGGTATACTCGCTATGACGGAGACCCTGCGACATGAGTTAATACTCGACGAGAAGGCTAAATTCGATGCGCTCAGCTCCATGTCTCACGAGTTGCGGTCTCCTCTTCACGGCATCATTCTTGGAATCGAGCTTCTCAATGATACGGATTTGAGCGTTGCCCAGGGCGACATAGCTCATACGCTTGAAGCCTGTGGCAGAACTCTTACTGACACCTTGGATCATCTTCTAGACTACTCCAAGGTTAACAACTTCCAGACAACTCGGCGTCCGCTTGCCAGGGGCTTGCGCCATGGCAAGCCCCAATCTATCGGGGCCGGCATGATGACGCTGAACTCCAACATACAAATCGATGTTCTTGCCGAAGAGGTCATGGACAGCGTTTTCGCCGGCTTCAATTTCCAACATATGTCCATTGCGCAGCTCAAAAAGAAGAACAGAACCAGCGATCCTGATGTTGCTGCCAACCAATACCTTGACAGCCTTAGGGCTCAAGAAGAACTCGGCCTAGGTTCAGACAATCAACATACCAGCCAAGTCGCCTTTGACGACGTTATGGTGCTTTTTGACGTGGACCCTAACTGCTCATGGGTCTTCGATACTCAGCCCGGCGCCATCCGTCGCATCATAATGAACCTCTTTGGCAACGCGCTGAAATACACGCATAGCGGAGTCATTAAGGTGCTTCTCGAGCAGAAGAGCCCGAAGACTGGGGGGGCCAACCGCGAACGACAAGTAACCATCACTGTTTCTGACACGGGATGTGGAATCGGCGAAGACTTTCTGCGCTACCAGTTGTTTAAGCCATTCTCCCAGGAAGACCCTCTTGCGCCCGGCACAGGCCTAGGGCTAAGCCTGGTCAAGCGGATGACCTCTCAGCTCCGTGGGCGTATGTCGGTCCAGAGCCGTGTCGGGCTGGGCACTTCGACCAGCGTGACGCTGCCTCTTTCGGTCCCTCTCACCGTCCCAACCGACGAGCCGGATTATGCCTCTGAGGATCCGTTCCCGCAACAGCGCTTGGAGCTATCTGGTCTTCGAATCCGACTACTCGGGTTCGAAGGCATCATGCCGTTAGTAAATGGTGACAGCCACGACAGTCATGCATCCATCGAGAACATTTGCCGAAACTGGCTTCAATTGGAATTAGTCCCAGACTCTCAGGCACACAAAGCAGTGCCCGACCTGATCCTAGTTTCAGAGGATGCACTTCCTGAGAGGGCCAAGGACAAGACTCTTTCGAAGCTTCCATGCGTCGTCGTGTGTGTCAACGCTCTAGTCGCTCATCAGCGTTCATCTGAGCGGAGCGATTATAAGGGAATTGTCGAGTTTATCTCCCAACCGTACGTGCACTTTAATACGATTCTACCTATTCAAAATGCTAACGAATATCAGCGTCGGCCCCCGCAAACTTGCCAAGGTACTGTTGTTGGTTTTTGACAGATGGGCAGCTGTACAGGCAGAATGGGCGAGCTCAGGCCCCGACTCGCCGCTAACGCCGGCTCAAAAGACAATCGAATCATCGATCAACTACCAGGGATTAGAGACACCTCCGTCGTCAACAAACTCTTCGACTACAGAAATTCCGGTTGTTCCTGCGAGACCAAAGCAGCCAAGGATGCTGTCTTCCCGGCCGAAGCTTTACAAAGCCCCTTCAATCATTAACCTTACATTGGAGTTCTTATTGGTGGAGGATAACCCGATCAACCTCAAGATCCTCTCCACCTATATGAACAAGCTTGGAAGGAAATACCATACGGCGACCGATGGCTTGCAGGCCGTTGAAGCATACAAGAAGAACCCAAGCGCGTGCAAGTACATTCTCACCGATGTGTCAATGCCGGTCATGGATGGGTTTGAGGCGACAAGGCAGATCAGAGCGTACGAGCGGTTGCTTGGCCTGAAGCCGGCGACGATCATTGCGTTAACAGGGTTGGCGTCGGACGATTCGCAAAATGAGGCGTTTGGAAGTGGGATGGACCTGTTTTTGACGAAGCCGGTGAAGCTGAAGGAGCTGAGCTCTATCTTGAAGTCTCGTGGGTTGCTTGGATAAGCAAATGGGCCAAGGCCATGAACACCACCAAACTAATCTGTATTACTAAACGATTTATGAAGACGGACACAAACAGCGTTGCCTTCTTGCCTAAACGGTACATGTGGTTGATACAACGATTTCGTCGCTGTTGATTCTTGACTACACATCTGGCTAACTCGACCGTTACCCCTCATTTGTTGACCCCAAAATCAATCTGCCTTAGATCTTGAGACCCTGTTTTGATGATCCATATGCTGATTTATCGAGTGTAAGTTCCAAGATCGCGACTCTACCCACTGGACTGCTCTTTTGCGCCGTTTTCCGTCTCATCGTGACTCCGAAGAAGCCGCTTGAACACAGACGAGTGAAGATCTCCCCAAAGTATTGATAGATCTGACTGGAATTATTATGCGCATTGTCAAATAAATCAAGAAGACGTTCCTAGCTTTACGTTCTTTCGGCCGTAACGTCAATTTGTGCATCGGAGTATCTAGTGGGCTCCCGGGAGTACCTCACCAGCCGTTGCATAGTGGTTGATGCCTCTGATGCTTAATCTGAAGGGAATTGCAGGTTACTACAAGGAACCAGGTTGGTATTAAATGTATGTAGGGAACCATAGCCTAACGAAATTATTCAATACCAACTATCAAGGGGTCACAATCTCTGGTTGCGTCTTGAATGACAAATCTGCGAATCTCATATCAGATGCATACGCGACGAGGACATCCGGTTTAGTATAAAGAAGCTGCAAATCCAGGAGATCGCAGAGCAAAAAGCCTAATAGCGTTGTCACATGGACTCATTTATGTCTTGGCGTTGGAGTATCCCTTTGTTGTCGGGCGATTAACCAATACGGAACAATTGATGTTCACGGCCATATTGGTGCCAATCATTATGTCATCGATCTTCAATGTTCTATCTAAGAACTCGGTAACTTCCTCACAGTCAACGCACAAGTAGGAAGTTTTTGTGTTCATTGGTTCTTACTTGCTCACCATCGCTATGGAGTCGCCACGGGCCAACGAAGAAGCCTTGAAAGTCATTCTTACCAAGCTGTATCGCCTAGAGACAGCCTTCAACGAGACCAATAATCGACTCAGCACCATCGAGCATTCAGTAGTGTCTGATGCGGGTGGCAGCTCGGTTGCCAGAGCTTTCGGCAGCTTGTCGTTGGCTTCCTGCTCCTGCGCTTCCTGCGTCGTTCCCCAGCCAGTCCACCAAAACGTTCACAGGGAGACCTGTAGGCGACACCCGGAAGCTGCGGCATATAAGGCCTCTGTGGGCAAACTCCGCGAGCAATTCGATCTTGATGTCGACACTGAGTTAGCTTCTGCCAATCACGAAGAGGATCCTGTCTACGCTCACGATGATGAGGACCAAAGCAAGATAGCCAACAATCGTTCCGTCCCAGACCGCCCTCCGCGCCCAGTCTCCCTGTACGACCCCTACCACCGCGACATGATGCCGATTCATAGTACTCCCAAAGTCCCGCCTCTACGATATGAAGACACTGCTCCACGTGCAGGACCGATGACAGACCCTGGCCCCAGTAGGTCGAGCAGCATTATCTCACCGACAGAGGTTGGATCATTTTCAGACATACCGAAATCCCACAGCACGGCTCGAAACTCGTTCAACCCCGCAACGGCATTCTGGAGCAAAAACAACATTAGCGATGACGATTTGCACAAGATGAGGGGCCCCATCAGACGGGCAAGGTCCATGCGATACAGAAAGAAAAAGCCATTCGCTGCCCACAGAAACACGCCTCTTGTGGGACTGTCGCACGATACCTCCGCGGCAGCAAAGACAACGCTGGTAAGAAGGATAGAGGAAAAAGAGCTGCTGCGTCTCTTTCGAAGGGCACAGAAGAGTGCCAAAGCCTGTGTTGCATTTGGTCAGAGGATGATGCATGGGATTAAGCCGAAGAGGGTCAACCAGCAGCTGAAAGTGCTTGTCCCTGTGGCTTGAGGAAGCTCAGATGTAGCAGCTTTACCTGGACGAGGTGACTACAATAATCAAGTCATATCATACGACAAGGGAGCCATAGCCGACTCTCGTGTTGAATTAAAGTCTTTGGCTTGATGAAACGTGCTGGGAAAAGTTATTGTTGGAAGAGGGCAATCGAAGGCATCGGATAGATGGGGAGCACAGCCTGGACAGCCACGCCCTGCAAGGTGGGGTCAAGCCCTCGGCCCCAACGAGGGGCATATCCCAATTCACCTTGCCGCTGGCCACGCAGCTAGATCTCTCATCTTCATACTTCGATAAAACAACTAGCAATGTCACCACTCTGAAGTGATCGTTGCTATCTACTCGTACGAGTATTAGCGCCTATGAGACTAACAGTTATAGATGGCGTGCTGATCTAGGCAGCCACGATGCGCGCAGTCCCGCCAGGATCGGAAACGGGATGAAGTTGAAGGAATTTAATTGGAATGTACATAAGAATATCCCACATTTAATGGAAACGTCGTCCTTGGTTAGAGTACTATTGCTCATACTAAAACTTGCGCGGTATCGTTGTCTCTCTACGCCGACACTAAGATACTTAATCCTATAGGAAAAGATCGTAGGCGTGTGTAGCCCTAAATCGTCTAGAATGAAATATGCTAGTCTTCCGAAAGTCATCTCATCTGACGTAGCGTTGATTTCCATCGAGTTTTGAGGGTCAATGCGTGTAAAAGTACTGTTTTCGCGACATCAGAGGCATGTCGCTAGCAGATGGAGTGAACCGTAATGACTGTAAACCTTAGAACCTTTGACCAACTACAATGCGGCGAGACCCCACCAATCAGGCCCACCGAAGAAGCTAGCCGACATCCTTGTGATTCGATCAACGATGGTACCGTTCAGTTGGTTCGATTTCGAGTCACTTGAGAGTTAATGTCAACGTCAAGTTGCAATGCACCTGAGCGGCCACGAAAGCGCTACTTTAATCCAAGGGGCCATATCTAAGAGGGGGGCTGAACTCGGAGTGTACCCTATCCTTCATTTCGGCAGGAATCTTTCCCATAGACTCGACTCCCTCCAGAAGGACAACTTGCTGTCCGGCCTAGCATGGGGTCAGCCAAACTGTTATGAGGGGTGATGTTGTATTTCGTTTGATCAGTCTTACCGCAAAGTGGTGAATCATGTGACAATGAAGCATGCTGGCTGCAGGAAAGGAAATCTCATATCGGATGACCGTCCAGTCTCCGATGCTGTTACCCAATCTGCAGCCGTCCCGGTTTGGCGGGTTGACGAAATTGAAGTGCTTCGCCATGCCCCCCCCTCGGATCGCGTCGTCCACTGTCGGCCAAGGGAAGCCACCGGAGCCAGTACCGATGATGAACGCCTTGTTATTGTGCTTGTGAAATGGGTGTTGCGAGGTGACATTGGCCCCGTTCTCGAAGATGATGTCTACGACCGTGCCATTTTGAAGCAACCCGCTCTGGGCGCCGTCTCCGTAAGTCGTCTCGCCGCGAGAGTCTTCATCCCATAGCAGTGGGGGAAGCTGTTGACGGAAAGCCTGGTGAGGACCGATGTTCAAAGCCCAACTACTGGGGCCGGTCATGTTGACGAAGAACTTGACTGTATTATCCGCCTCGGCTGGAGGCGGCCGGATAGGATAAGGTGCGAGCTTCATCTCATCCATGGCTACCGATGATGGCGAAGTCAGTGTTCCATTGAGATAAACCCAAGGTTTCGTATCAGGGACCTCCTGCTTGCCCTCGTTTTCCTGACCCGGATAACGTAGGATGCCGAAGCCTTGAATGACTTGCTCTTTGCGAAGCGATGTGACTCTAATCGCGTAATCCCTAGGTTTTTGATTCAGATGTACCAGGATGCTGTCGTTTGTCAAGTCAATGTCACCATGGACTGTGATGATCGGAGATCGGGACCTTGCTCACCTAATGCGCTCCCCAAGGTTGCAATTAGCAACATGAACCTTTTGTGGGTGTACAAATTCTCCATCAGCGGCAACAACGTAGAAATCGTGCTCGTCCACACTGATCTGCAGTTCATGATGCGCCCCAGAATGGATGAAGTTGATCCAAATCCATTCCTCTCCGCTCTCGGCCTCAAAGACTTCGAGGTCAGCAAATGTCTCTTGGCAGATCTGTTCGTTCGCGAAGTCTTCCTGGCCCGGCTGTGATAGACAACCTAAGGAGTTTCTCCCTGGGCCACCGACAGACTCAATCTGCTTTTTGGAGTGGCAAAAGGTCCTTCCTTTGCCATTCAAGACTATCGAGTTGCTACACCACGGGACGACACCTGTGTCTCGATACATGATGAGCAGAATGTCCATCGGCTCAGCATTCCAGTCGCTGATGACGACGTGCTTTGGACTCTTCTCAGCACGTTTCATACCCGCAATATCCATTGGCGAAGACGAGATGAGTTCATAGGGTCTCGGTCTCCAACCGGCAGGGGCTATCCATATCGGACCACGCATGCCATCTGCAAAAGCAGGGCCAAAGTGTCCGTGGTAGAAGTAGCTCCCGTATTGTTGCTGAACCGTGAACCGGTAGGTGTAGGTATCGCGAGGTTGAATCGAGTATTGTGTAACGCCCGGCACGCCGTCATTCCAAGGTTTGTCAATCTGGTAGATGCCGTGCCTGGCTGTGAATCAGTTCAAAAACACATGTAAAGTAGAGATTATTATGGAGCTCGGAGACACGCACCAGTGCATGGTGGTTTCAAAAGCCAGCTGATTCTCCAGGAAGACCTCAATCTCGTCGCCTTCTTCGGCCTCGATGAGCGGTCCTGGGGTCTTGCCGTTGATGGCAAAGACTGGTCGCCCGTGGCCATCTCCAGTATCCCACTGGTTAGTAATCGTGAAGTTGTACCGCCTTGTCTGTGCTGCCCAACCCGCACCAGCGAAGAGACAAAAAATCGCACATCGTGTGAGGGCTGCCATGATGGTCTGTCTGCTCTACCAAAGCAAGAGGATAAACGAGAGGGTCTCTTCCCTACCGTAAGGCCTCGCTGTCCACAGCGGGTCTTTTTTACCACACTTTCATGGAGTACGTATTCCGTTATCAAGGAGCATCAAGAATCATCTAATGTACCTGTTTGAGTTTATTGAGTCAGAAATTACTACCCGCTTTCCCGTAACTTAGATCGTGAGAAACCTGATACTTGGTGGCCCCCTAGCGCATTAGTCTCAATTCAAGGTTTTCCAATACGCATGTATTTGCCCCAACTTGGCAAGATCCATGAATCCCTAGACACGGCTGTAAGCTTCTTGTTACCGCCATAGTCCGTCAGCATCGGCTATTGACTCTCCCATACAGAGTAGTCCAAACTATGCCATTTTTATGATCGTCGCGTTTCTTGCAAAAAGGAGGATCTCTCTCCTTTTTCAGATAGCCGACGGAAAACCTAAAATCTTGCAGGCCAAAGACTGGGTGGAGACAGTTTCAGGCCAAAATTTCGTGAAGATCCATCGGGAGTCAGAAAAGCAGTCTCCAAAGTGCAAAGCTGACTCGAACGGGCGACGATCCCAGAATGGGTCCCGCTGAGCGCCCGACGGCGTCGTCGGTAGACGTGTGCCCATTCTTCTTGTCGACTACATGTCCAAGCAAAACTCCTTTTAACTCCCTCGTTCTGTCCTCCACCGAGGATTTCCTGGAGTACGGCAAAAATGGAGTCCAAACAGCAATTACTAGAGCCAGAACGACTTGGCATGCCTCGGGGCAGTCCACAGGCCCGCAAGTCTCGGATGTTTTGGGCCTCTTGCTTGTCCACTTTGTGTTTCTTTGCTCTTTTGGGGGTCTGGCAGAGCGCGGACCCGCATCTCCGGCTGATCGGCAGTTGGAGTCGTCAACCCACTGATAGACAAGATAAGCTGACCAGAAGGTATACCCTTCAGTCTGGAGTAAGATGGATGAATCCAGGTATCAGCCATTGTTGTAACATGATGTCTATGATCTCTCAAGACTAATTGTTCTTAAGATGGCGGTCGCTGGAGAGTCATGTTTGTTTGCAACGGCCAGTCGCCCTGTCCCACGCTGTATGCCGAGGAAGGTGATTTGGTCGAGTTGAATGTCAAGAGCGACATCTACGCCCAGTCATCTATTCACTGGTCAGACTACCCAGCCGAAAGTATGCGTAGTGTATGAGCTTCCTGCTAACTATCTTCTACAAGGTCTGGTATTGGGCACAAAGGGTGAGACCCAACATGATATAAACGAAGTATTCTGCAGTGGCTAACAGTACCGTACCAAGATCTGGAAGCTGGAACGACGGAACCGCTGGAATTTCGCAGGTGGATTAAACCCAAGAGTCTTTGAAATAGCAGAGCTGACCACCCTATTCTAGTTTCCTATTCTGCCTCGCGGTAACTTCACGAGTGTTATCGACACGACTGGCTCTTGGGGGCTGAACTGGTATGCCGAGCACACAACGGCAGCTTCGGCCGATGTACGTTTTCCCTACTAAAGCAAACCCCTCATGCGGCTTGAACACTGATACCAAGTTACCAGGGCTTGTACGGCATGGTTTACGTTGCGCCTAGCCAATCCCGACCTCGTCCTTACCGACTGATAACACACGACGAAATCGAGCTGAGGATGATCATGGAAGCAGAGAAACAGGTGAAGCACCTCGCGATCAAGAACCATCAGCATCGCGACACGGGGTGGAAGATGTTGCGCATGCGAGCTGAGGGCTCCGAGTTCTACTGCTATGACTCGATTCTTGTCAATGGTAAGTAACCTCGCTGTAAACGCGCATTGCTAGGCGGCTAATGCAATCTCGGACTTAGGAAAAGGCAGAGTTCACTGCCGTCAGCCTGGTTTCGAGAAGTTGAACGGACACGATCTTGACGAGACTGGCTGTATCCAGCCGCCGGGGTTGCCCAATGAGTCTTGTACGCCCAGCAACGCGGACTACGAGGTAGAGTTTTACTTGAGGGATCATAGGGGATGCTTTGCTAACATCATGCTCAGGTCATTGAAACGGAAGGTCGATCCTACATCATGATAAACCTAATCAACATTGGTTTCGAGCACTCGGTAATGGTGTCAATCGATAGCCATAAGATGATGGTGGTAGCAAACAACGGCGGATTTGTTGTCCCCACTGAAACAGATGTAGGTATCTTCTGTGACCAAAACGCGACGCAACATGCCTGACAGACAAAAGGCTGTCTACGTGCCCAGTGCTGGCAGGATCACCGTTCTGGTCAAACTCGAGGCCGAACCCGGCGACTATGCCATGCGCATTTCATCCACAAGTCAGATGCAAAATCTGCAATCCTACTCGATCCTGCGATACCCGGTAAGCTCCATGACAAGGGGAAGGGCCGAACTCAGAAAGGCTCTAACATGAATCGACGGAACAGGCGAGCCGTCGGCCGATATACGGGGAACCAATGAAAGTCCCCCAAGCAGCCTCGCCCGAGACTGTCTGCGTCCTCCCCGATAGTTCCATCCGAGACGAATGCAAAATGATCGACGGCCAGTTTTTGTCGCCGTACCCGGCCTCCCCACCACCGAAATCTGAGAAGTCGAGGCCCGCAGCGGCAGATTACACCTTTCACTTGGCGGCCGGTTCCCAGGCCTCACTTACAGAACGTTACGTGCCAGAGTATTTTCTCAACGAGAAGCCATGGCAGCTTTTCCGCTCCGCACTGACTCCTCTACTATTCAAAGGGCTTAATGAGTCAAAGTGGGAGGACTCACTTGGCAAGCCTGTCATCAAAGGCATCCCGCTCGGCTCCGTTGTCGATCTGATCATAGAGAATCAGCTGAATGACACTGTGCCTCTCTACAAGCACGCGGAGGCCGCTTGGCTTCTCGGCGCTCAGTCTCACGAGAGGTTCACTTACAAGAGTGTAGAGGATGCGATTGCGGCGGATGGAGGGGTCTCCAGGTCCCTCAATCTTCATGACCCAGCGCTAGTAACTGTCCATGACCTGCCGCCCTTGGGATGGAGTGTTCTTCGCTTCAAGGTGACTGCAAAGGCAGCGACCATGATCCATGCTGTCAAGCTCAGATACTTTGCGGTGAGTTGCTAGATATCTCGAAGCCACTTTGGGGAAACGAGACCCATTCTAACGCGTCAACCTGAACTCTAGTTAGGCATGTCGGCGCCTATCATGGAAGGCATCCTGCCTGATGATCCCGTCAAGTTCCCAGAGTCAGCTGTCAACCGTCCCCACGTCGACTTTGAGCCCAAGAACGATGGTGTGTTTGGGTGATGCTTTCATGCCGTAACCAACTCCAATCATGTTTGAAATATGGGAAATGAGAGTTCCGTGGAGAAGACTTTCAGGGAGTCGATGCTACTCATGACCCTCAAAGAAGATAGCATGTACACACCCTTGTCGGACAACTACAGCTCCGTTTTTGGTTGACTTGTCTTCTGATAGGTCGTCGCTTTTACTTATTATTTGTGTCGGCCTAGTCGAGTTGTCGAGCTTCGTATGGGTCGTCAACAGCCCAACTGTTATGTTCTTGGTCTTGGATGTGCCAGAGTAAAGCAGTACGAAACGATACTTCCGAATTGGCTTTGTATGAAAACCCACGCCTTGGCGAATAGTTCAGAGAACAATTTCGGCCCAATATGCCTTGTGAGGCTGTTGGTGTGTCTTATTTCCCAATATGAATTCCTTCCTGTTGTTGTCAAAATCGGAAATACCCAACGCAGATATTAAGTCGAGAGTTCCGTGGCTCGTCTTAGTTTAAATTGAAGAGAAGCTATGGTGCTGTAGAATTGCGATGAAACAGCCCCGGCAACGGAACTGACACAGCAAATGCAACCACAATTCTAGTCTGAGCGAGTCTAAGCCGAAGACTATGTTTCTCGCCGGCACTGCTGGATAAGTGAACCAACGATACACCAGTGAGCAGCCTGTGAACCATCGGGGGAAGTCCTTGTCACAGGCCACGATGCCGTGTACAGCAGCATAACGTGGAAGCTATGCTGTAAGGCAGTTTCAAAACCCGCAGACTGCCCACAACATAACCGAACTTTCGCCATTCGTTGCCCAATGACGAGGCAAATTCGAAAAGTCAGCTGAGGGGGGTTGTCGAAACTGCGGCTAAGAAGATAACAGAGCTCGGTCATGACAGTACGGCGCAGCTGCAGGTCTCTAACTGATTGGCAGACGGAAACCCAGATAGCCCGCAACGAGCTGGACCCCCGCGGCGGAAACTTGGCCCAACACAAGATTGGGCTACAGACAGAGTTTGTCCGAAGCAGGAAACACCCTTGCAGCACTGTCGAGACGGCGTTAGAAATTGGACACATGGAAACCAAGGTAATGGAAGAAGAAAAAAAAGTAGTAACGGTGGTAGTAGGTAGTCAAGTCCCCTGTAGTGTTTACCCACAACGCCATGCCATGCGTATCCAGATATGTAGCCCATACAACAAATCAAACATCCCATTAGACACACACACACTCAAATGTCCCATGTCTTTTGTCGAATCCTGTTAGTCGCCGATGCTCATCCAGCCCCAGGTACCCAGACCACCCGCCAGCACAATCGCCGTCAGGATGCCCGCACCGGCGCGATCCGCCGTCGTGATGGGCTCCGGCTCGATGTTGTCCTTGCTCTTGCTTCCCGCATCGGGGTCGCCCTTGGAAATACCGCCCGTCGTGTTCGTTGCGGGCGGCTCGGCGTTTTCGATGAGCAGACTCGACACGGCGGCCAGCACGTTCATCTGCTCGCCGGCGCCCGACGTCTTGTCGACGGCGGGGTCCACAAACACTCCCTCGTTCCAGTAGAAGCCGCAGACGCGGCCCGTCTCGCCACCGGTGCACTGGTTGACGGCGGCCTGGGTCGATGCCTTGAGCACGGGCAGGATTTTTTCCTTCATGAAGGGGGCGACCTGGGTGACGACGGAGAGCCAGCGGTGGACGTAGCCCTTGAAAGACAACATGTCGGCGGTGCACTGGCCCTTGCGGCCTTCGCAGGCGAGCTCGTAGCCGGTGTTGTTGGGGAAGAAGTTGAGGAAGAGGGACTCGGTGAGTTTCTCGATGCGGCCCTTCCAGACGTCGGAGCCGTTGGTCTATTGTTTGCATTAGCCATGGTGTTTCGCAATGCGCCAAGCATCAAGACGGTGACTTACGTAGTTGTACATGAAGGCCGCGCCCTGGGTCAGGATGGCGGCGTTGTAGGAGAACTGCTGCTTGTTGACGTCGGTGCAGTTGTGCTCGACATGGCCGCCGTCGTAGACGTTCCAATTCTCGTGGTCAATGTAGTTTACACCCCACAGCCAGTCCCAAGTCTTCTCGGCGTGCATCGCGTACGTTTCGTTGTTTGTGTATCTGGCGAGGCGGGCGCCAATGTTGAAGAAACATCCGTTGGCGATGGCTGCGATTCTGTTAGCTTTCTCTCTTTCTTTCGCTTGCCTCGTCAGCTATCCGGGGCCCGTACTGTTTTTGTAGTTGTACCCGGCGTTGGAGAACGGGACCTGCCATCTCAGACCACCGTTGCAGGTGTCGTCGTGGCGATCGGGGCTCGCCTGGGTGGTCCAGACAGCCTGGGCGAGGGCAAGCCATTGGGGCTTGTTCTCGGGGGGGTTCGGGAACTTGTTTTCGGCGGCGAGCATGGCGGACATTCCCCAAAAGCCTTGGTCGTCGTTTCCGAGGGACGCAGTGTGGTTGGGGGGCATGTAGTCGGCGTTGGGGCCGGTCTGGTGAAGCATGCCCTCCATGATGAGGTTGTTGTAGGTTGAGTCGCCCGTTAACTTCCAGTAGTCGATATAGGTGCCCATCATGGCGCCTCCCTCCCACCAGTAGTAGTCGCCCTTGTGCTCGGTGGGCGGCCCGGGCAGGATACCAGGGATTTCTCCCGTCTGGTTTCCTTTATACTGCTTGATCAGGTCATACGCAAGGTCTTTTGCCGCCGACTTGATGTTGTCTGGACCATGAGGAAAACAGGGTGTTAGTGGGGAGTTGTCAAGGTTCATAGGTTTCGGGCGGCAATAGTGTTGCTGCTCCCTCAACCGCAAGCAGCGCTGCATGACCGCGGGAAGTCGTCACTTACCAGTCGAGTCGATTTTATAATACTGCGCGCTGACGGCCGGGAGGCTTCCTGCCAGCAGCAGCGCCGCCGAAGCGGCTGATGCAAGTGTTGTGACCATGGCGATACGCGCCGGTCTGGGGAGAGAAAGTCGACGGGATTAAATGTCCAGTCGACGGCGATGCAATGAAGGTCAATTTAGGAATCGCATGAAAAACTGGCGATCGGTTCGGGTTGTCGATCGAGACGTGGTCGCCGGGTCAAACGAGTGAGTTTGTCGTGAATAGAAGATATAGGCGAAAAGAGGCGAAGAAGTCGGAAAAACAAAACAAGGTTTGCGTTTATGAGAAGCGAGTGTTCATAACCGGCGCCGCCAGAAATGTTGAAAGGTGTGGGATTGCCGCAGAGGTGGCGGTCGGGTTCGTATCAGTCGTCAGCGTTGTTATTGGTTTTTTTCTGGGGCGGGTTTTTGGTTGCGAGGTGAGAAGTGAAAGTGAGAATGAAGGTTGAGGTTTTGGTGGTGTGAGATTGAGAGTTGGATTCTTGGTGGATGAACTGGGGATGGCGGCAGGTCACAGGTAAACCCAACGCTCCTCAGACGCGGGAAAAGGGGGGAAAGAACAGGAACGAGGCATCCAGACCACTTTTCGGGTACGGAAAGACGCAAACGAGAGAGAAATTGGAATCAACGGGCACAGGATGACGCGGTAGAATATGTCTTGGTGGCCGCCAAAAGTCTTGGTATTCTTGGTAAAGTCTTGGCCTTCTGGGCACCGGGGCTGTGCAGCAAATGAAAAGGCGGCCTCCAACCTTGAGCACGCTTTTCTATCCTCTCTGGGTTCGAGATTGAGCCAGGGCGATGGAAGAGAGGGCGGCGGTTACGAGCCACGCTTATGCTTCCGCAATCAATACGTCTGCAAGGGCCGAGCGACGTTTGACTTTTCAACAGCATCCAGCGGACTATCGCAATGGAGAGGCGTTGACCAGGATGCTTTGATATGTTCCTCTTTGTCTGCTGCCAACTCATGTGGTGGTGCATCACGGACTCAACTCTCAACTCAACTCATCGAGCATCTGTCACAAATAAGGGACGAACGCCGTACACCTTCAGACAGCGCGCTGAGCTGGGCTGGGCTGGGCTGGGTTGGGCTGCGCGGAGAAACACAACAACGAGTCGAGGAGGTCAGAGACCTGTGAGGGAACCGGCCATCCCTACCCAAAGTTTGCGAGCGCGAATGTTGCCAAGACGCGATTCCTAGTCAAATACGCGGGGAGTTCTCTGGCGGGCACTCGCTGCCGGGACATGCTAACGAGGGGTCTGTCTGCCACGACTCACAGGGCACACGACGAGACCACACAGGCAAGGGAATGTTCGGGGGTCGAAGATGCCCTGCCTTGAAGTGGTTCAACGTGGCTCGATGTGGATGTAGAGAGAGGGCAGAACGGGGACGGAGAGAGAGGATGGATTCAGGGGTCGCCCAGAGCTAAGACTCAACAGCGTCTTGGCGATGGCGATGGCGTCTCTGCCGACGAGGGAGATTGATTGAGGGAGTGAATGCGCAAGAACCTGATCTCTGCCAAGTGTCTCTGGGGAATCCGAGCCCGATAGTGAGTTGGATAGATGGACAGAGCGCCGCCGATCGCTGATCCGCGGTTTTCAGATGAAGAGATCGTCCGTCCGACACATGGGAAGCAGCGTTGGAGGGCCGATGAGGCTAGAAGGCCCATGTGAGTTTCCGTACCGTCGAGGAACGAAAATCAAAGCTGGATAAAAGCGGCAGAGGGCTCTGTCACCATTGGAAGGGCAACAAAGATGGCAAAGAGGGACGGGCTGCCGGGAAATGCCAAGCAAACAAGACTGGAAGAAGATTGGCCGGCAAATGGGAGGTCAAGAGGGAGTTTTCTTTTGGTCGTTTGCATCCAAAGTCGAAAGAGGAAAAGCTGAGTCGGCCCCACCACTCCAGGTGACAGCCGCCGCTCTGGTGAAAATGACCGTCCCACAAACGGATGGGCGTGTCGAATACGAAATATCGGACGGTTGTACGGACACGCGGGATGGGAAGATGCGGGAAGAAATATGGCAGCGGCAAACAAGACAAGCACCAGACCAGCGACCCCCTCAAAGTCAAGCTGGAGTGCATAAGCAGGGCATTCTGTGGTTTATGTACGCCAAGTACCGATCGGTTCGGCCAAGGCAGATCACACGACGCGGCAGAGGGACCGGACGCCGCGCGGGGGTTCAAGTAGGTCGGGCTACTGGTTGCCGTGGGAGCCTGGGAGCTGGCTGGGCTGCTAGCTCCTGGCGCGTGTTTTGGACCGGCCCATGGTCAAACCCGGGATCGTCACTCCTAAACACTGCGAAGCCTTGGTGTCGATAGCCTCTGGTCTCTCAGTGTGAGTGACTAGGTATGGTGAGTGAGACGAAGGATGAGATGAAGTGGTACAGGAGACTTGGTGGGAGACTAATATGAGCAGTCAGTTGAAGCAGGGAGGCACAACCCACTGTAGTATGGCCGGTCAACGTGCTGAAGGAAAGAGCGACGACTGGCAGCTCCGGCTTCCGAATGGAGGAAGGGGAGCTGAGCGCCTGGAGACGGGGAAGGCAGCATTGGGTGGCACCTTCTCGGTCTCGACCGCAATTAACCTTAGTCCCCATCCGCACTGTGTCCGCCCCCTCCGGTTCCACTGCGTCCGCAAGCGAGTCCAGTGGCTATTCGCTGCCAAGACCGCCGGGAATTTGGATGGAACTCTCAATCTCATGCCTCAAATAAGGGGCACGTTTCACAGTAAGGACAACACCGTCTGACACACAGTAGGGCGGGCCCGCTGTACCCAATGACACGGCGCAAGAACGATTGACAGCTTGGAGCCGCCAAGACCCATTAAATTAGCAACGGCTGCGGAGGGGTAGGAAGGCGCCATCGGTGTTCCTGCCACCAGGCTCTACCCCTGGAAACGAGCATCAGCGGCGTCCGAACTGCCCGGAGCTTGCCTGCTGGCGCTGGTTCGCGTCTCATTAGGTACGTACCCCAGCACTCCCGGACATCTTGTATCCCCTCATATCTCTCCTCAAGCTTTTGCATCGAGGCCACGCATGAGGCAGACTCTTTCCGATGGAGTGAGAAACGTCAAGGCGCATCCAGTTGCTCGCATACTATGTATGCAGATACTCCCTCAATCACTTCGCACAGAACAGCCGCCCAGCCCACCCAACCCGAGCATCGCATGCCTGCTCCCGACGGCGGGGTTCCTTCGTTTCGTTTCCTCGCGCCCACCGGCACCGTCCCCATATTCATCCTTGCCCAGCTGACAGAGGAATCTCCCGAGATTTGGCGGAGCGAGATTCTCATCGCGAAGCCCTTGGAGCCTCATTGCAGAATGCTGGCCAAGAGCGGTTGACGTTTCTCCAAGCTTTGAGCACTGCGACATCCTCGTTCTTCGGCATGCCGGAGAAGGGTGAAGCAGACTTTTCCGCCACGCTTCGGAGCGGATGGCCGCTCCCTCATGTGGCATGCCGAGACCTTCAAGTCCCACCATTCGGGACTTCGTTTTGGAGTTTGGCGATGAAATTTTCTACGGTATGGGCACCATCTTGCACTACCCGTCGATGCGAAACTCGCCAATACGTCCATGGTATATCCCCATGTCTTATCATCGCTGTACCCCACCTCGCAGCAACTCCCACCAGCTCCAGCCACTCTTGTTTCAGTGCTTTACCTTACATGTAAATATCCCGAGCCTCAGCCGGAGGGCATTCCTGGACTTGATGCCATTATGCAGGCTAGACCAGCCGCGCCGGGCTTACGTGAGATGCAGATGTAGCCCTCATCATGACAACGTCCATTGGCTCTTGTTCGAGCAAACAGTAATATGCAAAGTAGCTGAACTGCAGACCCTAAACAAAAGCTGACGACGAGATGCCCTCTAAACCCGCCGAAGATGATGCTGCATAAACCCTTCCACTTGCGCCATACCTATATGATGCCACGCGCTATCTGGGCGCTCCACGTCGTCCGCCTACGCTTCTTGGGTACTTGACTCACTAGATCCTCTTGACGAACATGTTTCTCGTGAACTGTGCTCTCATTCTCATGGGCCTAGTGGTCTATCAGCTCCTCAACCGGTGTCTACACAAGACAGTCAAGCATTTCAACCCAGACTTCTACGCGGAACTGGAACTCGACAGGTATCACAAGCTGGCACCGTACTTCGTTTTTCCGCTGGGCATCCTTCTGACTCTGTTTACAACGCCAATCTGCCTCTTGGCCTACCATGAAACGCCTTCCGCGACCGACACTTTCGGCCTCGACCGGCCGTTCACCGCCAACGGCAAAGTTTGCCTCAGCTCCCGGGCCGCCCTATGGATTTCAGAGATGCCGCTGCTCAGCTACTCGCCAGAATACATCGCCCATCACATCCTCTCGCTGGGATCTCTGGTGCTCGTTATGATCAGCAAGAGCCCACGTCAACCCATTTACCTCATCTACGCGGGTCTCGTGACGGAGCTCTTTTCTGACACTGTTGCGTTGCTGCGGCTCCACGGGCGTAATGCCGCCAACTCAGCCCCGTTCCGCAGAGCCATGCTCGCAAACGTGCTATCAATGATCTCCTTGAGAATCATACCGGTCATCGCCTACACCGCGACCATGCCGGAAACGCGGCCGTATTACGCCGGCGGGATAGCGCTCTACTGCTTCTATCTCGCTAGGCTGACCTTTCTCCAACTGGGAACCCTGGGCTACCACAAGATGAGGCTGGGCAGAGCGGGCATAGCGGCGCAGTCGGACAAAAACTCCGCAAAGTCAAAATCAGCATAGCGCTTCTCCGCAGGCTTGTTTCGACGTCCTATGACGCTTGTCGTATGTATCGCGGTCGTCATTACTTCTCTGTCTCTAGGAGATGTCGAATACTTCAAGTCTTCGCCTGCGAGTCCCGTCATCGCATCGAATTGGAACAGCACTTGAAGCTTCACGGTGTACACACGAGACTTCAACAGAGGAATACTCCTGCCTCTAAGAGTTGCATCAGGGGGTGCTAGACTGCACTTGGGAACGAAGATTTGGTATCTTGAAAAATATGTACATGCCTCTATCCAGCGGCTGACAGTACGTAAAGGAAAAAAATAATTCGCACATGAAATCACGCCAGACTCCGCCCCATCACCGCTTAAGCGACGGTGGCACCGGTCAGCGTAAAAGAGTAGTTCAAGCCCGTGTTGGCCTCGCTGCTGGCGAGATCGAACCCGTCGTACAAGATCAGGGTCTTGGGGGTGTTGGCGACGACCAAGCTCGCCTCCTCATCGCTTGTAACATCCGCTGAACCAGTGCCGTTGGCGAGCGCGACGTAGCGGACTCCGCTGGATCCCTTGATCGCGAGCGTCGCCGTAAACTCGCCGCTCGAGGTGACCACGACGTCGACCTTGTCGCCGGAAGTCTTCAGGGGGATGATGTTGGAACCCATGTAGCGAGGCGCGCGGCCAGACTTGACCGTGTACTCACTGCCGGACTCGTCGACGTTGGCGAAGTTGATTTCCTTGGCATCGTTGAAGACCTCCTGCGCTTTCTCGTGGCCAATGTCGACGTAGGCCATGCGGGCCCAGTAGCGGCCGACAACCTCGCCGGCGGTGGCGTTGCCCCCAAGGACGCGGTCGAGTGTGTGAAGGGGGTCTCGTTGCTGTTCTGCTCGTACTGGACCATCAGTTGGTGCAGCGTGTCCTGGCCGAGGCCGGTAATGTTGTCCGGGTTGTTGGTGAGGTAGGTGAAGAAGGGCCAGGCTTGGTAGTAGTTGCCGGAGTCGGGGGTGCCGTCGACGATGACCTGGAACGAGTCGCCAATGACCTTGTTCACTTCGAACAGGGTTTGGCCATCGGGGGAGTTGTGCTTCGTGCGGGCGTCGGCGCAGAGAGGGGAGGTAGTGTACGTGTCGGCTACCCAGTTGGCGACCGTCTCCCACCAAGCGCCGGTGTTTCCCTGGTTCACCCAGGTGCGCTGGTGGTAGTGCAGGCCGTGGCCATACTCGTGGACAGTGACGTCCGGGGTAGCGAGGTAGCTGTCGACGACCTCGAGCCAGGCAGCGCCGCTCGTGGCCTCCGAGTGCATCACGCCGGCGGCGTTGTTGAGGCTGGAAACGGAGTAGATGTTGGTCTTGTAGTAGGGGCCGTCATCAGAGCCCGGGTTGTAGGAGAGTCCGGACGAGCGCCAGCCGAGAGTGTTGACGAAGCACTCGTAGGCGCCCTCGAGCATGGCGAGCGAGTCGTCGGCGTTGTCGCCGCCGTCGTAGACGCGGAAGTGCGCCGAGTCCTTGAAGTCGCTGCCTCCGGGGCCGGCGTTGGTCTGCGGCTCAAACTCAGCGGGCTCGGCGCGCGCGGCTACCTTCACGGGGGCGGTGGCGCCTGCCCGAGGAGCCGCATGGGTCCCGGTGGTGAGGGCGAGGAGGAGAGTGAAGAGGAGTGGATTTGACCTGGCCATCTCGGGCAACTAAACTGATTTATGTGCTTGAAAGGAACGAATGTGGGTATCAAAAGAGCGTATGGGAAACAAGATATTCTTTCTTGCAAAGGACGAAGTCGAGTTGATGGAACTTGGTCGGACAATCTCTCCCCCTTCAATAATCCCAGGACCGCTATCTTTTGTACACGGCAACCATACTCGCCAAGAACCCCCTGGCCAGAAATATTTCCTAGTTCATCCAAAAGTCGCAATCGATCTGCAAGCGACACATGCGATGCAGGCCAGTGGGCAGGCTATGGTGTTGAACAGCAACGTGCTGGCCCTGGTCACTTGTGCTTGGCATCGTTCACGGGGTTGCATCCAGTGTCTCTTAAAAAGCGTTGGTAATTTGCAATGAAACGGCGGGTGGGCTACATCAGTCAGGGCTTCTCCGAATTATCCCTCGACCTACCTTATTCGTTCTGTTCCTTGCATCGATCATCTCCAACGGTCCAGGACAGCCTCACCCCCAGTAAGTAGGGAGAAGGAGATGACGGAGGCTCATCATTGACGAAAAGGCGGTAATAGACGCAGCACCACATTGTGCTAGCTTTTCGAAAGGAATTGCAGTCACAGAGTGTTCGTAGATGCTTTGGGGCCTGAGAGCTGACTGACTCTGAAAACACTCTACGCGAAAATAGTAAGGGTAACCCAAGCTATCAACACCATCCATGTTGAAATCCCCCATGCATCCTACAACTCGGAATGACGATTGTCACGTCTGCCCCGAATGCAGGTAACCCATGGCGTCTAGCCCCAACGAAGGTCTCATTCACTACTCGTTTCGTGCCCCCGCCAAGCGCTGACTGGACGTGGTCGTCAAGGGATCCCACAAGGCTCCATTGTTATCTGAAACGGTTCCCTGCAACCATTCATGATGATTGGCGGCAATATACCTGCGATTGATTTAACATGATTTTAAGCCTCGGAACTTCTCCTGAGCTTACTTGCTAGCCTCTTCAGCCTTGTCCACTTTTAGACGCAACCTTTTCCACGAGCCAGGCGGGACTCGCTACCGGTTTCCATGGTACACCGAATGTTGGTGAGATGACATGACGCCAGAATCGGCATTTGGTAGCGTCTGTGCGACCGTCGTAATGTTTTACTTTGAGAAAATAGCAGTTGGGCCAAAAGGGTTCAATGATGCTCTGGTGCCGTTCAGGGGTTATCGATGAGCCAAGCTCTTGTAGGAATCGCGCGCATGTCCAGGCTCAGAATGATATGCTCTAATTATGAGTCCTGAGAGGAGTCCTGGGACAGCGGGGAAGTCAGCCATGGGCGAAGCCGCCAAAGCACAGGATGACAGTTGGGAACACACCGCAAACATATTTTCCCTTAAGTTAAAATGAGACGAAGTGTTGTCGTGACAGCAGCCAGAGTGTTCTGTGGGGAAGCTGGCAATGTGAGTAAGCTGTACCATATCCAATGTATCATCTTACCCTCCCACCAACAATGACAGGCGCCTAAGAAATGCGTATGATACATCTGTTATCTTTGGACTTGATGTGGAAGAAGCTTGTACATTAGGGTTCTTATAAAGACTATGCAGACACCAGTTTCAATGGTTTGATGGTGGAGCTCATATAAGTGTTTGTATGTCACGAAGCCTCAAGCGCCTTGTAGGTATCTCCCACAAAGACAAGTCTCCAAACTGTTCTCGAACCAGGTTGCTCCTCAGCAGAAAGCATGCTGGTCTGCCGCCAGTCCAACCATTATTCAAACTCATTGGGATTCTTCGATGAACGGAGACCGTCTGTGGCGCCGGAAGCCCGTTTTAGCCATCCAGACACCTCGACTTGAAATCAGCAAGTCTTCCCGCTGTTGATACGTCACGAAAAACCAGGCCCAATATGTCTCTAAACTTTGAAAACTTAGAAGAAAGAAGATAATTATCGAATTACTCTTCTTCGCCTTGATATTCTATGGGAACTCAGCATTGACTGACTATTTACAGTTTTTGGTTGAAGGCAGGTAAGATAATCTTTTTTGCTTCAACTATAACTCTCTCTCTCTCTCTGTGCGAGTCGCCGCTGTTATATACGACGAGTCACAGTCCAGCAGTCTATTCATCCTTGGCTCCCAGAACAGCACTATCACCAGGCAAGACATTTAGTCTGAAGCAATGATGCAACTGAGCGGCATCCTAAATAAAACAACAACGGCAGTAGCCGACCAATTACTTAGTGTTCCAGTAATCACAATATTAATTTGGCTAGTGTCGGGAGCCTTCGTCTGGATCCATTGTACCTAGTGCTTCTGTCAAGTGTTGGCTTCAAGGCGTACTCCAATTTAAAAGGCTCGCGCGTCGAGAATGATTAAGGAAAATGAACGATTCAATAATCGCGAAAGCATCTTGGTAACCAAGCAGACGTGGCGGGCTGCTAAATAAGCCACAAGTCAATACAATGGCGGCGAATGACGTTCCGTACCATTGTTTCGAACAAGCATTTAGGATCCTTGAGGATCATCTCCCGCTTACTATCCGGCGTTATACCTAGCTGCATTAGTTGGGACGATTTTCTAGCGAGTGGCGGGTAAAGTCTAGGCAGCCATTAAAACATGTCTCGCAGCAGGAAGGCTAGAAAGGTCAAACAGCGCATGGAAGATCCACCCTAACTTGGAATAGTGCTTACTCTAGAAGTGCGCAGTTAAGCAATGATTTGGTCTGATAACACGAGGGATTTGGATAGCTGTCGAATCTAAAAAGGGAACCAGCCCCCTGTTCCTGAGTTTCTAACGCAGAGGCTGAAAGGACGAACTTCGGAGCCGGTAGACAAACCACTGCCCGACCGCTACCCGCTACCTCACAGCTGACGGTACCTTCACCCAAACACCGTCGCGATGGATCGCCGAGACCAGAATGTCGATGTGCGACCAATCCGGCGAAAACCAGTGTCCTCGTATATTCAACCGCTTGCTTACGATGAAGCACTGCTTCTTTCATCCGCTCAACCTAACGTCTACACCTGGGACCCCGAGCGCGAACCGACGCGCCCGCCTGGCGAACCACAAAACACTGAGCCATGGAGAGATGTCCAGTCCAAGGCAACCTTTGCGAGTGGCGAAACTGAATACGAGCTAGTCAAGAATTTAAGCACCGATCAGACGAACCAAAGAACCGCACGACAGCCCCCCCGAAGAAGACTGCATTTACTTCGAGGGTGGTCGCAGGAGATTGCGTGGTGCATAATCAGCATCGTGTGCGTTGTCGTACTCGTAACTGTGCTCAAGTCCTACGACAACAAGCCGCTTCCAAATTGGCCACTCGGCCTCACTCTCAACACTGTAGTCGCGTTCATTTCCACATTCTGTCGTACTTCGTTTGTGCTTCCAGTGGTGGAAAGTCTTTCGCAGTACAAGTGGAATTGGTATAAATCGCCGAGGCCTCTTAAAGATTTCAAAATTTTCGACGAAGCAAGCCGTGGACCATGGGGCAGCTTAAAGCTGTTGTTCGCTACTAAGGGCAGGTGGGTGATGAACCTAGATCACGGAGTCCATGTCCCCCAACGGCGTTCATACTCACGATGAAGTAGACTTGTAGGGATTTTATCGGCGGTGATTCTTGTCTCAGGGATCGCAACATCAACTCTAACACAGTCTGTTGTCACGTACCCAACCCGCACTATTCAGCTTCCGGGAAATGATAGTGCTCTAACCCTGAAAAATGATGGATACTTCTGGGCAACTGCCAACTCGAACGCTATGAGTAGGCTTCTGTCAGTACAGATGTTCGCGGTCATGAGGCTTACAACTATATGCAGGAGATATCATGTTCCCGATAAACCAGATTATCCCACGAAGTCTCTACACGCCACCCGAAGAGGCCATGCCCTATCACCAAGCTAGTTGCCTAACAAGCAACTGCACATGGACGCCGTTCACATCGCTTGCTGTCTGTGTAGATTTGAAGAGTAAGTCGGAAACGGATTAGCCTTGTTTTTCGCAACACAGTGATTATCATGAACTGACTTGTTGAACCAGACGTAACGGACATGCTTACATCTGACGGAGATCCGATTAAGATGGGCACCAACTCTACACTTCCCAATGGTTTGACTCTCTTCAGCGATCATCATATGGGTATGCAAACTTGAACATCTCCACTGGCCCAAGTTTGTCCTACAATGATACCGACATCATGACGGCCAAGCTTTTCAACTTCTTCGTGCTGTACGGGCCCCGCCTACGCGCCACAGAAATCATGCTTCATTGGTGCGTCAACACGTATAACGTCAACGTCAAAGAAAACGTTCCCGTCACGGAAAGAATAGCGTCGCATACAATTCCATCAGTCGGAGAGGTCTTCGTTGAGGACTTCAACATGACAATTAACGGAACTTACTTTACATCCCCAGACAGCCCCGGCAAGAAGTACGTTGCGGACGGATTCGGACCGGGGGCAATCGCCTCGGCTCTTGATTCAACGTTGATAGGGACTTACATCGATACCGGAGGGTACGAATTCCAAAACGGAAGCCAGATATACGGCACAGCACTTTCAAGAGCTAGTATTGGGATCAATAGCGCGAACGAATCCCAGAAGCTTGACGACGAACAATTCGCAACCTTGCGTAACCTCACGGAAAACATTGCCAGTGGTATTACAAACGCGTAAGCTTTGACCTCTGCATAGAGTCGTTCTCATAGCTCGACTAACACTGTGTAGGCTATTGACCACAAATGTCAGTGGAAGTGCTTTGCAGGAAGAGCGGTATGTGTCAATCCGGTGGCCTTGGTTGACACTACTAGCGGCGCAAGTCGGCCTTTCTATCTTGACTCTTGTCATAATTATGATAGAAACAGCCGGTCTTGATATCGATATTGTTAAGGGTTCGCCTTTACCTGCTCTTCTGGCTGTAGATCCAACCGAGAAGAACGCATTGTTCAGCGATTGTTCCGAAGAAACAAACAAGCTGCCTCATCTTAAGGCATTTGGTATTGTTGGTGGACTACGAAGGGATGGAGAAAACTGGGTTCTACAGCACGTGAAGAGATAGTGATGTCGGCAGGCGCTGCTACGTTGAGTGGCTGTTCGCCAAAATTCCACCGGAATGGCTTGACGTAGCTTTCGTATCTACTACCAAAAGAGCGTTTCATACTACACAAAGAGAGAAAGAAAAGTACCTGAATTCAACGCTCGCAACATTTAGTGATTAATCATACCGTAAAGAATGACTGTCATGACAATCACTCCCAAAAGAGCGGTTATCGTTTCGACATTAGGCATATTTTGCATATCTAGCCCCGCAGAAGGTCGATTTAACAAGCTGAGCTATTCCACCATAAAGTCCGCGAATGTTCTTGCGAGCTGCAGTCGATAACTGTTTTTGCATTGGTAGCCGAATGCATTCGATGATGACCAGTTCTTCTCGGCTATCCTTGGGAATTCTTGACTTCGCCAAGCTATTGGAATGCCGAATTCTCAGTAAAGGCACAAGGACTAATGTTCTGAGTCGATAGACTGCTGAGAGACAGTGGTTTATCGACGTTGAACAAGCGATGATGGCAATACAACCCCGGTTGACATGTCTAATGCATATGGCCAATGATAACTCGAGTTTTCAAGTTGCCTCTAGGCAGCAGCCAACTATTGGCGGGGTCATTCGTATGATTGACTCCGACAACCCAGCCTAGTTGATCAAAGCCAACGCTAACCGCACCCGCCTCTCCGTTTGTATATTCCGCTTGCTCGAAACACCTGTCGACTGCATGATGACAATGCACTTTGTTGCTCTACCAGTTGAGTTGCTTCAGCAGATCATCAAAGACACTATTCCAGAGGCGATTGATTATGTTGCCCTCACATGCCGAGCCCTGTACGGCGCAAGTCGCATCTACCTCCCCCAACATGAAGTAGCTTCGATAATAAGGGTAAGTAGATCGAAATAGGGAAAGCAGAAGAGAAGGTAAAGGTAAAAGGGGCAGCTTTCAGCTTCACAACAACAATAGACCCAGCTAAATGTTCTCAGCTTGTCCGCGCCTCACTCTTAGCATCAATTCATGACACGTTTAAAGCGTTTAAGGTCTCAGTAGGCTGATGAATGGCAGCGAACAGCTAAGGGGTCTTGATTCGGCTGCATAGCTACTGAGAAACTACACACCTAAATGACTGTGCCACACGCTGCTCATCTCAATCCCGTTTTACCCTCAAAAACCTGCCCAGCCCTCCGCTGTTGATATCGATGCCGGCATTGTCGCAGCTCTCACCGCCGCGAACGACGACGTTCCAATTGTCCTTGTGGTATGCCTGCCCGCTGACCGTCATGCCTTCACCCTGGTTCGCGTCCAGCTTGTCCTGGCACTTGTCCAACACGCGCTGGGCGCCGTCGGCAATGTCCTTGAAGGACCCGAGCTCCTTGGGGCTTTGGGCCTGCCAAGCCGGACGCAAGTTAGCCGTTTCCCAGAACAATCTCCAGGGAAAAGGAGAAAGAAAAGAAAGAACACTCACATCATTGCAGAACCAGATCCCCGTGTTGTCCCGGCAGCTCACACGCCCACAGTTGCCCGGCCCGGCCCCGTTCTGCGGACGCCCCTGCACCGTCTTGAGCTGGTCGATGCTCACGTGCACCGCCGACCGGTTCCCCTCGCGGAAGTTGTGGCACAGCGTGCTCGTGTCGTCGCCGAACGCGGCGCGTCTCCCGATGGGCGTAATCGCAATCTTGCCAAACTGCTCGTCGACGTCGAAGCTCGGCTTCATGTCCAGCATCTGCGCGGCGACCTCCTCGACCGTGCCGCGAACGGAGATGGTCTTGCCGCTGCCGTCGGGCGAGGGGACCTCCCACCGCGGGATGAAGATGCCGTAGCCTTGGATCGGGGCACCGGGGCTTGGGGCGTCGCGGCCAAAGGCCCAGGTCTGGAGGGCGGGTCAGTGCCGGATCTGCCGCCCACGGAACGTGATACGCGTGAGACAAAAGAGGCTTACCGCGGTGGCCATAAAGACCAGTGGGAACGTAGTACAGCGGGAGAAAAACATGGCGTAAGTCGTGTCAAGTCTCGAAATAGTCGGCAGCACAGAATCGCATACAGCGTACACCGCCTCCACAACCTAGCGTGGGAGGCCGCGAAGAAAGCGGGTTGGCTGTCATTTATACCAGAGAGGGGTAAAGAGTCGTGCTGGAAGGCAGGCCATTGCCCGTTATGCCTCTTTTAACTTTGAATCAGACGGTCTCATCAGACGAAAGTTTGGTGCAGCAGGCTTTCATGCGGTGTCCAGAGTCCCCTCACCACCATGGAGAGTTCATGATGGACAGTACTTGCTGATTGGGCTTGGACAGCTGAGCTCGGCCAGTCAGGGCTGGAGAGGAGGCAACCAACAGACCGTTGCGCGCTGGTCTCTCGTCCTTGGCTGCCTGCGCCAAGAAAGGCTCACGATTGATTTGAAGGTTATCGTGGAATGAAGGACCTGAAATCGTAACGGCACTTCAAATCGTGTGTAGGTCTGTGCTCTTCTCGCATCTTGTCGTTGAGCTGGGGTGATGAGTGGGGCGAGGAGACAGGATCACGCCGGGTTGACATGGGTGCTTCCAATAATCCAACATGACGATGGAGTCAACCAGGCCTCTTCAAACTTGTGCAGCTGTGCTGCGCCGATGCAGCAACACTCATGAAGCACCGCGTTGGGTACAGTCGGCGAGAGTAAACAGTTCGGGAACACCGGTTAGAATTCAACGTTCCGTTTCATATCCTACTCGACGACCTTGTTCCTGCTTCCGACGCAGGGACCACGCACCCCATGCGTCTTTGGCAAGCGCAAGAGTCAAAATAAAGTTGAAGATCCCGGGGGTCCCGGTCGCCCCGCTCCGGAAACGGCACCGGAAGACGAGACTACAGCAAACGGGTACCAAGCGCCTTGCGGCGAACCAACCACTGTGCTTCCGGGAAAACGGTGGGAATAGTCTACATGTACGGCAATGCAGCGTGCGCACAAATGCCGCGAGAGCGCAACAAACGGGGCAGAAGGGGCACACTAGCGCGCAAAAGGGTATCGAAATCAGGCAAGACGCCCAGGTATAAACACCATCATAAAATCATCACCGTCGTCATGACCTCGGCACAAGCCCATCAAAGGTCGCCGACGACACCCTCATAGGCCTCGTCCACCGTCGCGAGCCCACCCGTCGTCGTGCCGTAGCCCCTGTCGCTCCTCTTCCCCATCCTCCGCATCGTCTGCTGTTGCTGTTGCTGCTGCTGCTGCTTCTCCCGCTTGTCGCCGCTGTACCACTGAAACATGGCGCACCAGAAGCCGATGAAGAAGAGGAACCTGCAGGTCGTCAGTCACGTCACCGAACCCCGGACCCCCATCGAACCACAAAGGACTTAAGAGAAGAAAAAGCCGGAAAAAGACGGCGACTCACCACATCTTGACGGCCAACCCGACGACGACCCTGACCCCCTTGCCCTCCTCCTCCCCCTCACCGCGCCTCCTCTTCCCCTCACCCACGCCAGCGCACACCACCACGGCGCAAAAGGTCGCCAGTACCAGCCCGGCGGCCTGGAACCCCAAGTCCCCCACGCGCCCGCAACACCCGACCCCGCGGAGCAGGGCGGCCGAGAAGGACACGCTGAAGAGAATCATCAGGGCCGGGGACGCGAACTCGGAGAGCCTGCGTCGCCAGTCAGTGACCACGTCTCCAAAATCAGGGACAAGGGGGGACAAAAAAATCAAGACCCCCCCCCTCCCCCTCACAGGAGGTGTGTCGTCAACATGCAGTCATGGACCGGCTGCAGGGAAGTGAAAAGAAACATGTGAACGCTGGACTCACCAGTTCCACACGGCATAATCGCCGCCGTTGTACACCATGTAGATGATCCACCCCTCGACAGCGCCGACAAGGAGACACTGGGATGCGAGCAGGATCCACCACGCGACGCTCTCCAGGCCCCCTGCCCTCATCTCCTTCCCGCGACCTGCTGCTGCTGCTGCCGCTGCGGCTTGTGCATCGCCGCTCCCTCGGCTCGCTCCCCTGTGATGCTGGCGCAGCAGCCACTTGCTCTCTCCGTGACCGCTGCCGTCGGCGGCCTCGACGTCGTATTCCTCGACCGTAATCAGGGGAAGATGGCCCTTGGACAGCGGGCTCCACGTCGCCTTCTCGTCCTTCGGTAGGGGACTGCCCGCGCGTGCGACGATCGCCAGCAGGGCGAGGCGGGACGCGGCTTCCATCGGCTCTGATTGGGCCTCGGCTCGGGGCGATGCGTAGTACTGTAAGCGTGCGTTGGTGCGTTACGGGGGATGGACGTTAATCGAAACGTGCTGCTCGTAGGCGATGCGATGGCCTCGCTGTGTAGACATGAAGAGTCGCCGGAGAGCTGCTTGAAAACGTGGATAAGGGGTGAAGAGGTGGGAAAAGAAGAATGTTTGAAATCTGGGAAAATCAAAGGGATAAGGCAATCGGGGCGAAGGGAACAGAAACGGAGGGACAAGAAAAAAAACCCCGAAAAAGAAAAGAATCAGGAGTGACACCTGGGAGAGACATGTCCCTGAATACCTAATACATACCCCATCAGGCACCACCGACATTGGGCCGTGTCACTACTGACAGACAGACTGACTAACCATGATACACACACACGGCAAAGGGGGAGACGAAACCAGGACAAAAAAAAAACAAAAAAAACCACCAAAAAATCCCGACAGGCGACGGACCAGCTGACCCCGTCACCATTCCGTCGCACCTGAGCCATCCCGTCCCATCCTATCCCCGTCCCATCCCCCAATCCATCTCACATCACTCCCCATCCTTCTCATCCGCCCCTCCACTCACCCATCAGCCCTTTCTCAGCTCTCACACTCACTTCCCCCATCCGCACCCCCGTCAGTCTCTCTGCTCAGCAGGCCCGGTGCCCCGGACTCCAGCCCCCGCGTGCCCCGTGTTCTCCAATGCCCAGCCCGTTCGCGCACCACTCATGCCGTGCACACTTGGTCACACCCGATTTTGGTCACAATCGAGGCCTGGAACTCGAACTCACAAAAAGTGACAAAAGCAGCAGGCCACTGTGTCTTGAACACGTACGCACGCTTGGATTCGCATTTACCCGTCCCCGTACCTGGGTAGCTGGACCCCAACGTTCCCACCTCAAATCATACACTGCACGGTTCGTGTCATACTCTACAGCCAACAACGCCGTTCCATGCCCAGCCGTGCCGTTCCAATGGAATCAATCAGGACATCGTCGTAAACCGCCCACCCCAAATGAGACAAGGAGAGGAAAAGATGGCCCCGTGACGCCGCTTCACTCCAGGTTCATCCTCGCCTCGTCGCCAATCCCCCACTGCCCGCCGTCCTTGCCCTGTAATGCAAGGTTGAGCTTTAGCCCTAGCGCCGACGCCTCCTCTTCGCTCTTGGCCTCGCTCGCCCTGCGGCTGCGGTCCTGCTCCTTGTCGGCTTTGCTGGCCACGCTCTTGTCCGTGACTTTTCTCCTCAGCGATGGCGCCTTGAAGAACGACCGCCCGCCGGAGCTGGTCGACAGCGTCGACGCCGCATCGTCCTTTTCTCTTTCTAGGTCCTTATCTGATAGGGTCAGGTCTTGTGCAGAGTGTGTTGGGGACACCATCTTTTCTTCGAGCGTGCTGTACCTCTGCGTCGTCAGGGCGGGCCCCGGAGGGTTCGTCGTCGGCGACCCGGGCTGCGGAGGGTTCGGCGCTTGTGACGCATCGAGCTCGTGTGCCATTTCGTCTTCCGACACCTCCACCAGCTCCGCGTCGCGGTACCACTTCCTGCGCCGGGTCCATCGGCCCCATCCGTCGGTACCGCGGCGGCCGTTTTGCCACTATGACACGTTAATCGCCGGTGCAAGTCACTGCTCTCACCTCACGCAACTCACCTTGTTGTCGTAGTAGATCCAGCCGTTCTTCCCAGCCTCCCCGTCGTAGTCGACTGGTTCAGTCCCGTCATCGGGGACCCCGTCGACCCTCCATTTGCTACCGTCAACCCACCGCCAGCGCATGTTACTCCCGTCCTCGACCTCGGGCAGCTCGAACGTGTCGCGCGACGGCACGGGGTTGTTGTGCTCGTCAGTCCAGGCGGACCGTTCATAGGCAAACATGCTCTGGGTCCAGCCGAGCCCCACCCAGCGTCGCTGGTTCTCGTAGATGATGAAGGTGAACTTGACCCCCGCATCCTTGCTTGTGGCGTTGTTGCCGTGCTTGTGGGATTGCCTCCGCAGCGCCTTGGTAAGCTCGGACGCGGAGGGGCGCTTGGCCTGAACCTTGCCACCCTCTGCCTCGGCAGTTATCTCTACGGGTACGGCCTTGACCGGCTTCTCAAACGTGAGACCGGTGACCAGGGCCGCCGTCTTCCGGACCGTTGCACTGCGCCACAGGAGGGTCCGGGCGACCCGCATAACCCTGGCGTGCCATGTCAGCACCAGCGTGCCGAACAGCAGAGCTACCCTCCGGGTCGTGATGATGCGTAGCGGCGGCAGTGTCAGGGCTGCCCAGAACGGAGTGCAGAACAGTATCCGCACGAACAACGTTGTCAGGGCCGGTCGTGTCGTGGCCGACGTCGGCGTCCGCTGAGTACTCAGGAAGTCGGTCAGCTCGAGGAGCGGCTCAAGCAGGACGTTGCACCGCCCGGTGAACTCCTTCAACGTCTCGACAATCTCGTCCAATGTTTTCTGGTGTCGCGTATTCGTCGCCTCAGACTCGCCCCGGTGATGTCCTTTGGCGGTGTTCGCATTCGCATTACTCCTGGGCGTGCCCTTTTGTCCCTTGCCCACGTTCGCACCTCCAGAGTTCTGGGGCCCCGCGCCGTCCTTGGAAGCCGGCTCGGTCCATCCGCTGCTACTCAGCGGACTAAAACGGCGGCCGTACATGCCCAATATTAAGGTTAGGACGAGGACTATGGGCCCGGCCACTCGCACGACAGTATCACCGTAGAGGACCACAGCCCAGTAGGAGGCGAGCAGCAGGAAGCTCTCCCACGGATCGTCGGTCGTCCATGTCAACAGCCCCACGAGCTTGTTGAGGGGCAGAAGAAAGGGATGCGAGTATGCTAATGCGCGGGTGATTTGCGGCGGGGTGGCCAGCAGGAGGGGGATTTCTGGTGGACAATGATGGTCGACCGGCGGGAGGAGCGGCTCGGGGTCGTCGCAGCGAGGGTGACGGGAGAGAAGGTCGCATAAGTGGGCGGCGCGCCCGAGGGAGTGCCATCGAGGCCGGGAGTCTGGGAGGGATCGGCGAGGGAGTCGGCGTCGGCGCCGCGGTGGGCTTTCGGGGTCGACATATGGACTAGCCAGGGTGTGTCCTGCAGCGGGCGACGGAATGGTTAGTCTGGGGAAAGCCTGAATGACGGCGATGTCGAGCGACAGTTGCAACCGTCAACGAGGCTGACGAGGAGATGTAGTGTGCAGAGAGCATGCCATTTGGTGGGTTATGCGATTGTGTGGATGGGGAAGGTCGGGGGAGAAGAAGAGAGCAGGGAGAGGTGGTTATGACGTGAGGGCTGATGCGTTGAAGGATGCCAAAGCGCAATGCAAAAGACAGCTGGGGGTTGGTCGGGGGTACGTATGGTCTGCTGGTTGGCTGCAGCTGTCCCAAGCTCACTCAGCCCTGGTCCGATCTGGTCTTTCACAACACGCCTCGGCCGCTGCGGAACCATGTGGAGTTGAGGCGAGGTGGGAGCTATGCGTGCCTGCTCCACGATGACGGAAGAGAGGTGGCACCAGGCAGACAGAAGATGGACAGAAGATGGACAGAAGAGAGAGAGAGAGAGAGAGAGAGAAGCAAGGATAAGGACAATGATAAGAATAAGAGGACGTGTTGGGCGACTCAGAAAGAGAGGGTCCGGTCCGGGGAAGAAAGAGAGAGGGAGAAGGAGAGAAGAGAGGACCGTCACTCACAAAGGCAGCCATCAATGTCCGGGATCCTCCACTGCGTCCGCTGATCTTGGATGCCGCTACGGCTGAGTGTGTCGATTCTTCAGAAGGGCCCCCTTCACGCGAATGAGGGGTCTATCTGGCCAGGGGATTTGCAGAGCAGAGTGCCGGGCGAGGGCAGAGAGGGTTTAGAAAAGGAAAAAACAACCAAGTTCCTCTCAACAACCGCAAGCGCATTGGCAGGCCGGATTCGAGTCGGTGGATCGCAGCGTCATCGGTCTCGGTCGGATCGGGGAGAAAGTCAATTTCGCGCTCGCTGTTACTGTTGCTGTTGCTGTCGTTGTGGCTGTCGTCGCCGTCACTGTCGCCCGCGTGTCGCACGTTGGAGTGTCCGTCTCGGCATCGGTCGGCCTGGGCTTGTTCCTTATGCGGTAGGTATTGTCTCGTGGGATAGCTCCAGAGTTCGGTAGGGGTCCTGTCTGTCCGGTGTGTACGCAGACGGATAGACGCGACAGAAGAGAGCAGAAGTAGGTATGTGCCGTGTGCCGTGTGCAGAGAGGGAGAGAGGGAGAGGAAGAGATTAAGAAAAATCAAAAACAGATGATCAAGCTCCGAGAGTAGCTGGGCGCTGGAGAAATGCGACCGAAGAACGACTACGACGACGACGACCGGCGCTGGCAGCTGATGAACGAATTGGCAAGGCAAGTGCGGGACGGACTGGGGAAGCTGCTACCTAGTGTACCTGCCTCCTCCTCCTCCTCCTCCTTCCGGCCTGCCTAGGTTGCCTGGGTTCTGGGGTTCTCGGGTCCCTGGCCGTGCCACGTGAGGAAACTCAAGGTCCGCTCTCCGCTTCTTCCCCCTTCAACCCAGCCACCCACCACCCCCCGTTTAGCGACTGTTCCAGCGCAGAGGGCGGCCCTTTGCCCACTAAACCCCGGCCTGCCCCTCCGCTGTAGGTAATCCCCAGCACTTCGGGCGCGACATCTCACGCCCATCTCACCTCGGGCGCTCGCTCACACTCACTCATTCACTCACACTCCCCGACTCACTCCTCACCTTATCCACGGCAATCACATGCAATTTTCATCGACCTCGAAGCAGCACACAGAGCTCCCCTCCCCCGCCCCCACAAGCTTAGAGCTGCTCCAAGGTATCAATCCCAGCTGCACCGTTCGTCATGCCGCATGGATTAATTACGCTGTAGTTCGGACATGGATCCCAGTGTATGACCAGGTTACACAACAACAGTCCTTCAACCCTTTGCGCTTCGCCTCTATACCTGTTCTCCTACCAAGTCTTTCTGCAACCTTGTCGCAACTGCATCTCTTCTCTACTCTACTATGTAGTAGACGCACCCACCCCACCCACTTTGCTCACCTAATTCAAGGACAATTTATGGTACTCATCTGTATTTAGGGGGCCACCTAACAATGCTCCAAGCGAGCCTATCTTGACGACTAGAAAGAAACGAACCTCCCAAAAGCAAATCCCCCTTGGTCTTTACGATGCACTTGACCGTTCTGAGAACCCTCTCCGAGTTTTCTTGTTCCCTCAAAACGCCTGCTGAGCTCATCCCCGTCGCTCAAAACCTGTTCCGTGTCTTGCGAGAGCCATTCTAGTCCTGCGACCCAGTACACTGACAAAGAAAAGAAAAAAAAAACAAATCCCTCTCCATGGGGCTTCCAACCCTGACCGTGTCCTCGACTCTAGAAAACCCATGAGCACACTCGTAAAGAATCCTCAAGCCCGTACCCCCCCTCCCGCGCTAGCCAATGTGTTCAATGTCGGCGTTCTTGGCCGTCACCCATCGGTAAAACTTGGTCGTCTGCAGTTTCGCTCCCCGGTAGCTGCCCGTGAGATTATTCGCGCTAAACACGAATCGCTGCTCGCCGCCCGTCTTGAGCATCAACCTCACCTCCAACCCCGTCATCTGCGCCGCCTTGACCTGGCTGGGGTTCACCGTGGCCTCGATGCCGTCCGCCTTGTTGGTTCTCGCAACGCTACTGGATTCGTCCTCCAGCACGAACCGCAAGAACTCGCCCTCCTGCGCCCAGTGCTTGTCGTCTTCGTGGAACTCCGCCACGTCGATAGACATGTCCAATTCCTTCTTGCCGCCAAATGCAGGGGAAGCCGCCGCACTTCGGTCGACGCCGGGTGATTGGATCATGGCGGGCGAGATGCGTGGTGACTCCGATGTCCGGACAGCTCGCCACCGTGCATCGTTGGCCAGGGTGGCATGCGTCATTACCCTAGGCGTGCTGTTGCCTGACGAAACGCCGTTGTTGAGTTCCTGGTCTTTCTCGGATAGATTGACCTCTGTCTGCTTGATGGCATCGCCATCGTGGTCGTCGACGGCATTGCTGATGCTCATGCGAGGGTCTGACCGCCGCGGCGTACTCTCAGCGCTGCCTGCGCTACCGGACCTCTGGGGCTGCGTTCCCGGGCTGTTCATGGCCGGCATCTCCTCCTTATTGCTTCGCACCGAGAGAGCCGGCGACGGCTGCTGACTCACATCCTCCTTCCGGCCACTGATGGGGCCGAGAACCGGCTTCTGTGGCAGGGGGTGCCTCCGATTCGCAGGCTGAATTACAGCCACGCCAGACGAGCGAGCATCTTGCATAGGCCCCGACGGCAGAGGTCGACGACCCTCGGTTGGCTTGACTTGAGAGGTTAGTGATGACTGCCTGGTGGCTTTCTCGGAGCCGGTGGCGCCATTGAGCAGATCCGCAACCTGCAATACAGGGCTGATTTGAGAGCCTTCCTTGCCCAAGCTCGGCGACTTGGACGCAGCTTTGATGGCGCTCTGGGCAAGGTTCGCCATTGCCGCATGGCCAAGCCGAGACTCATTATCAACGTGCCTCAGAGCCTTCGCATTGTCCGTGATTGCGCCCTCCCGTGTGTTGAAACCCTGAGTGGGGTTGCCCCTCGAAACTTCCGAAAGCGCTACACGCTCGGCGGCTCCTGACATCGAGTCCGGAGACGCCATGCTCAGGGAAGCGCTGTGGTTGGTTCGAGTCGTCGAGTCGTCAGGCCGAACTGCCTTGACAGCGTCGTTTTCGATCGGAGTAGCAGGGGTTCCAACTGCAATGCTAGGTAGGCCTCCGTTGATGTCCATCGTGTTGGGAGATGCGTCGCTAGTGACACGACCCATTGAAGGAGTTGCCTGGCGAGCGTCCTCCATCGTCACATCCTCCTTGTCGGCGACCGACCTATCCTTCCTGGCAGATAGGCGTGTTCCAGCGGCAGCCCCCAGCCTGCCTGATGGCCAGCCACTTTCCCCCAGCCGTGAAGTAGGGCGCACCTCTTGAGTGCTCCGCCTGAGGGGCTGAGGTGTCGCCAGTCGCTCATCTGCGTCCGCCATTTCGTCGTCCGATCCCTTGCCCTTACGGCTTGTCCTTTCAACATAGTCCTCGTCATCCGAATCATCAACGGGTGGGGGATTGTCGCCAAAGTCGTACATATCTACATCCGGGGTCGAGTCCGAGTCGGATGCCGAGGCAGAAGACGGGACCTTCGCGGGGATGGCTCCTTCCGCACCCGACGAGGCGAGCATGGCCTCGAACGAGTCGTATCCACGAATGTCGGCATACCGTTTTCGTGCTTGGTTTGACGGATGGTCGGGATCCGCTGGTCGGTTCGGGTCATCGAGGACCATGGGCTTCAACAACCACTTAATTCCTAACCAGCCGAGGCGAGTTTTGCCCTTGGACTCAAACCACAGAACGGGAACGTCTCTTTCCAAGATGCGAGCCTCGCCGTCGCCGAAGCCAGGTGCCCATCCAGCGATGCCATCGTCGTTGTATACATAGCAAGCTGGCCTAATTTTCTTGTCGCAGAGCTGCGTTTCGCTCAGCTTCTCTTCCCAACCGCACATCTTGAGGTCTGTCCAGCCGAGGACCATGACTGTGTAAAGCTTGCTGCTCCTCGGCCATTTGGCGTGGTAGAGCTCTCCTGCCTTGGGGCTGAGAATGTACTTCGTCGGCGTCGAGTCTTGCTGCTTTGTCTCCTGCTTGGCCTGTTGCTGTGCCTCTTGCTCCTTCTCATCCTGTTCCTTGACATCTTGTAGCTCAACAACCTGTGCCGTAGTTTGAAATGGTGACTGTGGTACTGAAGGAACCTGTTCGGCAAGCGCATCTACCACGGCCGGGACGCCGCCCGAGTGTCGTTTACCTCCAGATTTCGGCCCGTGTAGCTGATTCAGGGGTTTGTAACCGTTCTCGAAAGCCTGACGCACGCACTCGTTGTTCAACGCGGCAAGCTCTTCAGTGCAGTCCACCACGTGGAACCCAATCGTTTCGACAGCCAGCCTGTGTTCTTTCTTCTGGTGACCGTGCGAAGCGCCGTGGAGGTGCTTGGCTGCGGCAGCAAGAGCATTCTGCTTGAAGTGCACACCGTGCTCATCGCAGCGTAAGATGTAAAACACATCGTCGTACTTGACAATGTTGTGCTTGTATTCCGCCTTACCCTCCTGGTAGACCTCCTTGAAGGTGATTGTACGAGGCGCTATCGAATGGGGACTGTCGATCCTCGCTCGCTTTGAATCCGCGTCTCGAATAGACATCTCACTCGCATCAGACTTTCGCTTGGCCAAACGCTGGATGTCCATAGCCTGTCTCGCCATATCTTCGGGTCGTGGCGTGGGTAGTTGTGACATGCTCCTGGCATTATGTACATGGAATCTGTCATCACGGGAACCCATCGGTGACGCATTGATGGGTGGCAGGGGTACCCGGTTACTGTGCACAGAGTCAGCCGGCTCCAAATGACCACTGCTCGAAACCCTGGCAGTGACGGGCTTGGTTCGTATGGGGCCATAGTGATTGCTTCCAAGCGTGGGAACCTGGACCTGCGAGGGAAGCACCCGAGGTGCGCCATTCGCTCCTGGACTACCGTTGACTGGTCGGTTCTGCTGCTGATAAATAGAAGCCATGTGAGGGGATCCTTGCTGCGGGGCAGGCTGACCGTGATGAGGCCAATTCTGGTTGTGTTGAGTTTGACTCATCTGCTGCTGTGGCTGGCGGCTTTGGTTGTGAAGCTGCTGTTGCGGCATTGGGGAGGAACTCATGTCCCCTGGGCCTGCGTTTGCTGGTCTCGAAAGACCAGATTGGTTAGGCTGCGTAGTGTGTGAAGACATCATAGCACCTTGGGACAGTGGCTGACGTGCTTGCGAGATCGTGTTCGTCATTGAGCTCGAAGGGGAACGACGGGCCAAGATGTCTGATGGCAGTGCGACGCGTCCAGTGGGCGATGTCTGGCTTGACACCGTCACCGAAGGCCGTCCCGATGGCGCCGCACTTGAGGCGTAAGCCGCACTCTGCACATTCTGACCGGAAAAGACTGGGACAGGGAAAACCATGTGATGTTCTCGCAGAGCGTCCTTCTCGCGCCTTGTCCGGTCCTTCTCCTCGTCATCGAATCTATGCTGGCAAGCGGCCCAGCGGTGGGATCGAAGCTCACCCTGGTACTTCTGGATAAGGTCACGGGCCTTTTGAGGGAGACCTGGCAAGTCGGCGTAGCGAGCCTCGTCGTCCAGGTCAGTACATGCGTCACGCTGTTGCTGAAGGAATCTCGATCGAACGGTTTCCTTTTCTGCCTCGAAGCGGGCTTTGATTGCCTCATAATCAGCGAACCAGCGTCTGCGTTCTTGGTCCAGGTCCAGCTGTCCGTTGTGCGACCCATTTGTCACGGGAGCATTTAGATTCGCCATGGCGATGAAAGATGGTGGCGATTGTGAGTCAAGAGCGATGGCTCATCAAGCAGAGTATCTGCCGAGTTCTCCCCGATGTTGAGTGACTGGACTCAGGGTTGTCGACCCATGCCCAAAGTGCCTGACGCCGCGTTAGGAAAAAACACTTTGAAATACACGAGTCTCTACCTCCTACGGGAACAGGATCAAGGTAGCATACCAACTGGTCGGTCCAGAGAACGGTAAGAGCTTCAGCTCGCGTTGGATAGCGCTGAACACGTGTCGTTGATGTATTGACTAATTGGAGGATTCGATACGCGGGCCCGACTCTTAAGACGGAAAGCAGACAACGAAAAAAGCGCTGCCGATTGTGATTTTGAAGACGGTCGACTAAGATGTTTGAAGAAATCGAAGAGGAGTCTAGACGAAAGACCAGTACGCGACCTCGTCTCGCAGTGGAGTTGAAGGATGCCGTTTGCAAGACCAACAATGACGACAACGTGCTGTGTCTTTAATGCGCAGCAGTAGAAGAAGTCAAACTTAGTTGGCGACAGTGTTTCGTTGGGCGCCAGATGGACGGCAATGGAGACAAGTGAGGAGTTGACAAGTAGAGAATTGTAGGTGTTGGTGAGAAGCTGGCGAGTACCGTCTATGATGACAATGATGTGGTGATGACCTGAAATGGACTTTGGTGGTCGACAAAGTGGGCAGGCACGTGGTGGGTTCAACGTCTGCCTGGCTGTGGGTTTTTCTTTCTTCTACGCAGTCTGGGTTAGGATCAGGTGCCTAGGCAGCAACTGGAAGAACGAGAGGAGGAGAAGAGGGAAAAGGCGAGACCAGATGCAGAGATACGGATCCGTGGTCGGAGGTAGAAGACATCCAGGGATGAGATTCAAGGTGACAGGGCAAAAGTGGGTGAGAAGAGCGAGTAGACGGAGTGTGTGGGATGAAGAGAAGGGGGAGAAAAGTGGCGGTTGGCAAGAACAAATGCAAAGTAAGGGAAGTGACAAACAAAGTGAAGAGTGAGCGTGAGAAGGGGTGAATGAAAGTGTGCCTGTTTAGCCAGCGTACGGGGTAGGGACGGAAGGAAGAAGGGAAATTAACCCATTGTTTCGGGAAAGTCCAATCCAGCTTCCAGTTCCAGTCGTTGCCAATAATGGAATCATAGCATGAGCACAGTAAGGTCTTGATTGTATGCCAGGCTCATGTGAATGGAGGGATGGCATTGCATTGTCCCAGGCCAGTAGCAGTTACGCCTCTCACCCCTCTTGTTGCTGGTGTAGACGGGATAACGGTGCACAATAAAACACTCTACGCAAGTACGTACCAGACTTGTTGACTGGTTCTACTGACCGGTCACGTAATCGATCATATCAACTCTGACTGTAACTGTAGATGCAGTCGTAGATGCAGCCGTAGACAGAGACGTAGATCTAGATCAAGATCAAGATGTAAGGCAAAGAAGGACAGAAGAGGAGAGGAGTAGAGTAGAGTAGGGGGGCGTACGACGAGCAGGTGGATATCTGCGCGAGACAAGGTGGCAAGTCAGAAAGATGAAAAAACGGGGAGAAGAAACGATGAATACTGTTTTGAAAAGGGAAAAGTAAAGTAGACAGGATACATGGGTAGATACAGTGTGTGGCCCGGCCCATAAGGTAAGGAAAACGGGAAAATGCTCATTTGGTGGCTACATGTACCCAACTACGGCTACGTCCAGCCGAGTAGACTAGAAACAGTAGGTAGACTGACGAGGTGGCCTGGGCCTGGGCTAGGCTCAACCTGGCACTGTTTGGGTTTATCTCAGCGCCTACTGATACACGCGAATATTGGTGCATCTTTACGAGCACCGAAAAACTGCGAGAGATGAGGGAGAGACAAATAGAAATACGTTCACATCGGATGGACCTTACTGGGATTGGACGATGCAAGACTTACGGATGGTACGTATCTCTTACTCATGTGCCTCTGGGATTTTTTTTCTCCCTTTTTTTTTTGTGTTGAATTTTTATCCCCTTCCCTCCTTGCTGACACTCCATTGCCTGTAAACTAAACTCGGCGCCAGGTTCATTCTTAATGAACGCTATGGATCTTACTCACATTGCACTCATGGAGACCACCCACTACTCATTGGAACCCTACCTACGCAGAATGGACATAGCGTTTCTGCTGTAGACACCCTACTTTGGAACAGAGGTACGCACTTTTACCCGTAGGCGCGCCTCTCGCTCAACTCGCATACCTATACATGAGCCGTGTATCCGTGCCTATTCCCATCTGCGCTGGGTTCTCCCTCTCTCACACAGCCATGGAGCACAGTCTTTCCACTACACATCTGACACGGTAGACTTGTCCCATCCAGCTAAACGCCACATATAGTCCAAGCCCAATCCCGATCCTGAACAGAATCGTACGCCACTTTTTATCCAATCAGTGGGTTCTGCGTCCGAATATCCGAACCGTCGCTTATCATTGGGCTTTTGCGCATCGGTCCCTCATCGGTAGTACTCACTGTCGCTCCGTGCTATAGTGTTCGTAAAGTAAGCCCGCATCTCATTTGGTTTTCTTCAAAGTACCTCACCTCCCTGGCCTAGCCCAAGCCCAAAGATCCAAAAACCTTTGAGCCACCATGACTGATCCCTCGTGGCTCATGTCGTCGTCCTTCTCCACCCCCTACTGCACCTCTTCTCAAAGAGGGGAAAAGGCGATGCAGAAAGTCGACATGGGCGGTGGTACATAGTGTACACTAATCCTCCCATCTGATTTGCACAAGGCTCCGTATCACCCTGTGCCCTGCGCCCCCCTGATCCAAGGTGCGCCATACCTAACAGGGCCTGCCTGCCCTGCCATGAAAGACCCCGGTCGCTTACCTCCTTATCTCATCTCACTCATCACACCCCATCACTGCCCAGCTTGACCTCACTTCACCTTACATAGTAACTTTACGAAGACCCTCATTGGAAACGCGATATCTCGTCCTGCTGTTTTCAAGCACATCGAACAGACAACCCCGCAGCATAAGTCTGGGCATCGTTCTCTCACTTACTCGCACTATTACTAAGGTCAATTGTACATCATGAGACTCGTGCTTCTCTCTGCCGATATTTACCCATGATTTGGCATGCCTCCACCTCCCGTAGTACCTACCTTGCTTCGTAGGGGCACGGTTATAGTTGAGCCGTCATACAGTTTTTAGTCGCTTCGTCGATTGGCTGACTCCGCGGCCAATTTGGGTAATTTTCGCCCGCCGTTCCTACACGATTCATCACCGACCCCTGCTAAACTATTACGCTACTGGCGCAAAACATTGACATGGAGTGTCATGGAACAGCGGCCAGGCAGAGTGTCATTAGCAGATCGGCATCTTGTTCTTGTCTGGGAAACATCAGTCTGAACCTTTTCTCTGCATCTCGTTCCTCGCTTATAGGCTCACTACCGTACACTCCTGACCATCAGGTCCGCATACCCGCGTATAAATGGACGCTCCACAGCTGCCCCTACTTGTACCCTCCTATGCACCTAAAAGATAGTGGCATGTTAGAATCATCGATGATGTTGCCACGTCAAGACGAAGTATGGTTCCGCCGGCTCATCTCAAAACAGTCTAAGAACTCTTTATATTCATGTAGTCGGGCGTGGTCCCTCAAACTCTCCGCGTGCCCGCGGATCCCCTTTTGCAGTTTGCGGGATGCCGGGATGTCGTCTGTGGTTCGGTTGATCCGTTCTTTGCATTTCATTTTCCCAGACACTGATGCACGCACGTACGCACCCACCACACGCTGTATAATCCCCCATACCATAGCAGTAACCTTACCCCATCTCACACAGCTATGCTGCCTTTCCCAACCGATGTGGACAAAACCCATTCAACCTTCTTTCTACAGATACTGTACCACGTCGTTCTTAATTCGCTCAAGCCCGTCCGGCCATCATCTCTTTAGGAACTGAACACGCAACCGGACGGACCAACTGATACATGCTGGGCCCTCTTGGCGTCGCACGCATACCCTGACGCAAACGCTCAACCAACAGAAAGGAAAGAAAAACAGACCACCATACAATGCCTGCAGCGCTTGTACATAGCAGACAGCATCGACCGGAAAAAGCAAGCGTGCCCACCGTCCGCCCCCAAACCCCATCCTTTCCTTGTCTGTGCCTTTCCATCCACATCACTTTTACTACTGAATGATGACACTTGTACCCTCCGTAGTCCACCGACGCCCACGCCCCTCCTTCGATGAGGATGCTGCAATCTCTCGCTCGTACCTCGACTCACCAGTGACACAAGCCGAAAACTTTAGTTTGTCAGATCACTAATCATTTACGTTACCTTGCTGTACCTTTTGTTTGCACCGCTTCGCATTACTTACCTAGTCAATTTCCCATGCATTTTCATCATAGCCAAAGTAAACCGAAACCACCGAGAATTCAGTGCAAAACTGTCCACCTAAAAACCATCCCATGTCTATCTCTTTTATTTTGTAATTCAAGGGAACTGCACCTGATCCATCGCAACTCTAATATGCGCCTGGTGGCGGTCAGTCCGATAATTCCATTTGCACCCTTCATCTCCATTACTCGCGGGGCCAACGACCGTAGTGTCCTGTATCAACGAACCACCACACCCGACGGGCGCTCACCCTTCAGAGACCATTTAACCGTGTCACATCTCAAGAACAGAGTTCCGTCTACGCGGGAATTTGGGTTTATCCTATCGCAGTATCATGGTACATGGTCAAATCAGCCTACATTCCCATCTGTCACAGGGCGGAATGGAAAGCCTAATCCTTACGCTGCCAGGCAAATAACCGATTATATAAGCGCTCTCAATAATACGGAGGTGCTCTGTAAATAGTGGGGGGATGCATGTCCGGCGCAGCCGGCCTTCCCAAGCTGAAGGTCGCCAGATTAGCCGAGGCTCTCGTAAAAGAATCAATTCCCTCCAATATCGGCTTAACACAATAAAATGGGGCACACCGACCAGGGACGAATCATTACGAGACTGAACATTTCTCGTACCCCTGTGACTGAGACAGGCCTTTACGATGTAGAAAGGCAAACATGCTTGTATGCATTGCATTCTTCTCTAACACCCTGTAATTTCCATTGCTTAGGTTGTTTTGTCCACCTCGTCACCCTCAACTCATACGATACGTAATATCTAACTTTCCGCGAAGGATGCGTGCCTCTACGGGGACGACATCATTTTTTCCCGTGTACTTATCCCCATCGGGTACCTTATCCCTTTATCGCAGCATGGTAAACCAATACTGTTGTCTTGGCCTCACTTCCAATGATTCAACGCAGTCTAAGTCTTGTGAGCACTAATCCTTCGTTGGCGCCCAATCCCCGTCCGCCACGCATGTGACGCGAGTAGCCCGCCACACATTCGCATTTCTGTAAACTCATGTGCCCACCTCCTTTAGTACCCTTAGGCCCTCTATTATGGCCTGGCGCAGTCTGTACAAATACCTGCTATTACTAGCTCTGAACGATACTAAGGGTAGGCTATCCGAATTTACACTACTGCGCGCGCATTGCCCCAACCGCCACACTGTACACCTGTCAAGTTGGACCGCTTCAAAATAAGTATGACCATGCGTGAGTCTGAGACTCCGCCTACGAAGATTTACGAAGATTTACGAAAGTAATTCCGTCTCTGTGATGGATAGAGCGTCTAAAGGTTCTGGTCTAGAAGCTAAGTTTTCCATGGAAAATCGAAGCACGAGTACTGATAGACTTAATTCTGGTTGAACTGCGTTGAAACAGACCGCTTACGATATATTTGTTCGCTCCATTGCGTTTCCAATCCTTTTCGAGTTCTCAATGGAACCTTTAGCCGAAGCTGCATTGGTTCCACTGTGCCACAACCGTGACGAACCAACCTGTAAAATAGTAAATCTCGGGTCTTTCATCGAGCACGATGACTGAATGCCTTCGGAAATCGGAGTTTCCGCGCGTCCCTGGGTAATGCGGATCTTTCCAGTCTACGGGCGGCAGTTTCACCAACATTTCCACCCCTGTCCCACTAGCCATTGATCCTCAATCTCCATCTGGTAATCCGCATTATCCAACCGATGGCCGGGTATAACGCCATGTTCCATCAAGGGAGGGGACGCGTTCAGTAATCACGACTAAACGCTGAGTCAGACAAATGATCTACCGACTGACTTGTGCTTGTTACCGAAAGGCCGCCAAAATTCGTGTAGAGTTGTACGAATAACTCGGACCGATAAATAATGCTGCCTCGAACGCTAGGGACGTGTCTACGCATGCTTTGTGTTCTTGTGCCCAAGCTTTGTTCTCCAGCAGTTGCTCTTTGATTTCTTTTTTGTCCTTGGATTAACTCCCCGGCGCAACCCACCCCCCACCACCGGGTACAATACAGTGCTCGGTCTCGGTTTTCAGGGAAGAGGGACAGCATAAGCGTGCGGTAGTGCTGTTCTCTAGCCCCTAGCTGTGGGAGCTTTCCTGACTAGGTCGTTGCTCCCCATGCGAAAACTTTCCTGATTCGTCTTTTTTGAGACCGCCGTACGAAACCTTGCTCATCGATGGTTTCCGGGATGTTCGTACTTTTTGCAATTTGTACCATACCTAACCAACGAGATGAGGTCCCCGGAAACCCACGGTTCCCGTACCTTTAAGTCCCCGCTGAGCACAGGTTTTTATTTTTACTTTTTGTATTCTTCTAAAACCAGTCATCCCATGTTCGCTTCTCTCTGGTCTTGGGACTCGCATGCTCCGTTGAGAGTACTGTCGAGGGTGATTAGTGTAGGTCATCATATTTGACACGGTCTAGAAGATTTTTGTTATTCTCTGGGAGAGGGGGAATCGGTGCCGTTGCTCGATAAAATAGTTACTAGATGTACTTTGTCGGAGCTTCGTCTTACTTGAAGGGCGGAGATGAAAGCTCTGGCGCCCGGTTTTAAATCACTTCTCCCCGCCGAAAGCGTGGAACGCAAGCTTATTGTGGTCCGACGCCGAACTTCGTTTCGGCCAATATAGTTCGCATGTAGTATCCCAGTCATAGTGGTCTCTTGACCTAGACAAAGGCTCAAAAGCGCATGAGCATTGGCGAGAAGATCCCCTAATCATCTACAGTTGTACATCAGTAATAGCTTTGTGTGCGTAAGCGAGCACTACATGTATGGATGGCCCAGTCAGACTTCAGTATCGCAAATGCACACATTTGAACTCATGCCAGCTTTAGATTGATCTCAGCGATCGAACACCCATGATTAGTCAAGTTCTTTACCACAATGATTTTCTCTACCCAGCAAGTCACTTGAACGCTCAAGTCTTCAAAAGTGACAGGAGGATTGGAAGAAGGCATAGCGCGATATGCGCTCACTTCTTTTGACAGGTAATCCTTGTTCCACCGACCTGGCCTCCGCTAAACACTTCATCCACGGCGTCGTAGAATGTTGTTAAGTCCGCATCTACAGTAGGGTTCTTCTTGTACTCTTGAGCACGACGGTGCACAAACTCTGTCCATGTGTCTGACATGTCTGCCCAGTTGATGATCTCGAAGCCGGCTTTCTCGAGCTCTTCCATGTAATGACTCTTTTCAGGAAGATAGGGACACGAGACCGAACCTCTAAGTACCTCAAGCGTCTTGCTATCAAGAGCTGTACGCGCAAAGAAGTCTTCAATATATAATCTTCCTCCTGGCTCCAGGACGTCGCACGCTTTCTTGAAAAGGGCCTTTCGCTCTGGGATGTGCAAGATGCAGAGGAAAGAGACAATGTGGTTCACAGGTGCGCCCATTAGACTGGGGTCAAGCTCAAGGAAGTTGCCGTTGATGGACGTTGCCCTGTCCGCAGCCCCGGATCTCTCGTTGATAGCCTGCGCAATGTCGTGAATATCCCTCTGCAATTCGATGCCGATGGTTGCAACATTGTAATGTCGGTAGAGATATCTGCCTGTCCCGCCAAAGCCGGATCCGATATCAAGGACCTTCTCGCCGGCTCTGAGCCCCAATTCCTTGGCGGCGCTCTCAATTGCTGCATCGCCCAGATAGTGCATGCAGTCAAAAGTCTTGGTGTCATCCGCTGTCCATTCTGGCTTGTCTTTTAACTTTTCAAGCGTACGGTGAACCCGGGTTAGTTTATAGAGGTTCATGTCCGGGACTTCGGAAGCGGCATTGCGGGTCGAAGGCATGGTGGAGAGCCAATAGTTGCGAGGCTTTCGGAGACCTCGTTTTCGGGGACCTCGTTTTCGGTTTTACGTGACTAATTAAGGTGAAGTAGTCGTCTTAAAAATAAAAAAAAGGGGAAAGGGAAGGTTCGGAGTCTTCCGACTGGATTGCCTGGGACCGTTCGCTTCAGTAAAGCGAAACTAGCTTAGAGGTTACGAGTGGACATATGAAAAGTACAACTTACTGACTTTTTGTACTGCTCCCACCGGATACTCCGTTAAAGACCGACGGGTTTATTTTTACTTTGCTAGTAGCGTGGCGCGATTTTCCCCCTACACTGTCGACGTCACAAGGCTTTTTGGTGGAAACACCACAGGTTGCACGTTCCACCAGGGATTAAAGTTCTGTGTTAGAGTCGTCTGCACAGGTTCACAAAACTTGAAAGTAATGTGAGACACTTAAGTTACGGTCTTATAAGCCCCTGACGTAGTGAGACCTTGGTTATCACATTTGACCGGGTTTTTATTGGTTACACAGCTTGTTTCGATGTGAAGCTGCATAAGTGGGTGTTATCTACCTTGTCGATTGCGGCACCCAGAGATAAAGCGATGTGTTCTAGGACTTGAAAGAGGTGCATTAGTTTGGCAGGCTCACTGATACGTTGTCTCAAGAATGGGGGAGACGATTGGAAAGCCGGGCCTACCAGTATCTCAATCATGGTTTTTTGTGCCCAGACAGGTCCCCCACCCGCCTTCCCTATGGAGCTAATTATCCTCAATCTTACCCACGCTTTATGGTACACTCGCTCAAGATTCAGCATTAATAAGGGAAGTAAGCGTCATTTCGAGATGAGCCAGTCTCGAAAAGAAAGTTCGTGATAATTTTGCTCCTGGCTTAACCTCTTTAATGAGGTCCCCCGAAAAGGTCGTTGGCTGAAGGGCTGGATAAACTGAAAGAAGCCGGAGAAGAAATGTTTATTAGTTCTTATTAGGATACGGTATCCTAATGTTTTTAGCAGGCTTAGTAGATCTATCCCGGCTGGGTTGTCCTATATGTGCGATGTCGTTGGCACACCAGTCGTCTAGCTATCGTTCACATTGATGGTTACTGTCAGACATAGTCACTGTAAGCGACAGTCGGTTCATGAACGTTATTCAAAGGTCTGGTATAACCGTCCTCGATATAAACTGATGCTATCCTCCTGGAATCCAACACAAGAAGGCGTGCAACTTGTGGCGGCCGCGAGAGTGTGAACATCAAATGATTACCTAAAGCATGATGGCCGACTGTGTCGAGCCCGCCTTAGTTCCCGTTGCCTCTTCCACGAGCTCTCTGGATCGAGTCTGCGTTGCTCTTGTGTACCTCCTCATACTGACTGAAGTAGATTAAGTCGCCGCTAGCTACGTCAGAGGCGACAACCTGGGAAAGAGGCTGCGTCCAAGCAGCTGGTTGAGGCACGTCTTCCGTCATGACACCGATGTACCGCAGTGTAGCGTTGATAAAAGTTGCGTTGTAGCCACCCGTAGCAATTCGATTAGGCTCGCCATGAGCCGGCAGAATCTTTGAAATGGGAAAGGTCGTCATACGTTGGAGTTCTTTTTGATGCGTGGATAAGCTCTTGGCATCGGCGATGAAAGTTGCCGTGTCTTCAAGAGTATCACCAGCAAATAACAGTTGTTTTGACGGAATCCACAGTACTGTGCCATCAGGAGTATGTATCTGGAAATTGTGCAGTTCAACGCTCAAGTTGCCAACCTTCATGACCCTCGTGCTAGTGTATAGATCCGTAGGAGGCACAGCCTGAATAGGAGGATCATCGGCAGCAAGACTCTGCGCATTGCGCTCTACCGTCCGCGCTGTCCTATCGTTCCCCACGATTGTAGCACCCCCTTTGGCGAAGACATCGGTTCCGGCAATGTGATCGTTGTGAAAGTGGCTAATCACGACAGACATATTCGTGACTCCTTGGCTCTGGACATGGCGCATCACAGCGCCAGCATGGTCTGGTGTGATGTGAGAATCGAAAATGATCGCTTGATTTCCATCAATGATGGAGTATGTCGAGACGCCTAGAGTGAAGGCCCCATCGTCAAGCCAGTTAGGCTGATCTGAATGAAACCGCTCTCCGGTGCGGCCGTCGTAGTAGGCAAATATGCCCGGATAGGGGTTGAGGATCCTTAGACTTTGTAATGGATCTCCTCCTCTGGCTCTCGCAACAACACTGCACTGCTGTAAGCACTGTTTTTAAGTAGTTTGACTGGATTACTAATCGTTGCTTACCCTTCAAGAGGCGAATTCTGGCTCGTGATGTGCCGACCAGACAGTCCACAAGCACTTGCAAGCGCACAGCAGCTGAAAATCACGGCCTATCGCACATTAGCCGAATCTACCGTTGAACGTCGGTAACAAAACACTCACGCGGAGCATTGCGGCACACATATCCGAAGCAGTTTACACGAGGCGGGAGTAGATACCGAAGACCGAGTCGGACTCTATATCCGTAACACACTTTAGTCTGTCTCGTGAACCTCGTACATTGACCCACTGTGGTGCGGGTAGCGGCAAATTCAGTAGACGATTTTACGCGGAACTCGGCTTAGAAGCTCAAATGCAAATTACCCTTCAGCCTTTTTGTAGGAACTCGGAATGTGCAGGTTGGTGAAACGGCCTGAAACGCTGATCAACCTAGCCGGGCAGTGTTTCATCTGGTAATTTTATAAACATCGGTAAAGGCTTGAGCCTAATGGTGTGGGATGCTCTAAAGACTAGCTTCTGATAGGCTGATAGCATCCCACTGACTATGCAAACACCTTGATTTGAGTTCCTACCAGTGCTCCTTGAAAACTAGTGCGTTGGTATCAGCTCAAATGTGCTCTGTGTGGCTTGAGATAGTCTAGAAGATTATGCGTTCAGGGTGGAAGTAAGCCAGGGAATGTATTTCGCTCGATGGTAACATCTTCAACAGGCATAACATGATCCCAGTAGCTCATAATGCCATGGCGTTGTGTTGGCATCGTCGTAGCATCCACAGTCGAGCCTGACCTCTTAAATTACCCCGGACTTGATCTAGCCTGCATCTATCTTAAAATGGCGTCCACAGTCCAGTTTGTTTGAATTTCCTGGAGTATTTCGAACCTTCAAATGATATGAGGGCATGTATAGTAAGATTAGCCAAGGCATATATCGTGATGTAACCATTATTTGTTAAGGACGACTTAATCGGCGTTCTTCTGTTGTGGTTTCAAAACACTAGAGAGGTCAAAGTAGTATCTCAATGGAAGCAGGCTCGAAACAAAGCTTGTAACCAAGACACCAGCGATGTACTCGAGATATTTGTATTTGGAGGAAGCATCACCAAGGATGTGTGCACGAGAATTGATACGAAGTAGCTCTAATTAACTTGTAAATCTGGCCAGTAACTTGTGAACTGTGTCTGGAGTACATTTGTGAACCCCTATCAAGACTTAGGTTTCTGAGGTTGTTTTTCAATTGCTTCACCAACATATATTTGGGTCAAGTGTAAAAGGCACTGTAGCAATTTGTACTATGACTTTTCAAACAACAGATGCCAACTTATTCATGCCCATCTTTACATCACTCCAGCTAGCCTCAGTCAGTTCTTCCGTTACCGCTCCACCGAAGTGTATCCCTGCTGTCAGTGGGCTTATGCAGCTTTCTAGTTCTTCGAGAGTTTCTTGGACTCTATGTTGTCTTTGAGTCGGCTCCTCTTCTGTCGGAGACTCGAAGTCGTCTGTATCAACTGTACAGACTGCATTCTCACAACCGCATAGTTCCAAAGGGTATCGTGGTTTCTTACCGATATGGTTCAGTGCTCAATGAAGATAATCGTGGTTTCCTGCGTCTCCGGGGTGCTGCAGATCATTTCTCGACTGATACAGCTTTTCTGGACAAGAAGGTGAACATTCTTGGATCTGGTGCTTCGATGGTTCCCTCTTTGCGGACTCGAGAGACATGATAGAACTTGTATAACCTCCCACAAAAAGAGGCTTGCGGGCGATGTAGCTGCGATATTCCCTCAAAGCGGCTTCAACGTCAAGCTTGAGTGCTGGGCCGTGACGAGCGGGTTTCGTGCTGAGCGCCATTGTGGTTGCCTCCATGACTTTACAACTAAGCTCTTGAACAGATTGTTCTATTCGCTCGTGCCTGAGGTTCTGTGATATGTCGATAAAAGTGCGCTTCGAAATATTTCTGGTTGGATTTCCTTCTCCACAGACGATATGGGAAGAAAATGAGATCCCAGAGAGTTTATATACGACTTTCAGAACAAACCCCTTGTTCCTGAAAATAAACACATATCACCAATCCCTGTTCAAATAATGCAAGAGTCGTGAAAGCACAATGTTTGTCCCGTGATCTGCGACTTTTGTTCAGAAAACCATTGCTTTATGCCCCCTAAGACAGATAGTGTTTTCAATGATGCTTTTGCGGTTCGCTCTTGAGTTTGAAGCATCTATCATATTTCTTCACTCAACAAAATACTATACATCTAGGACACTGAGCCTGACAGTATGCAAAAGAACAAATCAATACAAACTTCAAGTCCATCATGGCTGAAAGACTTCATAGACTTGCAGGTTACTGGGATGAGGGAGTCAACCAAGACTTCAGGTTCTTCCAAGCAGTTTAATCCTCATGGGGAGAACTGCTAGCAAGCCTTCGCGACTTTGAAATAATAACAATACCTACAAAGTTCTGTCTCGCTGACCATGACTATTATGGCTTTCAAGCGTAACCAGGTTGTCGATCTGGCTAAAGCTCTACACGTTGGAAGAAGCTGCTAGGTGCATGGTTTAAGAAATAATGGGCTTTTCGACTAACGCTCTTGTAGTAGTTCTTTTGGACCAAATTATGGCTACCCAAGCTGTTGTGTGATTGACCTTTGTGGGTTTCGGCTTGTAACAAAGCTCGTTCGGAGGTAAAACTGGGACCCGAAGCTTTAACAACCCCCGCCAATGACGTTGGTGTTACTAATTATCAATTAACCACTAGCGACATCAATCAACAACGCGCCCTATGTAAGACATTACAGAGTTTCACCTTTAACACCCCGATCGCCCCAGTAGTCACGCGCTCGTTTACAGCCATAGTACATAGTACATAAAAAAACAATAAAAAAACAGCAAAGCAAACAATATGTCTTCAGAGCCACGAACTTATCCACTCCGACGACCAGAAGGTCACCGACCACCGGTTCCACGTTGGCACCTTGTTCTCAGCGAGGATGTGAACAGCGTTGTCACAACCTATATAGGTGTGCAACCTCATTACCAGGACAGCACAACTTCCCAAGTCATGGAAAGTGCGACTGATGCGATCGAGGGATGGCTGAATGGAGGAGACGAGGACTGCAAACACGTTGCCAGCGAGAGTTTTAGGCACCTGGATGGGGATGATGTCCCGCAGTCACGGATTTGGGTCTGCTACTGGAACAACCCTGAAAAAAGCAGAAAGGGTTCAGAAAAGCTCAATCTTTCTTCAATCTTCGATCGTTTGTCACCTGGACACCGAGATCGAATTGGACTATGGAGCGAAAGCTTTACGACACCTGTAACTCGGCTTGAAAAGAACTACTCAGGGCTCGACTACCTTCCGGGCCTTGCTAGGTTGCCAGATACAAGAACTAAAGAACACACGCTTTCAGCATACTGGGGTGCAGCGAGGGACCGGGTTCCATCTTCTGCTCATGATCTGTTCGAAAGAGACCACAGAGCCGAGAGCACGAGGCCTCAAGGTCCTCCGAAAGGACTGGGACAACATTTAGTCGGGACCAACTACGACAATATGGTGCATATCCGCTCCGGGCAGTTTTGGGAAAATTGCGGATTGGAAGAGACAGAGTCCTACGAGAGTGGTCCAGAAGGCATCGCTCCCATCTTGCCATCTATCTGGGGGCTATCAAGCATGCGAAGACTTTTGGGGAATCGCGAAAGTTTCGGACATGGCACGAGGTTTCGATTTTGAAACAAGGAGAAGCTGAGTTCGAATATCTCAACTGCTTGCCTATGACAGGCGCGATGAAATTCGTTGCTTTGAATGTTGCATCTGAGCTGTATTGATCAAATGGAATGCAAGGAATCTCATCGTTAATGGTTTGCAAATGGGCCCTCAACCGTTAGGATGACCTTGCCTGATCATACATCACCCATACTAATGTCGTCTAGGATGCCGTAAGTTTCGCTCTGCTGATCTGCAGAACCCTTTGGGTCATTTGCAACTTGGGCATCTTTTCTTTCCTGGCATCGCTATTTTGTGTGCGTGCATGGTGATCTTTTTCACTTCGAGTATAAGAACGAGGGTAGCCCGTGGTACTGGAGCCAAGGGGCAAAATGATTCGTTTTGAGTATGTCTAGAGACTGAGTTTGTCCTTTCGAAAGAGCGAGGCACGTTTGGCACGTTGGTTATAGCAATAGTTACACCACGCATGTCAGAATTTGTGATCTAACGCAGACATGACTAAGTCTGCCAAAATGATGCTAACACTCTTGTATAAGGGGTCATCAGTGGATCACAACTTAATTAAACACCTGTATAATTAGTCATTATCTTGTTCCTGACATCAATTATTTCAATCGACCTCTATCTTTGCGGGCCAACATAATGTAGCCGAGCCGTTAAGTCGCAGTGCAGAGACGACTTCTCTTTTTTCCTTGGTGATTTCCAGTTACTATTCGAAGTATAATTCGTCAATGCAGTCCAAGAAAGCGCGCCATAATAGTTCTGATCAAGTTGTAGTTATCAAATATTGTTTTCAACAATCCTTGATTGATTCGATAGTCAATGCTAAATGTCATCGTATTTGGATAGCCTCAAGAGTCCTCCATCACCTTCGCTCAGCTGCACTTTGACTGTCTTTGCCTCCTTTTGTTGCTCTCTCAAGCCACCTAAGTCTTCCAGTTTTTCCCGTGCACTTCTATCCAGTCCATGAACCAAGGTTGCCAACACATTGCTTTTCCACAAGTTTGCATTATGGTGGTACGTCTGATAGATTGCAGCACTTAAAAAGATGATGGTAAGAAGAATGGTGAGAAGAGGGACTGTCAGGAAACTCCACTCTACGTGGATGTAGCTCTCAACTGTGTGCGCTATACCAGTGACGTTGGTGCCGTTGAAGCTTCGGAAACTGACCGTCACGCTAGTTGCAAGATCGTTCATGAGCATGTCGATGCCAGTGGGATACTCGTAGTAGTTCCAATAGAAAGCCTGAACGATGTCGGTATCAAAAAAGGTTTCACCGCTGGAAATACCGACAGTAAGGTTGACGATGACGTTGTCTGGTGTGGTGATGGTTTTATTAATCACCTCTTCGTTCCGCGAAGCAGAACCGCTGCGGAACAGGTCTGAAAACCACGACCGTATGCCCATCATGACCTTCATGTCGATTGGGTAAGGTTCCTTATTGTTCTCTCCCGAAATATAAATGGGTTCGAGGGATTCCTGGGTAGCTTTAGCTACAGTGCCGTTTGTTGTTGCGTGAACTATGGTCTCTTTGAGTTCACCGTTGACGATCGAGGAGTTGAGTGTCTGGACACAGGCTTGAAGGGTGCACTGTCGAGCCCACGGTGCAAGATCGCCAGCAATACCTCCTTGCTTTTCGGTTCCCATGAACACAAGCTTCATGATCGTTGAATAAGACATGTCACCGAGGCCTTGGGGGAAAACCGGGGTCATGCTGAAAACATCGGCATGCGTCTTGAGTCTGGCACCAATAGGCACAGACCAGCCGCACTCCGTCAGGTTGCCTTCTGGAGCAGAATCGTCCTCGCAAGTCCGAGACATGAATTCGGTCAGATCCACGCAGGTGTTGCAAACGCCAAGGGTCTCGAATGGTTCCCATGTGCAGTTTCCCGTTTGGCAGTTGACGGGGAGACTCAACCAGGGCTTGCCATTTTCGGCGAAAAGGCCATTGTAGACGGCAGCTTTGAATGGGAGGATCGGGATAAAACCTTCTGGTGCACTTTGACTACTCAAGGCGATCAGATACTGCTGAGAGCGGAGGTTTGTGGCCCCTGCAGTTGAATTTGTTGTACGGGCGTGGAAAGTTGCGATTTGCTGGGCGAAAGGGCTGAAAGCTAGCGTCAGGATGGCAACGAAAGCACCGAAGGAACCGAGGTAGCTGCAAGAACCTAACGTTAGATGACGGCACTGCAACTATGATCATCAAGTTCAACTTACCCTCCCTTGAGCTTAATAAGCATCATCAGGGCTCCCCATGTGCCTCGACTGGCATCGTCGAATACCTCCATGTCAGATAGAGGTTCGCGGCGCATCTTGAAGTGAATCCACTTTAACTGGCTGATCCCACTGGAAACTACAACGGCCATAGTCGCGGTAGCCACGGTAGCTAGCAAGGCGATGACAGCATTGATGGTGATTTGGAAGTGCCATGATGCCAATGGCTTGCCGTCATATGCCGCAAGAACACCGATAATTGCAGCTGCGGCTAGAATAGCGACGCAAAGACTGACAATTTCGAACTTCCACGAACCAGAGGGGGAAAATGCTTCGGGTTTGATGTTCCCCCCCCCGAAATTCTGCTCCAACGTGAGGGAACAGAGCGCCTGGACTCGCCATTACTACTCAAGGCAGGCTCGCTTTGAGAGGCATCATCGACGGAGACAAAGGTCGAATGATAGACCTTGTAAGAGCCCAGACTTTGTCGTTTGTCGGGACCTTGAATGAATGGGCTGCTGGGCTGGCTAACGTAGATAGTGTCATTCGAGCTTGTGCTCACATTGTGCGAATGTTGTCTGTGTGACATGTTTGCGGAATTCCGATCCACGTCGCAGCGGACAGAGGCTCAATCCATAAGAGGGAAAACAAAATTAAGTGTACGGGAACTTGCATAGTGGCGGCCGGTCTGAGGCCGGGGAGCCTCAAATAGTAGCAGAATGCCGAGGAAGCTTGACATTTCTTGGAGCCTGCGCATCTATCCACCCTGCATCGGAAGCCCGTACATAGTGCTTACGGTTAATGGCTTACTGCATGCCACATACATGGACCTTTAGAGAGTTGCGACGCATGCCGTTGTATTATTGGACTTAGTTGATGCCAACATAAGCCAACGTGCTACATCATTGGCCTTCGACTACGGCTAAAGTTGCGAGATACTGTATATGGCAATGATCTGGGTAAGTGGGGGCTGCTCTCGACAGCTCAACTCTTGCACTTGGTTAATAATGATTGGGTGCTCATCATCGCCATGGCTCTCGAAAACTGGTATCCATCGCTGTAGTCCCTCTCCCGCATCCTCCTCAGCCACCCACAGGCTCTCTCAGAGGCCCAGACCCGTGCCGGCTTGCATCCAACGCAGATCCTAAGCTTATTTTGGGGACAAAGTCGTGCTACAAAATGGGACAGCAAACAAGGGAACCAAGCCAGCCATTTTCAGGACGCGACAGGTCCATGGCACAGAGAGCGGCACAGCAGTGCGATAAGACACTGCTTGTGTAGCCTGCATGCACAGCCTTCGCACCGTCGCCTCTTCCCCGCCGCCTCTTTCAAAAAGAAGTATTGCTCATAGGGCTGCGAATCGGGCAGGTCGTGATGACCGCTGCATTCAGCTGACCACTCTTCGTCAAGTCATTGGCGCGTTTCTCTCTTGCATCAACGATAAGGCGTCTAATGCGCTTATGCCAAGAATGCCACTGCTGCAAGAACACCAGCAAAGAGTGCGAGAGACGCAGATTGTCGGGAATTGTGAGATGCGGCTCCTTTGGAAGATCCGGTGGCGGCAGCGTATCCAAGCGCACTGTAAACGCTCGTCGCCTGGTCGTCGCTGACGGTAGCAGAACAGGGTTGGGCGTCGTGCGTGACGGATGCAGTGACACCACAGACGCTTGTGGCCTCGGAGTTGTACGTAGTCGTGGAGGCATAGCTCATGCTACCAATGGCGGTCGGGCAGGTTTTGGTGAAGGTCGGCTCCTTTCCGTTACTCTCGACGACAAAGTTGAAGCTGCCGTTGGCGATGCGAGGGTTGAGATTGTACTCGCTATAATCAGGCTGCTCGGTGAACTCGCATTGCGCGCCCATGCCAAAGACCCAGGCAAAGGTGTAGTCGCCGGCAGCAAGATGACCAGTCCTTCCAACCTCCAGATACGGGCCATTGCCGAAGGTGCTTTCGTTGCCGATAGAGGCGCCCATGACGCCGTGCGCAGCTGTGCGCAAGTAAGAGTTCTTGTTCCTTGAGTAAATGTCCCAGACAAAGTTATAGCCATATTTGTAGGCAACGTCGGGGTTCTGGACATTCAGGAGAACGGGATAGCCGTTGCTGGTTTCGCCGTACTTTCCATCGTTGCGAGGGAAAACAAGATCGAGCTCGATGGCGTCTGCAGGCAACTGGGCGCTCACGAGCTGAGAGCATGAAGCCAGCAGAGTGGCCCCAAGCCAGCAGATGCGTTGAGATATCATGATTGATTTGGTGTTTGTAAATGAATGTAACGTTGAAAGTGTTCGCGATCGGCGGATCAGCAGTCAACTAAAACTGCGAAAAGAATGCAGTGTAATTTTCTTGCCCCAAAAACGCGCTGATCCGGAGAACACCGTGGAGAGCGGAGATCTTTAAAAGAACGGTGTGGACGCGCTTTGAGGGTTGCTCATGTCATGAGTTGGGTTCCGTCAGGATCACACCTAATTTCCGATTATGACCCTGGCCCACAGCGTCTTTTGTTTTATCTCAAACGTCGCTAATCATCGTCTCTGCATTAGTCTCATGTCATTTCGGCCGGGTTTCGACAACGAGCCAACCGAAATGTGTAAAGGAAGCGGGGCTACCAATGGTTGCAAACGGCGGCACGGGGCATCGTGCACTGCTGTGTGCCTCATTTAAGCTTCTTGATCAGAGCCTACTGCAAAGAGTGGTTGTCAGGTCTTCTGCTACCTTGCTTGTCGCATTCATGAGAGATTACGCCTTTGGTACCCACCACTTGCCCCTTCATGCCTCCTCCTGCAACTTCTTCTCCCCTTGACAAACGATGCCGACCTCACAAACATGGGATTTGAACTTCCGGGCCGGCACGCGGTTGTTGAACATTTCCTGGATCTCTGCGTAGTTGCGGCCCTTCATCTCGAGAAAGTAGTAGTACAACCAGGCGCAGATAGGCCACGACAGGCCAAAGAAGATGAAGCGAATCTTGCCTCCCAAGTTGGCCTGGTCAGTGTTGAGTAGGTATAGTAGCACCTGCAATACCAAGCAGGATGCGGCCGTCGAGCACATTATGTTGATGCTGTAGGTTTTTTGCCGAAGTTGAACACTATATTTTTTTCCAGTCAGCAAGGCATGCCCCTGTTCTGTGGTGCTTTCTTATCTACAGGTCGCCGATTCCAAGACCCCACAACCCAATTTTCTGAGCTGACGGCGGGCCGCCGCCGAGGACAACCCAAGTTCAAATCAAATAGCTAAACCGACGATGGCTTCAAACAAATACTTCAACTCACCTGGCTGTTTCTCCCCCAACGGAGTACGCCACGGCACCAAGGGTTGCTTGGTACATAAAGACCCAGATAACCATGAAAGCCACAGTTGCCGATAGAGATGCCTGGTTGCCGATAGTGCTGATGCCACCGATGAGTAGCAAAAGAGCCGTCATCGAGAAGACACCGCCGACGATCAAGGGTCGCCTTCCATATCGGCCGACACGGGGCCAAGACGGCATGTTTCCAATGAATTGAATCGCATATGCTGCTTGGCCGATCGCAAGAGGGTTGTTTACACCGGCCAAACGGAAATAGTACCTTTCAAGTTGTTAGTTGGGCTTGCCTTTGACTACTTTCTCCGTTCCGAAGGAGTGGGGAACTGACGTGAGGTAGCTATGCAGCAGTTAGTCGATGTCTGTTTTGATTTCAGACTAATTCGGTACCTACCCTGAAACAAAGTTGACACCAATAGCTTGCTGCGAAAGATAAACCATCACGATAATGAGGGTCCGGCGACGGTTAGTTCCTGTGAAGCAATCGATCCAACGAGCTGACTCCTGTTCCTTCTTCATCTTTTGCTCCTTGGCAATAGCAACTGTAGCTACAGTCATAACGGCGTCTAAATCAAAGTTGGGGCCGTTGAATCGCAGGTATGACTCAGCAGCCTCTTCGGGGCGGCCCTTGATGAGGAGCCAACTTGGAGACTCAGGCAAGAAAGCCAAACCGCAAAGAAGCAGTCCGGGAGGAATGAGCTGAGTGATCAGGGGGATCCTCCAGGAGAGGTCGTTCTTGTAGTGGCCGCTCGCTAATACAGTTGCAGAGTTGAGCCACTGGCCAACCGTAATCATCGTGTTGACTAACACAAGGCAGACACCACGCATTTTGACCGGCGCAAGCTCGGCCACGAAGACGGGGCCTAGTTAATGACCTAATCCGAATCCGAAAGTCGCGATAACCTTGCCGCCAAAAAGCATCATTACGGTCGTAGCGAAGTGTTGAAAAATCGTGCCGCCACAGCAGATCAAGCAGGCGACACCAATGATCTTCTTACGGCCAAAGATGTCACTGATGAAACCTGTGGCAACTGCTGAGACAAATATACCGATGATGCCCGCTGCATTGAGGATCTGCTGGTCCCGGGCAGCCACCTGCCATCTCCCGTTGACTTCATGACCGAAACGCTGAGCAAAGGGGGTAAACGGCGAGGAGTTTTCCGATGGTCGAGACCTCGTAGCCAAAGTTGATGGGCAAAAGATATATCAGCAAGCCTGATTTCCAGCGTTAGGAACTTTTGACATCATAGTGTGTGGCTTGGCAATTTTTTTGGATGAACTGACAAAACCCCAACACACGCCTATTCTCCCACAGATCACGAAACCCAAGCTTTTCATTGGACTGTGACTTGGGCAGCGACGCTGTCGCAGCAGCGGTCGCGTTTTCAGAATGCTCCAACTGTAGCTTGCAGTCACGCTTGGCCATCGATTGACTTTTGGTGTCCGCCATGGTTGATGAGATGTTTGCAAATCAACGAGATGGGAATCTTTCAAGTTCGGGATTCGCCGATACCGCTTCTTTTTCGAAATTGCTACATCCGCTAGTTAGTATTCAGGATGGAGGTGGGATCATTGAAAATCTTATATTTTAGGGTAGCTACGCTGGAATCTGAACATATGCGTTGCGTAGTGTCTCCCCGTGTATGCTTGACGAGGGCTTCCCATTCCTCCGCATTATCCACTTGGAGGAATCATCTCCATGCGGTTTAGGGATGCTTGAGACTGCCCCTTTCGTAAGACCTAAACATAGAAAGCATGGCTCACAAGACTTGCATGGCGGGGTAAGAGGCCTGCACTTGCGAGTTAACAATGATACGCAGTCTTTTCGCGGAGGTTACACTGGCTACGAACTACTAGAAAGGAATCTAAGAGTTGCAGATTGCTTGCAACAGTGGAGGTGGACCAGGATTGAACGTTGCATTGGCTCGGCCCAAATACACATTTTCTCAACAATGACCAGCACCAGCCCCCAGATTTGTTCAGTTCAGAGAGTCTTCCGTTCCTCCTCCTCTCCATCAGAATGCAGTACCTATGTAAACGTGCAAGGTTCCATTTTAAAGTAATACTTAGCCCTCGCGTCCTTGTCGCCATGAAGATCCAGGGACGGATCCGGCAGTCATTGCCCTGCCCGGGTTCCGGATTCCGGATTCCGGTCCCACCTCAACCCCAAATTGCTATGGGCTTGCATCGGGCTTGTGCATGTTCGGAACCCAAATCTCAGAACTTGGCATCAATCACTTGCGTCAACTTACCTGGTGAAGGATTTTTTTCTAGACACTGATTACTTTGTAATCCTGAAAAGTTCGAAATAGAACATTAGACAAAAAACGATATACTGGGACTACGAATACCAGGTTGTCGCCAAAATCGCCATAATTTAGGCCAAATGGCCCTTGTGTGTCTCATGACAATGGGTATTAATTAAGATGGGATTTCAAATAGTATATCCGCGAATTTGACAATGTGAAAAACTCTTATCGTTGCCAATCATTATACGAAGCTATATAGCCGTTTCAAAACAAGACTCCCTTTGTCTGGGACCTTTCGCTCAACTTATGGTTCTTCATTAACGACACCCAAACGATCGGCCCAGCCAGCGCCACAAGAGACGCGATGATCATGATCTTTTGTGTCTCGCCATAGGCGAGTACAATAGCATCTCTTTCAGGAGTTCCCCATTCATAGCTAAGTTGTCTTGTAAGATCGCCATAAATGAGAAGCGCCTCGCCTTTAAGCTCATCCGGGAGGTAGTCAGCCAGTTTGGACGGCATCAAATTGGTCCAGATAGCACCACTTATTGATGAACCAATCGCGCCACCAACACTAGTAATCATCGCAAGCAGGGCGAGGCCAATGGCGACGTCACGGTGAGGAACGGAGGCCATGACGGCAATCTGCTCAACCATTACAATGGTACCGCCGGCCAGCGAACCGAGAACTTCGCACATGATAACCAGACTGACGCTAGTATCGGGCATACGGAACTTGATCATCAGACCGGTTGAGAAGATTTGAAGAGGAACCGCGACCAAGCCAAGCCATTTGTATCGGTCGGTATAGCGCATGAGACTGGTCATATGTTATTATCGTCGCACAGCGTTGCGAATAGGGATTCGACTTACAGTCCGACTGGAATAGCCCAAGCGCAGGAAACAATGTTATAAATGTTGGTGATGAAGCCGGCGCGAGAGACGCTGAGATTATAAACCACCTGCAGGTAGGACGAGAACTGGACTTTGTAGCAGCTACAACGGGTTAGAGAAAAGCCCTTGAACTTAAGTTTAGGCAACTCACTAAAAACTGATCCACATGTTTCCTCCCAGAAGACAGGCTGCAAGAACAGTTCTGTTCTCGAAAAGGTCGAAGGGAACGAATGACTTGGGGGCAATGTGTTTCTCGTAGAAGGGGAATGCGATCAAGAGCAGTCCACCCAGGACAATCATGGCAATGATTCTGGGCTCACGCCACTGGTGGGCCTGGTATCCAGCCAAGCTGAAAGGCAGCAAGAGTAGCGAGAAGCCGGCAACGACAAGTAGCATACCAGCGACGTCAAGTTCGATGGCCCAATATTTCATCGAATTCCAGAAGGTGCGTTTCTCCTGTTTCTTCACGTAGTGACCCTGCTTGATCGCACGGTTCATCTGGACTGTGAAGATGATAATCAGAGGCGCGACAATTGCCGGGATGATTATAGTGAAAGCACCATATCCCCATCTCCAGGTGCTCCCTTCGAGGAATGCCTGAGCGGCAGCGGGACCAGCGAATGTGTTCGAGACGTAAGGCGTCGATGTGAAGCCAAACAAAATCATGCGATTCTTGAGTGTCGAGGTATCGGCCATGAAAACGTTGAGAACGTAACCAACACCATTCATACCGGTCCAGAAGAATGTTTGCGCAGCGGCATAGGTTTCGACGTTTTGGCAAATAGCCATCAGGATCAGGGCTGAGTAAGTAGGTTAGCCGGATGCCGCTGATCATAGACGTGGAATCACAGAGCTACTAACAAACAACAACGAAAGACAGCATAATACAAAGTCCAGTGGTACGGCCAATGACATCAAGGACACGAGCGAGCGGTAACTTGCTTACACCGCCGACGATATTTGAGATAATGCCTGTCGCTGCCATTAGACCATGCAGACCAAAATCACTAACGACATAAGGAAGCAGAGAGCTTGAGATTTGCTGTTGGAGAGAGTCGATGAAGAACACCATCCAGATTCTGTATACTGTTAGCAGCTGTAGGCCGACTTTGCCAGCCAAGTTGCGTACAAGATGTAAGCAGCGATGAGCCATGACTTCGTCCATGTTTGCGTCAGTGCTTCGATCTTCTCAACCCCGGCAAGGCCACCGGTATTAGGGTCGATTTCTTCCGAGGCGGGCTTTTTATCGAAAAACTCGGGGGCTTTCTCGTCAACATTTGGAGTATCTAGGTTTGCAGAAACAATTTCCGGAGCGCCAGGAGTCGCGTCTGGATGACCCATGTTGTCTGGATGAAGGTCACAAGGTGATGGTAGGGTGGGCCCAAGAGTTCGGATAGTATAATGTCTTGACCAAAGTAATGGGAATCGAGAAACTTCAAATGCGGCACAGACGACAAGGACCAAAAGGGCTTTTAAAGGTTTCTGAGAACGCAAAGATATCAAGGTATGGCCCACATGCGAGTGGGAACAACCACATGGCGGTGCGCTGCTGATTTCATGCCCGGAATGTGATCCTGATTATGGAGAGTAACGTTCGGCCAATCTTTGGCAAATGCTCGTCCCGGGGGTTGGCTAGATACTGGCGCACTAGTGGTTCAAAGGATCGCCCCGGTGGGATGAGAGGGGGCTAGATTGATAAGATTGAAAATTTTGTCCTGCGACTGATGTCCCTGGGTGGTTCCATTGGAGGATCGAGATCCCTGACGATGGCGATGTTGCTTCTGCTAGAGTTCTAGGATATTCATTGGTCCTGAAGCTGCTCTGCTCCGTGTCAGGGCATCGATTAACACACACGTTCCAGCCCTTAATCAAACGGCAAGCTGATAAAGGTTTTGGAGTATTGTGGTCAAGGTCATAGTCCTTTAGTGACATCAAAACATGCAGCCTTTCCTCTGAGTCGAGAATGAGACAAACGGAAAACGCCGTTAGGAATGCTGAAATTTAGACCTCTTTCAAGCGCACAAAATCCGAGTCTGCTGCAGGGGTCTGTTCTTGTCCTAGCTCCTTGGCATTTCCTACGTGCGAGTGGGACAAATACGAACGGGGTTAAACTCCGCAGCTTGATGAGATCTTCTCGACTTGTCTTATCAGATAATTCCTTAACCATAATGTTGGTTTTCTTTCTTGCAAAAAGCTCCTCTCAGTTATACATGATCTCTATTGAGAACTCAAACTGCATTGGCCCCCTTCATATTCAGGTCCAAGCCATTGGTGAAAGGTGCAACAGTGAGTATAATGTTAGAAGGAGAAACCCGGGCCCCCGCTTTCACTACATCCATCCACTTCATCTTGGCGGCAAAGTTGTTGCAGTACAACTAAGCCTATTTATGTCGTCTTCAGTCCACCTTATTTAATTGATGTGGTTCCTTGTAGTCTGAACAGATCCCTGCCGATGTGCACGCGCAGTATCGGTGCTGGGAACTCATTTGAGTGGGTGGAGACTAGGGAAGAGCGCCCACATGCCGTCTAACCATGGGCTATGGTAATCATATCGTGTATTAGACTCGTAAGGGACGTTGCTGTCGAACTATATCCCGCCATCTCTTAGTGAACGCTGAACATGTGTGCGGTACGAGCTTGTAAACCTTAGAGCATACATCTCAAAGATTCCAGATCTTGCGTGACAAATTGTTGGCTTTAAAAGGCTATCCCATTTCAACACCTGACGAAGAAACAATATTATGTAGCATCACAAACGATCATGGCCCTGATTATATGCGCATGAGTGCTTGTCGAAAGCTCATGTCTGTAGGTACAGGCAGCTCCGGTCTGGGTTTAAGACAGTGCACCATCTTTGAGCCGTATAATGACATTCAAGTCTGGTAAATAATAGATCTAATGGAATACCGCTTAACAGTACAAGTTACTGGAATTGGTCAGGCACAGTTCGCCTTAGACGAAATCTAATTGTTACGGCCCAACCAGTTGGGGTGCTGGCCGGCGTAACTATATAGTGCAGAACAGGGGATAATGATGCAGGCGCATCATTACCGAAGCTTTTGCTTTGTGGTGCAGTTGGTTGCCCTGACCTGCTCGTAACACTAATCCCTCACTGGGCTGTTCCGTCCAAGCGGACCATGCTCCTTCATTTTGAAGAAGCGAAACTCTAGTAACAAAATATATCGCATAGCCATTCAACTTCCTCAGGTCAGGCGTATAGGCAGCTTCGATGACAGTTTTTGTGGACGTGTCTTCAACATAATCCGCCCTTACGTGTCACAATAATCTATTAACAGAGTAAATTGATCCTCTTTGTTGATTTTCCCGAAGCTACCAACCACAATCTTCTCTTGTGACGAGCCTCAAATTACCTTCAGGTTGCAACTGAGCGTGATAAGTCGGTGCAGAATGGTGACGAAGGTCCCCGTTATAGACTGTAAGTGCTTGGTTTTGTCCTTAATTTTAGTTTTGTGAGTTCTTTCCATGTTCACCCCTAAATTCCTATGACTTATTGCAGGATAGCTAGTTCGCAAGACACTTGGTGAGCGCACTCACTACGGAACAAAACATGCAGCAAGCAAAGTCGCTAGGGCTCCAGTAAACTCAAGCTATCTACAGAATTTCAAATGATGTAGACCCATGTCACTTTTCAAATGCTTGTACAAGAGTCATTTCTGACAGCATCGTCGTGGATCCATTCATAATGTCCACGGAAGGCATCTTTGGAGAATTTGAAACGTTTTCCCTTCAGCTTGCAGCTCGCCCATTCTCTTCCCCGATGCGTCTTTCATATACCCGTTCCAGTTGGTTACGATATCCGATTAGTGGGTGAAGCAGATGCTCATCTGACACACGCCTTAAGTTATGTACATGTTCGTGCCTTTCATGATGAACCGGCAACAGTGATTGAAAGTGTCAAAATCTAGTCCCGCGTTCTCCGGATATCCGTGGCTGTTGCAAAGGGTGGCAGAGACATTGCTGCTGGCGGTGCAGGCACTGGGAATGTCGGGTCGGGCGCCGGTCAACTACATGAATAGGACCAGTTGTCCCAATTCTCCTGCAGCTAGGAACCAACAGTCTCAATGCCCATGCAATAAGTAACTAGATTTGGATGTCTCAGGGACTGGCTCAAACAGTTTACTGAAAAGGACAGGCTTACCAAGGTACGGTGGCTTGTGTTGAAGGATCACCTGATCCATGGTTATTTTTGAGCTATCTATTGGGTCTTGCTTACGATACGGTTACAACTTGAAGAACGGCGTGTGGCTTCTTGCGGAACAAAGGGTCAACGTTATGCAAAGATGTGAAATTGGCATTTTGCAAATTTGCAGAACTCATGTGATGACTGAAAATTCAATAAGATTTTCAATTCGACCACACAGCTCAACGTCTAGTGCCCAGAAATCATAGCGCTACCATTATTTCGGCTTGAGTACAGGCGGAAAGTAGAACCTCGCCAATCGAAGCTGTTGATTACGGCGTATTGGCTTAAGCATAATTACTGAAAAGACCGAGGGTCTAGGCTACAGGTCACGATTTTCACTTCGATTGATGGGAGAAGAAAAAGGCGCAACGTTGTATCACATCCTAAATACGGCAATGTATCGGTGATGTTAGTCCATGCCCAACTAGATCAATGCAAAATCAAAACTATTAGAGCCTCTGCCAATTCTCCGCCCTTCGGTTCGCTTTCCTTGCTAATGCTGACTCAGCGTACTTGCAAGTACTGAAGCACGCCATGCATGCCAAATTGAGATCATCGAAGTTATCCGCCAAACCCTCGTCGCCTCTTATCTACATATGTGAATCTATTCCGGACTTATCTTGGTTTGATAGCGAAGATGACTGGCACCTACCTCGGCTGCCAAGCCCAGTGGCCAATAGTCTAGAACCGTTTTGGTACGAGAAGGGCGGAGATGAGGGTGACGCTTCCAATCATGGTCTCGATGGCGTGCTCCGCTCGCAACGTCACCCAGTGCCCAACTGGAAGTTTATAAAGTTAAAAAGCCGGAGCGAGCACTATTGCATAGTGATGCAGCAATTTGAATCCCCGTGACCTTGACAATAAATCTTTTTGGACCATTCTTCTGCCATCAAGTCGGCCATCGACACAGCTCAGCGCCAGAAAAACATCGAAGGTTGACTAGGTATTTACCCAAGATGGCTGACAAGCCGAGCAGCACATCCGATGTCAACAATGCTGCTCTTCAACTGGGAAAACTTTCTGGTAATCCATGAGCCATGTATTCATACATTTTCTTGAATCTCGGATGCTTACGCCCAACAGTCAGATGGTATCGCTCACCATTCTACAACGCTACGATCCTTGGGATGTGCAGTTTCGCCGCCCCGGGCCTTTGGGGTGCAATGAATTCTCTCGGCGCTGGTGTGTTAATCGTTTGAAAAGGCCTCATAATGCGTAGACTAATCTTTTTCAGGCGGTGCACAAGAGCCGTATCTCGTCAATACGGGTAATGCTGTCACCTTCTGTCTCATGATTGTCTCATGCTGGACTACTTCGTCGATCATAAAATACATCGGCATCAAGGGTGCATTGGTTGTTGGCACAATCGGTTTCGCCCCGTACAGCGCCGGTCTCTACCTAAACAACCGGTACGGTGTCGAGTGGCTAGTAGTCCTCGGCGCTGCTTTCTGCGGCATATCAGCCGGTATTTTCTGGGGCTCTGAAGCTGCCATTGCCATTGCGTACCCTGAGCCGCATAACAGAGGACGAATGGTTGCATATTGGCTCACATGGACTAGAGTCGGCCAGATCCTTGGCGGTGCAATCAACCTTGGCTTGAATTCCGATCGTAGCGGAGCTGGAAAGGTCTCCTACAAAGTTTATTTGATTTTTATTGCCCTGCAAGCTTGCGGGCCCTTCGTGGCGCTGCTGCTAAACCGGCCTAACAAGGTTCAAAGAAGCGACGGCAAGCCGGTGGAGCTAACGATCGACGACAATCCGTGGCAAGAAATCAAAGCAACCACAAAGACGTTCCTGACGCCAAAATTCTTACTCCTTGTTCTTTGGATTGGTCAGGGCGTTTACTCGGAGTCCATCTTCTTCACATATATTGCACTTTGGTTCTCTGTTAGAGCCAGGGCTCTGGGCTCGTTCCTCTCTGGTATCGTGGCAGTCGTCGCGGGGAATCTGCTTGGCTTGTGGCTCGACCAAAACCAAATCGATCTCAAGAAGAGGGCTCGGTGGGCATTTTCCGTCATCATGACTCTGCAGGGCGCATGGTGGCTTTGGCTTACTATCAACGTCACCGAGTACCGTCGAACACAACCTATCTTCGACTGGAGCGATCCTGGTTTTGGCAGAGGTTTCGGGGTCTTCATCTTCTTGGTATCTGGCTTCCAGCTCAACTACAACTTCGCATTCTTCATCATTGGCCAAATTTCAGAGAGTCCAAAAGATACCATTCGACTCTCCGCCCTTCTCCGAGGCACCGAGTCGGCCTGGCAGGCTGTCAGCTACGGGCTCAACGCTATTCCAATCTTTGCGCTCGTCGGTGGTCCATACATCAATTTTGGACTTTGGTTTGTATCCATTTATCCCGCCTGGCTGGTTGTTAGACACTTCGGCGCGAGCAGCAAGGGGACAGAGTTAGAAACCACCTCCCAGTCTGAGGTAGTGAACGTTATCAAGTCCTAAATAGGCCCTATGTCCTGGAAGCTTCAAACCTTGTTGACCAAAGCATTCATGATCGAGTATAACTCAATAAACACTGGGTCACACTGGACCTTTCAACAAGCTTGGCGCACGAAGCTCCAGTGTTGTTAGGTTGACAAAACCACTCGGTTTCCATATCTGTTTCGACACCAGTTAGTTCATGACTCTGACATTAAAAATAATATAGAAAATAATTATGAAAATGCTTTGAAGCAGAGAAAGGAAAACAAAGGAAACGTACTTGATCGTGAGGTTTTTGTTTTGTTTTCTTGAACTTGTCATCCTTTACATTGTTATTTGTGGGTTTTCGCAATATGCAAACAATCACGTTGTGATGCAATGGTTCAATAATAGCCTCTAGATAAGGATCGAACCTAGAAATAACCCCCCACCCCCTCCAAAAAAAAATGTTTCCATAAGATATATACATGCATCAAAACAGATGTTTTCCGCTAGACTCGAGCTGAGGTTCCATTAATTATTTGCACCCTCTATGAAAGCCCGCAAGACCTCAATCCGACGCCCGCAGATACGCTGGCTAGCTTCGAAACCCGACATTTACCAAGTTCCCCAAACGTCAGAGATGGCTAACAGATCTAGAGAGCTGCGTTACTTTTCGAAGTTCATGGTGCTTCCTCGCGAGCTGCGAGACAGAATCTATGAGTTGTCCGATCTTGTCCCTACGGAGTGTGAGTTGGATGCATGCGAGCCGCTGTCCAACTTGCCGTGGGCTGGGGCCTACCCAAAATCAGCTTTGTTCTATGTGAGCATTCGAGTCAGAGAAGAAGCACTGTGTCTCTTGTTCAATCGAAATCATTTCAAATTTTGGCTTGGACTGAATAGTTGGAACATCAACCGACCCCTGTCGCAGCCTGACCCGACGCCTTTTACCGAGGCTCAACTGAATTCACCACATATCCTGGCGTTGAGAAACATCAAAAATTTGTACTTACACTTCTTCTGCGGCTCAGGACCGGGTGGAAAATACTGGCAGAGCAGCTTGTTCAATCAGCTCCTTGGCTAGAGAGGTTGACCATCTGCCACAGCAGTTGTGATGTTTCTTATTCATCCAGTGCATCCCAGTCAGCTCTTGCAATTTTCATGCACGACATTCAACGAATCACCTTACTTGAGACGGTCCGACTTGCCAGGCCCATTTCTCGGGGATTTACTGAGAAACTAGCGCTTCAAAACCGTTTGTATTTCGAATTGAGTCTATTTGTTCTGGGCTCTCACACAATGGCTGTGACCTCAGTCTTCCATGGTCTCCCGAGCGTTGCACTGGAGCAGTACACTCGGCAGTAAATGGAATCAAATCCTCAGGATACACCGTTACGTATAAGAACATTGAAGGTTTTCTGTGGACTGTAAGACAACCAGTTGAATGCTGGCACATGAGTTTCTTTTCGCAAGGATATCGACAATAAGGACTAGAGGAATTTTATCAATTATTCCCTTTCAAATCCCGACCAGAAGAGCCGATTTTGAAAGCTCACAACGCTAATGTCAGTCATGGTTGCTTGAATTGGAATTGGCCAGACCGATGAGGTTCGAGATCAGTCCGTGCAAGGCATAGAGTGAACATGGTCGAGGGCCTGGGAGTCGTGCAACAGCTAGAGTACAGATGAAAAGAAAACAAGCAAAAGTACGTGTAACTCAAAACTCTGCGCGATAACAAACCCATAAGATGCATTTCCGTTGCAGGCTGGCATAAAATCGCTAATGGCATGGTGTGGCTACTAGCATAGGCCAGAGTTTCCAGTCATACACACAGGCTGGGGAATATAGCATCGTTTCTATAGAGTGAGTTTTCAGAATGCGTTCGCTCTCTTGGTATACTTGCTGAGATTCCAATCTTCTCCGCTCAAATTTGGTTAAGACGTTGCTCAAATAGTAATTGATTTTGTCAGTATTCTGAATCATCGCAGCAATACCAAGTGTTACACCATATAATAAAGTCAGCCAGAAGACTTGTCCAGATTTTTTTGTTTTTGAAATATTCCCTAGGGAAATGCGTAATCTGTTCTACAGGCTGTGCGAGGAGGATTGGCTCATTGAGCCTGTGCCGGGGGCCTGTTACAAGCCTCAGTCCATGGAACAATTTCATAGCCAAGAATTTTTCGGGTCTTTAGATAAATCAAGTTCGTGCAACTTAAGATCGAAAAGATCACTGACAGTTGAATGCCGCTACCATGGCGAGTCTTAAATCTGGGGAGACGACGACAGGAACGGTAACCGTTGCTATTGCAGTAAGACCTGTCTTGTTCTGTGGAAGAGTTTCTAGTCAAGCTCAAGGATCACACCGCACAGCATTTGTATAGCACGGCCTCCCAACCTTCCCAAAGTGAAGGTTGTGGGAGAGTCTGAGAGGTGTGACACACGAAGTTGTTTCCAGAAAGACTACATGTTTGCGGATCTTGGGTGGCATCAGCTAGTTCTAATTTAGGGGTTTGTAGTTAGAGGCAAAATTTGAGGTTTGAAGACTAACTTAGGTATACGGATTATCTTTTTCTTTCAAATGAACCAAAATTTCGGAACCGAGCATCGTTCGTGTCACTGGTCATCGACATCAAAGAGTCACCAAGTGCTTTTGCAATGGTGTTCATTGCACTTCTTGCTGCAGCGACAACTTTTCCATCGCGACTCGAAACGGATTTCGATCGATTTGACCAATCCTTTGGGGTATGAGGGTACCCGACGCTCACTGTATTGTAAGCACTGAGGCTTGTTTTAAATACAAGGGCAGATCATCGATCTCAAAGTTTCTTTGCTCGTGGAGTGTCCCTTATTTCCCTCTCTACCCTTCGTCCGAAATAGCAACGGTATGCCGACAAGGAGAGTTCCCTGACTTGCAGGACTTTTTGAACGGAGCCTGACTTTGAAATACTTCAGTATCTCGTCCTTGGGAGAGTATCCGACTCTCAATGGCTCTGAAGTCTTTGAAACCCGTCAATTTTGCCATCAATATGAAGCTCATCACCTTCGCCGCCGCCGCCGCCATCCCGGTCTTCTCCACTCTGGCCGCTGGCGAAGAGAGAGAATGTCCTCTCGAATCGGACTGCATTCAAAGACTCTGCAACAAATTCGATTACGAGACTACCTGGGATGGAAACGGAGCTTTCATGATGGAGGCTCGTTGCAAGAACGCGACGGGCGCAGAGGTTTTTACCAAGCTCGACCTCAAAAAGTGTATCTCGAATGGCGATGGGCTTCTCCAATAGTCTGACAAGTTAGTTGATCCACCCATCCATCGTATTTCAATCGCTATTGCACCCTGCGTCTCTCGCTGACCATATCAATCTTCCCTACACAGCGGCGACTTCAGGTGTGCACGCTGCTGGATCTTCCATACGTCGCCGGAAAAATACGTTGGTTTGCGGTGCGATTTATGTCCCAAGAGGGACACCTTCTGGAGAGGCTATATGTGGACGTGGTTGAACCTTTGTGAGTAAACACGTCTCGATGTACTTCTTTCTTCCCAACTAACTTGAATTCTCCAGCCCGGAGCATTTGGGTCAGCAAAAACGGCGCCCTCAGCTGCTACGGCCACGAAGGAGAGCACCATGCGACCCTCAAGAGAATTTCTTAGGCTAGGAGGGATAAAATCGTCGGGAGAAATAATAGAGGCATGGGATTGTTCCATGAACTGGATGGCTTTGTAGATCCTTCACTTCTTGGCTAATGTGTACGACGCCAACAACATGCATGGCCTTGTGCGATGCTTTTTTCCACAAATAGCAGGGCTGGTCGGGTTTCTCTTGGATTCTATTTATCCATCTAGGAATCAAAAGGAATTGCCGTTTGCAGATTTTACCTCGATGTAAGGGGTTAGTGGCAATTTGAAAGGACGCGGTGTGCTCGTCTGTGGCACGGATACGAGAATGCGTACGAGTTTCGCTTTTGTCGCGATGCCCTCACGCACATCGCGCAGCCTTGTGAGATTTGCGCCGGGCCCGGATTAACTATTAGTCTGGTCCCTTTGTGCAGATCCACTACGCAGAATACATATTTATTTGTTTTAGACAAAATAATCCTATATATAGAAATCTAAGCCGTTTTCTTTATATCTTTTTTACCCTAAGTAGTAACTCTATAATAGTTATAAGCCTAGCTTGTATTATACCCTTAAACCACTATGTCTAGAGTATACTATAAGCTAGAAAATCTCTTTTAAATAAACTATCTCTATTTTCTTAAACTAATATCTTTAATATATTTATTTCTATTAAAGCTATAAAAAAGCTTAAGATATAAAATAATTAGCCTTTATAATATATAACCTTTTAGTTTAAAATAAAATTAAAGTATATTTAAGAATTTATTAATTTAAATAAACTTAAAAAAAAAAAAAAAAATAAACTTAAATATTTTAATAAGATCCTAAATACTTTAAAAATTTTTACTTTTAATAAATTTATTATTAATATAAATCTTAAATAAACTAATAATAAACTTTTTTTAATAATAATTAATTTAAATATTAAGGTTATATACTAAATATATATTTTAAATACTAATATAAAAAAAGCTATTTAAAAATAATAAAAAAAAGTATTTAATATAATTAATATATAAGTAAAAATATTAATTATTAAATTACTTTTTAAATTAATTTAAATAAAAGCTTTAATATAAAACTAAATAATATTTTATTTAATACTTAAAATTCTTAAGTAATAATATATATTAAATAACTTATTTAACTAAACTATTATTTAAAAAGAATATTTAGTTTTACTAAATTAAATAGCTTTAAGTATTAACTTATTTATTTAATTAATAAAATAATAAAATTTTTACTTTTATATAAAAATCTTAAATTTACTAAAAGTCTAAAGTATTTTTACTTTAAGAACTTTTTTAAAAATAATATTATATAAAATTATTTTATTTTAAGTAACTTATAAATTTATAGAAATTATCTAAAATAAGATAATAAGCCTCTTAGTTAAAAACCTAAATAACTATATAATAATCTTAATTAGTGTCTTATAAGAAAACTTATTAGTAGTAAAATACTATAAAAAAAAGCTTAGTATTTATATAACTTTAGTAAATTATTTTATTATATTAACTAAAAATAATATATATTACTTTTTACTAAAGAACTTAAATAAAATATATATTTATAGCTATTTATATTATTAGCCTCTACTTAAATATACTTATATAAAGAAAGCCTTTATTAGCTACTTACTTAAACTAGCCTTAATTATTAATAATAATATATAATAAATCTATAATTAAATTAATAACCCTTAGAATATAAACCTCTAAGCTAAATTCACTTAGAAAGGGTAGCTTTAAGTAATCCCTTTATCTTAGAGAAGAGATCTTAGGAGATATAATAATAGGGCTAATAATAATAAAGATAATAATAATAGACCTAGTAATAATTTACTATTAAAGGTTATTATATATATTATTAACTCTACTTTACTTTAACTAAACCTAAATAAAGCTACTTAAAAAAAGGAAATTTATAGCGTTTTTATTACTTTATACTTTAGCTTATATATCTTTTTGTATAGTACTATATTAGATAACTGTAAAGCTACCTACCTAGTAAATAATATATTCCTCTTAGAGCTAAGCATAGTCTAAGCAGTTAAGAAAAGTAATTAACAAGTTAATTTAAGTATTACTTTATACCTTATTTATATAAAAAGTAAATATGTAATTAAAGAGATTCTTAGAAGCTAAAATAGAGTAAACTAAGACCTTATATTTAAGAATATAGTATATATAGAGAATTTTATATAAATGTTATATTAAAAGCTTTACTCTATATAATAGGTATCTAGTACTTAAAACTTAATTATACTTTTTAATACAAAGGATATTTAGATAGCTTTATAGTTAAATAACTTATATAAAAAACAAATATTATTTTCTTTAAATATAAGCCTCTTATTAGTTATTTTACTTATATATAAATCCCTATAAGTAATGTAGCTATAGTTAATATTAATGTAATAATATTACTCTACTATAATACTCTTATATAACCTTTATACTATAAGAAAAGTACTTACTTAGACCTCGCTTAGCTCTAGTACCTATAAGGTAGCTATCTAGGACCCTAAGTACTTAAGTAATTAGTCTTAAATGTTTAAGGGGTAAAGATTAAGACCTATAAGAAATTAGAATATTCCTACTATTAAATAATTTATATAAAGAAGATAGTCTTAAAATAAAGATTAAAACAAAAGTTATTTTGCTTATACTATAAAATTACTTAGAACCTCTTTAATTACCTTAAAGAGTATAATAAGAACTTATAGCTTATAGTAATTAAAAATAAATATATTAGCTGTTTTTTTAGATTTCTAAGGATATTAAAAACCTATAAGAGTATATTTAGAGTTTTATATATCTTTAAGTAATAAATAATAAAATAATATAGCTTTACTTTATATAAGATAAAATAAAATATAAATTACTTTGTTATAATAATTAATAGTAATATAAAGTTTTAATAATAGGTAAAAGAAGAGGGGATTAAGGTTAAGACTACTTTTTTATATATAAAAAAGCTAAATAGTAAAGCTAAGAGAGCTAGCTAGAAAGTAATAACTAGAAGTATTAAACTACTTTCTAAAGTAAGCCTTTTATATAAACTATAAGTTAAAGTAGTAATAGCTAGTATATATTTCTATAATATTAGCTTTTTTTAGTATAACGTTTAGCTTTATTTAATTAAAAAAAAAAAGAAATAATTTAAATAATATTTTTACTAATAATAACTTTAATACTAAGTAACTCTTAGCTAAGACTTATATCTATAATAAGAATAACTTTATATATATAGCTACTAAGTATACCTTATTTAGAGAAACTAAGAGAAAAACATAGAAAGATAATGCTTTAAGGTAAAACTAAAGAGCTATATTAGATACTTAGTAGGCTATATTTAAAATACCTATAACTTATACTAAATATAAATCTCTTTACTTTAATAAATCATAATTATATAAAATATAACATTTAATAAAAGCTAATTCTATAAAAAAAATAATATAAAGGTAATAATTTTAACTAAGAAAACATAAATAATTATAAATAATAACTAAGAATTAAGAAGTAAAATTCTTATAATTCTTATATATAAATCTCTTTATAACTTTATAACTAAAAGTCCTATAAATATATAGTTATTTTTTCTAGATTCTTCTTGAAAAATAACCTATAAAAGTATATATTACTATATATAACTATACTAATACAAACTACTACAAACTAATATAGTCTACTATATATAAACGCATATACTTCTAAGCATTACATATACTAGCGCTTATACTTATCTATAGGCATATATAGGTATATATATATATATATAAGAAACTATAAGTACCTCTTAGCACTTAGATATACGCTTAGATATACACTTAGATACTATATATATCTAAGGGACTTTCTATATAACTAAGAGATATCCTTTCTACTTAGACAGTTTTTAATAATAACAAGAAAAAATGATACCTTAACAGTTAATATATATATATACCTTTTCTGTCTACCTTTATTCTTTTCTACTTTTCCTTATAACTATTTATAAATAACTCCCTATTATTCTTACTAGTTATAAGCCCAGCTTAGTAGAAAAGGCAACCTTTATACCTTTACTTTCCTTTATACCTTTAACTTCCTTTATACTTATACCCTTATTTTATACAACAAAAATTCAACCTTGCCAAAGGACATACCACATTAACTAAAGGAATTTTAAGGAATACAGCTCTAAGGCAGCTACACCTCACACCTAGCAGTCCATATTCAGCAGAATAGAGGAACCAGCTTACTAGGCAAGCACTACACCTATTACTATATTTTACGCCACTATAGCTCCAAGCAAATCACAATCCTACCTTATTAGTTAAAGGTTATTTCTAGTCTATATCTAACAAAGACTATATACCTTAAGCTGGAATTAAACCTAAGAGCTCTAATTAAGTTGCTAATTCAATTAGTTAATCTAGAGGATAGCTAAACCACTAGACTAACTGCTCTACTATCTAGTGAAAGCTTCTTTAATTAAAGGCCTATATATATCTATAACCCAAGGCAACTACACAACACCATACTATTAATAACAACCTAACCACTTTTAAGGCCTATTTTTCAAAACAAATTCAATAGTACTATTAGAATACCAATATCTCTCTCTAATCAGCCAAAATCAACTAAAATCCTTATATTCCAATTAAATTCAAACCTA